CCCTAACCCTAACCCTAACCCTAACCCTAACCCTAACCCTAACCCTAACCCTAACCCTAACCCTAACCCTAACCCTATCTCTATTAACTACTTTCCTTTTTTAAAAAAGCTTAAGCTAATAGCTTTTAACTTTATAATTAATTATACTGCTAATTTTAATATAATTTATTGTAATATATTTATTTATAAAAAGTAATATATATTATATAAGTTATATAATAATAATTAAATATAAACAGATTTTCCCTTAGCTTTTATATTTTCTTAATAAGCTATAGTAATATATATATAGTAATTTAAAGCGTAAAAATGTAATAAAATAAATAAATATAAAAAATTATATTTTAAAGTATTATTATAATTATATTAATTATAATATATATTAGTTATATAGTTTATAACTATATAAACTTAAAGGGCATATACTTACTATACTAATATAAAAATACTTAAGTATATCTTTATAAGTTTTAGTAGTAAGCAGATAAAAATAATATAGTTAAAAAGCTTAAAATTTAAATTTTTAAATAGTATATAGTTATATATAGTAGCTTTATAGTATATAGGTTATAGCTACTAATTACTATAGTTAGGTATAGTATATATATATGTGAAAAGCGATAATGTTTATTTATTAAACTTAAAGTAATAGAAAGGAAGTTATCTAAGTCTATTTGCTAGCTGGCTAGCAGGTGGCAGCCAGCTGGCCTCCTAAAGGTCTTGAGAAGTGCCTATAACTAGCTGTAGCAAAAGTAATTATTAAATTATTTATTAAATTATTAAAATAATTATTTATTAAATTATTTTATTAAAAATTATTTTATTATAAAAACTTAAAAATAAATATAATAAAAATTAAATTAAACTCAGTTAAAATATTATATAAAAAAATAAAAATTATAGTTTTAATAAAATAATAAAAATAATAATTAATTTAAAACTTATTAATTAGGTTTTTTATTAATTAGGAAAAGTTAAACTTTTTATAAAGCTTATAAGAGGCTGTATAAGTTTCATTTAGTGCAGCGAAGTTGACTGATTTTTAATAAATTAAACTAATGTTTAGATTGACTGCTAATGTAAAGAGTCTATATAGTACCCTCGTGCAAAGCTGGCATTTGCGCCGGTTCCGTCTGAACTAGGCAGCGAGGCCGCCGTCGACCATCAAGATCTGACCAGTGATGTAGGACGCCTTCGATGAGGCCAGGAAGGCGACTGCCTCGGCGATTTCGGCAGCCTCGCCCCAGCGCTTAAGCGGCGTTACCGCGGTGGCGCCCTCCAGCAGCGCTCGTGTCGGCGTATTCATCATCGGCAGCACCATACCGGCGTTGATAACGCCAGGTCCCACGGCATTAGCGCGGATGCCGTAAGCAGCCTCCTCGGTGGCGAGCTGGCGCACCATCATGGCTACCGCCGCCTTGGGCGTGGCCGAGAGCGCATCGCACGGCACGGTGCGATTCACTGCGCTGGTGACCAGGGCGACGAACGATCCGCCCTTTCCCTCTCGCAGTACTGGCACGCCGACCTTCGCGATGTTGTAGAAGCCGTAGATGTCGGTCTCGATGACGCCGCGGAAGGACTCCTCCGTAAACTGTGCCAGCGGGCCCGTATCAAACACTAGGCCGCCGGCGGACACTACCGTGTGCACGCGCTTGTATGTGTCCACGGCATGCTTGAAGACGGCCTCGACCGCCTTGAGGTCTGTGACGTCGCAGGCTATCGCGCTCGCCTGGCGCCCGAGCTTGCGCAGCTCCTCCACCAGGGACTCAGCTTCGGCGTGGCGCGACCGGTAGGTGACGACAATGTTGGAACCGCGCTCCGCCATCAGACCAGCGCTCGCGCGGCCGAGGCCGCCTGAGCCGCCGAAGACGACGGCACAGCCTTCGGCAAAATCGGGTTGGGTGACGCCAAAAGTCATTTTATTTTCTCCTTGATGATTTTTTTGGCGCACGGCGCGTTGGATGGCTATGTAGATTGAGAGGTTGTTGATTAGTGCAGGCACGGCCTGAAGGGACGGAATGCTCTCCATTTCCTCCAGTATAAATACTTAAACAAAGAACGAGGTGTGGACCTACAAAACTCTGCATGATTCGTGCCACGTTGATTCTGGCTACTTTTCAGGTGCATGCGAGAATACCCTCGCTAAAGGATGGAAAATCGGTTGGTACTGCGTTACCCTATCAAGTCCCTCTAATGCGTGGCGCATTTGCGGGACGGCAAATGTCACGGCCCAGCTCGCTTGCTACGGGAGGACTACCCGGTGGATGATCTAATCTAATTTTCATATCAGAACTGCAGGGCCTATTCGATGGATTGGTCAACCCCAGATTCAGCATCCGATTGCTCCATCATTGAATGGGACGGATGGCCGCAGGCGTCACGACGGGGAAGTATTCCGGGAGCGTCTCCCGTGGGGTGGGCTGAGGCTGCGGCTATCTTAACTGTCTACGGCTGGGTGGCCGGCAGAGTGTGAGCTGTGGGAGGTTAACGTGGTGCCAGCCCGACTCAGAATGCCTGTACCACAGTATGCACAGAATAGGAGTCACGCTGTTCCTACAGGGAAAAAAAAGAGGGACTCTAAACTAAAGTGGGTGGCTATACGGAGTACAGAGTCAGCAGCGATACGAAGCCCGATCCTAACACAATGCTTTATATCTTCAATGCCGATAAAGATGTCCCATTTTCAAAAACACTTTATACAGGGCAGTTCTGGAGCCCGAACGAGCGATGCCAGTATCCACACCTTGCTGGGGGATGGATATTACCCTCCTGGTTCTCAAACCCGCAGCGGTGTTAGACTAAACCCGTTAAGTTATCAACACGGAACTGATCTGTGGAGCCGATAACGCCCCTGTTCCCAAGTGAAGGTTTCAGACTGCATATGCTTTCTCATATATCACATTTTGGGCTCTACCCTGTCTCACGACGAAAACAAGCTGCACCTTCCATTGCTCTTAGATGTGCTGGTTGGGTCTTGCTACCAGATACGCTCTGACTACCGTGCGGAGAGAGCGCCTACAATGTGATGGTGAAACAGGTGTTAATTATGGCATTTGATACTCGCTGCGCCGCTGTGGCGTGACGGCTACCAACGAGAAGGAAATTGTCAGCTTGGCACAGCAGGAGCACCGCGGCAGTAATCACTAGAATATTACTGTAGGGACCTGAGTCATTATTTATGATCAATCGATCCCTTACTGTGTATAACAACCGAAGCTCATCCAATACCACCGCTCCGGACCTGAAAAGCCCAGCTCACCCACCCACTAAACAGTTGCTACGAAGGCTGACCCCGTTTCCCGATTATCCAACGACACCCGCACCTTGACTAGGGAGTTCCGGATAGGCAGTGCCCGCCATGGTGTATATGTTCCCGATTGAGCGTGAAAGCCAGAAGGCTATTATCGCCGGCGCAGTCGTTTTCTCATTGCTGCCGACGGCTGCCGTTGTTCTGCGAATGGTGGCGCGGTCGAGACTCGAGGTTCGCACTCTTGATCTGAGCGACTGGCTCATCCTGTTGGCATGTGTAAGTTTGTTACCGGCTCGAGTGTTCCTATATATCTACAGGAAGCCTCTAAAGAAATTAAATTCTTCAGGTTGTCGCAGTCGCGTACCAAGCACTCGCAGTCGCCTGCGCTGTGGTTGGGGGGATGGGATACCACACGACTGAGGTCCTTGCGATGGGAGGGCCGGATTCATTCACCCTTCTCATGAAGCTTGTGACCGTGGTCGTGATCTTCTGGTCGCTCAGTCTCGGGTTGACGAAGCTCTCCATCCTCGCCTTGTATGCCAAAATTTTCTCCGTTGGGAAATTCGTCCTGATCACTCAAGCCTGTGCCGTATTCGTCGTGATCTGGGCCATGGTCCTATTCATCGGTGCCTTCACCACATGTTCGCCGGTTGAGTACAACTGGGACAAATTCTCGACCGTGGGAACCTGTGGCGACGTCAGGATGTTGTGGGCTGTAACCGGAGGGCTCAATATCTTCTCCGACCTGGTTGTCATGCTCCTGCCCATGCCTTATATTTACGGTCTGTCGCTACAGCTGTACAAGAAGATTGGGTTGATGGTGACTTTTGGGATCGGGCTTGCGTAAGTGATCGACTCCTGCTATTCGTCTTCTCACTGCACTAGCTAAGACATGGGCATACAGAGTTTGCATTGTAAGCACCGTCCGACTCGCCGAGATTATCAAGATCGACATGAACGACTTCCCATATTCCGGGGGTATCGCACTCATGTTCAGTGCACTGGAACCATGTCTGCTGGTAACTGCAGCATGTATCCCGCTTCTCCGCCCATTAGTATCTCGAAACAATTCCACAGACAAGGCCAACAGCTACGCCGGAGGCAATACCAAAGACAAGATCGGAGCTTCTTCCACTCCTTGGACAGGGGGCTTTTCGGAACTGCATGACGACGACGGCTCAACAAAACAACTACACATGGGACAGTCCCAATATGGTGGGCGGGCAACTGCTGCGGTAGATGGTAGTTCCTTTGATTCCTCCTATGGAGCCGAAAACCGTCACTCCAACATAGAATTGAAAACTATCACGGTTAAGAGGGACTGGAGGGTTGAAGAATCCGCTGTCTGAACTGGTTTAGACAGCGTTCTTTTCGCGCAACCGAAGACGTTGTTGTAACAACCTGGATGGAATTCATGGTGCACAATAGCGCAGTCTTGGTTAGTGTTAGCATAATTCGTGATATTTACAGTAATGCTGTTTTTGTTATGGCAGCCACTTTTAGCTTAGAGTCAGTATAATAAAGATGGACGCCAGTGCCGCAGGTCGATTGGCGCATCCAACCCATGCCGTGTGGGTGGCCTCAAACACAACAGCCCCAATTGGTGACCTCAGGTGAGGCCAACTTTATTGCAGGTTCAAGGCAGAAACCGATCCGATCCAGAGCCCAAAGTCACATGCACAGCCATCTATCTCGCTACTGGATCTCTAGTGCGGCTGCTTGTTAGTCCAGCATCAACAGCCGCCGCCGCCTCGGCAGCCTTACCGAGCACAAGGATCTCCGGGATATTGCAATGGAGTAATTAGCTTTTTTTGAAACGGCTGCTAATGAAGGCCGTGATCAGCTGTCTGTTCGCCCTGTGTCTAGCCATCGCATTGATCTTTTTGTTCACCGTTACAGTGAAGTATTAAAATTCTTGTTAACCAGACTTGGATGGGCTGCTTGTTGAGCTTAAACGAGCCTTACTATGATATGGGGAGGTATACGTTGAGGTTCAGAAATTGGTTCACCGTTGATATTAAGTTTCTCACCAAGCTCAAATTGCCGGGGATAAACCATTCTCTCAGGAAAGCATTGAGCCTTAAGACAGTCTTTAGTATAGCGGGCTTTGCTTTCGAACTCGAAAGCGAGCCTATAGGGGGAAGCGGAGGCAGTACTGAAACGTTAGTTTGTACAGTTTCTCGGAGACAAGGATTTATAACAGAGGGTTTATAGGCAGTTCGAGCAACCGTGAAAGTAGGGGGCCCGGGTATGGAGGTTAAGCTAGCGCTGATACTTATCGAGGTCTGAATGCAGCGCAGGAAAGGCAAGCTGTATATGACGACCTTGTACTTTCTTCGTGTATTTTAACACATTGAACGCGTGGACTGGAAGAAGAAGCTCTTGTTCTGCTGTTTTGGAAGAGGTGCTTGCTAGCAAAAGGTGCGTATTTAAGTAAACAGGACCCATCATAAACTCGGCTTCTTAGTTCCCATTAAGTTTTAGATAATGGACATAGAATAAATCTAGTGTATTCCCATAACTATATATTTCAATAATATATAATATAATCACACTTAGACGAAAATAAATAGTACTTAAATAAAATAAGTAATGGTAAAGGCTGTGTGGCCGCTCTTAACCATTCCTCAGCCTATCATCTTTTATCTTCTATTTAAAATATCGACAACCTCAGTTTAAATCGCGTATAGCGTTCTTAATCTGTCATTGCTGCCCGAAAAGACATGGCTAGATGCGAAGTACCGTCGTTGAGGCTGCAAGCTCAAGCATTGTGATCAAGTCTTTGCAATTAGCCACAAAGGTCCTTGGACCAGCAGTTGTCGTCGATGAACCTGCGAGCAGCAGTGAAGGCATCGTCCTTGGGGCTGCAAGAAGACTGGCGAGAGTGAAGAGAGCGCGCCCCACTGCCACCGCAGCCCGGGCCGCCCTGAGCGAATGCATTCCAAGGGGACATACCCCAGGCTCGGTGGCTGGAGGGGAACCCGGCAAGGCGGGGCTCGCCGTTGGTGGGCCTCAGACCATTATAGATCCTGCCTTCGTACTCATTGTTGTCCTGGAGGCCGGAAGCGTCCGCGACGCCGTTGGTGTAGTGCCTCCAGCGGATGACCTGATCCCAGCTGAAGCCGCCGAGCGCCGCATACTCTTGCTCGTTCGGGTAAGGGCTGAACTGCCCGAGGGTGCCGGAGACCTGGATGAAGTTGGCCGACGCCGCTATCTCATAGACGTAGCCGTTGCCGTTAAACATCTGCCCGAGGAAGTTGACAGCGGTGGTTTCGCTGGCGGTGGTCGAGACATAGCCGTCGTTGTCCCGGCTTGCGCCGTTGGGGGCGCCGACCGCATGATTGTACATGCTGACGTTTGGGACAATTTCAAGAATCTGGCTAGCCCCTCTAGGAGAAAAGAGGCCAGCGGCGCGCATCTCGGTCGGAGTCCTGGTGTCGGCGCGCCAAACCCTGAACTGGGCATTGCAGAGAGCAGTCCACAAATTGAGGACAAGTAGCATGAAAATGTTTCTATGGGCTATCATGTTGACGATGAACCGTGTAAGTGGCAAGACAGAGTAGTAACGGATGAAAAAAGGTGTGAAACAAGGCTTGAGAAAGCAGCTTGGGGCAAGGAGGCAAGGAGGCAAGGAGCAATAGAGTTGAGGATGATACTTGGGCTGATAAGGAATGTAATTTAGTAAGAGGGTATCCTTTTTTATACTTGCCCTGACGCCCCTGATGCATAGTCATTCTCTCTTAACAAAATGCTGTGTTTGTGATCTTAGCAGCGAGCTTTATAGTGGCTGGGCATCGTTAACTCGAGAGATAACATGATGGCTACCTCGAGACTGACTATCAGCACTATAAGTTGGTCAAATCTCTGTGTAAGCCTCTGTCTAAGCTTGGCTTGCTTAAGATAAGAAGACTTAATATTAGATACAGCCTGTGGCTGCAGCTGTAAAATAGTGTTTGCTAGTTAAATATTAAAAAGTTTTTTAAAAGTTAATTACATTTTATGTGGAGGTATGTTTCGTATTTAGCTAAGTGGATAATTCTTTGCCGGTGTAGTAAGACTTGGCACCCGAAGATAGCTAGAAAAGAAGCATAAAGTGCAAGTTGAGACAATGCTATCCTAGTCCCTTGTATCAGACGATTCAAAACAGGAACAGAACTGAGTTAAATGCCCTAAAGCTAAAATAATTATAAACGCTGAACTAGCCGCTGGTTTGTTCTGTTTTAGGTAAAAGCGGTGAATGCTATCATGACAGCGCTATATCAAAACGCAGGTTGAGACGGATTTGCCTAGGAACTGAAGGTATACGACCGGCCTCTTTCATCGTCCATCGTCGTCAAAGTCGAGCAATACACCTACTCGTCATCTCACACATTCAATTCTCCAGTCCTTTAATAGACCCCACGTCTCCCCTTCACAGACTTATTGCATCGCCCGTATCGGGCTTAATCAGAACATCACCACCATGAGGAACCCCGCCACTGCCCCCTGGAACGTCGGCATCTCTCGCAACGACGTCGAAAAGGTCCTCCGAGGCTTCAAGCCGACAGCAATGGAGGACCGCTGGATGTGCCGTGCGGATTCGCCAGACGCGCGCGGCGACTTCGTGGTGCATGTGCACAGAAGCTGGACTGGGGATGAACTGCTTCGCATGAACGTAGTCTTGGCGGTTCCAAACGGGGACAAGGCGTCGGCACATAGCAACGACCGTCACGCCACGATAACCAATATCATTTGGGACAGGGGAGAAGGCTCGTTCCTCGCTACCGAGGTAGAGGCCAAGGACCTAGCAATTGATGTGTGCCGGGGTGTGCTGGGGTGTGACTTGTGAGCTACGCAAGATGTTCCCAAGCCAGTGGACATGTACTTGTTTCCAAATATAGAACACACACGTATACGAGATATACCGAGAACGAGGTCGCATATTATTATACCAAAAAAGTGCCAAAGTGAGATGTATACATCTTCCAAGCCACTAGAGATGCTACCACTGTTATTATTGTGCATGTTAGTCTCTTCTGAAACGTTTTTGTTTTAAGGTTTTTTAAAGCTCTGCTAGACTCTGGTTCACGAGTCAGGTAGTGCGATGTGTTTATTCCGGTCTTTCCGACCAGCTCATTTACACAGCTGAGGAAATCTATGCTGAAAAAAAGGCTTCCTGTTCTCAGATATTAATATGCTGTCAGGTTCGCCCTTGGCTGACCTGACCTAACCAAAGCACTCATCCGCCGTCCACCAGCTTTCTCTCTTCGCCACCACATACACTGAAACCTCTTTACAATCATCCATTATTAAAATGCGTGCCGCCACCTTCATTGCCACATACTTCCTCACTGCGAGGTTTGTTTATATTTGACCAGGCTTTATCTGACTTTGACATGGCTAATCACAGATATTGCTTTACAGCGCTGCAGCCCAAACTATCTACTGCTGCACTTCCAACGAGATTGACCAAGTTGTGGTGGAGAAAGACGAGACAAAGGTCTGTTGCCAGAGTTCTGGAGGCAGGATCGAACAGGTAAGCTAGTGAAGAGTACACCCTCGACTTGAATTTTCGCCTTGAAATAAAAGCTTACTTAATGTAACTATCAGGACGAGTGCGTGCTAGACGTAGGACTCTTCGGGTTTAGCCAATGCTGCCGCCAGCAGACCACGTCCACCTGCGACTTCTGATCTACAATGATCACGGGGGTCGGTGGCGCAACGGTTATGGTGTTACTATCCACATGTGGATGATGGATGCGGGAGTATTTGTCCAAAATCGTTTTCGTTATTAAGAGCAAGTAAATTGTTTATCAGTTTATTAGTTTAAAACTAATTTTATTTCATTTTCGAGAGTTGAAACTTGTACTTTAACCCTGTTAATTGTACTTAGAGATAATCATTGTGCCGGAGTGGGTTAGAAAACCACACTCAAACTAGATTGCAAACAATCTCAAACAAAACTTGACTCTATACATTGCAAAGCAAAAGTCTTGTGTAACCCCTCGCTGCTTCTGCTAACGGAAAAGAGGCTGAAAAAGGCTTTTGCCATATCCGCGAATGGGGCATTGGACCGCTGTGTAATCTTGAAAACAATATGTTTTATCTTCTCAATCAAAGCGAGGCGCTTGTCGTCACAACTGATTCTATGTACCTAACATTGTTTCAAATGTAATCTAAGGGCCAACCCCATCTCTATAGGACGCACGGTGTCTACTTTTTGTGAAGTGCGGCGCGAGAAATCCGGTCGTGAAAGGCGTCTATCAGCTCTAAGTTTTCATTGGCTCGGGGTTGTAGTTGTAGGTCCAATGGAAGAGGCACCTTGAATGAGTACTGAGATTGACTTGAACATGGTGATGTTTTCAAAGCCTTTACTTGATTCTGTTTCGCGAGATACCGCTGAGGAACGGTTCGACGGGCGTTTCTGATGCCGACAGAAAGGGGGTGCTAGGTGGCATGTTGGCAAAGTGACAATGTTTTCAAAAGGGATCAGACTGTCATAGGACGTTCTCGTAAAATGCCAAGTTATACTGAGTCAGCATGCCCATGTATTTGAAACGAATATAGTACTCAAACAAATAAGCTAAACAACGTTTTGCGAAGTCCCTTTCAAGAAGGGATTGCCATAAGACTTCATTTAAAGTTTACGCCTTGTGAAGCTGCCGCCAACGTACCCAGAGCAGTTACTGACCAACATAGAGCTATTGGACGGCTGTTTTGGGCTGTGCTTGAGGAAGTGCCGAGGTCGTAGGGCGTTTTGCCTTGTCTGTTTCCCTGATTGGTGAGTCCGACGGGCCAGAGGCCGTTCCCTCTCTCCCCTTTCCACCAGTGCCTGCCCTTACACAAAGTCGGATGCCTGAGAAGTTCACGAAACAGGGGCAAATGGATTGATGTTTCCACTAATTCGGCGAAATGGCCTATGCTTTCTCAACTGCCTAAGCCGCGACAGCCGGACAAAACCGCTATGAAGTGCGCTGCCACAACCGAGTAGGAACGGACCGATGAATCAACCAGTCAGGGTCTTAAGGTGGCTCTCATGCTGGCTCCCTTCGTGTAAATTTAGAAAACAAAATCATCGGAGGTATATACATCGGGTTCGAAGGAGAACAGTCTTTTGAGGTAAATGTATATACTGTCACTGCTTCCCCAGTAGGTTGCCCGACAAGAGCAATAACAGCTTGGAGCTTATAACACATGCATCATCTTACGTCCCAGCTTGTTTCGGTTGCAACCGCGATCATCTTAGCCGGTCCAAACTCTCGGCCCGGGCACCGTATAGTTCTATTAAGGTAGTCAGAGGTTGAGCTTTATGTTCCAAGAGATATGAAGACTAACCATTGTAGTTGTGTCCCCATATACCTTGCCAGAGATTGCAATTCCAGGATCTGTCTTTAATCAGCTTCTGTTCAGTATATAGAAAGGAAAAGTAGACACTAACCGGTCACCGAATAACCCCCCGGGAATTTGACTAAGTACTCTGCAGAAGGCACGCCAACGCCTGAGCCTCTTACGTCCAATTGTGCACAGTCCGGATAGAACTGGACTGGGTCCAGCGCTAGGTTGATGATCTCGTGACGGATCATATACTTGCCGGGCTTCAGGTTCGCCGGCACCACAACGTCCCAAAGGTCGGTGATTTGGTTCTCCCACAAGTCATCCTGGAACCAACCAGTCTCGTCCCCGACAGCATGGCCTTCTCGTAGTCCCTCTTCGGCAATCTTGAACCATTCGAGACTGGCAATATCGGTTATAGCCGTACAATCATCACCGCATGAGGCCATGTAGGCCATGATAGGTCCGACAGTATGTGGCCAGCCGTACCCGTCCTCGGACCAAGTGACCGAGATGCTGTCTCCGGCCTGGACCGGCGCATGGTAGGCGCCCGGGACGGCCGCGCCCTTGAAATTGCATGTCATATTGCTAGACGCCGGGTCGGTGATCGGGTAGGCATGCCATGAGCGTTGGATCAAGTCTATCTGGCCTTCATACGGTTTGGACCATTGGTAACTGGAACAATTTGTATCAGCATTGCCAGATGTGGGATCCGAAAGACTATGACATTACCCTGGGTAGGTCAGGCTATCAATTGTGTAGTTTTGTACGCCACCATGAGCCAGTGCATGCCCAGTGAATACGATGAGGCTTGTAGCGAGTGGTACTCTCATCGTGTCAATTGCAAAATGATTGGCAAGTAAAGTGATGGTAAAAACGTGCAATACTCTGGTTTCTACCACGTAGATATATGTGTGTAGATAAACCAAGGGTCTCATGGATGACATCGTTCGACAGGCTCAAGATTAAATACGAAGCAATACAACCTCAATTGTGTTCCGGCCGATCAATACCAATTCGACTCCTTGATATCCTTTTCTAGGGCCTCTTATTCGCTGTAGGCTGCAGTTGCCAAGCAAGACTGGCTCGTATTGTTCGCAACTTCCTAATTAAGAAACGTTCTAACCGGGTGAATCTCAGAAGTCGGTGATGGGATAGTTCCCGGCTATATTCTCGGCCTCTGCCACCTGACTGGCTATAATAAGGGCAGTCAACAAGCATGCAGCCCAGATTTCCCCATGAAGTTCGAACAACTCCTTGAAAGACGTGGCGGCCGGTTTCACGATTGCTGGCTGTGAAGGCGTAGTTCACATGACCCTGCGAAGCATGAGCGAAAGATCCTGTTAATTCAAACACTTTTCCTTTCGTGGACTTTTCAAGATTCATTTGCGCACCAAGAATAGTCAATTGATTAATGGCCCTTGCTGTGGTAGGTAAGCTTGCGACGGTTGTAGATGCATGCGTGGGTCTTAGCGCCCCAGACCCCGGGGGTCTCGACGTCCATCATGTCATCACCGTTGTGGATGATTTTCTGGTCGCTGTCGGGGATAAATACTCAATCATACGCGGTAAGATTCCAGGGCGCCAGCGTCTCCCAGGTGCCCTTGTTGATTTCCCCGTCCCAAGTCACAGGCTCTATCTTCTCGACGACAATGGCGGGCATGCCAGCGGTCTCCGAAGCCTTCATGTATTCTATGTCTGCCTCAACACCGCGGGTTTCTTGAGAAAATAGCGGCTTTTGCTCATTCGCATGCTATGGTCAAGGACGAGCAGACCACTGAAGTAGCCACGTTCCGTTTCTTGGTGTCATAGGCTGGCCCGCGAAATTATGCGTGGGGATTAGCATGATGGAACGAGGGCGGAGTTCTGGCCTTTAGAAAAGAAAATTTTTAAATGCAAGCTCTATAAAGCGGATGTGATAGTTGACTGAGGCATCTCCCACATATGTATTTTGGCAGGAGAACACTGACGGCGGGGTATTTCAATGGAAGCACGCTGAACGGTTATAGTATCATGCCAGTACTTAACCAGAAAGCGAGCGGAAGCGGCTGTAGTGGCACAAGTGAGAAACGATGAACCGATGGCTACACCCGACTAGTAATTACTATATATAAACCGATGGGAGGAGGGCTGCAAGCTCGGGAAACTAGAATCATTTTCATGGTTGCGCTTTGGGGCGCCTTCAAATGACTTGACTTACATTTATTCAAGTACTATGAACGGAACCTAAGTCCAATCATCTCTTTTACTCCACGGGAATAGTATATAGGATTTCAAGGGAATAGGCCATGCCTAGCATGCTCGTCCCATCCTGTCTGTCATACCGGTATCGCCACCTTGACATCCATCTTACCCAGTGGCTATTTTAATGTCTCACAAGCTGTGTTTGCATTTGCTTCTTAAAAACGTGATTTGGAAGTTGAACATCACATGTAACGCGGGCTGTCAAGTGGTATATAAGTGTGGTTTGCGTGGCTTAGGATGGCTGGATCTCCCTGGTGGGGCAAGTTGTTGTTGTCACGAGTGGGGTATTAAAGAGGCGATGCGTTAAAATCTTCCTTGTTATTGTAGAATCTTTGTTGAGACCTTATCTTGCTAAGAAAAAGAGTAAAAAGGAAGGTTGCCTTCTATGGCGATCAGCTTTTAAGGGACAGAGGCCTAGGGGCTGCAGGTGGTCTGTACGCAGCCCTCCAGTCACACACTCGCGCTCGCCGCGCCGTCACAATTGTCGATGTTGTTGATGGGAGGGGCCTGAGGGCGGCATTTGTCACATGTGGACCTTTCATTTTCATATTTTCATCTCCACGGTTGAATTCCTTCTCTCCTTTCTTATCGAGCACTTGTGGCTCGTATATTTTGTCACGATTTGCGTGCTGCGTTCCGAGAAGCGCCTGATGAGTCAGTACCCACAAAACCCCCGTCCAGGACGCTTTTGGCCCGTAGTACCATCTTACCAGGCCCAGCGACCTGCAGTTTGGCTGCGCCCCACATGCGAGTGGATTTCCTACCCAAATATCAAACCAGGCTGTTTCTCTTTTCTCTTCTACGCGGGCCAACCTCCGAAAGACCTTCGACGTTTTCAACCAACACACTAAAGCCGAAGCTCGAAGCTGTGCCCTCACGATGTCAGACGCAAACGCAACCACGCCAAGGGTATTCATCGCCCGCCATGGTAAGACAAAGTCAAACTCGAGATCTCTTTCCAACAATAGCTCGCTGACCTGTTCCTTGATTGACAGGAGAAACGGAATGGACGATCTCCGGGCAATGCACTGGAAACGCGGATATCCCGTTGACTGAGAATGGCGAGAAGCAGAGCATGGGCACCGGCGAGAAGCTCGTTGGGCGGGGCAAGCTGATTGATCCTGCCAAACTTGCGCATGTCTTTTGCTCTCCGCGTCAACGAGCCATCAAGACGCTCGATCTCCTGCTAGGGGAGGACGCGAAAGGGACTCTGGAGTCCGAGAAAAAGCTCAGCATTACGGACGACATTACTGAGTGGGACTATGGCATCTACGGTCCGTGGTTTCCCTGTATCTCGTGGAATAGAGGGCGAGCTGACATGCGCTCCCAAAAGAGGGCATCACCCCAGCTCAAATCAAGGCTCAGCGAGCCGATAAGGATCTGCCTAAGTGGGACATTTGGACTATGGGATGTCCGGGAGGAGAGTGAGCACCCATTCGACCACTCGAGGTGCGCGCGCGGCACTCTGCTAATTCAACGTCTCAGATCCCCAATCCAAGTACAGGATAGGCTCGATCGGCTCATCGGCAATATCAAGAAGATTCAGGAGCCGTTCATGCACGGTGGCCCAGCCCCTGACGTTCTCATAGTTGCTCATGGTCACATTCTTCGTGCATTCACCAAAAGGTGGCTGGTAAGTGGTACTCAGCCCTAGCTGCTATAACCAGATGCGGCGCTGACCCCCTTTTTTAAAGGAGTGGGACATGGGATTTCCTTTCACTATGATGATGGAACCTGGTGCTATTGGTGTCCTTAGTTATGCGCACCACAACATCGCTGAACCTGCGGTGTTGGTTGGTATGGCCTTCCCAACCACGGACTAAATCGCCATTTGAGGTGCTTTTCATGGCTTGGAGCCATAGTTGCTCAAGAATTCATACAGGGTGGGCGAGTACACGCATTGAACAGGCTCTTATCAACCCTTGGCCAGCCCTCGTACCCATCCGGGTATTTGGCAAGCAGCGTCCGCATCGTCTCCTTGGCCCTTTCTACAGTCAGGTCAGCTCCACTTGGTATCTCTCCGCAGAAATAATCAAGAGACTAGCTTTTACACGTACATATCAAGGTACCACAAGTTGCCCGAGAAAAGCGCCGAGCTTTTTAGGTCTTATCGACTTGTTATTTGTTAGAACGTAAGCTTTAGCCAGGCTTGGAGATACTCACAGGTAGTACAGGAGATTGCGGTCATCATGGTCATCCTCTGCCGCGAATATGGGAAAGTAAGCGAAGTACGCCTTCGCATATTGCCTTCTGATCTTCTGGCGCATCGGACGCCAAGCAGCCATCTCCTTTACGTGATAGAGGCTTGGTTAGCTTCTCCACATTAGCAACCCGTGGATAAAGAATCCACTTTCGTTGTGCGCATAGAGACAGGCACCGTCGTACACGACCGGCGTGTTCGTGTCGATGTTGGCTGAGGTGTTCCCTGACCATAAATAGCCGTGAATCAGCCGAGGCTGTATCTGCCGGCCTCTAGTTTTCACATCAGCAATGACAGTACATACCGACAGCCAGTCTAGATTCTAGGCTAAGTCTAGTTTGGTACCTTTAAGAAGTACGACTTAGGAGATGCTTCCTCCATTCACGACGAGATCTCAGCCTTTCTGTTCCAGTAGCTTGTTCCATGTTGCACAATATCCTCCACTTCGTTGCCCGGTGGTACCGCTGCCGTGAGTCTTTAGCTTTGCAAACGCCTCAGCCCGGAGCAAACAGCGTCACAGAAAACGTACTGGCTTTCACATAATCATCTACAAAGCCAACCCATTTCTCATCGACATCAATTGGCTTGCCTATTCCGTCGGTGTCATCACATGGACCCGATCGACCAGTGTTATGTTAGCCTTTGGACCACTGAACATGCAATGGTGTTCAGATTCATAGGAAGAGGCAAGGGACTGGAAACTGTGCAGTACATCAGCTACTAACGCCCCAAAAAAAAAGGGTGTAACCACACCTTGAATTACGGAATCATGCGGTGAGCCAGAAGGCCGAATCGCCCGGGCCGAATCGCTGCCAGCGCCTGCTTTCACGCAACCAGGCTTTTGTGGCACGCGTTTTAGACTCCCACCCCGAGTTGTGGGTCTGTTAGACGCATGTTGGGTCAAATCCAAAATCATGAAGGATCTTGATGCTGTTTACTATGCGAAACCTGAAGATTGTCCTCTTCTTGATCTGTCGGACAAAGCGATTCCAGGGACATAGAACGAAATATATCAAAGGATACGATTTTGAGATGCTTTTTGCCTTTTAGATTTAACACATGTAACTAGCTGTAGTGGTCGTTTATATCAGCTGTTACAAGTGGACATTAAGACTTTAATTATTCATCTTATGAGCGCGTAAGGGAAGAACCAGCGGAGCTCCTGTACATAGACCGGAACCCACAGGGCCTTTATCGATAAGCTTATCTTATCAGCCCGCCCACACTGTAAATAGCTTCGAGAGCACGCAGGCAGCTGCGTTGCCGCTGCCTTTCTTTCTGATAGGCGAACCTCAACAGAAATCAACAAATTTCTTCAGCCAAATCGAGCCTTCGTGCCCTAACGACATAGGGATTGTCTCAATCATTATCATTATCACCACCACCACCACCGCCACATAGCCATGGCGCAATTGACCGTGACAGATTTAAAGGAATTACCAAGCTTATACAACTCGCCTAGAGATGTAGGTGACGTGCTCATAGGCGAGGATGCCGCGCGCCTTCTGATTGAATCAAGCTCATCTGGCAACGGCACGGCCCTAAAGAGCTTGCTATCGCAACCACATTGGATCAAGATAATGCTCGAAAAACCTCACACTATCTATTATGTGGCTCGTCCAAGTCAAGGTCCGAACGATTCGCGAGAGGTCTCGGCAATGCGAATGTCAAACCTTGCACGGGCTCTGACAGCAGCGGCCGGGAATGGCCAAGCTGATGTTGTGTCCACATTACTCACCTTTGCGACACAGCAAGGCCTGAACGCTTCTGATCTCATAACGAGATGGACAATCAACAAGACCATCAACGGTGGGCACGCTGCTGTGTTCAAGGCACTAGCATCTGCAGATCCGAACGTCATCAACTTCCCGCATCTCGGCGACGGTAGGCGGCCACTTTACGAGGCCGTGAAACGAAGGCAACCCGATGTGGTCGCTGTGCTGCTCGAGCTTGGGGCGGATCCATTCCATCCTCTTGGGCCATCCAGGACACTTGCGAGCTACAACTCGTCTCTGTTGTCTCTCGCCGCGATGGCTAGAGGTCCGCGCATGACTAAGATGTTGTTGGAACACGGTCTCCCCATCGCTCATACTGGTGCGATACATACCGCTGCGCGTCACGGTCATCTCGATACTATGCGCCTCCTAATAGAGCATGGCGCGGACCTGAATGAGACCCTTTCAAATTGGAAGAATTGGACGCCGATGCATTTCGCCGCCACCAAGGGCAGAGTTGATGTCATGGAGTTGCTCGAGCACAGTGGGGCACGCTGTGATTTGAAGGATGTGAATGGGAAGACACCTGCGCAAGTACTGGAGGAGCGCGACACCACCATTTTGTTCTATTCGTAACATTGTGGAAATCACTGGAGATGGGTGGATGGGGCTACGAGTGGTCACTAGCCTCTTCACAAATTGCTCTCTGGGGCATCATGTTTCTAGGACAGCCCTCTCGGTGCAACGTTCTTTGCTGGTACTGCATGTTAGCAAGACAATAGACCAACGTGCATGGTGATGAACTTGAATGAATATAAAAATGTTCAGGCTTTACATATTCCAGGTTTACGTTGCCCACGGGAATTAGCGGCTAGCCGATATACGTGCAAAACTTCACAACGTTTTACACACACCGCCAACTACAAAGCTGCTAGGACAGGAGTACCACCCGTCTGTTGACCTGCCTTATTTTCATCACCACAAAATCTGGTTTCCAAACAATGCCTATTAAGAAAAATCATAAGCCGTATACCACGCAATTTTACATGCTGAACTGTTCAACCAACGAGGGGGGGAACTATCAATCGACTTTTACACCAACGGCGTCACGGGAGCGCTCTTTTTGGTCGACTCATCGACTGCTAATGCAACGATGTATTGAGTCCAGTAGGATAAGCTGGCTAATTATATACACACAGCCCTCTCTTAACACCAAGGGTCTTGCGTTTTCCGTTTATAAGCAGAAGAACACTAGAACGGACTGAAATCTAATCCGTCGCAGGGTATGGTCAAGGATCCATGTCTACTCAAGTTTTCATTCAATATAAGCAGCAATGATGGTTTCAATAGGGCTTCTTTTTGCTAAGATAAAACAATAGAAAAATCATTGATTGTAGTTGTTACCAAACTTTAACAATAAAAGGCTTTAACACTGCAGGTAGTCCATGTATAGCTGTCTCTAATTTTACACTTGCCCCTTTTGCGCTATTATAAGAAAAAGAAAAGCAGTCTCTATATAATTTGATTCTTCAATGCTTGATAAGCCTTTCATTTATATTTTAAAGAACTGATTAACAAGAAGTATTTATACAACTTTAGTATCCAATAGCTATAAGCTTTAAAATTAATATTATCTTCCTACTGGCAGCCAGTGCGCCGACAAACAGCAGTCCTATCCTCGGAGATAGACGTTTGCTGTATGTCAGCATCACCTCTTAATCTCCATGGCGTACACTCAATATGATGGAATCTAGTAGTGCTGTGGAACAAGGAGGAGGCGAACGATTAGGCCCCTGATAATTCCCTCATTAGTACACGTACTCGGCACAAACGACATCTCCCCTCACGTCCATGACCTCTGCAACAGTAACATTTTTCGCAACATCCACCATCCATAGCACGTGATTCAGAGTGGTGACATTTCCATCATCGCCATCATAATCCAGATACTCTGCGCCCGGGGTGGGCATCGCTGCATTCCTCGAGAGAAATGAGGCCGATGGCATCACTGGCCCACCCATATCTGTCAATCGTGAAGTCAGATTAAGCGACTGCCACTTCCACCACATGGCATCTAGCCAAGTGTGATGCAGGAAGAACATTGGGTCGCCGGGAGCATTAGCAACGTGACCCATAACTCCTCGAACGGCACTATGTCCCTGTCCGTGTATTGTGCCAGCGAAACATCGCCAGGCTGCGGTGTAGTTCTCGTAGGTCATGCACGTGTCCACATCAGCCTGAGTTGCGCCGCTAGCCAGTGCTGTATCTGAAAGGTTGCGGTAGATGCAGTATTCGGTTGTTTCGGAGGTGTTGTACCACAAGCGTAGGGTCTGGTTGACAAAGGGCCCATCGCGGATGCACTTATCGATGATATCTGTGTCCCCGTCCAAGAGCTCACCGTCGCCGCCAAAAGCATCAGACTGAAACATGACGCTCTCATTGAGGTGTGTAAGGGTTGCGTCTGTAGGCTCATCCCAGTAGGGTATTGATCCGGTATATCCACACTCATCGCGCAGCATGTGGGCGTGGACAGTTACATAGTAGCGGTGCCAGGGGAGAAAATGCCCATCGCTGTGCATCCAGTTGGTTTGCAGGATGTGAGCCCACTGGAGCTCGTCCCATCGGCTTTCCGCCCTGGCGTCGATGCCAAGCGTGGCAGGAAGGCTCATGAGACACAAAGTGGCATTCAAGTAGCCTGACTGCTCTTCTGAGGTGAGCTGTGACCATGGTTTGCGTTGAATTGGGTCAGTGCAAGAGGTGGTGTCGCGCTTCGGGAGTGAAAACGTGTTGGACTGCGGCAGAGCTGAAGTTACTCCGAAGAGCCCGAGAATAGCTGCTACTAAAAACTGGTTGAACTTGGACATGGCTGTTTATTTTCCCACAGCGATTTCGCATAGATGACCAGATAAACAAGGAGCAAATAAATGAATGGATGCAGATGACCTTCAAACGAGTGACAGGTCTCGCAGAGAAATTGAAAATAGCAAAAATGAGCGTATCCAGAAACCGTTGTAGTAACGCAAGTAGTTAACAATTGATGTCCTTTCAGTGTGCGATACTAGAAGTTATATGAATCCTTCTCAAATGATGACTGTTCCCGACCTCCTTTACGGTTTTCTGCGTAAATTCTTGCTCAATACTGCTATCCTTGTATTATACTATGAAAGCATTGTATAGAGCAATGCTGTGAAATGATTCAGTAGTTAAAATTGTGGGGACCTGGGTGGGGGGAACGTCGGACTTAGCTACAGCTCTGTCTCCACGATCGGAGATGGGAAGTTCTCGATGATATTGCGGCGACCTCGAATGGCTTAAGACAGACCCTTTGTTCCAGCGGGAGAAAATTGCTTACAAGGGTTCAAAGCGCACATAAGCTCTCCATTCGTCACTGTTGACGTGGCCTGTGAACCAGTGAATAGAGTTCGGCCTATTGCAGCTTAAAAATATCAGTAAAAAGGGGGGCCGGCCCGTGGTCTACATCGAGCGTTTCCTGACTCGGCTTTGTAGAGACAAAGGGTTGGTTGTCCGACAGTCCAGTCGCGTAAAAATGATATCTACGGTTGTCAAAAAGCGTTGCGAATTAGGCGACATCCAAACACCTCTGTAAATTAGGCCGGACCGCTGAAATGTTAACGACGTAATTGCGCCAAAGCGGCTGAACCCGAAGGGCACACACACGTGCGGTCTTGGAGAAGTCGATGAATACTCAGCAGCGCCCTCGCGTCTAACTGAGTTGGAAAACAAATGTACATTTCTAAAACGTCGAATGATGAGTAATGGACCGAAGTATTATGAACCACCGGAACGACGGCACCAGAGTGCCCTGTTTTGGGGGTTCAGAAGAGCACCAGAGGGCGAACTATGCTGCTTACGTACAGTACCAGCGGCTTAGGACCGTGCGGAAACCGACGGCCAGCAAGCTCTGACAGGATCAAGGAACCATTGCATGAGACTAGCCTGTGATATATAGAACAGTATCACGTAGCTCTCTTGTAGACTGCGAAATGGCTTTTGCTCAAGAGCCCTTCCATAAGACATTATCATATTACTTGATATGCCCATACGGCTTGTCGCCCTTGCCTACTACCCACATTCTAGTGACGGCGTTATCAAACACTATCAATTTCCCGCAACTCTGTACTCGGTAACTCGCTAATGTAATCAATATGTTTTCCTGCAGGAATACGATTTCAAAACCCTATCACTACTAGGAACCATGCTTCTCCAGCCACTCCAACAGGCCTGGTTCCGCCTTCGCCCGCAGCCCGGCCTTCTTCTCATTCTCGAGTTGCTCGAGCGCAGATACGCTACTTAGTTGGTACGGGCACAGGAGCCTCTGCAACCGCATAAGGTCGCGGACCTTGTCCATGCCCTCGATCTGGCTCGGAGTAAGTACAGCACTGTCCTGAAACACGGTATTCCACGTCTTGGCAAGCTTCCACTCGTTGGCAGATTCCTCGTCTAGTTCTTCTCGTGGCGTAGTGAAGTCTCCTGAGAGAATCGCCCGAGTGATATCAGTGTCCTCGTCGCCAACGTTGCCGCCGATGTCGCTGAAAATCATGGACATGAATCCTTCAAAGGGATGAGAGACGGAGGCGAAGTCAAAGTCGAGAACCGCGGTGATTTTCTTGGTCTTCTTGTCAAACAGCATGTTGTTCGTCGCTGCGAGAAATTAGTTCACTGCTAGCCAGATACAAGAGGCGCACACGCACTGGGGTCTCCGTGTATCAGGTTCCTTCGGTGTACGTCAACTTGAGTGAGGACTGTTTCGGGGCCGCAGCTAGCCAGAAATGTCCCGATCCTAGTGGCAACACTGTTGCTCTTCCAACCCCGAATGATGGGGCTTTCGCCGGCTTGTTCCAGTTGGGAACGCAGCTTGCCAGCTCTCCATATTGCGTATGAGCCAGCGGGACTCACATCCTGCATAAACGGCGACCGTCCGCTCACAATGTGCCCGTTCGAGTCGAACTTTGAGTCCGCCGCCAAACTTGGTGACGCCTTCCGGCAAGCTCGCTACTTGGATTGCCCCAAGAACGGCGGCCATCTGCTCCATGACATCCTTCTTATTCTCCAGTGCAAGAGAGGAGAATTCCGAGTCCAAGTCCACGCCAATCCGAAACTCAGGTATGATCCATCCAAACCCCTTCTCGTCGACCACGTCAGTAATCGCGGCCGGCGCCCAAGAATGGACATCCGGGACCAGTGGAGCCAGCCCGGCATTCACCATGAACTGGCGCACGAGGTGCTGCGCCGCCATGTCATTCGCTACGCGGTTGGTATTGTTCACGTCGTGCCGCCGGGTTGCTAAGCTTGATAACCAGCACAGATACGCCGTCAGGCGGAGCCTTACAAGTGCCAGGCTGCGTTCCCGGGAACGTGGAGGTGAGGGCCGGTATTTCCAGCTCTACTATTAACAGGTAGTTGTTGAAGGACTACTGGTACTGTTCGTCGTACGCCAGATTTGAGATGTTAGAGGCCTGTGGGGGGGGGGGGACGGCGGCGGCGGGGGGGAGAGAGCCTAATTAGTAAGAGGGCAGTGGCCGCACGGCAAAATTGATCACCAACCTGAAGCCCGTGGCCATGGAGGAGTTGCTGGACCACAGTGAGACGGCGTTCAAAGCCCATTTGGTTCACGTTCACAGTTATCCTCCGGTGAAGCTCTTGGTAGCACCATTGGAGCGACAGGATGAACGAACGGGTGAACTTGGAAGGCAGCAAGATGGTTCAAGAGGGGTTGACTGACACCCGCACAGAGCGATATGTTTTAAAATCTCCTAAATTAGACACTAATCCAAGATACACCCAAACAAGACTAGGTTCTGGCAAATGGACCCTGCCATGTCGTCTGATAGGAGTACGCAGAACCAACCGCATGTAAAAAGAGCACAAGAAGAAATGGTTGGGCCTAAATGAATGAATACAGACTCTCAATTAGGAAGGAGACTGTGGGAAAAGGCAGATAATAAAACCTGTACCTGTCGATTGTAGCAGTTGAAGTATTCCCGCATATTTGACCTGTGTGGATAGATGGAGATGCCTGAAGCCGCACAGCTGGGGGCGGGTGATTTGTGCTGTTAGGTTTCGATCTCGGAAATAAAGTTTGAGCCCGGAATTGCAGCAGGCATTTCCGGTTCGGAATTCTTCGTGCGTTGAACATAGGGTTTCGGAAAGGATGCAGGTTTTAATGACTCAAGAGACTCGTAGAGATGTTCCGAGGTTTGTAGATATAAGTCGAAAGCCAAGAGTTTTCTGCCTATGTCATCCAAGTCCCGAGACAAGCTATCTTGTAATAAAGTCTCTGGCGAAGCTGGGGATCGCCTTTCTGGAGGTATTCACACAAAAGTCTCAACTTTGCACACATGCTGACCTTGCTGCCAAAGCTGGTTGTCCAGCCTCAGCTCAATTGTTCTAAACGCTTCGATCGAGTAAAAAGTTGAAGTCCCTCAAGATGCCGGGCCTCGCCTTAAGAGATGCCTCCAGTGATAGTCTATTACCAGGGGCTAGAACTGACAAGAGGTTTGTTCAAATCACATTCTCGGGCATGAAATGTGGTTGGGTAAACTAGCTAAAGACGGGTACTTGACCAGGCACTCGATTGACGACGAGGAGTCGCACTTCTGTACTCCCCTAGGGCGCGCATCGTCATGCTTGCAAAGAAGACTACCCCTGGTGAAGGACATCTTGCTTGCAGCACTCGGATTTCTGGGCCTGTCCGCTTTGTTGCTTACTCTCTATCTTTCCAGCCAGGCCAAGACCGACAACAAGGACACAAGCGGCCTCTGGAGGCAATCCTGCTACTGCGGTAAATCCATCGCGGAAGCCAAGACAATGGGATGCAAGTATGACGCCCTGAGCTCAGCGTGGCTCCCGCCGCACTGCCGCGACGACGACCTGACGGCCGAGTTCCTGGCACACGAGGACGGGCCGTGGGAGTATTGGGCGGATCAGGCGCATACCAAGTTGCTCACCTTGGAGGAGGTTTCGTCATTAGGTACGTACTTCTTCTTGGCGGGAAATTGAAAACCTAGTGTTGACTTCTCTCATGCTTCAAGCCGACGAGCCTGGTGCTCTTTTCCACTCGACAGGATGGGAGCACCGCACTCATTGTTTGTTCTACTGGCGTAAGGAGCATGATTGCACATCAAGGGGCGGCAAGTGGATTGGAGATCATGTACAGCATTGTATCAAAATTATTGACCAGCAGGGCGGCTATGGGAGCGTCTCGGATGTCGTTCTAGACGCTTATGTAGCTGACGGGAAGCGGCACCGTAGTGTTTGTATAGATGCATAGGTTATGTTATAGATTATTTTACAGGGAACTGCACCCATGAAGTCGAGAATGAGGATGTTTAGAGACATTTCAAACTTCTTGGACAAAGTGTTCCAGCCTAAATTCTGGTATAGACTGGAGAGCGTCATTTGCGAATGTTTGTTCACACGATAAAATCGCCTTGCCACTTCGGATGCACTGTAGTGCTTTTAGTCTCACGAAGAAGCGCAGAAACCGAGAAAGTTACGAAGAACAAATACGATCACCTTCATGCTCTTCTCATCCGCCTTGTCTAATACTTGATGTTCCGGAAGGCAACAACATCCCTTGAACGCAGCCCTTCTTGGCCCACCAGTTTCTTTCATCTAACATCTCCGACCTGTCTCATCCATAGATCGTTGTATCTTCCTCCCTGCGCAAGTAGTTCTTGATGCGTCCCGCCTTCCGCGACTTCGCCATCATGAAGGACAATGATCTTATCTGCGTGCACGACTGTAGAAAGCCTATGCGCAATGATCAAAGCTGTCCTCCCATTTCTCAACTTATTCAAAGCCTCCTGAATGCTGGCCTCTGTCACTGTATCAACTGCGCTCGTCGCCTCGTCCAAGATGAGAATCGGTGGGTCTTTCAGGAACACCCTCGCAATCGCCAGACGCTGAATCTCACCGCCTGACAATTTGACGCCTTGCTCGCCGACGCGGCTCTCGTAGCCCTCCGCAAACGTGAGAATCCTGTCATGGATGGAAGCAGCGCGACAGGCCTCGAAGATCTCTTCGTTGGTTGCGGTAGGCCGCGCGTACAGTAAGTTTTCCTTGATGGTTGCGTTGAAGAGCAGGGGGTCCTGTGGAACGACTCCGAGTGCTTCTCGAAGGGAGCCGATTGTGACGTCTCGGATGTCGTGGCCATCAATGGTGATACGGCCCGATGTGACGTCGAAGAAGCGTAGGAGAAGCTTCATGGTTGAAGACTTGCCCGCTCCTGTCTCGCCGACTAGGGCGATGGTCTGCCCTGGGGCGACCGAGATGCTCAAGTCCCGGATCGTCGGCTTTCTGGGGTCATAAGAGAACCCAACATTCTCAAACGCGACGTGACCCTTAACACTGCACAGCTCAACGGCGTCGTCCTTGTCGAGGATGGTCGACTTGGTCTGCAGCAGTTTGAGCAGTCTCTCTGCATCGACCAGATCCGTCATCAGGTATCGGTAATTGTGAGAGAGGAACTTCATGGGCCAAATAAGACTCTCCCAGTATTGAATGAAAAACACAAAATCGCCAGGGGTAGCGCACCCGTTGTATATGTCATACAGAATCAAACTGGAAAGGGTGAAGAACGTGATGGGTGCCAGGAGCTCAAGCATCGCTTGGACAAGGGCGTCACGGACAGCATATCTGCGACTGGCTTCAAGTTGTAGGTCTACGGCCCGCCCAAAGCGTCGTTTCTCGAAGCTGAACATGTTGAAATAGCTGACGGTCTGCCAGCCCTGGATGGCCTGGTGCAGGACCCGCGCCTCTTCTCTTTCGGCTTTGCTCGATACACGGCGGTTTTCAATGTTCGTGCTCGAGGTGTAGATTTCCATCGACATGAAAGCTCCTGCAGCTATGAGCATCGTGAGACCAACATAGATATTGAACTTGATGTAAAGCATCCAGAAGGCGACAAAGAGGTCCAAGATTGTGGGCAGTATGTCGATGATTGCGGTTTCAAGGAGGTTAGCTAATGACTCCCCCTGCTCGATGGCCTTCATGATCTCCGCGGAGTCTCTCTCGGAATGGAACTCCATCGAGAGACTCATGACGTGGTTGAAAGCGACGTTAGTGATCTGTCGATACGAGAACTGCTTGACGGGGATCTTGGCGATATCTTCGACCAGACCCAAGCCGGCGTCGTCGTTGATGAGTACGAGAAGTAGCCACACGAACAGAGCACCGTAAGGAGCCTGCTTGTCGATTACCAGATTCGTGACGATACCGAGTTGAGCCGGGATCAAGACGTTGAGCGCTCTCCTTCCAGCGAGACAGATGATGCACAGGAGAATGGAAAATTGAACCTTGCGATCCTTTTTCGGGATTATATACGGAAGGAAAAGGGAGAAGTCTTTGAGATATCCTAGCCATCCACCAGTCTCCTGGAGGCGTTTCGCCCGTCGTCGCTTGATGCTAGCTGCATCGTCATCGTCATCGTCGTTGTCGTCGTCACTGCCGCTATCGTAACCACAGTTACCCGTGGTATCCTGACTGGAAAATTCCGAGTCGGTGTCGCCATGGAATGGCACACTGCCATATCCGGTCTGACCAGTCCCTGACTGAGCTTGGACAAAGGGCTCGCTTTCCTCCACATCAAGCTGCTGTCGTGTCGCAAGCTTTTGGGTGACGCCCGTCAAAATCAGAAGTATTATCGCTAAATGCCTGGCCGCTTGGCAGCAGACGCTTGCGATCTTCCAAGACGTTCTGAGCCCATTTGAAGCGGCTAGAACAAACAATGGAATCTCGAACAGAAATGTGATGGCGGATGCTCCCCGGAGGATCTGTCGAGAGTGATTTGACGCAAGCCAAGCGCTAGACCAAGCAGTGCAAGATAGAATGAGATGCACGGCGTGCGGTGTTCCATTGCCGAGAGTATGACCTTCAAATCCAGCGATAATAACTTCTCCCAGGTACGTAGTTATAATAGTAAGAAGTAAAAGTCTTAATGATGTTGAGTAACGTATGGGCGCTAACATACGTGTCTCCTCCTGAACTTTGCTGCTATGTCGAATCCACGTCGATATAAATAACAGAGAGAAAATACTTAAGGCGCAGCCGTACTGAAGGGCTTGGCAGACCTGGAGGTGGGTGAGCATGTTGCTGGGTGTTTGAGGGTCCAAGATGAAGGTCAATTTGACATCAGGATGACAGGACCGCTGCCAGTGTCGATTGTGAGAAAACCCCTCACTGGCAGCGGACACTCCCGTCAGTTTGCCCAACTATTTAAAGCAGTCTTTGACCGAGTGCGTAGGAACCTTTTTGGAGTGCAAGAATCAGTTGGGCTCATGTCATCTCAATTCTTGAACAGCTGAAAGTGACTCACGCCTAGTCTAGTCATAGAACAGTGCGGCAGTGCATAAGCGTCACCGAGGGGGTAAGTCGGAATAAGCGACGTTCAGGATAGAAGTTGATAGACGAATGTTCCTCAAACTTGACCTGCAACGAAGAGAACATTCGTCAATTGGAAAAAGGAACTGTTTGACGTATCGGTTATCAGACGCGTGTAGGAACGCATGACTTAAAAAAAATGTCGATTTCTATTTTAGATCGTTGAAATTATGCTCGCCCTACCGAGGCTAATACTAATGCGGGCTGCGGCAGATCCTGTCCTCTAAAACAATAACGACCTCTGATAATACGTGAGGCGCACTGCGCCCAGAGATGGCCCAAGACGTGGGTAAAGACACATCCAAAAAGCCTAGTGAATCATTGAAAATGTCCCAGTCTTTACGTTGCAGTCACCATGACTCACTCTGGAGTCCTCACTTCATCCAGTAGAAAAGCTCTTCAGGAGGCAACGAATGAGCAGAATTGAAAACTCTGAAATAGTCCGAGACTGCTCGTCTAAGGTAGGTATGGCCAATTTCCGCCACAGTTAGGTTGATGAGTCACTGGGCGGTGCAGAAACTCATATTTAGAATACGTTAATAAAAGAAATCGTTATTTACATTATAGATGCGGATGTATTGAAAGACTAGCCAGACTCATAAAGAGCAAGTCGGAGGGCTCCAGAGCTCAGAAAAGCTTGAAGCCTTATGCTAGCCGAGATCTCAGGGCGCTGTCACCCAGACGGTGTCCGTCTAGTTGTGTCGCTGAACCAGGACTATGACATCCGCCAGTCTTACCTGATAGTGATTGAATTGTAAGGTAGCCGGCAGGGAATTGCTTACATAAACGCCCACAAACTCTCTAGGCTTTAATTTACTTCGGACCTCCGCGGCCCTGGGAATGGCTCCCCTCTCAATAGACAGCAGTGCCAATTTAAACTTCAACTGATCTACTCTGATCCCCTCTCGCAACACGTGATTGCACAGCACCGAGCAATTGCCTGCAATCACCTTACAGCTTTTCGCTCTATGACACAACTCAGACGAGTGGGGAAGTTACCATGCTTCACGAGTGAAGCGCCTCAGGGCTGCAAGTAATTCTGCGAAGCCGCCTCCAATTTTATGAACCCGCATGGTGCATGATCATACCTCGCATCTTCATTCAGACAATATTTTAGAAGAAGGTACCACGTCATGATCGCAGCCACGGCAGGATATCATGAAATCGTACATTACTCCTTTGAGGGCAAGTTCGCCGACCAGGATCCATCACCATTATCTCTAAGCTGCATTTAGCCATCGATCTCATCTCTCGCCTTTACACTTACACCTGAAGTATAGCGATCGACAAGGTGAACAAAAGTAGCACTAATGACCGAGATTTATCTACATATCGTAAGAGTGACGAGCGGGATCCCAGCACCGCTTACCGGTGCTGTAAACGAGCGGATGCGTCCCCCCACTAATCCGTTAGACAGGTATTCAGATTGGTTTGGAATATCGTTTCCGGGTTGCGCCCTGCCAACCTAGAAGCGAGGCATACCCAAAGCCTCTCGTCGCCCTGTACTCGCAGCATCGAGATACGGTACTTCTCCAATCCCCGACGCTCGAACACCCAATCTAATTCCCTCACCGAGATGCGTGTCGGGCTGACATTTGTTTAGCATTCCAGGGCTCTCCAACTTTGAACAGTGTTGTACTAATGAAGATGGAATCGAAGACTTACCGTGGCCGCATGTAATGTGCAGACATTGCTCCATATCGCACAGGCGCCTTTGGTCCAGTGCATTCTGGCGACGCAGTCGTGGTTACGCGTAATGAGCCGCATCAGATACTCCCTAATCATCTGGTCCTCGTATGCCCACACCCCATCGATCCTCGACACATGCAACCCCACGCCCGCAAACACACTCTTCCACCCCGTTACTGGATGGGTGCGGACCACCGGGTGATGGGGCGCGAATTCAAAGCCCACGTTGAGGGGTGAGCCACGTGGTGACATGACTTGGTACCCGCCGGCCTCGCACGCCGATTTGAAAACGGGTTGCGCACACTCCGCAGTCAGAGTCTCGAGGAATCGTTGAAAGGGCGGCGAGAGACGGTCATATAACTCGTAGCCGGACACCCAGAGGGTGTCACCTCCGGCGGGCGGCGTGACCTGCATCCGCAGAAATGAAAAGTCGGAGGGGCACGTCTCGAAGAGACTGTCGCTGTGCCACTCACGTCCGAGTTCTCGCGGCTCGTCAGGAGAGTTTCCAGGACGCTTCTTCATAGTTGCGTACAGTTTCTTTTGTGCTTCTGAGTTGATCACATAGCTTTTAACAGTTATTAGCAACTGCTCATATGGCCCCCTCCTTTGGTCTGCGTAGAAGACTTGCATATTCTTGTCCGTGGTGCCATCAGCCATGGGCACATTATTTGGGTCGTTGTAAAGGGGATGAACATGGAGGCCGTTTTCGTCTGGTCTCCCTGTCAATTGGCCGAGCAGGTTGGTCACATATTTCTGCTCGTCAATGGATAGATCATCTTGGGGGGCTCGGAAAAAGACCACGCCGCGCTCGCAAATAGTTATTGCAAGGTCGCGAAGTTGCTCTTGAGCATTGGCTGCCGTCAGAATGTCTTTGATGCTGGCGGTGGGATACTCGCGGCCGATGATTGGAGTCACATCGACATATTCCAGATGATCGATCGATGACCCTTTAGTCATTGGCGCACGCCTCAAATTCTCGGGTCTCACAGAGCCCATCGCGTTTTGCGTTCAGAGATGTCTCAGAGGGTGATCCTAGGAAATCTTGTTCGATGACTCGAAGATAGTGAAACCACTGCACGCCTCTTGATACCTCGATGTCGTCGAATTCGGGAACGCATCCCTCGCGTTAAGCTGCCAGAGGAAGATACGCTTAGGGCCAAGACGGACCTGTTAATATACTAGACAAACACTGCATTACTTGATGGGTGATCTGCAGCGAATATAGGGCGGGGAAGAGGGGCAGTATTGAACTAGTCGCCCATCAATTGATCACCTGGCTCGCTGCAAGTCGGGTCATATTAGGCCCTCATGTAGAGGGGCCAAGACCCTCACGCAGTCAGCAACGCCTTCAGCCTATTGCGTGCGGGGAATCTCAGTAAACCTGGAAACGCGGTCGATCAATGTAACCCATCTATAGTTGCTGTCAGCAACTGAAGCTCGCTGGAAGGGGACAATATGGAGAAACCACGGACCCCTGTGCAGGTTCACCCTGTCTTTTCTGGCGGCAGTCAGCCCAGGTCTTCCGCTATTCCTAAGACACAGACTCCGGTGACCGTGGCCTTCTGAGTTCAACATTGAACAATCGTCTGTTCTGGGTTCGAATCTCACATCTGCAATCACTTAGCAAATCATCTGGGCTTAGCAACCAAAAGTTCGCGATGGTTGCAGGCGCCGTCATCTCAAGCAACCCGCTTAAGCTCGACTACCGAAGCCACAGCAAGTGCCTCGCGATTTGCGCAGTCATTACCGTCTCAAGTTTCCAATATGGGCTTGACTATGCACTTATCGGCGGCTTCATGGCAATGCCGGGTTTCCTTCAGGTCTTCGGATATTTCGACGAGACGACCCGGACGTGGGCGATCGACACTACAGTCCAGCAGCTTATATCGTCGCTCATGACTGTTGGCACCTTTGTAGGTTCACTCTTGATAGGCCCATTCAGCAACCGTTTTGGGCGAAAGAATGGTCTCTGGACCGCCTCGGCTTTGAACGCAATTTCGACCGCAATCATGATGGGGACTACGACGGTGGGGCCGCTTTACTTTGCGCGTTTCTTACTTGGTACGATCCTATATCCATTACCTACTCAAACCTAATGTGCTTCTTCTGACGACTGCAAAACAAAAAGGCATATCCGTGGGCTGGTTTCTCACTTTTGGCCAAGTTTATATCAACGAAGCAGCACCAGCACATCTGCGTGGTATCGTGTTCGCGGTGTACCAAACACAACTCAGTATCGGATCCGTTGTAGGCGCGGCTGTGGACTATGGGACACATAAAATGGCGGACAAGAATGCCTACCGAATTCCCCTAGCACTCTTCTTCATTGCACCAACGATCCAATCGATCTCGCTCATTTTCTTCCCCGAAAGCCCCCGGTGGCTGATGGCACATGGCAAGGAAGAGAGGTCCGAGTCAGCCTTGAGAAGATTACGAAGCAGTACCATCGAGGAAGCAGCTTTTCAAGCAGAGTTGAATGAGATACGAATCTCCACGAGGCAGCAAGTGAATCAAAGCAAACGGAATAAGAAGCAGCTATGGCTCGAGATTTGGAACAAGAGCAACCGTAGAAGAACGCTACTTTGTATTGCTGTGGTGTGCTTCCATTGTGCTGCAGGTGGGCATCTACATAATTTTTGTTTTCCCTGCTCACCCCACTGCCTCATACCTACTGAAATTCTGACTTATCTTTGAACAGGATCCTCTTACTTGACGATATACACGACTTATTTCCTTACAACAGCTGGAATTCCGGCAGACCGCTCCTTTGAGTTTTCTACAATGATAACGTGCATGGGCTTGCTTGGGATTCTGTCAAGCTTTTTTTGGGCTGAAAAGGTCGATCGTCGAGCCATCTTTATGATTGGGGTTGCTTTTTGCGGACTCACGCAATTGAGTTTTGCCATAACCTGGACTGTAACTCCTGGCACCGAGACAGCTGGCAAAGCTGTAGTCGGTCTTATTGCAATCTTCACTTTCTTTTACACTGCCTTCGGTAGGTTCGATTGTGAATAGTCATGCCTCGGATGAGAAATCTCTAACATTTGTTCTAACATCTGTTTTACTATTGCTAGGGCCGTACGCATGGATGGTAGGCGCAGAATATCCCAACAACCACCTTCGTGCTCATACCTTTGGGCTCGCCACAGCTCTGAACTTCCTGGGCAACTGGATTGGAATTTTTACTGCTCCTTATTTTATTAACCCTGCCAGCTTGGGATGGAGTGCAAAATATGGGTGCGCATCCTTCCCCAAACCCTTCCACAATCTTTTATTTAATTTCATTCAAATCTCCACATCAATTGACATGTTAAATACAGATATATATGGTTCGCATCAAATGCGATTGTATTTCTATTCATATACTTCTTCCTACCAGAGACGCGGGGTCGTACTCTGGAAGAGATTCATGAAATGTTCGAGGAGCGTGTTCCGTCTAGGAAATTCAAAGGCTTCTTGTGTGCAGCAACGCAGGCGATGGCGATTGAGGCAATTGAAAAAGAGCGAAACGCGCACGTTGAAGAGGCTGATACGCCATAAATCTATATACGAAGTTGGATCTTGCCGTTCAAAACATATTTTGTGTGGTATCTCTTGCGAAGAAATCGGAAGCCGGATGTCAGGACATGTTGGGAAGCTGGGAGCGATGAATCGATGATGGTGTAGACACGCAGATGGGGCAAGTCGCAAATAGCTGCGTTTACTTTCCCATCTATTTAAGAACTAAAATAGGAACTGAGAAGTAAATCTAAAATTCACTAAACAGTTCTCTATGGCAGCTGAACTGATTCGTGTTCCACCGTCTTATTGCGAGCCATTAAACTTCAAATGCAGTACAAGAACCATCAGCAGTTATTAATCACGAGAGCTCAAACTCATATGGCTGGTAATCCCGACGCCGCGTTGGTTCTCATCATTGCCGCCTTGGCGCTTCGTTCAAGTCGTCGGCATTCTGCTTGGCCTGTCGGGCCGTCTCTCTCTCTCTCTTTCTTCTTTGTCAGACTGCGAATCTTGTTAAAAGGGTTTCAAGCCATGACTACAATTTCATCCAATGGTGTTAGTTTCCCGCTGAGTGAACTTGTACTTTGTATCACTTAAAACAGTGCGACTCGAGAGACATCGTACAAATTCCGTCAGCCGTCATCCATTCACCGACACTGACAAAGTACATTTTCAGCCAGATCTCACCTTGAGAGCCATTTTGCAACATTTAGTTTCCCGAAAATACATGTAAGCCCTTGTCCACGGATGTCGGCGTCGGGAATGCGTAAAACACAGATTAACATAAATATGTCTCCTAGCTCCAGATGATCTCTCCCTCCATCTGACCTACACAGGAACCATCCGAAAACCGTCTAAATGACTTGAGAGCTTCCATTAAGTCTTAGTAGCCTTGACCATAACGCACCATATCCTATTATCAACAAGATTACTGGTAAGGGTCGCCGCCTTCATGGAGATTGAACAACTGATGAGAACCCATAACAGCCATAACAATGAAGTTGACCTCTATCACTCTTCTCCCGGCCGTGTATGGCTTAGCTAGCCTAGCTCAAACAACAACTCTAGGCATCGGTCATGGAGTCGCCAACTACACAGACGGGCATGCCGACAATGCAGTTTGGGTGCTCGGCGACGACCCATGCGATTACATTTACATGGGTGTCTACGGAGAGGACATGTGCGAGCTCAATGATGGATGGTTCACGGCACCTGATGGCTGTTCGTACCATTTCACGGGATGCGGGACCGGGATAGGGAACTTCTGCCTCTCGAATGCGGACGGCTCCATCAAGTCGTGTCCCGACTGGAATCGTGAAATCCACGCGGCTGAAGGCTGCAGTGGCCCGGCAGGGAGCTACTATGTCGACCGTTACTTCATCTTTTAGGGGTCGCTTGGGTGAGGCTGGCTCTGTCGGCAACTCGGCCCATGACAGCGGGAGAGCGAAGGCAAGGGGACATCATGTGACTCCATGCGCTAGGCAGGCGGATGAAAAAAGCCCGTATCCAATTTCACGCAGCTCCTGGGTCCAACAGGCCGATTAATGCTTTCAAACCTTTCGACTGCCTTTATCTAGCGACCTTGTCTTGGCAAGTCTTGGGACTGCCCAGACTTCAGCAGTTCATGGTGCATGGCTTGCCCGGTCCAAACAACTCAATATGCGAGCAGAATATGTGTGGGATGATCTTCTACAACACAATATGAAATACCAGTGTGTCATAGCTACAGCTTTATTTAACACAATCTGGTACAGAGCTTGGTTGTATGTATGACTCTGTTGGCCACTGATACAGGATGTTGTGGTTCTTTTGCTGGTATATTCATTATAATTCCTGTTTATAGCGTAGAGGTTCTGTCATTAATGGTTTCTTCACCTCTTTTAAATAATTTCTGACCTTTCCTGAAAGCCGCTATTCACCGCCGCAGGGCGGGACCTCGGTCAATCTTTAAATTAGCATTGAAGGGGTCCATAAACTCGATATCGTTAATCTTGCAGGACATGCTATGTACGGCAATACCACGACCACACGAAATTACCGTTTATTAGTCCATGTTTAGTATTGAATTTGCGGTAAGGGCTGTATTAAAACAACGGTGAATGTTGTTACCTTGTTTGCCCTTATGGTAATCTTATCGAAACATGGACACGCGATCCTGACAAATTCTTTCATTCCTGCAGACAGGACCTGGGCTCTGGGAATCAGTCAACAACGTGGTATTAAACTCGAAACTTTACAGAAACTTGCCCAAGACATCTCACTCTCGGATAAGGCAAGGGCTCAACAGAATCAGAGGTATAGATAAGATTGGCAAACTGTTGCGAAATCACATTCTTCCGCATTTTGGTTTTCCTGGCTCTCTAGTTGGGATTGGATCAGTCACATGCTTGAATATCAGAATCTCATCAAGGGTCACGTCATTGGGCCGATGACAATTACATTGCATATTATTTAGCTACTGCTCGATCTAGAAAGAGCCACTCTGATTCCTAATATAAAATCACGGGCATCCAAGCGTTCCTCCCGGCATCAAATGCACTGATAACATCCTTCTCCAGGCCAACTAATCGAACTATACACAGCAGTAAGAAGAAGGACTCGTATAAGATTTCCAATGAAAGAGCATTTCAAGGCGAGCCTGCCTCGATTTATTCTACGGAGACATAGCTGGACCGGAGTTGTCTTCTTCCAGCAGCTCAAAGAACTATCTATACATGAGGACACCATCTGCTGTCTTGCGGGTCATGAAGAGGCCCTTGGTCTCAGAGGATGGTGTGACATGTGAAAACAAGAGAACAGTAGGCCTCTGCCTTCCTCGCAATAGAAGCAATCCCCGCTTGTTTGGTGGCAAGCTCTGCGGCGTGGACCCTTTATTACGAAAAGCCTTTGCAGACCCATTACGTAGCACACATCCGGCACACAGACTGAGTTCTCGAGGGGCGGGTGACTATTGTCCAGCTCCAGCCGGGAAAATGGGAGGTCGCACTGGACAGCAAAGTCACTGTCGATCACGTAAATGTAAACGACGAAAGTGCATTTGCACTACTCTCCATTTACACCGTCAACGGGACCAAAACACATTTCCGCTCGCTAGACATGGGAGAAATCCCCTACACGCATCACGGCTAGAAACAGGCCTCCAAGGGTGCCAGTGAAATGAGCGTCTTTACCTGGAGAGACTGAATTATCATGTTCAGAGGGAATAAGAATAACAAACGAAAGACTACACGATCATCTTACATTAAGGATCTATCCCGAGCAGCGCCATTGAATTCCGGTCGACTTCAAGAGTAGGTTTATGACGATTAAAAGACATTACCAGGCCTCAGACATACCTTCCAGAGGCCGCACAGAGATTCTGCCGTGTAAATTTATACTGTAGATGCCCTCCACAGTTTGCTTGTGAAGGTGAGGCGTCATATGTATCGTTCTCCCGGTCGGCAGAGATGATTTCAGACCGAATTGTCACCAGAGTGACTTCACAATCGCGTCCAGTACCTCATAGGACAATCAAAGAGTGGTTAGGAAAGGCATTCGGGACTCCGCGCGGGAGCTGGGAACGAGCCGGATTGTATTTATAAGTGTGAAGGTAAAGCGGCGGTAGGTTGCGCTGAATCTGAACACATTAGTTTGCCTTAGTAAGGTTGCCTTGGTGAGGCAGCGTGAAAGCGCTGGTTGCAAGATGGTCGTACTCGCGGGTTCCGAACCAGTTCACGAGTTCAGACTTATCAGAATACTTGCCGCAACTTTAGGAAGGCATATCGAATGATTTCTTCACCTATCCTCAGCTGGCTGTTCTGCTACATACATGCTCAAAGACGCTATTGTATGATAAAGTGAACAGTAAGCTACTAATTAAAGTTACCTCGCTAAATATTATGGTTGTGGCATTGCTAGCTCATATCTTCCATCATTGTGTGAGTTATGTGTTGAAAAAATCCAATCTTCTACTGGTCGCTGGTCATACCCAGATATATTCTGGCACAAATTCACACGCGTACTACAAGTGGTGGACGGAAATGCAACCATATCCTCGATCCTAGATTCCATTGAAGACTAGAACACTGGAGGACTGTATATCTGATTGTCCATTATAGTTATATTATATAATACTAGCCCGTAGCCAAAACCCCCGAACCACCATCACCGGTGAAATTGCAATATTTGGTTGTAAAAGGTCGGAGCTTCATACTCAACTTATTTTTCAAGAGGTGTGGGAACATTTGGGAGTGGTGGGCGCGCTACCAGCGAAATATGTCTTGCCGTAAACATTATTACCAGTATTCGCTGCAACGCTCGCAGGGGGGTTGAGTGGACCACCCTTGTTGGTGCTGTTCGGATAGACAGCAACGTCGGGACTGAGGGCAGAGGCAGGGCATCCCAGGATGGTCGAGCTAATACCGACAGCGCCCAGCTTGGCGAGAGCCCAGGTAACCTCGGCCTCAACGGATTGAGCTTGTCCAGCCAAAGCAAGGGGAGTGATACTATTCAATCCCATAACAACGTCGCAAAGTATGGTCTGCGGAGTCAGATTGGAAGTTCCCAATTGTGCAATGGGCATCGCAACAGGATTCTGCGGCCGAGTGGTTAGTGGCCAATAGCATATTCGACGAGCCTTGGAATACTGCAGATAAAATACGCACTTTTGTGTAGATGGCACCAAAACCATCAGTGAGTGTCTGGACAGCTCCATATGGCGTCGCACGACGATACCATCCTTGTTCAGGCCACCTTTCTGGCACATACTCGAATTCGCCAGTCGTACTGTTGTACCGAGCACCAATAATGCTTGAAATGGACTCATAGTTGGCAACACCACCAGCACCATAGGTTCCGTTGGAGAAGAAGTTGGGATAGAAGGCGAAAGCACCAAGGCTGACTATAGAGGGAAATGGGAAGTAATATAGGTAAGGATTGTTTGTCTGGCTGAACTGGGAATTGTAGAGGTATTGGTTTGCCATGGTTGTCAAGCCGAAGTCTTTGGAGGCAGCCGCTAACGCAACGTTTTGTTTGAAGAGTCGTGAGGACAGGTGATGATTGTCTCCGCATCCATTATAATAGTCCTCGCGGTTGGGTGAGATATCAGCTTCGACTGTGCTATGGCGGTTGAGACCGCCAACTTTGGTGGGACTAGTTCCAAGGTACCAGGACTCGGTCGCGATGTCGCCGTCAGTCAGAACCGCGAAAACCCCGAGTAGAGTGGAGAGATCAGCTGCCATATTAAAACCACGTCTGTTCCAGTCGTCAATATTCATGGATGATCCCAGCAAATTTGGACTAATTAACTTACGCAGTCGCTTGGATAACCTGACCGAGATTGACATATCCATTCCTGGGAAGATAGCCGTAGTTTGCCAAAAGGTTCAAGCCCGGGCAAGGGCCGCGAGAGTCATTTGGACCCGGAGCCTTGAAGGTGTATCCCGCCTCCGGGCGTTTGTTGTCGGGGCTGATGGCCGAGGCGACGGAGCCTAGAAGACCTGTGATGTCTCCGGTGAGCGATCCTACAACACTGCCAAGCCCACCAAGCCCACTAAGCAATTGGGGCGATGGGTCCGGAATTGGGCTGCGCTTCTCGACGACGCGCTCCTCTTCTCGTTGCTGCTTCAGCTGCTCCAGCATCTCCTCCCGTGAGTTTACACCGGCCATTTGCGGAAATGCCCAACCCAAAGTGGGAAGGAGCGCAAGCGCGTGGAAGGCGTTCGCTTTCATTGTCGTCAAGTGTTATGAAACAATTCTGGCAGAGCATTGAGTTCCGAGTGGAAATTGTGTGCAGGTATGGCTGTGAGATGTGATTTTGAATCATGGGATTATATACTCCAGTACCGTCAATGCCACTTTAGCCTATGAACAGTTTTGAACAAGGTTGACATCATGACTCTAGTCAATTCAAATCATCCTCAAGTCATATCAAAGCACCCAAAACTCATTGGACACAGACATAGATGTAGCACATACCTCCAAGAGCCCTTATGCTTGCTATGCGGTGTGAACTGACCTGAGGCTAACCGGCCTAGTACTCACGGTAGATTAAGGCGTGATGATCACTGAGGAGGTTCTTGGAAATAATGTTTAACCTCACTAACCCAAGCCACGTATGTCACACGACAATATCCGTGCTTATTATCTATCAATTGTGTAAGCTCAGTGATGTTCCTCATGTTTGCAATTATTTTCGAAACATTAACGACTCTCATCCCATCACTGACTGTCATCATTAATCACTCCCAGCAGGCGTCACGAAAGAAGGCAGCAACCGGTACTATTCAATTGCTGCATTGAACTAGTGGACTGGTATTTTACCCACAGTCGTCCTTGATTTTGCGCGAACCTAAGTCGCACAAGCGTTAATCTTGCATGCTGGGCATTTGGTCTTAGCGGCGAGCTGAGCCGTTATTACCACAGCGCGTTTTTCGACACAACAGTATCATTGCATTCAGCGAAGCGGCTCATGCACTCTAAAGCCGATGATCTTAATATTTCGATATGAGCAGACCAGTCCTTCACTTCAATGGCGTCTTGTGCTTACATTAAAGTTGCATTACCGTTGCATATTAGTCGCGAATGCAACCGGCAAGAGAGCAGATCCGCACGTCATTAAGGACATGGCGTATAAAAGAACAAAGCCATTAGACGATACGAGGTCGAATATGGCTGCTACGGCACTCGCACAGACTCGCGAAAGACCAAAGACCAGACTGTGGCTTTTTACCGAACGCCGTTTTTTCTCCGGGATAGCCGGGCGCGAAGAAATCTCAAATCAACGACATCGTAACAATAAATTGCCTCACGTTTCTTCTCGGCAGCGTTATGTGACGTGACAAGCATGTACTCCGCCTCAGTGAGCCTCAGTGAGTCGCACCCCGTCTCTCGTGCTGTGGGTTTCCGTTCGGAGCAGGGGTCCGAGGCTAGGGGCCTCCCCCCACCCAAACCGGGAGACGTTCAGCCGTTGCTAGGCTCTGGAAAGTCGGGCGTTCCCTTTACTACGTCGCATGGGCATCCAGCCATGATCGTCGGCAATATTCCCACCGAGCAAGTCTCCCTTGCTCGAGTCCTATGCGAGTGTGGCCTTCTCAGGACTAGGGCGAGGCGTACCCTCCATGAGCTCACTCCTTGCAATTTATCTTTGGCAGGATACGTGAGTGCATCAACAGGATCATTCCTGCGATGTTCAACATGAATGCCCGGAAATAACTCTATGTTAACTTTCACAGACCGAAAAGGAGCATTTCCACCGTGCACAACGGCCCTAACGACCCGCTCAACACCATGCAGACCGGCGCCAATAATGCAGCGCCACAACCGGACACATGTTCACACTGCCGGCCGCACTATTCGCTACTTTTAAAATTGCTCGCCAAGCAGCACCAGTGTCCCGGTACCCGTAAAATTACATCTCCGCGGGTTTCTCAGAAGCTCCACAACCGAGCAACCTTGCACACTCTACCAACACCACCGCCTCCGTTCTAGCATAAACACCTAGAGCCCTTTAGAAAGGAGCTTTAGCTCGCCTGGAGTGGCCAGGCACGCTGCCAGCACGATCACCACTATATTTCCCAAGGGCAACGTCTGTGAGTCATCGATTATTATGGTGAGGGGTGCCAGCGCTTTCAAGCATCTGACTGTTCGGTGGGGAAATCGAGTGCATGGGAAATTGTTGCAGACAACGGAGATTGAATAAAGAACCCCTTTAGGCAGCAGCTTTCTGACAAGCAAGGAATCTCTCGTCTGAACGACTTGAACATCCCGAAACTCGACCTGCTCCAGATGCTTCCTGACGATATTTGGCCGGAGGCGTATCGTGAGGCAGTGAGATTGACAAATGAGAATAGAGCAACAGAGGTACTGGAACAGATTAAATACAGGGAAAAGGGACAGACTGAAGAGCTTTTGGCACGACCCAGGTGATCTGAGGAGGCCGAGATACCTGATGCGGAACGCAAGATATAACCAGCACTCATACATGAGAAAAAAGTTGCAAGGCACTTTCATAGCACGATTCTACTATCAGTATAATTAGAACAATAGCTAAGTTCAAGTCATTGATGCTCTGCGAGGTACTGTGACTTGAATATATGATTTGTGACTCTCGTGTCCACTCCCTCCACCTCGGGAAGTCCCACTTCTTATCTTCATTATATACCAACCTGAACTGAAGCCTGGAGTTTAGCAAACCCTCTTAAAATCAATCTTGAAGGGGTTTGATGCAACTACTTCAAGTTCTAGACTCCAGCTCGGACATCCAAGGGAATCACCTTGCACCACCAAGGATCAGCAGGGCAGCTAGACAAGCACAGGTGGCGGGGATGTTGTCAGAGTGTGGTTCTGATGGGCGGAGTCTATCCTCAGCACCGTCACCCGAGAAGATCAGACACGATAATTTATAATCCATATCCCCCGTCTCCGGAGGTTGTGCCAATAGAGCTGATGGGAATCAGTAGATATTTAACTTCTTGACTTAATCGTAGTCATAAGGGAATAACTTAGAGCCAGCAGCAACAGCCCGGATAATGTTGGCCTCCTCCATCTTGGCCACCAAGTTTGCAAGGACAAAGTCGCAGCCCCTGGCCATTCTGAGTGCCATTGATACTGGGAGGTATTCAATTTGTAGGGATTTGGTACTGTTATAAGGTACCTCGCCAATGGGAACAACTACCTCAGGAGCACCAGCTATCACGGCGACGCGTGAATCGCTCATACCAAACGGGGGAGCGGTAGGCGCCGAGAAGTATTGGTCTCGGTAGGACGGCTGCCCGCTCTGCCAGATGTAGGTGTAAACGCTCTCGGAGCATGACTCAGGGTCGTGACGGCCGTATGCCTCGGTGGAATACCACTCTGCGAAGATGGATATGTTGCGGAGGGCCTGGGCGTAAACCTCGTCAGGGGCATTGACCTGTCCCCACTGCCAGCGAGCTAAGGGGCCTGGGTTGACGTAAGGCCTGCGACCGCCGTTCTTGGCGGCATAGTCGCGGAAGAAGGGCTTGCCGAGTAGCTGCCACTGGTCGTGTGAGATAAAGACAGCGTAAGTCAAATTTAGCATCTCGTCGACAGCGGGAGCGTCACTGCGGGTGTCGGCCCAAAGCTGGGTGTAATTGGCCGGAAGCGCTTCAGTGTCGAGGAAGTTGCCCAGCTTCTGAACGAAGTCTTCTACCATGTTCACGGCGTCGGGGCTGATACCGCTGTCCCATGCGCTTGACATGGTGGGCGGGTAATAGAGAGTCTTAGGGAACGTGGTCCAGTTGGATTGCATATTAGGGTAGAAGGCCTTCGTTGCATTGGCCCACAACGTGCCGCTGCGGGCGAAGATACCGGCTGTGTCGCTTACAGGGGAGAGCGGAATCACGTGGTCCAGAGAAATAGCACCGGTCGATGGTCTGTTGCCGAAAATACCGTTTGATCCGGCGGGCCCGCGCATGCTGCCACCAGTATCACTGCCCATGGAGAGGTCCAACCACTCATACGCGCCTACACCCACTCCGGGACCCGTCGACGAACCGCTAGGGTCTTGGTAACCGTCACCTCGAGGATTAAAGGGAGCATGGAGGTCGACCCAATCAGCCGTGGCTTTATCCCCGTTGGCGAACTGCACAGTGCCCATCTTGCCCACGAGGACTGCACCAAGGTCGATGAGGCGCTGTACGGCCGGAGCAGTGTTGTTTTGTCGGCCATAGAGATAGAAATAAGCGCGATTGCCACCGCTGGTGCCAAGTCCCTTGACGTGGAAAATGTCCTTCACGCCAAAACGAAGACCGGCGAGGGGCTGCTGCTCGGTGGTCTTGTAGTACAACCTCGACGGCACCGCGACACTCTTGGCCATGACGTTCTCCGTGATAGCAGGCAACGACATGTAAGCTCCCTGCTCGTCGCTGATAACGCCCTGAATGAAGGCAAGATTGTTGTCATCGTACAGTCTGTAGGCCTTGAAGATGTCGCCGGTGACAGCAGAGGCGAAGTAAGGACCATTTGGGAGATTGGTGATAGTTTTGCCAGTCATGAGAACCTTACAATTTCCCACGGTGCCGCCGGGGTTGATGAACAGCTTTACATTCGAGCCCCCCTGGCTGGACTCGAAAGATGCAGTATCAATGACCGGAGCAGGATTCTGTTCGGTAGGCTGAAGGTAGATTGTTCTCAAGAAGGCCGGTTGAAACACGTCGTCCAGCTTAGTGTACTCAGAGGTGATGTTGGCGAGCTCCTCGGCACTCAAATATCCGGATGCAGTCTGGACGACGGTCAGAGGAAACAAGTCGTAGCCAGGAACAACTTCGGCGGTGGCCAGGGTCCTGTGAGTGCAATTGTTGCTGAGCTGGGCAATCGAGGAACCAGGGGCGTAGTATGATACTCCTTCAAACTCGATGACCCGTCCTTTGTCTACGAGGGACGCGGTCACATGTCCGATAACAACCAGCCCCAGCAGGAATAGCCACATTGTGCTGGATTTTGACTTGAGACTGCCGGTGATGCCTAGGTGTCGACGAGATGTGAGGAGGTCCTAGTAGTTTCTAACAAGAAGACAGATAAAGGCCGCTGCTTATATATGTTCTCGGAATCATTCGCATTCTGATAGCTGGCATACCATAGACCGGTCGGCTGAGATCATCAGGGATCAGTCCTTCGCCCCGGCCGTACCGAGAATTGAACTCCACTTGCAAAGAACAGGGCGGGTTGCGCTGGGCATTGGTCACCGGCACGATTGCCGGCACATACTACAGCCTATTATCGAAGACTTTACTAATCAATGCGCGTATTTGATTCTTATATCCGAATATATAGCGTCACTTACTCCATTGTCTAATCATTTGAGATAAGGATGCAGGGAACGTTATGGGTAGTCTTGTCCAGGCGTAAGACCCGATCTAGGGGTGGGGCAATAGCAGGACCCCATTGTCAGAGGCAGTGATAAAGTACCAGGGATTTTGATACTGCAGAGGTAGAGCGAGAGATAAGAAACTAACATTCCTCTTGCCGGATAGTCTTGGCAGGCCAGCCGCAAGCGTAGCCATATTGCTTTTCCATTGTCGCCATGCTTTTTAAAATCTGTATCTTACTTCACCTCTGGGTCCACATAGCTTAAAGTCGACCTTGAGATACGCTGTCTTGACGTCTGACACATTATTTGTAATAATATGAAGCATTCACTTGATAATTCATAGGTAAAGCTATTTCTTTCCATGTTAGTAGCTTTGACTTGACAAGTGAAGCATCTCTCACTTCTGAAGCTCACCTGAATTCCTTGTTCAGTATCATCTCTGAGGTCTGGAGAAATCAATTGTGGCTGGTTTGGGGTTTTGTCACAATTCCTGAATGTGGTGAAGCTTATCAGGCTGACATGAAGCCAGTGAGCGTGACTTTCGAGTCACGTGATCCACTCACTGAGGGTCGTGTTAACTCGAAACTGGTTCTGCCCGGGTGACTGTACGGCAACCTTGCAATCTCCGATGACAATCAGGGAGTATGTTCTCCGATTTTAGATGACTTTTAGTCGGTTCGGGTCGAAGACGTACCCAGCACCAGCCTTTGTAGTGTTTACCAGGAGGAACAAAATCATCTTTCGTTCCGCACCCTGCACTTTGTCGGCAGTGGTCAAATGCACACGGTCTCCCTTGTGCACATGAACAACATTCTTCTCAAGACGCTCTTTGAGTTTGCCTAGCTTTGCTTTGTAGGGTGTGACGATGGCAAGACCACCAGGTTGAAAGCCCAGCGCCTGGATCAGCCGCTTGACGACTATCACTGTGACTTCTAACTTAGAATATGCGCGGGTTCTCCCGCGACATGGAAAAGTCCGTGTAGATCATCACGAGAAGGATTGAGATATATGAATCAGCATCTACATAGGAAACATGCGCAGCTCTTCCCATTAGGTTGTTGAGATATCGCTACTCCCAATTATTTAAGAACAAACCCATCTCAGTCAAAGGCTAATATTTGCGGAAAGCTTGCATAACTTGTTCCCTGCTAGCAGTTTACTACACCGTGCACTTATATATGCACTAGAAATTAGCAACACAGGAACATTAAGCTCATAAAAATGATAACATTGGGCATTAATACAGAATTATTTGAATTTATTTTCTTGCTTCTGATACAACGCAATTCAAAACGAAAGTTGATATCTCGACCTCACTCGCTTCCTAGAGACCCTCACTTTCGCTTCACGAAGGCGCTCTCCTTCAGCCATGCTTCCATGGTCATCAAATTTGGGACAGCCCTCGCATTCTCGCTCAGATCAGCGCGATACCCTTCATCCTTAAACCAGTCCACCATAGCTCCCATCTCGGAAACACCATACTTCAGCATCTTTCCCAGAACTCCAATAGTAGTTCCAACCGGCCTCCCTGTAACCTTCTGAAACGCCAGACTAAGCTGCGAAAATGTCAGCTCATCCCCAGCCAGTCCGATCGCCCTATGATTCCAAATCTCCTGATTGTGGAATGCCTCGGCTGTGAAAAGGCCGATGTCTCTGGTAGCTACCCACTGCAGCGGCTTTTCTTGAATGGTATCGCGCAACATGGTAAGAAAGACCTTTCCGGCGAATCCGGGGACGAGATTGTCCATGAAAATTACGGGCGGAGGATTGTCCAGCCCATTGTGTTTGTGGTCGCGTATGCAGAGGTACCACTTTTCTTGGCCTTTTTCGGTGTGCTGCAGCTCGTAGAGTCGCGTAGTTAGTGCTCAATCTCATGCTTCGTCTTGAAGTGCGGAACGAGCGTCGGATTCTCCCATGACCGGTCATTGCCGCCCCGCTCAACACTGCTGTAGACAAAGTGCTGAACACCAGACTTGACAGACTCGTCTATAATCGCCTTTCCCTGCCGCACCTCGCCCTCGAGAGTTACTCCATTGCCCATGGAGACCTGGACTGAGTACACCCCCCAGAGTGGGACGGCCCCTGCGACTTTCCTGGCAGACTGAAAGAGGCTGGGGACATTATTGAGATCTCCCTCAACAAGCTTGACAGTTGGCGACTTGGCAGCGAGGCGCCTGGCGCTAGATGACTGTGCATTGCGAGTGACAGCGAGAAAGACGAAGTCATGAGGTTGTCTTGCAATGAGGGCGTTGAGCACTGCGCCAGCTTGTTGCCCGGTTGCACCGGTGACCAATATGGCACGCGACATTTCGTCGGTGTATTATGTTCAAAGGCAATGTGGGTCTCAAAGGAGGAAGGATATTGTACAAGAGGGGGTAGCCCAGAAAGTAGTTTGAGATTCGAGTGGCTCTTTGTGTTCCTGAGTAGTATGCACTGGTGTGGTATCTAATGAGGACGTAAGATCGTCGAAATGGATCCTTTATAGTCTTCGCGCAAGGTATCCAATAACAGTTTCGCCTGAATCAGCATCTACGTGATGACTGCTGTGCAGTATTCCACAACCGTTCTTCCTCTTCCTTCGTAGTCCTTCTAGAACCCATATCCTGCCATGCGTGTTTGTCATTGTCGGACATTCTTGGCGTCAAGAATGTCCGACAATGACAAACACCTGGCACTTCGGATAGGGTACTGAATCGTTGGACAAAGCGGCTGACACATGTGCGACGTAATAGTTCCGGTACAATCAGACTAAATCGCTGTACGATATGTCAGTGCCAGTGTGGAGAGTATGATCTAAATGATCTCCACGACGACCACACTGTAGGAAAATTCAACATATATAAATCAATTAGGAGGCGTTAGAATAACCCTAGACGTTGCAGTCAATCAAACTCAATCCGGCCAGTTTCCAGCACTACTTCAAAGTCCTTGCCTGGGCAAATATACTACTACCCGTTATAGAAAAGTCTCAGTCTGAGGTCTCCCTTCAAAAAGCACAACATCATGTCACCCATCACCGTTGGTCTCGCCGGCATCACAGGCAAATTCGGCCGCCTCCTCGCATCTAAACTGCTTGAAAACCAGAACGTCCTCCTCCGCGGATATGCCCGTGACCCAAGTAAAGTCGAATCCGTCATCGCTTCGTCCCCTCGCGTCACCCTTTTCAAAGGGGAGGCCTTCGATGACGTTTCCATCAAGCCCTTCGTGCTCGGCTGCGATGTGATAGTGTGCACCTACCTTGGCTCCGACGAGCTCATGGTCGATGGTCAGAAGAAGCTCGTTGACGCCTGCGAGGAGAACGGAGTGCCCCGCTATGTGGCTAGCGACTGGTGCCTGGATTATACCAACCTGAAGCTCGGCGACCTCTTCCCGAAGGACCCTATGATCCATGTCAGAGCGTACTTGCAGACCAAGAAGAAAGTGGAGGGCGTGCACGTTCCAATTGGAGGATTCATGGATCCTCTTCTCAGTCCACTCTTCAAAGTCTGGGACCCAGAGTGCAAGACTCTGCGTTACTGGGGCGAGGGGACCGAGCCTTGGGAGGCCACCTCGTATGCAAACACCGCCGAGTTTACGGCTGCTGTCATTGCAGATAGGTCAGCCGTTGGCATTAAGAAATGTTCGTCGACATGTCTTCTCTTGGCCTCATTTGACAATTGCACTTCTTTTGTCAGAAGCCTTGTTATGCTATTGACTGATCTGATTCTAGATCTCGGCGAACGAAAGAATATCAAGGACATCGCTGCCACATTTCAGAAGGTATATGGCTTTCAGCCGAAGCTTGAGCGCCTAGGGTCGCTTGACGAGCTCAAGTCGAAAATGTACGAGGTGCAGGCAAAAAGCCCCACCGACGTCTTCAGTTATATGTCTCTGTGAGTATCTTTTAGGCGCTTTAACTGGGAAAACACTCAGCACTAGGGGGATTTTTCTAATATGACTGGCAAAAGTTTCTTCCTTTACTACTGGCTCAATGGTCAGACTTTAGTTGGACCTCATACCGACAACGCGGATTATCCAGAGGTAAAGCCAGAGACCTGGGAGAATTTTCTTAGCAAAAGAGAGATGGAGATCTTAGCTCATGCGTACTTTGCTTTGGCAAAATAATTGCCGTCATGATACAATGTTCTAGACGATTGGAGAGTCTGCGTGGGAAGTATATAAATTACCTTTCGTCCCCGGGCGTAGTTTAGCACCTGGCAGGCAGGACTAGATAGAACGCAAATCAAAAACCGTCTTACCAATAACCCCTTCACTCATTCTGCGGTTGAAGTTGTCTTTGACCATTCAATGAGGGATCAACTCCCGACATCAGGCGCGTCCCTTTATTTTCCTTCCCATATAGTACGAGATGCGGCTACCATCAGGACACACATGCCTGCCATCTCCTTCACAAATTGGACGCCATTTGAATAGATACTCTCTCCAGGTCTGCCGTAAGCCTAACCGCAGAGGCTTGGGCGGCCGGGTTAGTCTGGCTCACGATGTTGAGCACATCGAGCAGGAAGTTCACATTGCTCCTGCTCGCCTCACCCCCGTGGTCTGTCGCCAGCCTCTCGAGAAAAACAAGCGCGGCTGTATACGCAGCGAAATCCTGCATCGGATTTCTGAGCGCCATCTCCAGATCCTGGACCATCCCAAAAATATGCTGAATCTCCTTCGCAGCGGCAAACATGCGTTCTCGACTTTGACGCATGCCCACTACAGCTGTATATGAACTGGTTCTAGTACTTCTGAGATGAATACTATCATCGTGAGGTGCCTCACCCTGCACTCTACGTGTTGCTGACTGGTGAAGACAGATTATGGCAACGTGAATTAGGATGTTAACAAAGACTGCCTGCTGGCAACGAAATGCTGCTGGCAGCCGAAGGCTTTCCGGTAGCATAAGGAACATGGAAGTCAATGCATTGTCGAGATCACGGTGCCGACTCCAGTACTGGTCAACGATGGGCTGTTGCTGTTCCCCGAGCCGTTCGTCGACAACGGGTGATGACTCCTGGGCTAGCATCAAAGATCTGTGGAGCAGGTCCGACACAAGGGCCCGAGCCGCGAGCGGAGACCGGAGCACAGCTTTCTGGCGAAGTGATTCATCAAGGGTCTGCGTCAGCTCAGTGCTACTGTGTGTGAAGGCCTCTTCTGACACCGGCAGAGCAACTGTAATCTTCTGGAAGGTCAGTCCATCATTTGAGCAGAATGGGGCCATCAAGTGTGACTTTGAGTGTGATAACCAGCTAGACGAGCCGCCACTTCAAATCGATGCTCAAAGTAAGGTATTTTGGCGTCGCTTACATCTCGTGCATTGATCAAGGAGGGCAGACTTGTCGTCGCCGCTACGAGTCGGTCCGCAGCAAAAGCAACCTACCAAGTCCGGCGGCGCTCTTCAATCTCGATCTGGTCCCTGGGAGCTGTCTCTGCGGGCGCAAGAAGTGAGTAAGTCGAGTCAGCTCGGCCTTGGCAGTGTAGTTGCAGCATTTGTGAGATCCGTACAGCACGGCCAAGACTCATTGCTGCTCGCATGAACGCTGCACGGCGAGCCTCGAAATTGGCCAGAAGAAGCCAACACTGAGCATGTGCTAGCGTGATAAAGGATTCCCCTTCATCCTGTGTTGTAACACAATGTCAGCGGCGCAAGGTTGAAGCGGTGAGCCATAGACAGTAGTTTGCGGGGATATGGCCAAAAACTTTTTACATTCGTCTCGTCTGCCTCGGCCAAGTCTCTGGCTTGCTCATATAGTGTCACAGCAAGGGATCTGTGTGCTGGGGAGACGCACGCGCCTGATGCCATCACAGCAAGCCGCAGGCAACTAGGTAGCTGTAGATCCGATGAGAGCTGCAGAGATGCCACGTAGCGAGCCTGGTGCAGCATAGGAGCGGCGTGGTGTATTCGGTCGAAATACGTGGCTGTGCTGCCGTTAAAGAGTAAGCTAAGAATGGCTTTTCGACTTGGGAAGGATTCCCGCGAGGACAGGCTTTCTCACAGATCTTCTACAAGCTCGCGCGACGGTGTAAGTCGGTCACGAGCTCTGGCATTGAAAGATTCGCCTCCAATTGACTTGAAATTGTCAACAAGTCTTGAGGGGCCAGGGCGCGCTTCATCCTCGACATTTTGCGCTTCGTCAGATGACGTCGGGTTGTTGTCGGCCACATCGACTGTCGTCGTGATGGTCGGCACAGAAACAGGCTGTCGCACACTCCTTGCGCCAGTGTCTCTGGTATCATCCTCAAGTTCGCCTACTCTAGCACGTCAGTGGCACAATTGACCAACGACAAATCCCCAAAGACGAGGAAGCTTGGAACACACCAGGTTTGTCCATGAGGCCTTTCACTGTCCTCCTTCTGCCAGAATTGAATCGTTTCGACGCGGGATAAATGCATTTTCGCTTCAACTTATGGCAACGTGTACACAGCGGAAATGCGCGATCGCACTTCAGCTTTTTCCTCCTACAATAGACGCAAGATAGCCGTGTAGCTGAGAGTGGCACTGAGCCTACTGGGACTGATGAAGTAATGTCAGAGTCGCTCGAACCATGAGGCATGATGTCAATGGTAGCCATCGCTTCACGTGACAAGCTCCCGGACTGGTAACGGGATGCTGAGTCTTGAAGTCAGTCGATCTCAGGACGAGACGCCATCTCGTGGATGAGAGATGTCCTTCTCCAGGATTGAAGTAGATTGATGCGCCGCAAAGTGTAGCTGAATCGACAAGATGTCCCTGTGGTCAGCCGGCTGAATTGCGAAACGAATATTCCAGGTAAGTTGGTAGCTCTACGATGAGATACGTAGGTATTGAGACAAGAAGGCGAGTACAATATCTGTTGAGAATTGTTATATCAGTTATCCAAGACGCAGCACTGGTGGGCAGCGTCCCCCGGGATCTTCCTGAGTCAGTGACAATATCGGCGGCCAAGACGGAGCCTAGGATTAGTCAGTGGTCCGAGCCTGGTTTGAGGAGGGATCTCGGCCCCACCTATTCTCAAAGCGGGTGTCGATCTTGTAGAGCTGCCCGGCGGTGGCCACGGACCCAAATTGGTAATCAACACAGGCGCCGCACACCCGGTGTTGCCCACCTTCAGCAGAGACAAGACAGTCCTTCTCCTAGGATTTACGGCCAATGACTAGCCTGAGAGGTGTCTTGCCATACAACCGGGGGATCGCCGCCAGCCACTTTTTAGTGACGATGCTTGTTGGAACACCCTCTTAGGAAGGTGATCTAAATTGACACAGTGACAATATTGTATAATTGGCTTTACTTTTTATTCAATAATGAATTCGGGTGAGTGTGTGTTATTCTTGACTGCGTATCAGCTTTCCACTGCATAACATCTGTTTCTTTGTTTTATGTCTTGGAGCCACAGTACTGTAGTTATCACAGCTTATATCAGATCCAGTTCAGTACTCTTAAATTCACATGTACTCTGCTCCTTAGTTGAACAAGAGTGGACGTTTACCAGGTATCATCGCATGATCTTCGAACTTGAACAAGCGTTTATGGTGAAGTAAGGCTGGCTATCGCTCGGGTGTCGCAAACTCTAGTCCCGCAATGTTGACATGCACGTGGTTTCCACCACGAAAGTCTTGGCTATGTACTGTGTAGCCCAATACGCTCCCAAGATTGAATTGCGTTTTTTGGGGGTCCACAGGTACTTTTCCTTGGCTCTCTTTTCAGGTCAGACAGCGGTTGATAGGCAACACTACGACGGTGCAATTCGCATGAAATGCCTCGATCCCGACGGAAGCTGGCCTGGTTTCTCCTTTCAGCAGGTGTTATCCACGTGTACTTCCCACATTACGCGAATTTTTTAGGACTGATCCGTCAGGTTTTACAGGCACTTTGTACTCTCCAAGAAACCAGATTGAAAAATGTACACTTGGAGGTCTGGAGAATGTCGCAATGTTAACGTTGAGCCAGTCCATTCCAGACGAGGGGCTCACCGTGAAAAGTCCCGGGGTCATTCCCAGACCCACTGTATAGTACGGGGCCGTCTAAGGTTGCAGTGCAGAATAAGGCGGGGCCACAACGGGTACGTCTACTGCCTGCCACTTCGTTATAAAATACTCCGATTTCTCAACTTGCGTACAAGCTCAACATTCTAAAGTTCGTGGCAATTCTGTCTGCCAAGTTCTCCTGTTGCATTGCAGCGACTATTTCTCGAGTGCTGTGCTGTCTCAATTGGATGAGGAAGTCAGTACGAAATGGTTGCCCGTCTGAGCCTACAATGGGCTCTCCTGGCGTGTCTGGGTCGGATTGTCTCTTCGCAGCCTGCCAGCGTCGATCTTCCCTACACTTTGGAACACCCTTATGAGCAGCCGGCCAAGGGCAATGGGCTCGCTATTGAGAAACCGAACATGATTATCTTCATGCCAGACCAATTGAGATACGACTCTGTGGGAATATTCGGGAGCGACGTGAGTCTTCGTAGCTTCAAGTCCACAAGAGCCGGCTTTCGTTCCGCTAGCGGATTGCTGATGTACAAGGAACGAAAGATCGTCCAGACTCCGAATATCGATGCTTTTGCAAGAGAAGGTGTCCGTTTCACCAACGCCTTCGCTCAGGCTTCAGTGTGCTCCCAGTCGAGATGCTCCATGGTAGGCAACAGTTACCTTCTTGCGGTCCAATCAAAATCACATTAACAGGAAGTTCTGAAGTTCACGGGCCAATATCCGCATGTGAGCGGCCATCGTACGCTGAACAACCTGCTCAAGCCTCATGAGCAGAACGTTTTTCGCTCTCTGAAGGATGGGGGGTATCACGTTGCCTACCTCGCGCCACGGGGTGACCTATTTGCAGAAAATGCCACGGAGCTGAGCGTCAGCGAATACGGCTATCTTGAAGTTGATGACCTGCAGTCAAGGTTTGCACCCGGGACTGCTCGCAGTCTTGACGAGATCGCAGATGATAACCTCGATGTTTCGGACCCCTTGTTCCACCTCCTCAACAAGAGAGGCAGCTACAACACCACTGATTTGAACAACATTTGGAATCGCGTCTACTACCAAGGTCTGCGCAACGAAACCGAGACTTACAACTCGTATGACGCATCTCTACTACGGGGGGCATTGAAGTGGCTTGAAAATCCACCGGCAGATCAGCCTTGGGTACTTTTCCTGCCGCTCTTGTTTCCACATTGTCCCTTCACCGTGGAAGAGCCTTATTTCTCCATGTATAACCGGTCAGAAATGCCACTCCCTATCAGCAGGGGTGAGATGGTAAACGGGTTTCATACTGCATCGTGGAATCAGTCCGTCCTCACTGACACGCATTCTTAGACTGGACACATGCCCCGCTACATGGACAGCATTATCGAGGCAGCCGGTCTTGATCGCGCTACCGACGACACCTGGCGAGAGGTCAAGGCGACCTACTACGGTAGTAAGCAGCTTCTGAATTCCATTCTTATTTCTTCACGGGAAATGTATCAGCTGAACATGTAAATCGTCTCGCTGCCTGCCCAAGTTCTTTGATTAGTTGCATTTTGTGAGACAAGCTACGGGTGGATGGTATCTCTATCCGAACTGTTTTTGTATGAAAATTGTCCATTGCGGCCACGATAACTTACTCCATATGTTGCAGTGATCACAAAGCTGGACAATCAGTTCGGACAGGTCGTCAATAAAACGAAAGAGCTTGGTCTCTGGGATGATACTGTCACCTTCTTTTTCACAGACCACGGCGAATGGCTCGGCGACTATGGCCTAATCGAGAAGTGGCCCTCCGGACTATCCAACTCGCTCACCCACGACCCTCTCATCATCGGCGGCGCAGGCATCCCCAAGGACAAGGTGTTTGACGGCATGGCCGAGATGGTCGACCTTGTGCCGACCATGCTGCAGTTGGCGACCATTAACGAGACGTACATGCACTTCGGGCAATCGTGGGTCGACGGGATCCACGAGCTCGGGCGCAGCGGGAACAGCAGCAGCAGCAGCTTCACATGGAACAGGACCTACTCTTTCACAGAGGGCGGGTTCCTGACGAGCGAGGAGCCACTGCTGGAGCAGGCGGCGTTCCCCTACGACATTAAGGCGGGCCTGCAGCACAATGAGACTACGCTGGTGGGCATGGCGACCTCGATGCGCAGCAAGGAGTGGACGTACATTTATCGTATTTACGAGGCTGATGAGCTCTACTCGCGCCGCGACGACCCGGGCGAGCGGCACAACCTCGCGGATGAGCCCGAGTATCAGGACATCAAGGCACAGCTGAAGGGGGACTTGTTAAAGTGGATCCTGTCAACGAGCGATGTTATTCCGTGGTATATGGACGATCGCTCGCCGCCTGTCAACCTTCCCAGCCCAGCGGAGCAGTATCAGGCTAGGTTGGGAGGTAAATCATAATAGTAACTACCCAGAGGCTGTAAGAAAAGCGTATAAATACACTCTAGTGCGCAACAATCATGTTTAATCATCAGTCTCAGAATCTGAGATTTGTGAGACTTGATGTTTAATCCTGACCATTTCATTTTGAAGGGCGAAGGGGTTAAAAATATGCTCAGTGCAAACTCAAATGCTTCTTGTGACCAATTCCACTATTTACAATACTTGTATGTGCCAGAGGGGATATTCCCCTAGTGAAACCATCGCGCCCCTAAGCTAGCATATTTGTCAAAGTGTGATAGATAATTCAGAGCGTGTGGTTGCGGCGCTGCGGATATTAAAAGAATGAATCGGCTGGGCGGTAGGAGCTCCCTTGCTTGGACAATTTGGATTCGCACTGGAATGGTAGGAAGCGGAGGCCAGGGGCGGGGTCGCCGAAAGACTTACTGGGACGGGTTTTCCTAAATCTGCAGAAGCTATCGTGCAAGCGTTCCGGCCCCAAGGGCATTCGAGTTAGCAAAGCCTATAGCATCAGGTTTTGTTGCCCCTTCCTGGCCTCACGACGGAGTGTGGCACATTGAGTCGAAAGCGCTCTTCAGCCTCTGAGGCAATAGTCGGCTTTGCACTTACATTGCGAAATCAAGATTCGAAGAGGGAAAAAAAAATGGAGATGTTGTACTCAAACATCTTTGTTTTGGGGGGGGGGGCTTTATCTGTACAACACACGCAGTCTATACGAGCCAAGACGACGGGCCAGGGACTCCAACCATCGTCAACTAGGAACTTGTGCTCGTCGTTTATCGATAATAACACGCCGTATTCGGTTGCCAATGGTGAAATGTGGTCCGTGTTGACCAGCTGTTACGCGGGTCACAACGATGACCTACAGGAGCCATCTGTGTTCGAAGCAATGTCGCTTGGCTCGTGGAGCAGTGTGAGCACGGTATCGCGGTGACAGACAGTTTTTATAAGGATAGTCACAGTGGACAACGCGGTAAATGTACAACTCCTTAAAATGCAGGGTATTTATTGAGTAGTCTATTAATAATTAACCCATGTCCGAGAGTCGCGATTCCGAGAAGTCACGTGCATGAAGTTGTCTTTGCCGCCATAAGCTTTATCTATAAACAGCCTCATGGCCAGCACTTATCCATGTTGTGATTCCATTATCAGAACGGCTGGCCGTTCCACTAGAATGGTCTTGCGCCACGCGGAGTAGCCGTTGTTGATTGGGACAAAGGGCTCTATAGCGGGCACGAGAAGCGCCGCGGAGCAATGCCCCATTGAGGAGGATGGTTTGATGATACATTGTGTCGCAGGACGTTATGCCACAGCAGGGTGTCTTGTGACAAGATTGTGTTGGTCAAACTGTTTGTACGTACGCGTTATGGAGGGGTAAGTATGTTGATGCACAACATCTCAGTCACCAAAGGTTTCGGGTCAGTTTTAGCCCCTTTTCATGAAGTTTCCGTGGAGTTGATTTCATTGGAGAGCGGGATGTGGGTACGTAACTGTCGGTTTCAGCGGGCTTCCGTGCGGGCTTCCCGTCTGAAGGCATGAAGATCGATATGACAGTTAAAATATCAGCATGATGCCGTTCCAATACGGGCACTGCCTTCACAAAGGCTTTTATTTTTTTCCTTTTGAAAAGGTTCATTGAACTGGATATTAACAGTGCATATCTAACCATACGATTCCCATCACGAAACAAAAGGCGGCTGTCTTCCTCCACCAAAGGTATCACTCACTGCTGCATCCAAGGAGTCGGTGAGCCAGAAAAGATGTTCAGGAAGTTCAGAAAAAGCACAAGAGGAGGCAAGGCCACTCTGCCGGAAGGCGGGTCGTCGCATCACGTCTGTCACGAATGTGGACAGAGTCTGAAGAGCACAATCAACAGTCCCCCCGCAGACCAGGTCGCCGCCACACCATACAAGTCAACTTACCCCGAGAGTCGAGGTTCAAGTGACATTTCCAGCAGTTCGGATAGCGGCTACGGCAGCATGGGTAGCTCTCGGCATTCGGAAGCCCGATTGGACTTCAGCGACAACCATTCAACCACGTCGATTCCACTGCCCACGAGACGACCCACCTACAACTCCAGCATTTATTCAGACGCCAGCACGTTTGACCGGCCTGCTCGGCATCAAAGAATGGTGGAGCCGTCACAGGTCGCGACTCCCACCTACGATCATCTATTCGACTTGCCGCCTCGCACATTCACCAATTACTCCGAGAAATGGAAGCCAAAGTCACGCTATGCTAGGCTCAATGAGTTACCAGCCGCCAGCCCGAGAGCATTCGCATTCCCAGACGACGTTCTGGTTCCGAATACCGATGTCGAATCAGACCGGACTTCGACAGAGAAAAAGAGACGGTCGCTGATTCTTCGGCCCTCGTCGTTCCGAAGGCTGACAGCTCGCCGATCAAAAAGCCAATGAGTCATCGGGAAGAGAGCCAACCTGGCGTTTTGATTGCTTTCCGTGGGAATCGGTCACAGATGAAGCGCAAGTGGCGCACAGAAGCCTGGCAGGTGTTGATATGCATTTGCGGCTCAGGCATGACCAAGGATCGGTCGAATTATGCCACCCTGGATCCTGTCAAGCGGCGGTCGGCACCTGAGAAGAGGATCATTTTCGACTCGCAAAGATTGAATGCGCTACCGTGTTCGCTTGGGTTGGTGAGACGGACGAGCTCTTGTTGCAGGTCAGGACCAAAGTCCTAAGCGCGAAAAAATTTGAGGTTGAGAACTAAGGCCCACAGTGAACATGTAATGAAGTCTGCTCGGCTCCATCCAAGAAACGACTTGAGCAGCCCCGCGGGGTTTTGTTATAAGCAACCGACATTACCACAGTCCTCTCATTGGCTTATGGCTGATTCTTCGGTGGCACTGACTTGATACGAGATTAGCAATGACAACGCTCGATTTGAAGAGCAAAATTGTCCTCGCATGCACAATTGACCACTCAAGGTGATTTACTCGAGATTCTGTCAAATAGTTATGGACTGCTCGCTTTTGGACATGACACAAGCGAGACAGCCATACAGTCGGTCTCGCATGTTTGGGCCCGCTGGGTGGCAAGGGACTTGGCAGCGCCAAGAATAAGCGCGTGTGGCAGCCTCAACGTTCGTCCCAAAGATCGACGCTGTCAAAATCAGGACACCAATCCAATGATTGCGACCAGCCGCTTCTGTTTGATGCAAGACACATAAACATCCATGCATAGCGCATTTGGCAGTCTTGACAAGCGACTGTGAGCGTCCATGATCTCTTGGCTTTTTGTTGACTTGATGTTATTTTTAGCCCAGGCGATTGGAACGGCTCTCTAACGCGGCAAGCTCCGTCTCATCATCCACAAGCCCCGATGAAATCAAATGGGATGGCATTTGCGGGTCACTCGCCCTGCATTTGTGTTTGGTTCATCATAGTTTCACTGCCCGGGTTGAGACGAGTAGTACCCTAAAACAATTATTTGTCTACCAACTGTGGTCGAGTGATTATTTTTATCACGTTTCTGTGTAGCCCGAGTTCTTCATTAGCCAACGATTAGTTTTTGGAGAATAGGCAGAATAGTATCATGAACCCTCCAAGTATTGTGAGGCGCCGAGAAGGAGCCAAGCCAGCTAGGCTGTTTAAGCTGCTCACAGTTGACGTTCCACCTGGTGTTAACATTGTCATGGGTTCAAGACCTTCGTGATATTGTGTCGTAGCTTTTGTGGAAAGATTATAAAGATGTAGCAATCCCCTGGAGTACTGATGAGAATATTTATTCAAGCTTCAGTGCCTTCTCACGGGCTAGTCACATTCATCTCTCCTCCATATATCATTTCCTATCTTTGTATATACGGACATCAGACTGTAGTCAAGGATGGCCAGACTTCACAACCCCCTGCCCTTATTTCTCGTCCTCCTCCTGTTGTCAGTGACTACTGTCGCTCAGGATGATGACGAACCAACTTCATCCACCTCTCAAGTGTCGACTGCGTTCACCGAGGCTGTGACAGGCCTCACCATGGAACGCTTTTTTGGTGCACGCACAACGTTTGGATTCGCGATGACAATGCCAGAGACACCTGTTGACTCTTTCATTGGACAAATGACGTTCCCGCTAGTCAATGGTGCAGGCTGGGGTGCCATAGGGCTCACTGGGGAGATGGAGAATAACTTCTTTCTCGCGGCTTGGCCAGATGGCGCCGGCGGTGTTATGGCTTCGTTCAGGCAAGGCACCAACGAAGATGATCCACCTGAGGTAGTGGGGAAATTTGCCGTCCGCCCCATCGCACAAGCCACCACAGTCAACAACACATTCCTCTCATTCACGTTTGTGTGTGAAGGATGTCTGGACACGGCATTGGGTCTTGGTGCGGAGGCAACAGTGACGGATGGTGTGATGGGATGGGCATTATCTGAGCAGGCAGTGGCGGATCGAGCCTCGCCGGACGCACAGCTTGGCTTCCATGAGAGAGGTTTTGGGCCGTTCACCATGAGATTAGGACAAGCCCGGAGTACATCGTTTGAAGCGGTTGCTGCTCAGGCCGGAGGTGCTATACCAGCTTCAAGAAATGCTAGCCCAGTTGCATTGAACGTCGCGGGTGGTGACGGTGGGCAGGAAGAGGACGAAGGGGATGATGATGATGATGACAAAGTCGGAACCGGGAACACGGCAAATGGTCAGTCAGACGACGAGGCCGATGATGATTGAAAAAAAAATCCAATGCAGGAAATGGCCTATCGCTCATGTGCGCGGTCATCGAAAGATGGATGACCCTGTAAGGTTTGGGAACTTTAAACCGTTTTAAGCTTCGATTCACACATTTCTCACCAATTTGCAAATCTTGGCATATTCAGGCCGCACTCATATCTCTTGTGACCACCAAGCTCGTGTTCACAAGTCAGGCTCCAGAGCCTGTGCCCTGTATTCATGCATTGTAACCATCCATGGATGGGAAGGTGGTTCCAAGGATTCAGCAATCCTACCTCTAGAGTTGACATTTGTAGCAATCACAGTCTCCTCCCCCTCTCCCAAGACTAAGGCAGTGTATCCACTCTAGATGATTGGATTACTCGCTCTCAAATCGATCAAACCTCATAAAATGGTATCAGTTGCGATCATGGCAGATAGTATGGTCGGGACGGTGTCTCTTGTCACGGCCCGAGGGGACACAAATTCTTGGCAGTGTCTACCCCCGCTCCTTTCCCATTCTTTTTCAACAAGGCCATATAGTGGTAGTACCGGATTATTCGACAGACATCTCTTGTCGCTATATGCCATGCTGAAGACAGCAAATCATTAAAAGGATAGCGTTTTTAGCAGCACTTGAATGGGACTGGCCCTCTCTGCACGATGGTCACAGGGATGAAGGATCCTACGTGATGCATTTATGGTTGTAGCTGAGGTAGAAACCGAGTTTAGTGTACTCGATTTAATTTCATAGAACCGGAGTAACTTACAGATGATAAAATCGAGCCTTAGATGGCTTCTCAAGGCCATCAACTCGCTGGTTGCAGGACTGCACGTCTTACAAGAATCCTCGTGACGAGACCCAAGGACATAGCCGCGGCATCCCTGACTCATAGCATCTGCAGACTGTAGACGCGTTTGTTAGGGGCTGAATTGCGTTCATTTCCGGGCGCTTACCCGGGCCTCGAACCAGCCAAACTGACAGGAGAAATGCACATGTGCCCCAGGTGGCTGTGGGTACCGAGATCTAGCGCCTTTTTAGCGAGTCCACCATGGACCAAAGTCGTAATCGAATTGCAACATTGAGGTCGAATTGGGATCCTTCCCCGTCCTTCAATGAGGCACAGCACCGAGTTGACAAGGGTGCTCGATCCTCATATGGGCCCGAACGGGAAGATTGAAAAACCTCGTCACGAAAAGCTGGGCATAAAAACATGTGCAGTTCCGTAGACGGCGATGCGGACGCCACTCATCCCTACTCCAAATCTCCTCAAGCGGCTCCTGCATCTTCCCAAAATGAGGAAAACATTAAGGAGAATATTTAGCCGTCGCCCGAAGAGCACTCCAGCGGCATTATGGCCGGCGGGCAAGTACCCGAACCCGAAGAGAGCATCAGCTCCACCTGTTTTCGGCCGAGTTTACAGCGTGGACGAGAGAAGCACCTTTGCACAACCCGATTCCTCCGAGCACGAAGCTCGGTACCACGCCACAACACAATGGGTCCTGGCGACGGCCCAGGAGGAATTTTCAGACCCGTCTAGGATTTCATCACGCATCAATCACTTCAAAACCGCAGAGCGATGGCTTCAAGCGAATTTTTCCCAGAGAGTGGTCGACGCCGGGGCATTTCCCGGAAATATGGAGTTACTTGATGGAGTACGCAAGGAAGACACCCGTCTCTTTGTGGTAATGGACCCGGAAGACTCGACTCATTATATCGCTGTCAACCTCGTGATTTTTTACACCGAAACGAATGCGCAACTTGGCCACAGGACCCCAGAGGAGTCCATTGTGGTTGCAGAGGATGCATTAGCACATTTGCTAAGACAGTGGCAAGGCAGCGGGACGTCTGATGGATTTCTTGCTATTGTATCTACGAGCATGGGTACATCTATACACACATTCAAGGCTAAAGAGGGCTTGGTAAGCTTGTCTGTCTGAAAAAGCTGCTGAGTAGAGGGGAAAACATTTTCAAGCAGCATGCCACGCATTGTTGGTGCGCATTGGACATTAAGCTCGGAGTTGATGGAGTTTGGACCAGCGAAATGATGACGTCGAATTTAGCTATTGTATTGATGGTTTCATAGCGAATAATGTCTATTCACATTGCAACGCGGAGCATCTCTTATATTCATTTGTCCTGGGATTATGCGCTTGAAGAGAGACCTCCAATAATCACGATCCCACCGTCTCTAGCAGAAACAAATCTCTTCGGTTTCAATGAACTTCCGTGGCAATTGCTCGTGCGCAAAGTGGCTACGAGTCCCTTGAAATCAGATGGTACTTCGCAGAGCCAGCCATAGGCTCACAACATGTCATACTACAAACAAACGGATTCACTTCCTCCGCTCGCCTTTGGAGTCTAGTGTTTGGTATATTGTCGAACAGCAAGCTGAACACTTAGGGCTTGTGGGCCCTTGCCCGCTTTGAAATTTGCTCTAGCTTCCTATGCTCTCGCTCTTTCCCTGCTTCCGATCCGGCTTTACTTTGAAATAATTTGGGCTCGAAGTAAAGAGTGCTACATTATAAATGTAATTCAATATATGTACGACTCAGGTCGTGGATAGTTTGGAGGTATGAGTCTAACAATGTGTATCTATAGTTTATTCTTCTGGGAACGTGCCATAGTCCGATTGTTCCAAACACGGTGGTCAGCAAATAGCCTTTCCTGGTAGTCATCCACAAACCAGATGATAGTTTCGGTGTGCTCAACAATTTGCGGATCATTTCATCATGTCAGAAATTAGAGGGCAACCAGTTTTCCCAAAGATGAGACCTAGGCCATGGGTAAGGGCGAAAGGTAATTATTATCTGTTCTGTCAAATTACCGAATGTTTACTTGGAGTACTTTGCTATAGAAAAGATTCAAGATGGAACAATCGGTTTTCGTGTATGTAGTTGTTTTCACATTTTGGATTTGCGCCGCGTTTATCGAAGACCCAACTTGTCAGCCACAGCTGGAAGCACGGCAAGCGCATTACGCCCGTTAATTAACGACATTTCTTCGGGGCTGAAATTGCCATTAGAATTTATGACTTTTAGTCCGGACTCGGCCTGAGGTTGATGAACATATGGGTCTGTTGATCGTGAATGATCATATTAGCGGAGGAAAGAGATACTGCTGGTCTGGAACACTCACAATCCGTCCCCACGACAATCTTACTGACATCCCCACCGTAGAACTCTTTCATGCCCAACAATTGGGCTGCCGATGTTGCGCTGGCAGTGTCGAAGAGATACCCTTGGAATTGTGCCAGCGTCTCTGATGCATTGACAGTTCCCTTGGAGACTAACTCGGCCTGCCCGGCGATCCTGTTGGCCACGAAAGGCATCGCCCCGCCCCCGTGAGCAAATATAAGTTTAATGTTGCTGTAATCTCTCCGTTGCCCGGTGAGAAGTAGGTTTTCCATGGCGCGAACTGTGTCAAAGGGGTATTCACTCATTCCAGGTGGGTAACCAAGTGCCGCACCGGCACAGCCGGGTGCTTCTGGATGAGTGAAAGCAGTCGCCGAGCGATTGTTGAGAAGGGCGAAAACAGGATTCAGGAGTCTGTCGCCGAGATAGGTCCCGTTCACATTAGTGTATAGACCTACGCCATCAAACTTAAGCGTGTCGAGGCAGAACTGCAACGATGAATCAGCGGGTCAGTGGTGCTCTTCTCGGACTACTTTCATCCAAAGTAAGGGCTTCATAGGATATATGAGGACGTCGTACTTCGATTTCTTCGAGGGCCAAGTCGATGTGCGGCAACGGCAGCACACACATCGCTCCAAGTCTGGTGGGATACGTCTGTGTATAGTTGTACATAGCCAAGTTGAGATTCCTCGCCAACTTGCTGGCTGCTGTCCCATTCGCTGCAAGAAAGTTGACCCCTGGTGCACTGATAGAGAGTATAGAATAATTGACCTGGTTCAGGTCCATAGCCTCGATGTGGGTGGCCAGGTCCCATGAGGGAACTGGGAATCCGCTTGTGTACACTGTTCCGTTGGTGACTGGGTATCCGGCTTGTATAAGGGCTTCTTTGTAGAGGTCGGGAACGACGTGGGAGTGAACGTCAAGACGAAATGAGCTGGACGTGGTGGAAAACAATGGCGCGGCTGAGGTGCTGCGAGCCAACAGGGCCGCAACCAAGCTTAGAAAGATAATAGCCACCATGTTGATAAAATGCTCACCGGCTGTTGAGGTTCCAGGGGATGGGAAGTGTCTAGGCAGTCGATTAGTCTTCACAACCGACAACAGTGGGCGAGAAAGAGTGGACGATGTGAATTCACTCGGCCATGATACCACTTGAACTTGAAAGCTTGGCTGATATAGTTATGTTCCTGAGGACGAGTCGATTTACCGCTTTTTACTACACAGTTCTAGTCCAAGTGCTAAGTGAGTCAGAGAGTCCCACGGACCTCGAAGCTGCGTGCGTATGAACGGAGCCAGCTAAAGTGTTTTGACTTTTGGAGCGCAACGTACCCGTTCGTCTTAGGTCAAGGACTGCATGCGTCGCGCGTCGGGAGATTCAGTTCGTTGTTGCCAGAATCTCTTGTTGACTCGTCCCTTGACACAGAATTTCAATCCCACGCGTTCTCAATGGACGTTAAGCTTTTTGACCAAACTTAATATAAGTCAGTTTCAAGTATAAAAATGAACCCATGTCGAACCTGCCACCGATTTACAGGCTACAAACGATATCACAAAACATTTGTGGCATATATCAGGAAAAGGAATTTAATGTCGCATTTCAAGGTGAAAGTCATGGAATTCGCACTTGACTAAAAATGTGCTGCAATTCAATGCCATGGATTCGCACTATCACTTCAGTGTGCAAAGGCAGATTAGTCACAGATGTTCGTAGCCTCGATCGTCAGATGCAATTCAGGTTTAGTTGAGTAATACACTGTGCCCATTCGGTGTCAATGGAGCGTTCCTACTTTCCCCCGGAACGGGTCAGGTAAGCTTGTCAACGCGAAGAGGTAGACAAATCAAGTCATGTGTGGCGCTGCATCCACCATTTACGAATTATTCATCGTACACAGGCAGTCACTGCAAAAGCTGCCCGCAAAAAGAAATGCTATCATTCAAGGGTATTGTTCGCTTCAAGACACTTGAGCGATCCGACTATGGATCAATAGGAAGGAGGGCAGAGGCGGGCTTCGGGATCATTTCAGACTAACCGAACTGTATATGCACCTCCATTTCCAACCATTTGCCAATGTGATGATCATGCGAGCCTTCTGCACGCGCAAGGCAGAAGCATTATCCGGGGCCGGATTGGAGCTAGAACCGGCGCTATTCTGCATCCTTACTTTCCAGGCACCGGCTTACCTGGGGAGGCGGATATCACTAATCAGCCAAGTTGCTGAGGATGTGTTGCGTATAAAATATCAATGCTTCCATAAACTTCTCGTAGTATTTCGGTGCCACGAGTTCGCACGTTTTGAAGTGTTGCCCAGACTATTCACACTGCCCCACCTAAGACGGGCCGGCCCCCTTCCCGTCACGTCATGTCATCAAAATGTACAACAACCAGGCCGACTCAGTCCTCTTCGAGACCCCCGGCGAGATCCGAGAGGTCATTTATTCCTTCGTTCTGACCTTCCGCTATGGCGACTTCGAGTTCAGCAGCAGGCCGTTCTTCGTGTTCTGGGGGGAGCGCAAGTTCTCCAGACCACTGCCCGCGCTGATGCTGACCTGCAAGCGAGCATACGCCGAGCTACAGGCCAGGGTCCACGAGGAGGCTATCCTGCGGGCGTGCATGTTTGAACACGGCAAGAGGATCGGGCTCGCCGTGCGTGGGAGCCTGAGGATACCCCGGCTGCGAAGGCTCGTGTTCCATGTGGCAATGGAGCACGCCAACTGGAACACCTGGATCAAATTCTTTGGTCATGTCTTGGAATCTGCGGAAGGGCTGAGGGAGTTGGTGATTGACTGGGAGCCGAGGAGATCCCCTTCGACAACGCGGGTTGGTTTTATGGCCCAGCACGAGGACAGGATGGAGAAGCGATTGTTCGAGGCGGTTGCGGGGGCTCGGCACCTCGAGAGTCTGAGGATTCATGGCGACATCCCGGCGCATTGGGCCAAGGAGCTCGAGCAGATGCTGGACGGAAGCGTCAAGATGGTGTGTTTGAAGGAGAGGTGGTGGCTAGAGGATCGGGAGAGTGCTTGATGGCCCGCAAGTAGTCATCAAGTGTCATGTTTTCACCCAAAACATGAGATATTCCAGACAGGGACTTCAGGAATGGACCTGAGCCCCTCGGCGTTGAGAGGCGGCGACGATGCAATATTTTGTATTTTCGAGACCATTCTCCACATCACATGTGATTTCTATTCCGATGCTGTGGCTCGAGCTTCGAACCTTGAGAGGATCTCCGGTCAGACGCACAATCACAGTAGGCCACGGCTCATGGGCTGACAGGATGACTGCAGGTGCTCTGGACCACAGTCGAGCAACGGCGAGTCAACCTAAGTCGTCTGAGAATAAACAAGTAGTCTCATGTTGGTAGGTGCCATGCCAGGTGTTGAAGGCAACGCGTGGATGTGGTCACGAAGCCCATGATTCTCTATTGTTGACCAAAGCCCTCAACTTCTTGGTCCTTCTGTCTTTTTTCTGTGCGGCACCAACCGAGCCATGCCATCCGGGGAAACCCCTGGTCGTGATTGCAGGCATGCACGCAGCGAACGCCGATCACCAGACGCGTGGGCGTGACAACAGGCAGGACTGGGTGGGCAAGCAATGAGCAGATGCTTGTGCTATCTCCTGTGCACAGCACAGTGTTCCACGGCTCCGAGGCGGCCCCAAGGTTGCATGTGAGGAGGGGTCAAAGCTGCAGATGAGCCATGGTCAAGCTTCTCGGGTTAGATCTGACGCCTGGGGGGGGGGGGCCTCCACAAAGCTTGTCTGGACTGTTCGAGCCGCGGTGGACAAGCTGAACGCATCGCCAGGGTGTGACCTAGCTGGCGGGCCGAGTTACACAGGGCTGACGGCGCACACGGTAATTTACCTAGACATGTGTGTGTGCCCCCGACCAGGTGGATTCTCGTGGTCGTTGGCGTTGGCGTGGGCATGGGCAATATACCTGCACGTGAGATGAGGTCGAGATGGCTGGTCATCTTTTCGTAGCAACATGTAGTAGTCTACATATGCTAGCCAGTAGCTAGCCGGCAGCCAGCCATCCTTGTCCATACAAGGAAGTTTAGGTTGTCGCAGTCCGCAGCAATATCCAAGGGGAACAACGAATTACCTGCCTGCCTGTCTTTACCTAGGTACCTAGGTAAGTTACCTGTATGTGTTGCAATCGTGGCAACTTTTGAGTGTCGGTCTGTGAAGCGAAGCAAGTGACGTTTCGGCTGGGCTCAAAGAAGCAAAGAATTGAGTAGGAGGACCGAGAGAGCCGGGGTGAAAAATGAGACGAGATGAAATGAAGATTGGCGGTTGCTTCCCGTGCAGCCAAATTTCAGGGTCTCAAGTCATCTCCACTTGAGCACTGCATGTGCTATCTATCGCCTTGCACTACTAGAGCTATCTATATATATATCACGGCAGCAGAGCGCAGTACATAGTCTAATTTGTACCGAGATGACGTTTTATGCAGGGCACATTGGAGTTGGTAGGCAGTCTCAAGTCTCCATGCAGAAAGTGATTAGATACTGTGGACAACGTGTGTATCTGGTGGGGAAATGGCAAGATGGATTGAACTGGAGTACAGTAGACCGACCAAACTGAATTGGTGTTCCAAGGTTTTGGTTTGGGTCAGGGTTGAGGAACATTGTATCGTCATATCTGCAAGGTCTGGTGGAGCTGTGTTCAAGCGTTTTTCGCGCCTTTTTTGGTTTTTTCTTTTCTTCTATTTTCTGCCTCATTCTGCCGTGCTGTTCACCGCTTCTGTTCCTGGGTGCTGAGTGCTGCTGGCAAAAGGAGAAGGGGAAGGAGAGAAGAGGCGAAAAGGGCAGGCGGTGAAAAAAAAAAAAGAGAAGCTGCCAGTCTAGTCGAGTGAGACCCCCACGTGCAGCCAGCGCCAGCGCCAGCGCCTGCCCAGTCAGACTAGCAGACAAAAGCCGGTCCAGCAAATCTGCAAATCCAGCAAGTCCTGCAGGTGCATCCATCATCCCCTGGGCAGCCCCTGCCTTTTCAAGGGTCCAAGGGTTGGTTGGCCAGGTTATGGCACTGGTTGGACACTTGTCCCCATCTTCCCCGTCAGCACCTTCCCAGCTTTCCACGGCCGATCCTCACCTGCCGCGGCAGCTGCCCCTGTCTTTTTTACAGGCGATGACCCTGGCACGGCACAGTCGAGCCTGGCAGTGCCTGGCAGGGCAGAAGAGAGGGAGACTGACGGGTCCTGACTGTATACTACTGTGACTACTGCACTCACACACTCACACTCACAGTGATGTACTGTACTGCAGTAGTGGGGTCTCTCTTCTTCAACTTGATCTCCCCCTGTTCTCATTTTGATTGCTCCGTTAATTTTGGTACCACTGCGAAACCGCCTTGATGACGTGCCGTTTCGGCTAAATTTCTTTCTCGGGAGGCCGTGTGCTTGGGTGCTACACACACACGTTCTGCCGCCTCTCTCTCTCACTCTGCAGTCACTCTGTCTCCTTTGAACCAAGGCAAGCCAGCCCGCCACAAGCCCAAGCCCGCCCCCCCCCCAGGCCAAACAGGTACAGGCTATCCAACCACAATCCCGGCAAAGCCTGTCGAATTCTGTCCCAATTTTCTCCTGAACGAAGCAGACGACAGATCCTAATCTCCTTTTTGGGCCCATCTTTTGGACCCTCGACCTCTTGACCTCGACTCGTCCTCGTCCACGACCACGACCACGACCCACGGCCCACAACCCACCAACACCATCCACACTCCCCATCCAATATCGTCATCAATTCCCTCGTCCCCAGAGACTGACATTCTTTTTTTCTTTTCCCTTTGCCTCTCTCTTTAATCCTCCCACCTCTCCTCCCCCCTCCGCCCCTTCGGATTGACCATCCGCGACCCTCCATCCCCCTTCGACGACTCGACTCGACTCTATCGACCGATCAGAGCCACACCAGCAGCTGTCACCATGTCTGCAACAAAGGAAAACCAGCGCGACTCGGGCGAGGAGGACAGGAAGCTCGAGAGCGGAGTCCTCCGACAGGACGCCGCTCCTCCTGCTCCCAAGTCCAGCGGCCTTCACCCCGCCGTCTACATCGCGTACGTGCCAACTTTGACGCTCAATACTGGACCGGGCCAACTGCCACTCTCTTCTTGACGTGGCGGTGGCTGCGGCCGTGGTGATGGGCTCTGCATAGCACCAACTGCAATACTGACACGTCCCGATACAGTGTCTGGATTGCCTGCAGCTCGGGCGTTATTATCTTCAACAAATGGGTTCTGGCAACCGCAAAGTTCAGTAAGTCCACCACAACAACCTCCTGGCCGCCTCGAGAGACAACCTGTCTCGTCTTCTCGCCTCCAATTTGCAATCGCTGACACATTATCTTTATCGCACAGACTTCCGTAAGACCTCGATTCCCCCGACCCGCGAGACCACCAGCTCGCTCCCGAGACCGAGACCCTCAACTGACATGACTGTGTGACAGCACTCTTCCTGACGACATGGCACATGGTCTTCGCCACCACCATGACCCAGATCATGGCCAAGTGCACCTCCACCCTGGATTCCCGGCACAAGGTCCCTATGAACACCCAGACTTACATGTGAGTCCTGCCTTGCCTAGAACCGCGCCCGGTGAAGGACTGAAGGGCAATGGGGAGGAGACGACGGAATCGATGCTAACGCTCGGCCACCGCTCAGGCGCGCGATTGTCCCCATCGGCATCATGTTCAGCTTGTCCCTGATCTGCGGAAACGTCGCCTACCTCTACCTGTCTGTCTCTTTCATCCAGATGCTGAAGGCCACCAACGCCGTTGTCACTCTGTTCGCCACCTGGGCGTTCGGCATTGCCCCACCAAACATGAAGGTCCTGGGAAATGTCGGTATCATCGTCCTTGGTGTTGTTATCGCTTCCTTCGGCGAGATCAAGTTCGACCTGGTCGGCTTCGTTTGTATGTGATTGTGGTTCTCCGGCTGACGATTCTTCCTTTTGCATCGCCTTCCGGCTAACTTGTGTGCTTTAGACCAGGTCAGCGGTATCGTCTTCGAGGCCCTGCGTCTCGTCATGATCCAGCGCATGTTGAGCTCCGCTGAGTTCAAGATGGATCCTCTCGTTTCCCTGTACTACTACGCCCCGGCCTGTGCTGTTATCAACGGCGTGGTCACCCTGTTCGTTGAGGCCCCCCGCATGACTATGGGCGATATCTACGGTGTCGGCATCTTCACCCTCCTCGCCAACGCCTTTGTTGCCTTCCTGCTCAACGTCTCTGTGGTCTTCCTGGTACGTAATACCTTGCCCTCGTATTAATATTTTGCTCTGCGTTGCTAATCAGTGTGGCAATCTAGATCGGAAAGACTTCCGCCGTTGTCCTGACCATGTCCGGTATCCTCAAGGACATCCTTCTCGTCATCGCCTCCCTTGTCATTTTCCAGGACCCCGTCACTCTTCAGCAGTACTTCGGCTACTCCATTGCTCTCGGTGGTCTCTGCTACTACAAGCTCGGTGCCGAGAAGCTTCAGTCCACCTTCGTCGATGCGCGCCTCTCACTTGCGACCATGCGACAAAACCACCCGGCTCGCGCAAAGGGTGCTGTAGGCTTCATGGTTTTCGCCGGCATCCTCTTCGGAGCCTACGTTTTCTGGCCGAGCCTGCACATGTCACCCCCGGCCGCCATAGCACCCTCCACTTAAAGGCTCATAGGAAAGGGCTATTGTCGCCTGGAGCCCCAACTTCTCGGGTCGGCGTTTTGATGAGGTTGGATTCGTGCTGGGGACGGTCAATTGGAGGGCAATGACTCAACAGGAGCACATGATGGGTAAAGATTCATTACGGGGCAGCAGTCTGGGACGTTGCTTATGACTGGTATAGACTTTTCGGTTGTTTTGTGGCCACCGCCAATGGTGGCTGGGCGTTGGCATTACGCGACATGGTCCCTCGGCATGGAGCTGTGCTGGGAGGACGACTGTACATTGTCCTGGGTGTGCTTCGATTTAGACTGCATTTTCGGGCCACGGGGGCCCTCTGATCAAAGCCCGTTCATCTGTAGATTATGTGGTAGATAGGATCGCACACAGTTCTGATGTCTCAAATAAAACTGCTTAATGAAGGATTTACGTCTCTCTCTGCGGACGGTAAACATCAGATTCCAGGCACAAAGTTGGCTTACAGCGCACGAAACAAGAATCAAACAATTGTGTGCTGGCACGATTGATCGTCTCTGGAAAAGGCCAAGAAAAGGCCAGGAATTTAAATACTACATAATGCAGACCAAGCTACGGAGCTCTTTGATATTGCCGACCAAAAATTAATTGAAACTGGGTTTGGTCCAAGTGCTATTCATCTTCTAATTCCCTGGAAAGTCTCTTGAATAGTTGGTGGCACCCTGTCGATGCTCGTGCGCTTGAAGCCGTGGGCCCGCATAATGACTGATTGATATGCACATATTGTCCGCTCAGGAGTCTCATCTCTACTCCTTCTTCTTGTTGAAATTGGGCAGAGCCAGCCAGAGCATCACTAAGACTCCCAGCAATGCCAAGATGATAGGTTGGAGCACGCCGACGCCCTTGGACTGGGCGATGGCACCAACAGCGAAAGGCAGGACGGCCCCACCCCCTCCGCCGAAAGCAGCAGCGAAGCCGACCGCGCTGATGTGCAGGTGCTTGGGCAGTGACTTGGTGGCGGCGACGACCACGGCCGGAAACAGGGGGCCGAGGAAGAACCCTTGCAGCGCCACTGCAACAGCAGAGACGATGAACTGCGGGACGAGCCAGAAGAGGAGCTCGAGGCCCATGGCCGCCGGCAGATAAATCTGATCGAAAGATTTAAGTACGGAGAGTATGTTACGTGGGGGCGGAAGGAATGTTACTGACCATGAGAGCCAATCTCTCACCGAGCATGGGCGTGATGAAGCCGAGGACGACCCGTCCGGCCGTGATACCAAGCCAGAAGCCGGTGGCAGTCATGCCCGACGCGAAAGCCCCGCCGTTCCGAACCTCAATCATGAACTTGACGACCCAGCCACCAAGAGCCACCTCGACGCCGACGTAGCACAGCAAGAAGGCTGCGCACAGCCACGTGACGCGGGCGGCGGGCATCCTGAAGAGCGCCTCGCGCAGGCTCGAGTTGCCGGCGCTGTCCGTGGTCTTTGGGTGCGCGTCGCGGAACACCTTGCCCGTGGCCTTCCAGAAGGCCGCCAGCCCGGTGACCAGCTCAATGGTGGAGACGCCGATCATAACGTAGTAGAAGTGGTACCACTGCAGGCCTGCCTTGGTGATCATGGACGTCGCGATCAGCGGGGCGAAAACGCCGCCGGCGCCGTAGAAGCCATGCATCACACCCAGGAGCTCATTTGCTTGAGCCATAGCCCCGATCCCTTTTTCGACCCAGGTCAGCTATGAAAGGCACTAAAAGAAATATCGTGCCCGCCTTGGGAAGTTCCAGAAAACCCGTCGTCTCCGGGGGGCTACTTACACGCGTTCCAGGCGGCATCGCCCAGCCCGTTGCCAAAACCCGCCAGCATGTAGACCACGACGAGGACGGGGTACGGCGGGTGCTGCGAAGCGATGACGTACGCGACGATGTGGCACCCGGCACAGAGGGCGGCGATGCCGCGCTGGCCAAACTTTTGGTGGAGGGTGTTGTTGAGAATGGCAGAAGCACTGTACCCAACAAAGGGCGACAGGAAGATGAGCGAGACGAGGGTGTACTCAAGCCCGTAGTAGGTGCCGAGGTACGGAATGACGGCGCCGTAGGCAGCGTCGTTCATGCCCATGACGAGCAGCGACCAGAAGGCGGCGAGGACGCGGCAGACGTTCGCTCGCGACTGGTTCCATCTCTCGACGGTGTGTGATACGGTCGTCGGGACGGGCAGGGAGGAGATAATTTCCTGGGAACCGCGAGGCTCGTCTTTGCTTCCTCGGGGACTTGCATTACCAAGCGTCCTGCCTGGGTAAGAAGGGCCTGTTGCATTGTCCGAAGGCTGCTGTTCGCCTAGTGGAGACGGGCCATTGAGCTTGTGCACAGGAGCATTCTGGAGCTCGATGGTTGCGGTTGAGGAGCCGGTTGACATGGCGAACTCTTTGAACCACCTAAGGCGTTTTCAAGTCCGGTAAAAGGACAGATCTAGATGAGGTTGGTCCAGAATCTATGCACACGCAAGAACAGAGCAGGTCTGAATAAAGGGAGAATTGCAATATGACCCTGGCAGGCTGTATAACAACTCCAGGCTCCGAAACTAATTTAGGTGGGACCAGCACAGCTTTTATGTGTCCATACGCGTGTGCCTGTACGAACATATACAGTCAAATAGGATAGTATCGGGACTACGAGGTGGATTGGCAAATGCTTGTGGCGGTGTCGTCAAGTCAAGTCGAGTTTACGTAGGCATCATAGTGGAGCAGGAATTCTCGCTGATATTCTAGCGCTTCCTTGGCATGCCTCAAGCTCTTTGGGGGAAGCGGAAGAGTCAAACGGCCAGTTGCCAAGAAGCGGCACCGTGAGACTTTAGCCCTGACGATCTCTGTGGAGAACCCCTGCGAGGGCAAAGCCGTAGCGGACAACAGTCAACTGAGACTGACTGAGAGCACCACCGCCAGTGTGGCCCCGTCGTCGGCTTAATCCGGCTAAACATCGGCATGGCTTTATTGTTTTCGGACAGCAGACGAGTTTTTGATTATCAATCCCGGCCCGCCCTCGGCCCGCCGTCCCTTCTTACTCTCGCACCTCATTGGAATGTAGTCACACGGACAAACTGAACAGCCTGTCATCAAGCGAATCCGAGGACACACAAGACAGCGCCCCGTCTGCTCACGAGTCATATTCTACACTGATCTTGTCAGCTTGTCGTCCTCGGAATTCCGGCAGCCTCGATCTATGTCCTTGGACGCAGAGCTTGCAAGATTCAGACTTGACTAGGCTGTTAGGACGATATTCTTCATCGAGTTAATAGCTACAACCTGGCTTGACAACCTGAGAGAATATGCAATACCAAGTTTAGGTCGAAACAGATGGCCGGGTAAACACTCATGCTTACCAATAGGTCACAAGTCCGCGGGGGTGCAACTAAGACTGTGAGATGCGTGGCCCGGCTTGCATGCAATGAGTCACTTGAAGGAGTGTTAAAGAAAGCTAGTAAAATGATTGCTGACGAGCTAGATAACCAGTGCAGACCTCCCGTCGCTGCTGAAGACTTCACCTCTGACCAAAATTGCGCTGCCCAACGCCGTAACACAGCTCGGAAAAGTCTCTGCCCAAGCGATGGATAGCATGTCAAATTCAAAAATTCTGATCTGGTCGCAATCGCCTCAAAACGTTCCAGTGACCCAGAGCACGCTGGTACCAGGAGTATGTTAACTTGATTCGTACATTTGCATTGCTGTTCAAAGCTGAGTACTCTTGGGTTTCGAAGTGACACTATTTCACAAATTAAAAAAGGTAATAGTTTGGATACGAATTTGATTTCACAGAAATCAGGGAGGGCTTTCGTGGACATGGAGAGCCAGCATCCTTGCACGCTTGCGAAATTGACTAAAAGTTGCTTTTTCCGTTGAGTTTCGCTATGTAAGTACTCTGAAAAGGGTTTTCCATTCCTCCTCCTCGTTAAAGATCCCCGGCTCAAACGATTCTCAAAGAATTGTTTCAGATACAATTCTTTCGCTGTCCCTCCTCGAATCTTTCGATGTGCTTAAATGTGGCTAAACAGCTTGTAGAACAATGACAAGACAAACTTGTACTAGTCCCGTTGTGTTTCCCGAAATGACTGACTACTTCGTTCACTGAGCATCAAAAGTCTTTCAAAAATCGCACGTAACCTCATCGACGGTTTCAGGTAGTCGTGGCATCAGGCGGCGGGTAAGCCTGGCTTGCATCGAGAAATGTCAGAACACAACGCTCAACTTCGTCAATCAGGACCTTCGCTCTTTTTTATCTCACCAAAGCTTCAGAGGCGGTCAGTTTAATTAGCCTGCGGCCACACACCACGTGATTTGCGCGCACGTATTAAAGTACCTCGGCACAACAGCCCATGATTCAAGCTGTGTTGAGCATTGTCCCGCTATCGTCATTGATTATCATGAAATTAGGGGATGGGTTATGACTGTAAGCTATGTATGAATAGAACAAGTTGTGTTGGGAGCAACTAAGTGCGCCCTGTCCTCAAAGCAACAGCTGACCTCAAATATCTATTTACACAATCGAGTCCGTCTCGAAGTAAGGATTATTGGGATCATAAGGAAACTTGCGCACAACTACATCGCCAGTGTAACCCCATAGATCGGCCTCGCCTGGTGCGTAGTTAATTTCGCATGATTCTGATTCAACCTTCTGGCCAAACAGCTCCACCGCAGAAGTATTGCCATTGCTGTAGTCGATGCGAACCATGTTAACAGTATTGCGGCTCTGGTCAATGGTAAAGTAATTGCTTGGCATGAATTGCATTCCGGAGTGAGCCGTGGTGAACACTGTGTTAGGCAGGTCGCCAGTGTGCGGAACTACCGATTGATCTCAGCATAGTCCAAATTAAAAGACCCAAGGAGGGAACCTTACCATGGTGCATTCCCAGGTTGAACCAGACGACCAGGTCTTCTTGCTCTAGACTCTCGCCGTCGAAAAACGTCTCGAAATTGACTGGAGGGTCGTGTACGTCTTGGCTGTTGTACGCGTGGGCGCTTTTGGGCTCAGTGTCCTTGCGTTTCGTGACTTGCAGATCATACTCCGCCCAATGCGCTGCATTGACCAAGTTGCTGCTGTTCTGAACAGTCAAGTGCGCTAGGCCGGTATATGGTAAGACTAAAATGGGTCAGCGTTGCTGTATTTCACAGCCTCCCAGGGCAGTACGGAGGTCAGTAAAGAATTAACTCACTTCTATATCCGCGATATTCACCATATTGGTTGGTTTCGTTCTGATTCACAACGAGCACCTGCGTTTGTCCATTGAAATCCCAATTGAAGCGGCCGTCATCTTCAGTCTCGATAAAAGACCGCTCCAGCTTCATCGTATTGCGAGTTTTGTTTCCTGACCAGGGATACGTCGTTGTAACCGGCTTCTGAGTCATCAGCTGAACACTATTGTCTGTGCCGAGGATGTCCTATAAAGCCTTCGTGTCAGTAATCCGCGAGATACAATGTTTTCAAAGGCAGGAGTCACGAGAATGCCCACACGACGGCAGCAGGATGGGCTAATGTAGCACAAACACGACGATGAGTGTAAATATCGGGATGTGTATCGCGGAGACATTCTAAGAATAGAGCTGATACACGATGATCAGGGCAAGGATAGAAAATTCCACTCACAAAATCAACTTTCCAATTGAGCACGTGATCATGCATCGATCCGCTCAGGTGGTCGTGTATCTGAAATCCGTAGTCTTGATTTTGGGCGAAATAGGCAGATTGGATATAGCCGGAGGCACGGACCTCGACTGCCATCGAACCATCCATGAAGAAAGTATAGGTGAACATGTAGTCGTAGTTGCCGACTGTAGACACGGAACGGACAGAGAAGTAGGTATTCTTAGTCACCGTCACGTAGTTCTTGGTGCTGTGGCGCTGGATGGGGAAGTCGGCATCATATTCAAACAGGCAGATGCTGTTGACGTGGGTGTGCGTTGTCTCAGAAACGTAGAAGGATGTGTTGAGGTATGTCGCGTACGTCGGACAGTCATATCCCGGCACGAGTTCAAAGGCGTACGGCCCAAAGCCATAGTACGTATCGAGGTAAGACGTTCCAGACTGGACGGGATCATTGCCAGCGTAGTGAGCAAGGGCCTCTTGTAAAGCCAGCTCGTATATCAGTCGCTCTCCCTTGTAACGAATGTCATGGAGTGAGATTCCGGTATCGCGCGAGAATCCTATGTAGAAGCTGAAGTCCATCCACTCGACGTACTTTTCCTTGGAGTCGACACCGAATCGTGAGCCTGCTGGAGCAACCATTGTTGGAGGGAAGAGAGTATCCATTGGCATGACAGGACCCTGCTGGTCGGTTTGAGCCCAGGCGTCTTCGACATTAGCGCCCAGCTTCTCGAACCCGTCACTCCAATAAGCGTTGCGGAAGTCTTCAGTAGTTTCGTAGTAGACGCCGTTATATAACCATCCTTCTAGCTTCCATTGGCTTGGGTCGCGGCCAGTCACGTCAGATTTGAAAAACAAACCCAGGGGCAGAAGCGTCTCGGCATCGAATTGGTCCACGGGCAAGTTCCAAAAAGTATCCCACCGGACAATTCTTCCGTCATCCTGCCAGAGAGGGTCAATGCCAAATATGTCGAGGGTATCGTTGTCCAGGCCGAGAGCAGTGCCATTCCAGAGATCGAGTGTGATGTCGGCAACGGAAGCACTGATGGGATATATCCAGTCGGTGTATAGCGTTGATTCGCTGTCAGCATCCAGATTACGAACTTTGCCGGCATTGTCCTTTGTCAACCCATAAGTGAGAGGTGTCCAGGTGGTTGTCGAGTTATTTATTGGCAGAGGGCCAACCATGATTTCCTGGTAGTATGGCTCCTCAAAGGCCCGCATGTCTAGAATAGCTTTCGCCCATTTCGGCGGTGTTGACGAAGATCCATCGATATATGACAAGACGTCTGATTTATTCGGCTGGATTGCCTCGATGAGTACCCTAGCGATATGAATTAGACGGTGTCACTAGATTGAATTAGGGGCTAGCCGGCCGGTGACTTACACTGAGTTATCCCATTCGGTCGCATTCTCTGTGGTGGTCAAATTGAACTCAGGCTGGCTAAACAACCACGAGACAACAGCAGCCGCATCGGTGCCTTCGATCTCAGCCCACACGTTCACCTTGGGCGCAGAGACCTCGGCGGCCAGAGCCCCGGCACAAGATGCAGTGGTATTGAGAGGCGTTGATGTTGAACGACGAAGGTCCCTCTTCCCCTTGAGAACATCCGATATTGCCTTTCGGCCATGTCCCTTCCGGACCCATGCTGACTTGGGCTCTGGGGATGGTCGGGCAAGGGCTCCCACAGAAGCGAGAGTGACCAAGTAGACGCTCAAAGCGCCAGGGGCGGAGAATCCCAGAGAGAGCTTCATCACGGTTCAGGTTTCCTCAGCAACTCCAAAGACCACAGTAACTATGGATTCTGGGTGTATGGCCGCCACGAGGGGTTAGCTGTGGGAGGGTTACAGTGGGATGTGAGGATAGTACTCGATCATATACCCATGAGACATCGTCAAGACAGCCCGAGAGACGTCAGCTTTGATTCAGGCACAGCCCAATCGGCGACATGCGTTTGAATCAGTGGCTTGTTAACGTTATTACATTGCGTACCGAATGGATAAGCTGCCACAGCCCGGGCCATCATCCTCAAGAGCAAATCTGTATCTTATCAAGAAGAGTCCGAAGGCTGGGGATGATGCCCCACACCAGCGCAGCCGGCATACTTGTTGCAGGGGGCGTATCTGCATTAGCTCGATGACTAGAGCTCAAGCGCACAATACCACGGGGATATGTGTTAGTTGGGAATCAGCAGCACCATGTCGGCGGTTTCCGTCAACTTCCATAATGCAAAGGGAGATCAGTTGCTTGTACAACTTGTTGCATTATTGCGCACTTTTGAAGATACATAGATGCGGCTGGGATCCTGATCCGAGTCCTACTCCGAAGCACAACAGCATGACTGATGCATGAGAGACAAAAGGAACATAATAGGATGAATAGAGAACGTGTAAGCTGGAGGGGGAAGAGAAGATGCCGATATTTTGCCTGCTCTGCGTTGTGTAATCCCGCAGGTTACATACCCAGTGGCGGAGAACGGGGGTATGGAACTACACGAAATATGGGCTTCGCTTGCGATAATGCCGATCAGTTTCTCGAAGGGAGATCTCCGATGCGACTCGAATGCAGAGAAACGATGACCACAGAGGTGCAGGATGGCGAAAGCGGAGGATAACTCGATAAGACCAACCGGGTGGACCTACCGAAAGGGTATAGCGGTGTGACGGTATAGACCAAGCACCGAGACGGGTAAATGAAGTGAGAGAAGGACGAACTGGTTCTGTGGCGTAGATAATTACAGGTTTACGATCCTGGGACATTGCGTTAGCCAATATCAGGCTTTGGCATTGATCTAGGCGAAGACTTTCTGGGCGAGAGGGACTAACACCAGACGACATCTGGATCTGCGGGGCACAATAATATAGATGCATTGACTAACTATCAAGGTGACAGCGGAGACAGGAAAGCCGCCGACGTGGTGGGTTCTGCGTGACACTGCATACTGGATTCACATATAGTTCGGGCTTGGTCGGTGAACGGGCTTCTCTTCTGTCCATCGGGGCCAGCGGCTGAGGTTTCAGCCTCTCAGCTTGAGATGCGCACCTCAACGGAATGAAGCATTCACAACAGGGTCGGGCATGTGCGGGTCCCGGCACCTCCGACTCTGGAGCTTCTCGGCTAACGGAGCGGAGGAGGACTGAACCCCTGTTACCCCGAGCTTGTCAAGCTTTTCAATCTTCTTTATCAGTTACAAGGGTCTGGATAGAAGTAGACTGTTCTTCGATTCATTGACGCGTCGCGCTCCACTTGATTGTCTACTGTATGTTTGCGTTCTTTCCACCGGGGTATAATCCCTGCTAGCGGCGATAAGCATCAGCAATCTTGGATTATTAGGCGTCTGTCAGTGAACTTGGAGTGCATAGCACGTGCATTGGTAGACTAGGTACCAAGATGAACCCGACGACTCCGATAGGGGCCGCCTTTACTATGATGAACTGGGCATCCCTGGCGAGTGAAATGCCTCTGTTTATCTTGTCTTGGGATACCTATCCAGATTCCGCGGACCTGCCCACACCACTCAAGCACATGTTCACGAATTCGTTACCATTTCAGTCATGTCTTGATTATTCACTATCTGATAGATGCCTCGCCCTCTGAGAAGCATGCAAAAATTCTGCTATCTAGTTCCCTCTCGACAGGCTGATCGGTCCGCGGCTGAAATAGCCCCAACTCGAGCCTCTAGAATCAGCCCGTGGCCGAAGCAACCAAGTAATTATGTCAGAAAACGGCACGTACCGTACTGCACTAACAATTGAGGCGCTTGTATGTGTCTTTGGTATGGCTGCTATTCGTAAAATCTAGTTATCCGTTCTTCTGAAGACTGCTCTCAGTGAGGAAGGTCGTTTTCCTCCCACTCATGTTCCCATGCCTTTGCCATGCCCAACAGTGACTTATCACGAGCGACATAGAGATCACCATCGTAGCTCCGCCGCTTCATGTACCTATGCAGATATGAGAAGTCGCGGCACACATGTTCCTGATTCGAGTCAAAGTGTTGTCTCTGTGCGCCGTCCCTCCATTTGGTGGGGATCGGTGTCGTACTCCCATAGCACATGATGTGCTGCCGGATCGCGTCGATGCAGTGATCGAGATGTGCTTTTTGCGTTCCAACAGGAACCCCAGGGCTGTAGTATTCTGGGTATATCGCCTTCCGCACTTTGTTCTGGTTTTGCGTCAACCCAATGTTCGTCCAGAATTACCAGAACGGATAGAAAAAGCTATTCTTCGCGTTAAAACGCAGTCAACGTACCAAGCAGTGTAGAGTATGGAACAAGTCCAGCCCTGCGGTATATCCGCCTAGTTCCTCATCAACGTATTCGTGCCTCCTATCTCCCCAAGCTGCAATGGCCTCGTCTTCGGAGACGGAGAAATACCGATCCTCCACGATATCGTTCCAGTTCTCGTCGATCTCGTCCGATAAGGTGCCTGTGAATCTTAAGTTCTCCGGCCACCTCGCCGTGGGATCAATCTCGTCCATCCACATTGTACCGTTATCGTCAAACTTGGGGCTACCGCCAAAGCGCTTCACCACGAGAGGAACCCGTCTTAAGCTCCCTGATGTGCGTGTGTATCTTGTCAGAATGGTGCTCACTAGACAAGCGCCTTAGGCAAATAATAAGAAAATGGAGAAAGGAAAAAACATACATAGATCCGTAGCCAGCTTGTCCTCGTACGTCCCAAATTTTCGTATCCCGTAGCGCTCAAGAAGCAAGAGAAAAGACGTCAATGCAAACAAGCAGGTCAGAATCCACGGTATCATCGAGCTTTGAATGAGCCGTCGCTTAGCTTGCGCGTTCCGTGGTCGAGCAGCTGGATCCAGGTCCGAGTCGAAGGACGATCTTGATCCCTGGATGAAGGCATCTGTCTCAGTCTTCTCAAAAGCATTTTCTTCGCTATGCGTCATTTCGACTGAATCTGCGAAGCGAACTCCGACCATATTGACGGCCAACGTAGTCCGATTTATGCGCGGTCCGCGGCCTTGTCCTTTCACGTGTGTCACAGGCTACAGGGGTGACACGGCCACACCATGAATCAGAAATAGTAAGCTTCACACTCAAACAAACCAAAGGTTCCCTCTACCGAGATTTTGCGGTTAAGAAAGTCGTAGTGAGCAGCATTGGAATGGGCTTTGCGGCTCCGAGCAAAGTGGTTGATGGCGTCTCACAGGTCCCACTGCCCCTGACTTCGGCTCCATTTATTGAAACAAACCTGTCCAATTAGGACAGAACACCTTAAATTGGAGAGTGATTTGTCAACGATTAAGGAGATGTGGATTATTTGAACGTTGACTGACCGTTCAGGAGCCACTGTTCTCGGCATGCCTAATAGGTGCATTTCGGGTTGGACGTCCAGTTCTATATTGGTGTCTCTGGATTGCTGTCCTTGCAGGAGTTTCTTATGCCGTGGATGACCCACAAAACTTCCAGTCTCGCATATACAGTGAGACCCAGCTCGAAGATGCACCAGCCGTTTTGCCGTCCACCGCGCCTAGTAAACTTCCATGGGTCAATCCACCAGCTGGAAAGTGATCAGATGCAGGGCAATCGTTGAAAAATCAAGGAATTGTACGTGGAGCACTCCAAGGTTGTCAATCAGTGTGTTTGATTTGATTCGCTGAGACACAACATCAAAATATCCGCTTCAGTCCATCAACCAGCAACTGCTCACGACAATCTTTTGCGTTCAGACCACTGTTTCAACATCTGTCGTCTTCGACTTTACCTGTTTACCGCTTGCGTCTATATCTACGGTCTCCTCGCCATCCACCTTTGCGGCATCGATTGTAGGAGTGGTAGCGATCGAACGCTTCGGTCTGAGGAAACATCACGTTAGTGATAATAGATTAGCCGTGGAACCCCAGATTTATCAACTTACAGTAGATATCTCAGATCTATGATCCTCAAAAGTACGACCATTGTGGCCACAAGCACCCACATTGCTACTGAAACCTGCCAAGCGTATTTATCTGGTGATAATTGGTCAGCCAAATGCCATGATGACTCTTTATAGAGCATAGACCTACAGTGCGGCGCTTCACTAGCAGGCCAGACAAGTACTTGAGACCACGCAATGATTGAGTACACCCCTGCAATTGCGTATCCAACGACCAAGGTCCTCGCCTCGGGGTCTTGTGGTAAAATATCCGCCAACCATGAGAAAATCAGCGGCGCCGTTCCCTGGCACATGTAGAGGATAAAATAGCTCGCATACGCGGCCGATAGCGGGGTAGTGTTTGGATGTTGCGTCCAGATACTCATCGTGATCGAAACGACGAGGCCAATAACCGCCTGCGCAACTAGCAGCGTCCATCTGGTTTGAAAAATATCGGATGTGATTGCCCAGATCCATACGAACGCCACATTTATGGCGCCTCCGGCAATAGGTATCGAGTTCACTTGCGAGGTCGACCACGTGCGAGAGCCGTCTGGATTCCGCAGTGACTTCAAGAACAGGTTGAAGTAATTGATCCCATACTGCGCCAAAACAGTTCCAATATAGAGCACCGGAATGAAGTAGGCGATCCACATGGACGCTGTTCGTTTGGCTGCGGCCCAAGTGATTTTCTTGACTCCGGCCCGGCCGTGCCGCTCGAGACGCTCCTGGGCCATTTGGCTGTGTTCTGCCGTGAACCAGAAAGCACGGGGGTTTGGGCGAGAAGGATAGTCAGGCAGCATGAAGAACCCAGCAAGGCCAACAGCGACGGTCATAATGGCATTGATTATGAATAGCCATCGCCAGCCCGCGATTCCATGGTGTCCGTCAAGCGTGTTGAGAACAGCCGTCTGCAGGGCACCACTCATCATAGAGCCAATAGACTGGCAGGAGTGGTAGAAGCCCATACGCTTGGCCAGCTCAGTAGGCGTGTACCAATACACTGATCCTGATCAGCACGTGCATGTGTAGCTTCTAAAACGTTCGAAAGGGCACTTACTAAACAGGGTCATCATGCCAGGCCAGGCGCTGCTCTCAAACAGCCCCAGGAAAACGCGCAACACATATACCTGATTTGCATTATGGCATAGCGCTATCAATCCTGTGATGATGCCCCATCCGATCTCCAAGCCCGGCAGCCACCAACTCGGCCGAACCCAGGTCATGATGACTTGCGAAGGGATCAGCATGATACAATAGGAGACGCTAAACCAGGTGGTGAAATAGTTGAGCTCATTTCCATAAAGACCAAGGTCTTCCTTCATGCCCGAGACGTAGGCGGAGCTGATATTTGTCTGGTCAAGATACTTGATAACCTGAGAGATACAGCCAAAAGTCATCAGGAAGATGTCAAGCCGCCGGACAAGATCCCGTTCGAGAGGACTTCGCTCCTCATGGTGGCGAAAGAACGCGGTGCGGCCGATGAGGGCCTTAAAGCCCATAGCGCTGGTTGTCCTTGAATTTGCGGGCTCGTCGATGTCTTCCGATTCTCGAGCGTTGTCTAGGAGGGGTTGGGTTTCTTGGGTGTCAATGTGGTCACGGGAACTGCTGGCATCGGCTCGGGGCCGTTCGTTATATGACATTGTGACATCCCGTCCCCTAGCACTGCAGTGTAACATCACCCACAGCACCCGGAACAGTTTGTTGACGGCCAGGCATCGGCTTGCGGCTACGTTGTACTTTACAGTTGCAGTGAGCAGAGCTAGCTGAGGGTCCCTGCGGATGACTCGCACCTAGAAACGGGCACGTAATCGCTCTTGGCTTAGTGGCATGCGGCCTTGCCCGGGCAAGATAGCCAAGTCACGGGGCTAGATCGTCGCCGGAGCAGATAAAGCAACCGGATCTATTCCCGGCAAATTGTCCGACGTCGTTTTCTTTCCAGTGAGTGGACACTCCGACACTCGGACAGCACATTGCATCGTTTCCTTCTTTTTGGCAGATGTTGACGATCTATGATGCCTTTGAGCCTCCAAATGGCCCACCAAATTGTTTCTGGGGTCTTCATGAGCAGGTTCGTGTGTGATTTTACGTGGAATTATGAGTGTCTTTAGGGATTGGCTGATACATAAATTAAGCGCCTGTGTCACGGATCTCCCCGTGTCTTGACTACATTATTTACCTAGCTTCACCATGTCTGATGCGGCAGCCAATCCCAAGTTGCCAGCTTCGACTGGCCTCATCAATGGTCTGCCCGTCGACAACCCATGTCTGTCTTTCTGGCAACAGACTACCCGCTCATTTCCAGATCTCCTGGCCAACTCTGAGAGCTCCCTCCCTCCAACTGCAAAGTACCTTGTCATCGGCTCCGGAATCTCTGGAGCTCTGACCGCTTTCGAACTTATTCACTCAGCTGGTGTGTCCGGGAGCGATGTCGTGATTCTGGAAGCCCGAGAAGCTGCCTCTGGGGCCTCTTCACGCAATGCAGGGCACGTTCGGCCCGATGCCTTTCGTGGATTCCAAGTTTACCAACGGATACACGGCACAGAACAAGCACTTAAGATAATCGCAAACGAGAGAGATGTTCTCCACAAGATTGACGCATTTGTGAACAAGCATGATGTCCCTTGTGACTTCAATCTTGCAACAACGCTCGACGTGTGTCTTACCCCCGAGTTTGCCGAGTTCAACGCTAGGAGCTTCAAAGAGTACCAGGAGGCCGGTGGGGACCTGAGCCATGTGAAGGTCTACGAGGGGGAGGAGGCCTCAAGAAGGACAGGCATAAAGGAGACCGTTAGCGCATATGAGTGGCCTGCTGGGTCCAGTCATCCTGCAAAGCTTGCCCAGTGGCTGTTGAGCCAGAGCATTGCCAAAGGCGCAATTTTCTTCACGCAATGTCCGGCTCTGAAGGTTTCCAAGAGCTCAGATGTGGAGGCACGGTGGGACATCGAGACTCCCAAAGGCATCATAACGGCAGAAACAGTAGTCCACTGCACCAACGGGTTCGCCGGCCATCTCATCGCTCAGGTGGCACCATACGTGACACCGACGAGAGCGCAGGCACTTTCATTCGTCCCACCAATGGCTTTGTCGGGGAAGAAGATGTTAGCCAGCACGATGTCATTGCGGTATAGCCTCCACAACTTCTACTCCGTGATGCAGCGCAAAGCCGACGGAATTCTCATCCTGGGAGCCTCGAGAAAAAGCCCAAATCTCAGTCAGGAGACAGTCGAGGGCATGGCAAAGCCAGATGACACCACGTTCATCGAGGAGATCAAGCAAGACATTGTTGCAAACTTTGAGAAATGTTTCCCCTCGTGTGAGAATGGAAGACTCAGACACGGTGAGGGAGCTCAGCATACATGGACTGGCGTTCTAGGTATGACGACAGACTCAGTTCCGTTTGTGGGCAGTTTGAATGGTCTTCCAGGGCAGTACGTCTGTGCGGGCTTCAACGGACATGGTAAGACTACTCTCAGCATCTTTGTCAGTGCCAGTCACACTAATACAGAACTAGGAATGGCACGAATTTTCAACTGCGCCCCTGCTGTAGTCAAGATTATTCACGGTGCCAACTGGTCTGATACCGGATTACCGGAGTGCTTTGACGTTACGGAAGAGCGGCTGCAGCGACTGTCCCAGGGCTCGATCGAGTCCGTTTTCTGAATCGCACCCAATTTTCCATGATATCCGACTGGCAAAATAGATCCCAAGTCTACACTCTATCCGAAAACCTCCATCATGAAGTGATACTCAATCTTGCTTGAATCGTTACGTCCCCTTGCGCTCAGTAGTCGACATCGGTCTGCCAACATTTCACCTACAATAGGTGTTCCGCAGAAGAACACACCAACCTTGAATTCTTCGTCGCTCCAACGTTTTGAGTCCTTTTTATTCAGTTCTGCTTTGTACTTCAGCATCTCCTCGTAGTGTGCATCGAGGATGTTGGCGAAGTCCGGTCGACCGAACGATGACGGGTTGATCAGCCCCGTGAGCGGGCTCTCGGGATGCTCAGGTGTACGGTGCATCTCCAGGAGCCATCGATAGACATGGGTAGAGATGTTCTTACGCTTCTGCGTGACGTGTGTGGAGATTCTAATGTCGAGGTGATGAGCGCTGTCGTGCTTTGCGTGCCATTTTTGGCTGCGGCTGACCTCGTTCAATAGGTCGGAAAGCCACAGAAGATGATTTCGATCGCGAACCATCCAATGGAAGTCAACACGGCGGTAGTCGTCTGCCAAGCTGGGGTTCTCTAAAGATTGAGTAGTCTGGCTCGAATCCACCTGGTGCTGGAGAGGAGGTCGCGCGGCTGGATCAGCATCTGTGTGAGTGGTTTTCTCTGGGGTCTCTTTTTCGTTCTTGTGCATATCTTGATGGTCTGGGTGGCCATGAGCGGCATCATCTTTGGCCTGAAGGTCGGCAAGGATGCCAGAAAAAGGCGTGACCCCAATACCAGCCCCAACAACAATCGTGTGAGTGAAATCATAGAAGCGCTGAGCTGGAGCTCCAAATGGGCCATTGATACCGATCTTGATCTCAGCTTTGCCGGTTGGTCCGGCCAGTTCCCGAAGCTTCCCAGTCCAGTTGCCGTCTGTCTTGATGTGAAGCCGCATCTCCTTTCCCACACATATCGAGACCGTGAAGGGATGCCACTGGAAAGTTCCCAGCTGCGGCACCTGCAGAAAGACGTATTGGCCAGCATGGTACTTCCAAAGCCGCTCGCTCGGAATGGTGGCCCTTACCTCGACAGTCTCGCCGTCGAGAACAGTCAAAGTGGCTGGAATTCGATGGAAGCCAACGGCGAACCGAGTAGTTCGTTCAATGAGCACCAGGAGGGTTGGGAATGCAAGCCAGTATCCAAACATTGGCCACTGCAGAAGCGCAGCCGTCCCATGCGCCATCATCAATCCAATTATAGGAAACATGAGGAGATGTCCGAGCTGAAACACCTCATAATTCCACTTCCTGACCACAGGCATGCTCAGCAGCGCCAGAAGATAGAACAGGCCCAGGGCCACGATGCCTGTCCAACCGGGCAGAGATCTCGCATATCTTGCGTATGGTCGTGGGACAGCATCTGGGCCCAGGAGCGCTGCAACTATGTCCTCGTTACTCTGCCTGCTTCCCCAGACGAAACTCCCCGTCAGATGGCCAATCGCATGCAGGGTTGCCAGTGCTAACGCAATACAAGACATTTTGATGTGAAAACTCTGCCCCAGGTCCCAATTGATGAATCTGCTGACATAGTACCACTTGCGGAGAAACGTGGAAAAGTACCGCGACATACTTAAAATCACAAAGAAAAACGTCGGATACAGAGCACCCGCACAGGTCTTTGCAAGAACCACCCCCCATCCAAACGCGGCTTGATACTGCGGTGTTGTAGCGTACTTGACGCATTGCCACACACCAAAGGCGATCTGCATAGAGACGACCAGGCACAGGAAAGCGATTTCGGGCCCGTGAACTGCCCAATACGACCTTAGTCGCCGCCACACACCCAGCGAACGCATGTATGCCTTTTGAGAGGCGTCGGCCTCGCTGTCCTGTTCCATCGACGGAATGCGTAGCTCCCGCACCCGGGCCGCAAAGTCGGACCGCGAGATGCGTTGCGCATCGGAGCCGATGATACTGCGGAGGAACGCATGGCGATCTTGATCCTGCTTGGTGCTGTGCTCGTTGTGCCGGTGTAGGCGGTGGTGGGCCTGCGGTTTGCCTTGGACGAGCTCGTCGTACACGGCATCAAGCTTCTGCTCTACTTCGGCGTAGTCGATGAAGCCATCGCTGTTGTGGTCCAGGTCGTCGAGGAAGCTGTTGATTTCCGATTCTGTGAGCGGCTGTACCTCGCCCTCAGCCATGGGGAGCTTGATCGGGATGTGGTGAGAGAGGTAGAGCTCTTGTGATTAAGACTTGGAGATACCTTGTTGCGCTGCAGCTGTGACAGATGAGAGAGGGCCCCTTTCACATACACAGCCCTTAAGGCTCTGTCGCCCTTTTAATTACAGCTTGAAGTCCATTGCTAAGGATCCATCCGTCATCGCCAAGTTCTACATCTCACCGGGGTGACGCCAAGGGACTGGGCCGTACGAGCGGGTAAGGCCTGTTCTAATCTTAACGCCTTGGCTTCCGGATCAGCTCCCTTAGCACGCATCGGCACTCGAGCACTCTGCCCGCCCAAGCTGGAATCCCTTGGGGCGTAAGATCTTGGCTGCAGCATTGGCGGACGCATGGCGAGGTGGTAATTTACTGTTTTGCATGTGGCCTTGAGCTATCCGACATAACTGAATGGCACTCAGACTCTGTTTATAGCACATGTGGAAACAGTCTAGACTGAACCGAGAAATTGCCTACCTCTTTGCTTAAAGTGGCTTCAGCATTCCTTTTATAACATTGTGCTGGAGCGAAGTTAACAGGACATTGTGTTTGTCGGGTTTCCAATATCAACATTATTTGAAGAAGTAGCGTATGATCCTTCTCTCTGGATGTAAGATTCAAGCTTGGACAACGCATTGTACTTTTGAGTTTGCGCGTGGGCCGAAACTGATCGAAGATCGTAGGAGGCACCATCTCGTTGGGATTAAAGACAGATCAGGGCTAATAGGGAAGTGTGTAACGACGGTTGTTGGTACCTCGCTTCGGAAAATCTGTGACTGCGAAGAGAGCTGTTCAAAGTGAAACAGGTGGTCAAGTCCTCGATTACGGCGTGGAAGAGTGGTGGACGTCTTTACAAACACTAGGAAGCGTAATCTGAATGCTTTGCCAATTTGGTTTTCTTCTTCCTTGCACCTGTGTAATGCTAGAGGCATCAGCCTTCCCGAACGAGTCGCCATTCTCATCGACCGAGCGCCAACAGAACACTCTCCCTTTTCCCGTCGTTGCCCCCCGGCCTGAATCTTAATTGAGTGAGCAGGGAAAATCAGAATGCCTCTTTTTAGCCATATTTTTATCATCGCATCCTCAATCGTACATTGTGCATTTAATGACCGCAATGCAAAACAAGCCCATGCCCATCCTGTACTCCCCAACCCATGGAATGAACCCAGAACACCGCCCGCCAACCATTCGGAGGAATTAATATACGACTAGAACACACTGCTACTCCGTTGTTCGTCACTGCTGCTGTGATGAACCACCCAGAGGCACATCTATACATCATCTCTATATGATGCCCGAGTGCGCCTTCGGTTAGCGCCTCCTTGTATCCCGGCCTTTCTTCTTCCCCTTCTTCTTATCCTTCGGCAACTCTAGGGGTGTTCCCTCGAGTTGCTTAGCCATCGCCGCCAACATGTAGTCATCTATATTGTGTAGCTTTTCGCCGAAAGCGTTGTACTCGGGCTCGGTCTCCTCGGCAACGGGCGTGTCGGCAGATTCGACGACTAGTCCCAGACCTGACCGCCCCGGCGCAGCTGATCCTTCCCGCGGGGTGCCTTGCTGCGTGCTCGCAGCTCCAGAGCCAGGCTTCGCCTCGGAGAAGTCAGCATCATCCTGCTGAATTTCTTTTTCGGCGGCCCTCGCTGCGACTACATCCTCAGCGTCCTCTGCTTGCTCGAGTGCTTTCGTGGCAGTCCGCGTGTCAGTCTTGTCCACGCCGCCCAAGACAAGGTCCATCGCGGCATTAGCAGCGGCGTCATGCTCGCCCATCAAGCCGCCTGCAACCTCTTGAACCGACAACTCGCCTTGGCGGTTGTTGAAGTAATCTGTCGTGAATGCGCCCTCCTGGATCACAACATCGTCGAGCATCTGCTTCTGGCTAGCCTTGCGCAAGATGTTGGCCTCAATGGTGTGCTCGCTGACAAGGCGATAGATGTGCACGTCGCGCGTCTGCCCGATGCGATGGCATCTGTCTTGGCACTGCTTGTCCATGGCGGGGTTCCAGTCCTGGTCGTAGAATATGACTGTGTCGGCTCCAGTGAGGTTAAGGCCTAGACCGCCTGATCGTGTCGACAAGATGAAGCAAAGAATGCGGTTGTCAACATTGAAACGGTCGCATAGGATCTGGCGCTGTTCGACCTTTGTAGAACCGTCCAGGCGGAGGTACTTGTGGCCATGGATATTGAGGAATTGTTCCAGGATGTCGAGGACTTTGGTCATTTGAGTAAAGATCAAGGCGCGATGGCCACCAGCCTGGAGCTTGCGAAGGAGCTTGTCGAGAGCTTGTAGCTTGCCGCAGTCGTATTGCAGGAGTCGCTTGTCGGGAAATTGGATCGAGAGGCGCATGCGGGACTCATGCCAGGGGTCTATGGGCCGCTCAGGAGGGATGAAGGGTAGGCGTCTAACAGGTGCTGACAATCGCATATCGGCTTCACCGAACTCCTGGACGCCCTTCCAACCGAGCAAAAATGGCTCCATGTCCCTCGTGACTACGGCGGGGGTGACGCAGGCAAACTTCGATATGGTGCGTTCCATAGACTCCGCGCGTTGGTCTAGGGTGGGTATCATCGTCCGCAGGAGGAATGAGTCCTCTTCAAACCAACTCATGACCAATTTGGGGACTCTTGGTCGAGGTTTGTACGGCCGCTTGTCCGCGCCGATTGTGAGAAACTCGCGCAGTCTCTTCCCGTATATAGGCCGCTGTTGTCTACGCAAGGCATTGAGGTAGACGCAGTGCTGTAGTTCTTCGAAACGACCCCAACGGGCAGCACTGTCCAGAAATCCAATCGTTGACTTCACACTAGAGGGATCGAGAGTATGGTGTGACGCCTGCGACCTGACCCGCTGTGTTTCACGCAAATCCATGAGGGCCCTGTGGGAACTTAGCTGATTCACACGTTCTGCCACCGTGTTGGATATCTCTTCATGTTGCGCCGGGACGAGGTTCAGGAAGCCAAGGCTGACGGTGCTCATAGGCGTTACCGCTAGCAGTTTCTTGCGCACCAAGGACTCAGTCACCTCGTAGTCGGCCGCAACAGACCTTTCCATGCGGAAGGACGTCATGATAGGGCGATCGACAAACAGGTCTGGATGATTGCAGACTTTGCGCAGCTGCATTAGACAGTTGATGATAGAGAGATAGTTGCCAGATGACAGTGTGTCTCGGGTCTCAGAGCGGGCAAGAAAGCCATCATAGAGTTCCCTTTGTCGTTTGGACAGGCGGCAAAACTCGACATGCTCAATCTTGGCAGGCATCTGCTTCTCCACGTCGGCCTTCAACCGCCGCAGCAGGTATGGCCGGAGGACCTTATGGAGTTTCGAGATGATGGCACGAGCCTCCTCGTCCATCTGTTCACGGCCGTGTTCGAGGATCTGGGACTCTGGCCTCGCAAACCAGTCATGAAATTCCTTGAGGTCCGCGAAGCCGCCAACACCGTTCGCGGAGGGCATCAAGAAGAACAGAAGGGACCAGAGCTCGGTCAGGTTATTCTGCAGGGGCGTTCCTGTGAGCAGAAGACGTGAGTGGGTGTTGAAGCCAAGCAGCGTTTGCCACCTCTGTGACCGGAAATTCTTGATGTTGTGAGCTTCGTCCAGAATCATGTAGTGCCACCTTCGGCGCCTGAACACCTGATTGTCCTGGAGGACGATCTGATAAGACGTAATGCACACGTTCCAGACATCGTCATTGGTCCAGCCTTGGCGCTTCCTCTTTCGTTCTTCTTGAGTTCCGTAATAAGTCAGAATTTTGAAGCCGGGGCACCATTTCTTGAATTCCATTTCCCAGTTCAGCATCACACTCGTCGGCACAATCACCAGGTGCGGGCCCCATACTTCATGGGTGCACGCTAGGTGTGCCAGCAGCGCAATTGTCTGGATGGTCTTTCCCAAGCCCATTTCATCGGCGAGAATGCCATTGGTATTGTTTGCATAGAGGCCAGATAACCAGTCCAGTCCATAGTGTTGATACTCACGGAGCGTGCCACGCAGGAGGAATGGTACCTCTGTCCGTGGCGCCGTGGGTGGCGGGGAACCAGATCGGCTTCTGCTCGCTTCGAGTGGCCCACTCATACGCTCGAAAGATGTTGCGGTGTCGATTTCAGAAGGTTTGGTATCCGACGTGCGAGGTGACTGGCTTCGATCGGGACTGACGGGGTTGGTTATTGCATCAACCTCGGGAGTCGTCTGCACAGTCTCTTTCGGAGGCTGGAGGTTGTTTGTTGCCTCCAGCGCTGCTGGCTTAGCGATTTCAGCAGAGGACGGAGATGAAAGTACTTTGGGGGCCTCGTTCATCTTTTGGTCCGTGTCGGATGTCGCGTTTGCCTCCAAAGTACCATTGAGCTCAAGCATTGCCGTGTCGTCTGCAGTTGGCGCATTCGCCGGTTGCTCTTCGGTGAGTGAACCGGCGCCCTCAGCGCCAGCTTCCTGCAGATCGTCTCGATTGGCGTCGTCATCCGCATCCTCGACTGGGTCTTGCTCGAGTTTCTTCAGTTCTTTCTGGCCAAAGAACAGACCCAGGAGCCCAGCCGGCCGATCATCTTCACCCTCACTGTCATCCCCATCGTTACCCGAGCCGCTCTCGGTGCTGTCCTCATCAGAAGAGCCCATGTCGTCATCCATGTCGACGGACTCGTCACTTGTTTCATCGTCGGCGTCGTGGGCTACTGCCATCGATGTGTCTCGGCTGCCATTTGGTAGATCTCCCTTTTCAATGTCGGGCAAGTTTGCGTACTTCTCTCGGAGCTGCTCCTGCGTCAAGCCCTCATCCGATGCAGCCGACTTACGGTCGTCATCCTCCTCCTCCGAGGACATGTTGTCCTCGTCACTTGGCCCATTCGCGGATGCATCATCATCGTCCGAAGTGCGGCTGTCGTCTGAGTCCGAGTCCATGATTTCATCGTCCTCGTCTAGGAGCCCATCATCGCTTATGTCCGAGTCGAATTGTGCTTGTCGGGCGAGAAGTTGCTGCTCTGAGCGAGAAACAGCTTCCTGCAGCGCCGCCTTGACGCGCCTTTGCTCCGCGGCCTCCCATTCTTCCAGGCGCCGCCGGTTGACCTCGATCCTCACATTCTCCCACGTGCCAAACATGGCTTTCATGACATTTCTGTATCGTCCTATCCACATTTCCCGCGCTTCCCTTTCGATCTCTTCGTGGGACTTGGGCTGTCGAGACCTCCACACTACCTGACAAGCCTCGGCGAGCTTTTTGGCCTTGTCTCGATGCTCCCTCTGCTCCCGAACCATCCACTTACGAAGGTTCTGGGCTGCTTTGACGAGATGATCGTAGTGCGCATATTGTCGCGGCGGTTCCTCGGCAGGTTCGGGCTCATATATTGCGCAATCTTTGCCGAGAAGGCCGCCGGGTTGAGCTTCATCTTCAATACGCACAATGGTTTTGGCCTCGGCCACGGCCAGTTCGTCTGTGAATATGGGCTCATCATCAGGCACCAACTGTCCACCATCCATTACAGGTATGTCATCGGCAGTGTTGAAGTATTCCTCGAGGTTCGAAGCAACCCTCCTCTTCTTGACACGCCCGGGATGTACGAGTGGCAGTTCGGTGAGAGGGAGCCGGTTAACTCGAAGCTTGATCCGTGGCGTCGTTCTCGTAGGCTGGGCAGCAGAGAGGTCATTGTCCAGGCTGTCCCAGCCGCTTCTCGACGGTCGGCGCGTCCGTGTTGATGACCGGCTTGGCTGCGTAGGGGGTGGTGAGGGTCTGCGTGTCCTAGGGGTAGACCTCGACTCGTGACCTAGCGACTTTCGCGCCGCAGGCTTTGCGGCCGCGCTGGATCTGGATGTCAGAGATTTGCTAGCCGAGGCAGCGCGCAGTCGGGCAGCCTGATTCGATGCAGCCTGGCCATTGGTGATGCCGTGCCTGTTCTTAGACGGTGGACTATGCTGGGAGTATGACTTTCTTGTAATCCTCTTGTCACTATTCAGCTGTTCCAGTGGGACCGTATTAAGGCGACCGGATTTCCGCTTGCCACCTTCGATGATTGTTGTTGGACCGTCGGCCTCGAACTTTTTCCAGGGCGGCGACTCGACAATCTTACGCGTCTTGGACCCGGGCGGGGGAGGTGTCGAGTCGCGGACTCTGCGTCGCTTCGCTGGTCTGTCATCCTCTGGCGTCTCTGGCGCGCGGGCGTGACCATTGGTCAGCCCATTCCCGAGATGACCGTTGACATGCCCATTGGTCGCGGGCGCAGGCGTAGAGGACGAGAAGAAGTCATCGGTTGGCGACTCAGGCGGCGTTGACAGGGCGGACAAGGGAGAGTCTGCTGATGACAAGGCATCGTCATCTTGGGCGGCGGCTGGCGTATTGTTGTTGAGGTTCTCAGTTACGATGGGGGAGGGACGGAGAGGAGACCTCGATGGCCTTGGGTCATCGGCTGATGGGCGAGGGACGTCGGGGTCGGCGTCGCTGCCACTGTCGCCGGGACCGGGAATGGGTAAAGGGGTGGCGGTCGAGTCTGGGTGAGGAATCTTGGACGACGAGGCAGAGGCAGAGGCAGCAGCAGCAGTCGACGCGCTGGACTCCGTCATAGCGAGCGACGCGGGGGGAGGGCGGGTCGGAAGGGGAACGGGGTCGGGTTCTCGGCAGAGCGGGCATTTGACAGGCCAAAAAACAGGTCTGTAGGTTTACGGGATTTCAGACTATTCGCATGTCGAGTTTGCACATGTTTGGAGCATTGTGCGGTGCTGGGGGGCTTGAAAAGGGTGTGTTGGTCTTGTTGTCAGGCAAAAGATTGGAAAACCTTGAGATGCGTGAGTCCTGTCGCCTGCGCTAAAACGGGAAGAGTCAGTCAGATTTCGATCTGGCGCCTCACTGGACCGTGCAGGTGTACGCTGGAAGGTACCTGGGTACTGTTTCCAAGCAGACTGGCAGAGCAGCCAGGGGCCTTCTGGCTCTCCTCGTCATGACATGGGGCAGTACCTAGCATGCCAAGGTAAGGAATGGAGGGACAGGGCTATGGGCTAGGGAGCTGTCAGCTCCCTGCAGAGCTCTCCGACACCATAGCATCTGAGGACCTTGGCTATGTATCTCACCGCACGTTATAGTATGCCGAGGTACCTGCTTGGATCCAGCAGACCAAGCAGACTGGACTAGTCCACCACAGAGACCCCGCGCACGGGCCATGCCTGCCTCAGGCACACACCACCCGTCGTTGAACTGCAGCATCACCAAGCAGCATCGCAATCAACCTATCCACTCTCAAGTCTGCATCGGTATCGCGGCAAGAGGAACCACATTGTGGACTCACCAATTGGACCCGCAGACTGTCTCTCCTTTGGACAGCAATAAGGTAGGTCCCCCCTCTCATATAGTGAGAGTCTCCCAGCTGATCAACCTCCAGATGCTTTCCCACCGAATCGCGAAGGCCTCGCCGTTGCGGTCAGCAACGGCTGCCCTCGCGGCCCGGCGGCTCCCCATTGTCCAGCAACGGACCTTCCTCCCTCAGTACAATGAGAACCTCGACGAGCGATATCCCGCCTACCCCAACCTTAGCGAAGCCGAGGACCCAAATATGGTGCGTTGAGTCTAAAGAACAGACAGACCCCAATGACTGGGCACGCGAGGGAGGAGACGGGACGCGCGCAGGCGGCAGTTCCTCGGAGCACAGCAGATCAGAGTTGCTAACGATTGGTATGCGCACTCTCGCAGAACGGAGGCTATGTTCAGCCCGCCCCGGTCAAGCGGCAATTCCGAGACCCCTACGGCGACTGGTGGGACAAGCAGGAGCGCAGGAACTACGGCGAGCCCTGCCACGAGGACTACGACCAGATGGGCATCTTCTCCCCGCACGAGTACACCTGGGTCAGCCCCCGCAAGGGCCTCGTCCAGATCGCTGCCTTCATCGCCACCTTCCTGAGCGTCTGCTACGCGGTCAAGGCGACATACCCCGACCGACCCTCGTTCCCGCGCGAATTTGAAGGCGGACTGGAGCGAGAGCTTGGCGGTGCGGGTGCAACGAGGGTAAGTTCAACGGCAACCAGCAGGATTGACTCCGTCATGACGAGTCTTGGCTAATCTTGGGCACATAGGCTAGAGCAGCAGAGGACCCAGAGCCATTCCAGGTGGAGGAGCTAGACTAAATGGGCCTTGTACTTGTAGATAACGACCAACAAATTGGAATGGCCTAGATTCGAACAACAAGACTGTGATCTCTATACTCGGTGAAGGCCTTATTGGGCGGTGGTCTGTGGTCTCCAGGCTTTGAATGCAGCCCAGAGAAGCTCTTATGGACGCAGGCGCTAACGAACAGCGACCGCGAAGCCTGGACCTGAATATAATGTCGAAGCTCGAGAAGGAGTGGCGTTGGGCTTGGTCTCTGGTCTGGTCAGGGCCAGTGTTGTGTCGCCGTGATCGCGCCAAACCCCCAAGATGAGAGCAGGCACTTCTACCTAACTACCTGCCTAGGTATCTAGATATTGAGATAGGGAATGCTCGATGCTTCTCTCTCCTCAAGCCCATTGTCCAACGCAACGCGGCATCATCATCGATCGGCCACCGCTACTGCTCCAGCAAGTTGGCGCCGCCTGGCTGTGCCTGCTGTCCACGCCCACGACGAGTGTTCTAGATGGATCGAACGTGCCCTGCGATACATAGACATGGCCGAGACCGAGATCCAATAGCACAGCCGTTGTTTCCTTCAATAGCAGCTCAGCCATTTCTAGGCCTACAGCACAGGAGCGAGATGCCCAGGGACTTAGGTACCTAGGAATGGATTGCCAAGCGAATCGTATACTGGGAAGGGAGCAACGACAGGCTTGGGGTCTAGGACGGCAGGTGCTCTCTATCACGGTGTTTTCGTCTCTCTGAGGAAGGCTCGAGGTACTGTCTTGGACTCGGCCGGCACCTCCTCTTCTGTTGCTGATCCTCGATCCTCATCCTCTTCTGATCAGCTTCACCCATCCCATAGTATCATCCGTTCTCTGTTCTTCTTCTCGCTCTATCTCTCTGCCCGCAGGTCATTCCATGTCCTCGTCCTCTTCCTCCTCCATCTTCTCTGCTCCTCTCAGTCCTCCTTCTGCCGCATGTTCTGCCCTCTCCATGCGATATTGTGAATTTCCTCCCGCCTCGCCTTTCTTGCTCTCTCACCCTTCAGCCTCAACACAGGATGCGCTACGACGACTGGGACGTGCTGCTCTTCCCTTCAGGCCGAGATGATCGAGTGCCTCTGAAGGAGTTCAAGGTCAACTGCCATGTTGTTCCTGACGCCGACTTCTCTCACAGCCGTACCACCTTCGGTGTGCCTGTCATGACTTGCTTCGTTCCCGGACTGCAGCCCGGCGCCCCTTTCCACATCTCGATACACTGCTGGGGCAGACCCAAGCCCAGCCAGTACACCCAAAACTACAGCAAACATCCGGAACTGGTCACTTTCGAGGCCCGCATCTTCATCGATGGCCGCATGGTAGCGTGAGACCTGCCTAACCCGCCTTCACTTTCTATCCATCACGCTGAACAACTCCCTCACAGGTCAACGATGCTCCAGCCGTTCGGTGCCTGGCCGCATCTGATCGCCAGCACTTGTCGTGAGCCACAGACTCTCTTTCCCCGACAATCGATCAGACGCCTGGGCAATGAGCTGACTCCCTGTGCCACCAGAGATGACGAAGCAGGGTGAGCTCGAGCAGTTGAAGTTCCCGTCCTTTCGTCGCGAGTTACTCTTCCAGAACCATTGGAATCCCAGTGATGACCTTGGGCGGATCAAGGTTCTCGTCAGCGAGGGCTTTCCCAGGGATTCGCCCTCAAATCCAATCGAACGTGTCAAGAATGTTGTAGCCTTCGCCTTTCAGCACGCGCCCCTCGGTGAGCCCAGCCTCAGCCTCCGGGCCCCCGGGTCTTACTAACATCACGTATAGAGATTCTCGAGAACAACGGCATCGCTTGGCCCAATCCACAGATGTGGCGACGGCCTCAGAACAACCCGGCCGTCCCAGTCCCAACCTTCTATCCTGATGATGGTGCAGATTCCCACCTGCACTCGCCACGCCGCAGGCCTCTTGCTGGCCAGGGCATGCCAACCATATCAACGGCCTTGACTGACCCTTCCAGCGCGGCTGTCAACCTTGACGCTTTCCCTTCAGGTCGCTCGATGTTACAAAAAAATTCTACGTCCTCTGCCTCGAGTTTCTTGGATCCTTTCAACGAGGCTGCCTATCAGGAATGGATCAACTCGTTGGGCCTCAGCCACCAACAGCCTCAATCGGATGCCAGTATCATCTGGCCCAGCACTATCGTCCAAAGTTGCAACAAGTCAGGCAACGAGCCAATCATGTCCAACATGCCCGACTATCTGTCTTCTGCAGTCCGTCATGGCACCACAGCGGACCAGATGCACCTGTCTGGTCCCAGTTTGGACGAGGATACCCAAATGGATATTCTCAAAGTACCTACCAACACCCCGACTGCTCTCATAGGTGCAGATCATACTGGTTCCGGTCTGTTGACACATGCCCATTGCTCCCCGTGAAACCGCACCTTCTCCTTATCTAACAATGTCACCAGGCCAATTTACTTGCAACATCCCGAATTCAGCCACTAGCGAGTTTGCGCATTCGCTCACTCATTCCCTGCTGAATCAGCCACACCCTCTTCCTCCCGCGCAACAGTGCGTCCCGCCACACCAAATTCAATTGCCAGCATCTGAGGTCAAATCTCGCAAAGAAAATCGACATTTGAACAATGCCAGCTCAGCTGGTTCTCCTTCCACCAACCCCTCCCCATCCATCGAAGCACAAATTCGCAAGTTTTCGACAACGAACACCGCTTTTGGTGTCATTGGCAATGACCGTGCAGATTCATCTGGTTCCTGTTCCGGCCCCAGCTTCAGCCGTCGTGCCTCCGCCGGCGAGTTTGGCAGAGACATCACAAATACGGCGTCACCAAATCAGACCTACGCTGGAGTCGCTGCGTTTGGTACCACGCCCGGCAGTGGCAGTGAGAAAGGTACCAAGCGCAGCCGCAACTTTACCCCCGCTAGCGCTAAAGCCATCGACGAAGAGGACGAGCCCCGTCGACCCAGTCCCAGGATGAGGGTTGCCACTACCTTCCACTTGGATGTAGAACCCCATGACGAAGCTGAGAAGTGATTGGGGGATTACATATGTAACATCATAATGATGGTCTGCTGCAGATTGAAACAGACCTAGCCATTGAATATTTCACTGTCAGCGGACTGGTTGTAGGAGAGGTTGTGTACCCCCTGCGGTGACACTTTTTGGAGGATCGAAGAGGTCATACATTTATTACCCAGGGTGGAGCGTGTCCGGGAACTCAGTATATCGGCCGTCTTTTTGACATCCCTTCATTCATGCAATGGTCTTATTCAAACTGTCCCCACTGCATACTTGAGGGAATCAACATGATAGGAGGTTCAACATCAATCCTGGCGATGGCTACATTTTAAAACCACAAAAATGACAACGAAAGGCTTAGTCGTTTCAATTGGGAAACTTTTGTGAAATAATAATGGTACCACCATCAACGATCACACAAACCTTCTCGCATGAATCATCGGTTGTTGTCCAAGTGTCACTGATTGCTCGTTGTGTCTCCACAGATTCCGTCTCAACGGATATTGAAATTACTTCGTAGATTGACAAGACCTCGCATAAGCTACTCACTTATTGCGCAAGTGCATCTAAATGACCAGAAGAAAAGGAAGCAGATAGATTTGGTCATCGAAACAGGCCCAGCCGTGACGCGCAGACCGGTCTGCGGTGCGTTAATCGTAATATTCCACAGCCTAGATCCACACGGACATTGAGATGAATGCTTGTTGAGAACGGGGATACCTCATTGGGATACACAAAATGGAAGTTTCTATTAATGTAGTCCTCATTGGTATGCTCATAATGCGTTGCTTCATACTGGATAATTACGGATGGTCGAAATTCTGACTTCCATCTGTTAGTGTTCATAATACCCCTTCCGTTCTGTACCTAGCATTCATGCCATCGCCATGTCCATTTTCTTTCCTTTCACGCTCCTCCACTCCATGAAACCACTCCCCACAATCGTCGTCGCCGCGAGCGCAGCACTGACCAAAAAGGTCTGCATCAGTGCATCGTTATAGGCGAGCGTCACACCATCCAGGAACTCGGCTGGTATGGTCTTCTGGATAGCCGTCGCGCCGGCAGAAAGGACCGTGGAAGGATCAAGGCCCGGGGCGTAGTCCCTGACGTACTCGACAAGCTTATTGCTAAAGACATTTTGCGACACGGAGACGAACAGACTGCCTCCCAGTGTCTGCGTGAATACCACCACCGCGGTGCCGGTGGGGAGGTCCTTGTCGCTGAGGACGGCCTGGACGGCCATCAGGGGCTGCTGCATACCGAAGCCAACGCCTGCACCGGCGAGGATCTGGTAGCCGATCCAAACGCCCGCGCCGGTGTTGGGCTGGAAGGTCGAGATGAGCCCGTACCCAACACTCATGAGCACCGTGCTCAAAAGCATGAAGGGGGTATAGTACCCCACCACAGACACAATGACACCGGCCGTTAGACTAAACAGAACGACCGAGATGAGCATGGGAAGGTTCATTATACCGCTGTTGACGGCGCTCGAGCCCTTCACCGCCTGGAACCAGAGAGGCAGGAAGTAGATGCCCGAAAAGAAGGCCGCGCCCGTGGCAGCGGCGAACGCGGCGCCCGACCAGACAGTCCGCATCTTGATGACCCGGGGCGGGACGGTAGCGTTGTCTTGTTGTCTCCACTGAACAAAGAGGAAGGCGATGATGAGCACTCCGAAGACGACAAACAGGGCGATGATGCGCCCCGAGTTCCAGGCATATGTGGTGCCGCCCCACTGCAAGGCGAGGAGCAGGCAGACGATCGCGGGCATGAAAATAACGGTGCCGACGGGGTCGAACTCGTTCAGAATCTCTCGCCAGGTCTTGTTATTCGCGGCAGTGGCTGATGTCAATGCGCCCTTTGGAGGTTGGAAGAAGAATATCACGACCAGGACGGTGATGGCGCCAATGGGAAGATTGATATAGAAACACCATCGCCATGTAGCCTTGTCGGTAAAAGCTCCTCCCAGCAAGGGACCGGCGACCGAGGCAATGCCGTACATGGATGTGATACCGCCAGAGTATGCCGGGCGCTGACGAAGGGGCACAGTAAAAGCCAGAATAATCAATGCCCCTGACAGGATCCCTGCCGAGCCAGCTCCGGCGATGGCGCGGCCGATGATAAGAGCCGTGCTGTTGGGCGCAACACCGCAGATCAGAGAGCCCAGTTCAAAGAGGCCAATGGCGCACAAGAAGACCCATTTGATGTTTAGGTACGAGTAGAACTTGCCGAAGAGGAGCTGGAGGGCTGCGGTGGTGAGGAGGTATGCCGACCCGTACCAGCCAACGGCGTCCAGGCTGTGGAACTGGTCTGTTATCTTGGGGATCGCCGTGGCGATGATGGAGTTGTCCAGGGCCATCAGGAAGACGGCGAGGCATAAGGCGATGGTGATCAGGATCAGCTTGACGCCGCTGGGATATTCTGACCCATCCTGGCGGGTTTCTGTGTGTCGCAATTCCGACGCTGCTGTGGCCACTCTTGACAACGTGTGTATCAGGTCAAGGGCGGGGGCCTCCTGTGGCTTTGGGGCGTCCTCCTTCTCCTTGACGTTGATATCGACATCGTGGTTTGCGTCTACAGATGGCTCTGGTTGTGAGGATTGTGCCTGTGTCTTCTCCATGTCGGCGCTATTCATGCTAGAGACAGAGGATTTCCGAGGTATAGCGCCAAGCGAGGACTGTGCCTCTTGTACCATATTGTTTGGCTTTGTGGGAATGAACAATTTTCAAATTTGACGTTGACTGTGTGATGGAATGTATGTCTGAGACAGTAGTGGCTTGCTTGTTCGTAGGTGGTTTTTATCACTTGTACATCAAGAATGCAAACATTGAAGGCCAGCCGCTTTTATGAGAAATGCCGCCCGAGCAAGGGATTCTAATATCTATAATTGTCAACATCACTTCACGGCGTGGAGTCATCATTGAAGTCATTAAATGTCACCGGGCGCCAAGTCGTCGGAATTGGCGACACGGCTTCTTGCGAACAACTATCCGCCCTTAGGCCCCCTTGATGCCGGGGTCTAAGATGGCCCCGGCTTGCAGCAGAGGAAGCGGGTCGGTATTGGGGGTGGCTAGCATCAGCCTCAGAAGTCGGCAAGGCCGTAAACAGCCTGGCGCGGAAGGGAGTCGGCAGGATTTTGCGACTCGGCAAGATTTTGCACCTGTGCAACGGCGGGAATCGGGCTCGGACAGATTAGGGGCCGACATGGGGTGAGCCATCAGGCGAACATACAGTCTGTGTCCGAGATGAGACAGACCCTTTGGAGCCTGCAAAAAGTAAGCACTGGAAGCCATCAACTTGGCATTAAGTAAGACCCTCACAATCTGCCCTGAACTGATTGAAGCAAGGATCCGAACCCCTACTCTGACATGCAATGCACGTAATAAATGTGGCCTGTCAAAATGAGTCACAATGAGTTTCGGGGGCACTGCAGTCGTTCAATCCGGCAGACGACAGTATTATTCCATATAAGCCATGTGGCTCGGCCCCGGGCATTAGGACTGCCCGATGCCCGTCCCGGCCGAGAACGCGTTTGTGCAATCCCAATAACCAATTCACCCTCATCAAGCCTCTAAAGCAAATATCGAGAGAAAGAAAGCGATGCAACCCAGAAAGATACCTGCTGGAACGCACAAAAAGGTCCTTGTGAAGTGTATGAGGCTACTATCCGTGCAGGTCCCCCCCTCATCAACAACCGCGCCCGGACTTGTGTATCTTTAGAAGATATTTCCCCTCATCATGGCCTGGAAGGTTTGCGCGTCGGTCCATAGCTGGTCGCAGTTGACGCAAAATCCACTGCCGCCGCACGCCACCCCTTCATGGCCGCAGTGAAACGAGGTTGTCGTGAAGAGGTTCTCTTTTCTGCCAGTGAGGACCCTTTCGTTGCAACTGAAGCACTTGTCTGGGAGAATGTGAGGGATCATTGGGCCACATGACTTCGTGGTCATTTGTCGCAGCACGTCCGCAGCAAATCTCGGGACAGCTTGGAGTCTGTTATGGAGGGAATCGTCCAGCAGAGGCAGGAACCGAGTCAGCCGAAAGAACAGAATGAAGCAGGATCGCAGCTTGTTAAATCTTGGCGATCCATACGTATATGCGATCTTGGCCTGGCTGAAAAACTCTTCGCTGTAGAATTCAGCAGCCAAGTCGGCTATCCCAGCTCTTACGAGTTGTCTGCGGAAGTACATTCGCTGAAAAGCGACTGCCTTGCGGACATGGTGGGTATTCAAGAGCTCGCACGCGTTCATGGTCAGCGACGTGATTTCGAAGTAGTCGCCCAGTATGTATAGCAACACACAGATTGCGTGGACCTTCTTGTCATCTCGAAGCTGCCCTTCGAGAAAGGACGCTGGGGAAAATTGCATCAGCGGATGCCCACCTCGACCGACGCCGTGTACGCGATGAATACGGGTGGGAGCACCAACTATTGCCGAGGTACGTGGCTTTTAACATCCACTCAATACTCTGAGGATCGAAATTCGAAACGTTCATAGTCTCTGGGATAGGTCCCTACGTTTGTGAAGTGTTAGCGGAGACGGGCTCAAGCACATGTTCTGTTGAGGATCATAGCACAGATTGCGCACCAGCCCAGACTTGACTGCAAGGGCTTTCTCAAACCATTTGCTTCGCAGGCCGATAATGCACCGGTGGACATTCCACGACTTTTCACCACAAGTGATGACAATGTCGGATTTGAGGTTAGGCTCAAGACGTCTGCGTAAAAGGTGTGAGCGGCTTCAAGAGACTGACGGCGCGTACGGGATATTGGAAGTGCACACCCACTCAAAGAAGTCCGTTGAAGCAGCCGCATTCAGATCAAGCTGGCCAGGAGGATCCATCGCTACTATTCTCAGGGCTGGGGTTGCGGCCCACCAGGAAGGGCTGTATTCTGAGATAATACGACTGTGATCAAATTGGTTGGGAAGATATTGGTGGACCACGAGACGGCCGCTTGGGAGTATTTGGGTTGCCCGCCTATGGATATGGTAGTGGAATGGTGGATCAAAAGTTGTCCAAATTATAATGCGAAGCAGGACGATACAAGGACCTCGGCAGGACTAGGAACTTCGAAGGTCAATATTCTAGATGCGGTGAAGTCCTGCTGGCCGCGCCTTACTTTGGAAAGTCCAGGAGTCGTTACTGTGGGCAGGGAACCGGTGCAAGGCCAGCACAAGGTAGTCGCGGCAGAATATTTCCTGTCCAGAGAGCATAGAGAGCCTATCGATTTAGACTTCGGCAGCCTCGTTTGTCTTTCTCTTTCCCTCTCTCTGCATCCGTATAGGTGTGAACCTGGTCCAGAATGAAGACAAAAACAAGATTTTGTAGGGCTTGCTTCGTCCTTTCCGCGCTCGAGTGACGACAGCTCGCCCATCATACTTACCTTCGTATATACGATAAATGTCAGGGAGTCGTCCGTGAGCGGTTTCCCAAACAATCCGCTTCACGCACATCTCGGGTAGGTCACGAGCTGAGTGCAGCGATGCGGGTCTAATTTGGTCTTCAGACTATTGTTTTCCACCCCCTCCTGCGTCGTTGCAAACGAGCAGGCCTATACATTCTATCTATAGCCCGAAAGCCACGACTACGGCGAGATATCAACAGATGGCTTCTGCGTCAACCCGGCAGGCAGAGGGCATTGCTTGTATTCTGACTGCTTACCTGGAATCTTGGGTCAGCTATCATCTACTACCTAGGATCCATCGGGAAGTGCGGACCTCCTGCATAAGTTGTATCGACAGCGACGCATGAGGCGGCATCACCGGCAAGATTCGTAGGTCCCTGCGTAGCAATCGTGTGGGTGTGCCGACAACAGCCAGAAAGCACTTGTCCGACTGCCGCTCTTGTCTACATGAGTCGCTCGTCAATAACAAACAAGACGCTGAATTCAGCCCGATCACGAATATCAGTCCGACCTCTCGCTCATTAAAACATCTCTATCTAGGTACCTTACCTCTACGCCATGTAGGAGCCTCACGATTTGCGACATGTCAGTACGATTGGGCACAGTCTCTAGCGTGTTTGCACCTGAGTCCTAATGACCTAGCCACGGTCTCCCTTGGCTGTGCAGCAAGCTTGCCGGCAAGACCTGCCAGAGTCAGTAAAGCGCCCAGCTCTTGGCGTGTTGATGAGCAAGAATGCTCGCCGCAGATCCCTGGACAAGCGAGTCGAGACCCGCCCGCCACGTCTCTAAGCCCTCCAGCTCCGCGGCGGACATCGTGACTGTGTGATCGAGTCCCCAATCAGGCGGACACGCTGCTGGTCCTATGACATCGCGGATGTTTAGATTGCATGTCTACCCCATCAAAAGTGGATGGCACCAGGCTGAGTGGGACAAGTGTCGTCGAAATAAGCTATGTGGAGAAACCGATCTCGGATAGGACCCGGCTCAGTCAAGCTGTTCTCGGCAATCTCTCGTCTTCCCCACACCCTGAGACGACGACGATGGAGCCGGCCCGGGTGTACCTTTAGTTCACGTCTAGGTCGCATATCTCCGGCAACGGGGCCTTTTCACGTCAAGAGCGAACTTTCTCCGGTGGTATCTTTTCACTCTGCCAACCCAAACGTTGTTTATTTAGCTTTGACATTCTCTTATTCTGTTGGCTGTGAGTTATTCCGCTGGCATCGTGTGGTTCCTGTGTTTTGTTGAGCACGAATTTAATATATGAGCGAGATGCCATTCCCACTAGTGGTATGGGGCATTGTGGCCCTGGCTGTTGCTGCGTTGGCTGTTTTGGGATACAGGACCCGGAGCCATGGAAGATACGTGAGTGCTGAGAAATTGTGTGACGCATCGACATTTGCATCCTCACTAACACTCGCCCAGCACCGCCATGTTCCAAGCTCGGCTGAAAAGGATATGCTAGCAGCGTGTCCCATGAGCTCCGTTGAGCCTCTGACGTCCTTCGATTGGACTGCGAAGAAACCTCTGAACTTTCGCCCTTTTAAGCCAATATACCACATCACCATGGCCGTTCAGACCTCGACGCCCGCAGACTTGATTGTTATGGACCACAACTACCAGGATCGCGTCCTGGAACGACGGCAGCTGATATCTCAGAACCCAGCTATCGTTGTAGGAGCCATTCCACAGGGAAAGGCAGCCGTCGAAGAGCTTTACTCGTTCCTCCTAGCAGACTACCTACCACAGAGGTTCCCTACAATGTTCTCAATCTCTGAAGACGGCAAGACATTTCAGAACAAGGTGACAGGAGCTTCATTCCCATCCTTGCCACCAAGTGACTCGGTCGAGGCACTCAGGAGGCTCGGAGAGACAGTCGAGGACGATATCTTCCTGCTGCATGGGACTGAACAGGGCCATCGCAGCGTTGCGTATGTCTGCTGCTATTGTTCTGGGTTCGACCCGTCACAAAAGCTGGATAAGCTGCTCGTCGAGATCCACGAGCCTGTGCCGAGCTACGACAAGATCGGTCCGAGCATGGAGAGGTACTTCAGTAAGCTGGAAGTTGGCAAGAATGTGAAGCGTGTGAATGTAGGTGACTGTGCCCTGCTGCACCAAGTTATTTGCATGCCTACTGACTCCCTCTTGATGGCAGTGGTCTATTGTAGATTCTCCCATCCTCTTCAATTGTAAAAGCAACCACGTCCTTGAGGAAGACCTAGAGCACATAATTGCAGATGAAGACATCGATATAAGCAAGGTCAGTCTTCCACCTCTGTTACTACCATAAATGATTTTCTGACGGCGTGCAGGCACGGGTACGGTGTGAGCTGCAGACGTTAAGCCGGCTCCCGAAGACAAGGGCCATTCTGTTCTCGTTCCACACTCACCTTTACACTATAGAAGAAGTCAGATCAGAAGGACTTGGGCCACAGCTCGCGGAAGCTATCGACGGTCTAGTGAAGGGCAATGCTCCTGGGATGTGGCAGTACAAGGGCGCGCTCCGATGGGGGAAGAAGGTGAAGGAGTATCTGCGGTCTTGAAGTTGGGATGGCTACTATAGATGAGGACCATAGCCGACCTGATCATGGGCCGGGCATTGTTCCAATAAAGAAAAATAAATAGTCAGTAGCACGCGAGGTGGCGCCCTGTCGATAATATCAGTTCTTTGTGAATGCTTGGTTCATCTTGAGGGCTTCCAAATCACAGCAGATGTTCAAAAGTTCCCTTCACCTTGTTTAACCTGGTCCCTGGTGAATGCGTGCTTCAGTTCTTCCTATTTGACCTGCCAGCTGGCAATGTATGCAATCATGTGGCAAACATCAAAAACTTGAGTCTTCGCCTGCAAACGACTTCAGACTTTTATGAATGAAAGCACAACGTGATTACCCTCGACCATGCGGTTCATTCACTTTATCTACTAATCAACAGTGGATCCGCTGGCGCCGTCGACCTTGGATATTCACTGTCATTGGTGGGTCTGTTGCTGCTGACTGGGGTGTGAACATCCTTGGCGGGGTCGGCTCCACGCTCGTTTGTTGTTGACTTCGCACGTTCCAATTGCCAAGATATCCATCCACCCCCAACAACACGCGCAAGTACATGTGTCTACACCTCCTTCGAATGCCACCACCACAAGTTCATTCGCGCAGCCCTCACCTACATATGAGCCACCATGGGTCGCGTTAAAAAGGGCAAGCCACATCCAAACAACAACAATGCTGGCCTCTCTGTTCGTGCTCACCGCAAAGTCGGGAGTAGCAGGCGAGTGTATCAGAAACGCATCAACCAGGTTTTAAAGGGCCTGCGGAATCTTCCCATCGACCCTTTGGAACGCCTCGACGCTTTGATACCCCGCTCCGGTCTTGTGCGTACCAGTTGCCCCATGTGGGTCTCGACGCCCGAAAAGGCCCAGAAGCTATGTCAAGCCTTGCAGAAAGACACCCCAGACGTCCGCGACGTAACACCCGTGCTCATGGACTTCCTTGACCATGTCGAACGACATTTTCGGCTTCCTGTGTCAGAGTTGCAGGTACAATGCGGCACGCCTCCTGATCCGCGGCCGCCCTGCCACGACAGATTCAACCCACCTCTGCGTGCGTGTTGCTGGGAGCAGATCATCAGCGCCTCCAGTCTACCCGATGACCTGCCATCTGGAATAGTCAAGGAACTGATGGAATCACTGGACATTGCCCACTCTCGCTTCATACGAAAGCGAAACAAGAGCATAGCCAAGAGGAGAGCAAGGGCCGCTGCTGGACAGGGGTCTAAGACTGCTGTCACACTGCATCAATCAGTCGAGCAGATGATGCCCAAGTCACCGTTTGCGAAGAGACTAGCCAGAGTGCATGAGCTTGCACATAAGCCTTGGGCTGAACCTGTGCCAAAGAAGTTCACCGAATGGGATGGCGATGAGAATGACGGCTTGGACTCGCACGAAATTACGGACCGGGGGATGGAAATAGACGAAGACGAGGAAGGCTATGACCTGAGGAATAACGACGACGACCACTCATCAGAGAACGGGTCATTCATTTACCAGGAGGATTGGCAAGACGATGAGCTCGATATGGGCGACCACAACCTTCTTCTTGGCGCTTCTGCGAGACCCATCACCGACTTTGCACAGGCCTCACGGGCTCGGCAGCCGTTTGGTGATCTTGCTCAGTTGCTTGCCAATGCGCCATCTGCCGATGAAAAGATTGATGTCTCCCAAGTTGACTTTCAAGGCTCGACCATCAGCATTACTTTTGGTGCGTCTACAGATGCCGGACGTTGTTCCAGCCAAGCCAAGCCGGCATGAAAAGCTGGGGCACTCCGGCAGATTGAAAGGCTCAAGGCTTGTCTAAGGCTCACCGGCGATCTGTCGATCAGCGACAGCTTGGATCAAAGGTGTAGCACGGTCTCGAAAGCCGAGGCATAGTTGGGCACTCGAGCTGAAACGGACAAACACACGTGCAGCTCCTAGCGAGCACAGCGCAAAAACATTCTGATCGATTGTCTGTATGACACAGTGTCCATCCCTGACTAAGCTGATCAGACAGTTAGGGTATTTCGATGTTGCTCGCCAGAAATGTCAGGGCTGGGCGTCATGAAAGCTGGGTGAATCAAGTGCTGGGCTGTAACTTTTTTGACAGATGGGATAGATGGTCGCAAGACAAACAAACCCACGGTCCTAGATGAGATAAGGCCCTGGTCATCAATTAATGAGCTCATGAACGTATGAACCTGTTGGAGTCTCCCGAATTGAGTTGAAAGCTCCTAACCAAAAATACTTTTTGCAAGTCACATCGCTTCCCGCAGGAAAGGCCTGGAAGCCTTGAGAGAGGGGGCGATGGGCTCCATCAATTGAAAGAGCATGGTATTCACTGCTTCAAGGGAAGCCGAAGGGATCGTTTCCTGGACCCGGTGGTGCCGCACTGAACTCGAAGAAGCTCTGGGGCCCAAAGGTCAGATCTGGGCTTTGGATGGGATTGTGCATTGACTGCATCCCGTTGCCAGGACCAGAGCCTCCCACGCCTCCATACCCCGAAGGAAGAGAGCCCTGGAAGGGCGAGGCATTCGGGTCGGAATATAACCCAAAGGACATGCTCGAAGCGTCTTCCAGGCCTGGGTCCCCCATGATGCCGCCAGAACCTCCCTTGCCCAGGGCGCTCCCTGTGCTGGATTCGAGCCCTTCTCCAGCGCTCGACCCGAGTAGCGAAGTAGCCGACTTCTCCAGCCCATCCGCCATTAAATGCGCAAGGTGCCATTTGCCGGCCTGAATAGATCTAAATTGCGAAACCAGCCTGCTTGCCAAGTCACTCACGAAGCCAGCCTCGACCAGCCCGTCCTGCCGCTTGGCAGCCAGCTTCAGGAGAAACACACAAGCGAAGCACACCATTGCGTGTACATAGGTGGGCATTCCTCGGAGGCTAGCGGCAATGTCTGGTTCCTGGAGCACAAGCTCAATTATGTTGGTCGCGGCGGCGATGGCACCCGAGGCAGCCTCCCGGAGCGGGACAGGAATGGGGTCCTTGTTTGCGAGCCCACGAAAGACGTGGCTGAAGAGGTAGAGTTTCGAAAATTGGTAGTAAATAAGGGCATTTTTGGCTGGAAAGTCGCCAATCGTCGAGGAGCAGCCTGTAACCAGCGACAGTTAGCTCGCAGCGAGAGATCATGGGACCGTCCTGCACCGTAGCTTTTATCGGCTAAACACTATTGAGGCATATACGAAAAGAAAACAAATACTCACTTTTCAGTGCCGTCGACCACACACCAACCCAGTGGTCAAGCTGGCGGCTATAATGTGCAATCTGTGTTGAAAAGGCCGGCGGAATCGAGACTCCATTGTCGGGACCAAACAGCTCGTGGACACTTGTCAGAATGAGATGTAACGAGACCTGGCTCATTAGTCTCTTGTCGTCATCCGTGGATAGTGGGGTCTTGAGAAATTCCTCCCAGCCCTGTATACTGGCGTCCTCACACACGAGGCTCTGCCTACTATAAAGAGTGGAGAGATTCTTGTCGCAGATGAAAAGATTATACCACAGCCTTAGGCAATCAGCCGCGTCCTCACTGCCCTCTGCGAGCACTCTCTGATAGTTGCCACTGAGGTTGATCTCGGTAGCCCTGCGGATCGCCATTCCAGACAGGGTCCAGCTGACATCACTCAGCCAGTACGAGGCTACGCAGAGGGCTCGGAGGTGATCCCGGTTAACTCTTCTATCAAAAATACTTGCCGATATCAGGCGTCGCAATTCTCTGTTGCAGATCGGATAAATGTGATTCGACGCAGCATCATGCAGGGCGGCGACGGTCAAGATGCTCGCGGTCAAGATGGGACTCCGCGCCCTCAGGGCATCGAGTGTCCGCCAGCGGCCACCAATCTTGTATACGAAGTAGTCCAGCTGCTCCATGTACAGATCAAACAGCCGCTGTGCGTCCGCTAGGGAGATCTGCCCAACGGCAATGAAGTCCCGTATGGATCCAACCCCAGAGTGGAGACTCTGGGCGTCCTCACCCGAGTCATGGGAGCGGAGGGGCGGATGGCTGGTTCGTGGGTTCAGTTGCGAGATGGAGGGTGGAAAGAAGCCCGCTTGCTGCGTTGTGACGTCGGTCAGGCCTTCATCCAGCATGTTCATCATCGAGGGCGAGTTGTTATCTCCAGGCGACACGCCGCCGCTGTCCTCTTGCTGGTCTTGTCCGCCTGGATCCATGGTATCTGGTCCTGGCCGATCAGAGGAGCTTCGCAGTCCAGCAAGTGGTGGAAGAGCGGACCGCTCTCGAAGCTCTTGGACGCCGGAGTATATGAGCTCAAGGTCACCAACAATGTCTTGATGCCACCTGTGACAATCGTCAGACGTCCAGTGACAGTCAGGGAGGGGGCAGTAAAAAAAAAAAAAAGAGAAAAAGACTCACTGGGACCTTTCATCCATGAGCATCTGTAAACTCTTGTTGAGAACGCACGAGAGATTTCTTTGTTTGCATCTTACACATGGAGGCTTCCCATCCTCCATATGACATCTTATCTACATAGTGAGGTTAGGCATACTGTGAATCCCGTGGAAGGTTTCGGCGGCAAGGGATTCCGAGCAGGACTTTTAACGATATTGAGGAAGGGAGACTCCCTTACTTTTTGCTTACGACATGCTGCACAGGCCTTTACTTTGCGCGATATCTCCACAGAGGTCAGGGACGGGTGCCGCTGAGGCTGCTGGAAGGGCGGCACATCGCCTCGTGGTGTGGAAACGGACTGGAAGGGGGACGGGTGACTGGTTCGCCTGGGAGTGTCCCCGGCCTGGGACAGGCCAGCCGAGGAACCTGGCGGCAGATCATAGCCGCGGCGCCTGCTCTAGATCGTTGTAGCCCTTGGGTCAGCATCACCTGGCAACACCACAAATGGTACATGGCTTGCGAAGGAGTTACCAGATATGGATGGCAAAGAGGGTCCAGTGTCTGAAAAGGGAATGGGGCCAGGGGGGCTGCTTACCGTAACAGGAGGGCTGGCCATGTCCTGCGACAGGGAGTCGTTTACTTCCTGCCAGGATCTCTTGGCCATGAGCCGAACTGTACTAGGTACACCGGAGATTCACCTTGTGTCAGCTTTTGCTGGGTCGAGTAGAGTCGAATCAGGCGGAAACAGACTGCGGCGACGACCTCTCGCGCGGGCGGTTGCATAGTCGCCAGAGTGGGAGGGACGAAATTGTGGAGAATAGCTAGCCGGAAACAGGGGCGGGGGGGCAAGGCAATCTGGGGATGCTCGGCAGAATGGGCAGATTGGCATGTCAGACTTTAGAGTTTCTCGGTACGCGCAGCGTGTTTCTCTGACAAGTGCCAGGATCTGCTTGTTGGAGCGCAGGCGAGTAGCGGGAGGGGGGAGCCAGCAGCCATGGCTTGCCGGGGCTAGATACTTTGTTTACCAGCCAAGGGGACCGAGGTCTTGGGGTACCAGGACGAGGGCAAAACAAGGTTTACTCCCACGTTCGGCCATCGCGCGATAGGCCGGCCTGGGCCAAAAGTCGTACCATGTCTCCCAATGAGGCAGGCCAACCACCAAAGAGAGTATCAGTCTGGAAGGCTGATAATTCGCGATAGTTCCGCGACAAAAATGCGGAGCACAGCTTGCTTCATCGAGATTCCCACGTTCTAGAAGCAGAGTAAGCTGCATTCTGTGCATGCATGGTACTGACTCGTGGGCGTGATGGAGCCTTACACTTCTTGGCAGATCAACACCATCACCCGACGCTTGTGTCGCTTTTGTCGCTTGCTACTCGTCGTGGTGGTGTGCCATGTGCACGGGGAAGCTGTAAGCCCGGATTTGGATCTGATAATGAAGGTTGGAAGTCTGACAAATATGCTATGTCGGTGTGATTCGGTCAGTATCAAAGCCCGTGGGTTAGAGGGCCATCACGCCGCCGGCCCCGGTAAAGGCTCACATCATGTCCTCAAATCCCCGGGCACATTCTACTGAAGCATGTTGAGAATACAAGCCGTGCTTGGCGTATCAAAAGCCCGCCGGCCACATATCGCTTGCTTGCATTCATTGACACTGATCGCACGTACCTACCCTGCAGTCGTGCTTCCAAAGCCCGATGGTGGGTAGATCTACATGGAAGAAGTATAGAAACATATGTAAACGCCTGGGATCACCCCCAGCAACACGTGCCTGAGTCATGATGGCATGGTTCAGACGAAGTCTAAGACGCAATGCACACGTTCCTGGACAGCATGAGCCCAAAACCAGCAATGTGTGACGGACAGCCACAGGCGCTACCAGTTTCTGTGACGAAGCATCTCAACGTTCGTCCAGGCGGTTGCATTGCGTCGGAATATATTAGCATGGTCGGCCATGGTAGAATGGCTAGCTCAAGACAGGCCTTAGACGTCCGCAATGGCTCAACACGTGTAGCCCGATTGGACGGCCAATCCATGTGCGAAGAGGTCGAAAGGGGGCCCAATAGCATATACGCGTCATCGTATTGGCTGATAGTGCTCAGCACATCTGTATCTACTCGCAACCTAGGAAGCAGCCATCCGGTTGCAAGGGTCCCGCCGGGTGGCGTGCGGTGGTGAAACAGGCGTCATTATATCTTCGCTGGTGTCAATCTTCGACAAAACCTGCTGGCGGATTTGCCATGAATCAGTCAGGCACCCACCACTGGCTCCCGCGTATACCAGTACAACGGTTTTGGTGACCAGGGCTGCACCAGATGTCAAGGCGCCCAAGGGTTCCTCGCATGCCGAAGGTGGCACGGGCTAATCCAAGAGCTCGTCGCCGTCCATTCGAGCTTGCACGCGCGATCGGCCGTTAAACTTGTAACGACCGCTGAGCTGAAGACACTGCAGGGTCGTATGCACCGACTGTACTGTATCTACCCGGGCGGTGGAATGTGTTCCGCCCCAGCTTCTAAACCTCGCTGGCGGCCCGCGGGGTTGCAGCAGTCACTCATGAGTGGATGGCATGATTCTGCGAACAAGGTGACAACGTTTTCCGAGATTAGCCTAAGTGCCTGCTAGCTTCGGGGACAAGTGCTGGGTGGAAAATTGGCGCTCCAAGGGTGGGCTGCGCTCCGGAACGCTTGGAATTGTAGCATAAAGAACGTGCAAGCCTACGAGGATCACAAGCCCTCTGTCTCACAAGCAGGGCTCGTTGGCTACGCCGTAGGTACCCGACGAGATGGCAAACATGCGCATTGGGCTATTACTGCGGATGGTCGACCCGATCGGCTTGGCGAAGGTTTACAAACAGAAGTAGCCTCATGAGTCGTTATGCTTCTGAACCACGTATCTGTAGAATCTATCATGGGAAACACAAGAGGAAATTTTTGTCGAGGCTGAAAAGACCGAGGCTGACACCAGCGACTGTCACATATCGTATATTTCATCGCCAAGCGTTCTCTGCACATCAACAATCTATTTTCCTAGAGCATACTTTACCCTTTATGCACGTGGAATCCATTCCCGCGGTGTGTCTGGATGGACGTGTCGCCTGAGCCGAAAGACTCGCAGAGATCACACGTGTGTCCTTACAGGTGGTGTGGCGCTGCTAATAAGCCAAGCACTTCGCATACCCTACCTTTCGGTTGGCAATTCGGACATACAAATGGTGGAGGAGGAATGTTCCTTTTTGAGAAAAGTCCTGCTGATGAAATCTTCAACGTTTCACGGAAACAATCCTGGACAACATCCAGATGGTGGGTAGGTTTTGATTCGATGTTAGCCCTAGAGTGCCTAGCTAGAAATGATATTGACGCCTCACCACCCACTCGCACCAAACTCCCAACGCGAGTCCAAAAAAGACAGTGATCGTCGTTGCATGTCAACTTTCTCCAATGCATGAAAGGCATCATGGAGATAGAGGAGGGCCGATGAATTCATTTCTCGGTCGTTCAGCATGAACAAGGGCCGGAGGCAGTGGGACGGATGTGATTCGATCCACAATATCCATGTTGCCCGACATGCCTGTTCTTAAGCTAGGTTCAAGAATGCATGTGAGCGAAGCAGCCATCCTGGCACAAGACAGGTGGGAGTAATCGCGGATCGTTCGTCCCCACCTCTTGTCATGACTCTTTCAACTTTTTGTGGTCAACGCGAGGCTTAACTGGCAGGCCGGTGTTTAACAACACTTCACAAGTCTTCTGGTCGGGCTCCCGCCGGCTCAGCTCCCGCTGGACGTCATTTGTCCATTGCATGCTGCCCTTCTCCTTCCATGGGCTGGCTGTCTGATGCAGCCTTGATCTGTTGGGTGAACGATTGGATGCATAGTCCTCTGATTCCGATGTTTCTGTGCTTTCTGGATTTCTACCTCGAGCACTTCTGGTAGACTCCGGCTTCCTCATCATCGACGCTCGGCCGCCAAAGCGACACGGGCTTGGCCATCTCGCTCGTTCACGCTGGGCTTCTATCTCCAACCCCGGTCATAAAATGCCACGCAGGGCAATGCCTTTTCAAGGCGCGAACCGAGTGGTTCTCTCGAGCGAGTGTGTTGATGAGAGAGTTGCAAGGTTCTGAGGGCTCGCAGATGGCTGTGAAAGTGACGATGTCGGCGTCTCCCCAGGTGCGGCAGAACAAGGAACAACGAATGTATAATGTCTAGTTGAGCGAGATTGATCTCATCATAGGTCGGGTCACACGTCAGTAGGCTTCGTCGGCCTCTGGCACCCGTGCTGTTCCCCATCGTCTACGAGCCGATCCGGGGGCGCTCCCTCGTAGTCCTTCCAGTCGAATCCATAGACAGCAAACGAGGCGGCTGACAGCCCCACGATGACCCCGATGACAATTATGGCGGTCGTCTCATTCAGCCATCGAGAAACAAGAAAGCGCACTGTTTCAATTAGACTGGGCCATTGTGATGATGGTTGTGTCGAGGTTGGCAAAGCGAGGCCGCTGGCAGACTGGAGAAAGACAAGAAGCAGAACCGCAAGACGTCGGCCTGAACAATTTGATGTCGTGAGCTGCATATCGAAGGTGCTATAGAAGGTCTGTGGCTATGATTGTCCCTTATCAGAACAAAAAGGAGTCGCTCAGGTTATTGACAGCTGAAGTCGGCAGTCGCTCCCTACGTACAAAGAGGTGACGTTGGCAACGAAATCGTACAACAGGACGGAGTGAGGTATTCATTATTTGTGCAACATTCTGTAGAGACCTCAGCTCACTGCCTGGCGCTCGTGGGTCCAGGATCGGTCTCAAGTGGAGTACCACGTGTCTGTGTATGACAGCAGACAAAGCCCGCTGCGCCAGAAGGATTGACGTGTCGTCATCCGAGAGAGTCATCATTGGCGACAGTCAGATCTGCTCTCGCAGGATTCGGACCCCGGCTCGTTACCGCCAAACATAGTCCCTTAGCCACTTTGTCACATCCTCCCAGTGGCCGGAGGTAAGCTTTCTCGAGGCTGAGGCGTCTGAGGTTCTCTAGTGTGCCTTCATGCTGGGCCGAAGGACTGCAGACCGCTAGGCATCCTTGGTCCACGGAAAGACCATTTGTCTCGGCCATCGGGCATCCAAAATACACAGATAACGCCGGATCAAGATTCCCTAATCTAAATCCTTTTGTCATAATCAATCCGGTCGTCCCTCGTCGCAGGCGTCCGGAAATGTGCACACGTTCCGGCGCCTGACCGGAGGCCACATCCGATCGGGAAGCGGGCGGCCGATCCACCGGCGGACCTGAAAATTCCTGCTTCGGACTTTTGACTTGGCACGTGAGACGCAGTGGTCGTCGAAACTTCGCACACTAGCCGACCGAGATGCCCACCACCACCCCTATTTTGTTTTTGGATGGAGGTCTCGGAACGTCCCTTGAAGACAAATATGGCGTGAAGTTCTCCAACAAGACCACGCCCTTGTGGTCTTCACATCCTATCGTGGACGACCCGAAGACGTTGCTCGCCTGCCAAAGGGATTTCGGCCAGGTACCCGTCGACGTGATCGAGACAGCTACCTACCAAGTCTCCATCTCTGGATTTGCAGCTACCAGGACGGAGCAATGGCCGGACGGAATCAGCGAGGCTAGTATCCCCAGGTTCCTCAAGGACGCCGTTGAAATCGCGTATCAGGCCAGGGGCAAGGCGGACGCAAAGCTGGCTTTGAGCCTAGGGCCATATGGCTCCACCATGGTGCCTGGACAGGAGTACAGCGGTGCCTATGACGCCGAGCACGATGACGAGGCAAAGCTGGTCGAATGGTGGGCCCAGCGACTATCTCTTTTCGCCGACGCTCAACTTCTGGATAAGATCGCATATGTTGCCTGCGAAACCATCCCAAGGCTTGACGAGATCGCCGCAGTCAGGAAAGCCGTCGCTAGGTTCTCCTCGAAGCCACTTTGGCTGTCGTGCGTCTTCCCCGGCGAGGGCGATGGGTTCCCCGATGGCAGCAGCGTCGAGCAGGTCGTGGGTGCCATGTTTTCTCAGGACGTTACCAAAGCTCAGCCTTGGGGTATAGGTATCAACTGCACAAAGATGCACAAGCTCGGGGGCCTGATCGGAAAGTATGAGAATGCAGTCTCAAAGATGATCCAAGAAGGACGACTTGGTGCATGGCCTGCGCTGGTGCTGTATCCCGACGGGACCAATGGAGAGGTTTACAATACGACGACACAGAAGTGGGAAGCTCCTCCTGGCCAGATGGATAACAGGGTAAGTGCATCGGCCTCACTCATCGCCTCACAGTGGAGCCATAGTTTCTAATTTGGCACAGATACCGTGGGAGCAGCATCTGGGGCAGATCGTTGTCGACACCGCCAAGCGCCAGAAGTGGCAGACCATCCTTGTTGGAGGATGCTGCAAGGCTAGCCATAACGACATTAAGAAACTCGTCGACTACGTCCACTCTAGCGAGATAGCCTGAGCAGGCTGAAGATTTTAGATACCCATGCTCTTGTGGGTATCATTCGGCGCGCGTCAATATACAATGGGATACTGCCCCCATTTCACGAGCCATGTGGGTGTTTCCATCGATCTGACAAGACAATCTACTGTTACTGGTACCCCGAGAGGCTGTTCAGTGCCAAGATCAGTATGCAGTCAGCACCCCCCGTGGGCTGGGTTTGCTGCTTTGGAGACAAGTTCTGTGTTAGCGAAAGTGAAAGAGGCGGAATGATGGATATTTTCGCACGTTTGCACAGAGCGGATGTATACACGCGATTACTATTAACTTGTACTGTGGAAAACGGAATTCGTGATGTTTCCCTTCTGTTCTTCCCCGGAAAATCATCAATAATGTCATCGAGATACGACAAGAACGTCAAGGTGATCAACTCATGCATTTCACGGAGTCTCCACAGAACACGCATTGCAGCACAGTTGAATATTGCTTAGTGATCGAGGGACCAACGTCTGCTCCCACCTCGTACATCATGTGGGCAATGATGGTCAGTTATGCTTAGACAGTTGGCTATGGGCATGGTATCTGGTAGTCTAACCCAGTTCGCCGTCTCCCTGCTTCCCCGCGTTCTCCTCACTGGGGAAACGAGACGCAGGGTTGGACAGTGAGGTGGGGGTGATCCGCCGGCTCCCTGGCGGTTCTGACAGTCTGACAGTCTGAGCGATGATATTCTCCAAAACTGGAAGCCCGGCAATGTGCCAATCCATTCCAAATGAGACTAGAGCAGGTGCGATTGTACCCCTGGTTGTGATGCTGCTCCACGACCAAAGTCTGGCCAACGGCGATGTCGGATGATACCCGACCACCACCTCCCCCCCGCAAAACTGCCACAGGAGAATTCCCCTTCATTTTCAACGCCTGCATACTGTTTGAGTGTCCTGTTATCACTATATATAATTCATGACACGAGGAGATGGCAAACATAAACATGTACACCTTGGGCATTGCTATTTTTGCCGCCATCGGCACATTCCTGTTTGTTCGTCACCCCTGTGAAATACTCCGCAAAGGATGAACTCTGACGTTCCAAGGGCTTTGACACGGGCATAGCAACGACGAGTAAGGATGAGACTGTCGGATCGGCAAGCTTTGGGTCGTGGAATTGACATATCTTGCAGCAATCGCCCATCAAAGCTGGGTAGAATACATGGGCCATCCATCGAATGCCTTGACTGGCGCGGTAATGCCACACCCTTTCCCAGGATACTTGTATTAACTGGACTTACGTTGACAATGAGAAACAGGTGGTTGCCGTTTACATCGCCGGGGAAGCCGTTGGAGCTCTCACGCAGACAGCCATCGCTGACAAGCTCGGCCGAGTGCGATTCATGCAGTTTATGTGCGTCGTGGTAACCATAGGGACGGTCGTCCAGACCGCATCTGTGAATATCGGGATGTTCCTGGCTGGGCGCGTTCTCGCAGGATTTGCCGTCGGGTGAGTGCGCTCCGGACAGTCCTGTGTGTTCATGGCAACGCTGTCTGTGACTAGGCTGAAAACAATCGTAGAGGACTTGTTGCCACAGTACCCATCTATCTCAGTGAGATTTCACCGCCTGCAAAGCGCGGCCTTATCGGTGGTATATCAGGCTGCGGAATCAGCTTTGGTACCATGATGTCTAACTGGGTAGGGATGGCTTGTGGCTACGCACCATATGGACCTGTGCAATGGCGTTTACCGCTCGGCATTCAAATACCATGGGGAGTTATCCTTATTATCGGATTGGCAACCTTTATGCCAAATTCTCCACGCCAGTTGATCCGAAACGGAAAGGTTGACGACGCTCGGCAGGAGTTCATCAAGATTCGGCGTGATCTCCAGGCTCACGAGGTCCAGGACGAGTTTTTGCTCATGCGCTCTCAGATCGAATTTGAGATGGAGAGAGAGATCAAGTCGTACAAGGAAATATTCAAGATCTTCAGGCATCGTGCATTAGCGTGAGTTCTGTGACATGTCGCGGTAATGATTTTGACATTATGCTGATAAGGAGCAGGTCCATCGCTGTCCAGACAATGACAAGTCTGACTGGGGTTAACGTAATCCAGGTCAGTTTCACTACACTTATTTCACTCATGAAACAAAGAAGAGGTGCTGACTTGTGTCCTGATCACAGTATTATCAGAGTATATAGGTCTTCATAAGGATTTTGCGGCAAACATATTGATTGACACCGCCTTTAGCAATCCTATACAAGTCCTTGGGTATTGGAACAACCTCGATTCTTGCTTTAGCAGGCGTATACGGCACCATAGCCTTCACATCAAACCTTCTTACGACGCTTTTCCTGACTGACCAATGGGGTCGAAGAAAGTAAGAATACGAATACGCCTAAGGCTCAGTGATTCTTGGGCGACTGACCGTTGGTAGGATGATAATTGCAGGTCTCAGCGGCATCATCATCGTCGAGATATATGCAGCAGTAATGCAAAGACAATTTCAGAACACGGACAACAGGATTGGGAAAGGCTTCGCCGTGTTAGGGATATATTTGTTTGTTGTTGTGTATTGTGCGTTTCAGCCACCGACTCGCCTTTTGCTTGACCACAGGCTGACGTATTGTGCAGACGGCATGCTGAACAGCACTACGTGGCTCTATGGAGCCGAGATATTGCCAATTGCATTGCGAAGCAAGGTTATGGGGCTTGCTGCTGCTTCACACTTCATCGTGAATGTAGGAAGTAAGTAGCCGCACTGCGCGGGAAATCATCCCCAGGTCATACAGGCCGCCGACTCATACGGCAATACATTGTAGTCACCGAGGCAGGACCAAGCGCCTTTGCGAATATCAAGGAGAACTACTACTACGTCTTTGTCGGCTGCAGCTTCTTCTTCCTAATCGTTGCTTACCTCTACTTCCCGTCAGTATCACCTGTCTCTGGAATGGTAATAAGAAGCGTAATGTGAGCAAAGCTAACTGTCACTCTAGCGAGACAAGACGGAAGACACTGGAGGAGATCGCGGCAGCTTTTGGTGACAAAGTCGTCGATTTGACAGACGCAGAGCAGACCTCGCGGATCCACCCTGTGGACAGTGTCTTCAAAACCGATGCCGAGGAGGTTGAGGCGCCATACCCCAGCGCGAGCAGCCACCGAGGATAGCAGCGTGCACTTTTATTGGAGCATGCTGAAACTATCTTGTGTACTTCCGCGTTGCATGTTACAATCCATGGAGACAGCGACGGCGTCAACATGCATGGAAACTCGCAATAGTTCAGGTACTGCTTTGTGGCTTGAGTTACTGGCGTGGAGCTTGGGTCAATGCCATTCGCCAATGCGACGAGCTGCACATAGGTAGCAGAAATCCCATGATATGCTCACTACAAAGCGGTGTTTACAAACAACCCACCGTGTAGACCGGACTTGATTGCTCCTGACTTTTGAAGTCCCGATGGCCCTCGTACTAGCTGATTCATGAGCTCGAGCTGAGAATGAACGATCACTATATAGGGGAGTTGTGGTAGTTCCTACGTTGTAATGTCGTGTTGAACGCAAGGGAAAGTGCGTCTGGGACGCGGGGAAAGGGCCCAAGAAACTATGCAGATCAACATAATTCCAGAAGCACGTTGCACCTCCCCATGCGAATTACATGACAGAACAGCTCACCACGAGCGACCCTGAGGCTTCGAGTACTCTGGAATGATCTCAACCTTCTTCAATCCCACCTTGCTCTATCCTCATAGCATAGCCCATCTGAAAAATCAACGTATTTCCGGTTTGTCCATTCTGATGCTTTGTTCCATAGGCGCCATGCCTTCGTCGACCATATCAGCAATGCCCCAAGCCTTAGGATCGTCACCAATGCAAAGCTCGCGATTGTGTATACTTGCCGCTTGGTTTGGTGCCCTCTCTCACCTGCTCTACTACATCAAGGGTTATCGTGACCCTCAAAGTCCTTCCATCGCCCTCGTGCACTCACTGCTACTTCCGGTGATTGCGACTGCCATCACAACGACTCAAGGCCTGAATGTCGTCTCATTTTTGGCATCGTTTCAAATATGGACATCATATCACGTGGGCTTGTTCGCGAGTATCGTCCTATACCGCGTCTACTTCCATCCTCTTGCCCGGGTGCCAGGCCCCTTTTGGGCGAAGGTCACGAAAATCCCAACCATCGCCATCGCGCGGCACGGCAAGCTGCATGAGCTGCATACAGAATGGGCGAGGAAGTATGGAACAATTGTACGAATCGGTCAGTATCTCAACCCAGTTGAATGCCAAGGTTCTTGCGTATGCAGAGCTGACAATAATTGAAAGCCCCCAATGAATTATTGATCACCTCGGTCAGCGCTATCGATACGATCCACGGTCTACGCTCGACAGCCACAAAACGACATACCTTTTATGACTATGTCCAATTTCATGGCGCACTCAATCTCGATTCTTTGTATGATCGAAAGGAGCATCGTGACCGCAAGCGGATTTGGGTCTTTGCGATGAGCAATGAAAATATGAAGACCTACGAGCTCAATGCACGGGACTCGACACGCCCTTGGCTGGGCAGACTATCAGCTGCGTCTGCGGCAGAGACCCCGCTAGATGTGTCTTTGTACATGAACCTCCTCACATTTGATAACATGACAAGAACTGGTTTCTCAATTGACTCTGGGACTGTGAAACTGGGCGTCAAGAACCGTACGATGCAGCTGATGGAGGCCAACTTCGCCAGGATAGCGGCGTCAGCACACAGCATTTGGCCGTTGCGACTTCTCAGTAGACTGGGACTGCTGAAGGGAGAGGGTCAGTTTGATGCTCTTACTCATAAGATGTGCCTAATGAGAGAAGCAAGCCTCTTAGCGGGAGAAGTAAGTTTCTTATGAACTGTACTTCAAAGCGTTGTAGGCCACTAACTAGCTTAGAACAACTCTGAAGACCAAGTTGATATCATGAGATACTTTTTCGATGACTTCCGATCCGAAAAGCCCAGAGGATTTCACGATCGCCGGGCCATCTATGCCGACGCCCAGGCCGTAATGGTTGGCGGCACCGATACACTGTCTTCTCTCTTGACGCATTGCTTCTATTACCTGGCCAAGGACTCAGCCATGCGAAAGCAGCTCAGACAGGAACTGGCACCCGCCTTTGGAAAGTCATATCCTAGAGAGTTTGCTTACAAAGACATCGATTCCTTACGTTTATTAGACTCAGTGATTATTGAGACGTTGAGAATGCACAGCCCGACGTGCAACAACGGTCCTCGAGTAACGACAGAAGATACCGCTATTGACGGCTTGCTGATTCCAAAGGATATCGTTGTCTACGTCGGCATCCACAGCACACAGAGAAGTGAGTAGCGTGTTTGATGTACTTCAGGAATACCATGCTCACCGCTCGTTGCAGGTCCTCGTTATTTTGAATATCCCAATGAATGGCTCCCAGAGAGATGGACAAGTCGACCTGCACTGATTATAAACAAGCGGGCGTATCACCCATTTCTAAAAGGTGAGCATTCAATCATAGTTTATTCACTTGCCCCAGTTTGTTTGTCCAACCATTACTGAACAATGTTACCCCAGGCTCGTTCGTTTGCGTTGGTACACGCTTGGCGCTCATGGTGGCGAAAATTGTGCTTTCGTATACGGTATTTCTCTACGACTTCGAATTGTCGCACGATCAAGCTGCATCCGACTTTCTGAATGACAGCAAGAACCAGCTCATTCTCAAGCCAGGGAGATTGGAATGTGTGTTCACTAAGCTCGGTTCCAGCTGAAGATGTATAATATCATGGGTGGCTGCCCCCCCCCCCTCAACCTCGAATTAGTCCTCATGGGTAGATAACATAGAAAAAACAAAAGCCTTTACTTTCTGAAAGGGACGTATAAGACAGTGAAGCCACGAAAGTAGACTCTGTTGAAACGATGGAATCGTGTATACCGAGGGTCTTGGGACTATGCATGTTGAAAAGACTGGCATCAATGTGTAGCATGTCCGACGTACAATCTACATGACCCCTGTCTTGTTAAAAGACTTCAATCTGCTAGGTGCGTGATCTCTGACTTCCGTTGAGGTTAGGTGGAGGTCGCACATCCGGAATGATCCTGCTTGTTATTTTGGGATGAGTGAGAATGAAGTGCGTTTGAGATACAGGAGACTTCTTAGACACTATTACAGGCGTTGCTCCCGCCGTCGATCTGAAATGGGCCCTGAGGAGCTGTCGATGGCAGCTGTCTGTGGAACGTTACTTAAAACCTCCAATACGGAAACCCGGCCCGCGACCACGCGAATTTGAGGCCTCGTGGATACTCAAGAGCTGCTCGACTAAGCTGAGCAAATGAAGGGCCGTACGAAGCCTCTGAAACCGCCAGCCAAACAGGGACACCTTAGAATTTGGCGAGAGCCGTGAAGGATCAGTCCAAGCCGAATAGGCATAAGTAGCAAATCCACTGATAACGATGTTAGCGTGTCCCAACATGCAGAGCTTACCCGACTCAGTGGGGCATTTCCTGAATGGGCGATGAAATGCACCAAGGAATTCGGAGATGGCTTAACACATCTGCTTGATAAGCCGCCTCCTGAAGTTAGTGGAGTTCGGAGTTCGGTTTAGCCGTGTCAGCATGCGCAATGAGTTTGGTCCTGCATCAAATGACCTAACCGAGCTGACGCACCTCCCTACGCGCCCAATTTCTACGTGACTGGATTTTGTTTGGTTGGAGTTGTCTTCTAGATAGGACACCCGCCAGCTCAGCAAGCTCTGGCCGCAGTCGTTTTGATTTGTGTATCTGCCTGTGTAAGTCGGGCCTCAGAAACGTCGCCAGGCTCCTCGAGAACACTTTTCATCACAGAAAAGCTGGTTGCTACTGTGGCAAGTGAAGACTGAGCGCCGCCCACGTTCTGGGGAGCCCAAAATGCCTTTCTCTACTGGGGAAGAAAACTTGTTCCAGCTGAGCCAAGAGAGTTTCGACTTCAACGTGCAGTTCGAGCAACTATTCTTCTCTATAATTCCGTCTGTGCTATTCATTATAACCTCGTTATGGCGTACGGTTTCGCAGGCACGGAAGCCCACCATCGTGGATGCTCCCGTCTTCCAGCTCATCAAATTGGTACAACCTTTCTCCAAGTGTGCTAAGACATGCTGGCACAGTGCTGATCAAGCTGCTGTAGGGTACTATAACAACCTATGTCGGCCTTGAGCTTTCGCTCCTGATACTGGTCGCGGTTGGATCATTCCACGTCACTAGCATGTTCATAGCCTCATCGGTCCTCAAGCTGGTCTCTGCCTTGTTCATGATAACTCTGAGCATTGTCGACCATAGCAGAAGTCCAAGACCTTCCGTCCTTCTGAACAGCTACTTGTTCCTAACACTTTTGTTGGACGCGGCCCAGGCAAGGACGCTGTTTTTGTCATCAGAAGAGAAGCCCGAGGTCACTTATAGTAGTATTTTTAGTGCTGCAATAGCTCTGAAAGCCGGTATTTTGCTGCTAGAGGCTCAGCGGAAGTCCAAATGGGTAAGCTGGGATGAGAAGGAGCACAGCCCAGAGGAGACAAGCGGCATCTTCTCCCTCGGTATCTTCTTCTGGCTGAACAGAATGTTCTTTGAGGGCTACAGGAAGGTTTTGAGAATCAAGGATCTATACCCCCTTGACAGCACTTTAGGTGGCAAAGCTCTCCACGAAGAGTTTTCTAAGAATGTTGACTACTCTAAGCTAAGGGGTGACAAGTTTGGTCTCGTGAAGGTTCTAATTCGCACCCTGAAAGTTCCTCTACTACTGCCAGTACCTCCACGCTTGGCGCTTCTTGGCTTTACATTCTGCCAACCTTTTTTTATTGAGAAGCTGCTCGATCACTTATCTCAGCCAAAGGTCGATGCGAATGTTGGCTACGGATTTATTGGCGCCAGCATACTGATATACCTGGGGATTGCCGTCTCCATGGCTCTTTATTCGTATGGTGGACACTTCAAGCAATCATTCAGCACCTCTCCCGCTAATATATAAGAATAGGTACTTCCACCATCGCATGCGTACTATGGCGAGATCCATACTCGTCACTGAGACTTTCATCAAGGCGACAAAGGCTCGAATCGGAACTGGAGACGACAGCGCTGCACTCACTCTGATGAGCACAGACATGGAGCGTATCACAATGGGTCTCAGGTCTCTGCATGACATTTGGGCTAGCATCATCCAAGCCGCCCTTGCTGCTTGGATGCTCTACATCCGGCTCGGCGTTGTCTTCGTCGTTCCAATGGGAGTAGTTGTGGTCTGCTTTGGTGGGCTGGCGATTCTTGTGAATTTCACCGGTGACTCGCAGAGAGCTTGGATGGCTAGGGTACAAAAGCGTGTTGGACTGACAGCCACCGTGATTGCGAACATGAAGAATTTGAAGATCTCTGGTCTCTCCTTCACTGTCAAGGACTTTGTCCAAAGACTTCGTGTTGAGGAACTGGCTGCAGGAGCTAATTTTCGCAAGGTCATCATCATTGCGGCTCTCTTTGGTTTTACACCTTTACTAATAAGCCCGCCGTTAACCTTCGCCTTTGCTCAAAAGACATTAGACGCATCGAGGATGTTCACAAGTCTCTCATACCTCTTGCTTTTGACGAACCCACTATCGCAGGTCTTCCAATCCATTCCGCAACTCCTCTCTGGACTGGCTTGTCTGGGACGAATCCAGGCCTTCTTGGAGTGCGAAACTCGCCACGATTTTCGCCAAATACTTGCTGATATGAGGCTGAAGTCTGAAAAGGACGAGATGACGACTGGAGATCTTTCGGATTCAAAATCTAACACTGTGCATCCAATCGCCATAGAGGACGGCAATTTTGGCTGGGAAGCGGACAAATACGACCTGCGAAGCATCAACACGAAAATATCGAAGTCCTCGCTCACTATTGTCGTCGGCCCCGTTGGCTCAGGAAAATCAACATTCTGCAAGGCTCTTCTTGGAGAGATCCCTTTTAGCGGAGGCAGCTTAACTTTGAGCACCAGGTTTCCACACGTTGGATTCTGCGACCAAACAGCATTCTTATCGAATGGAACAATCAGAGACAATATCATTGGATTTTCCCCTTTCAACAATGAGAGATACACGGAAGTCATCGAAGCCACGGCATTAAGCTTTGACCTTGCCACACTTCCACAGGGCGACAGGTCGAATATCGGATCCGACGGTATTACCTTATCCGGCGGGCAGAAACAACGCGTCTCTCTGGCACGTGCTCTTTACTTGCAGTCAGACCTGCTGATTCTAGATGATGTCTTCAGTGGCCTCGATGCGGACACCGAGGAGCGCGTCTTCCGACAAGTGTTTGGCCTCGATGGACTGCTGAGGAGACGACGCTCTACAGTCGTGTTGTGCACCCACAGCGTAAAACATCTACCCGCTGCGGACCATATAATTGCCCTTGGAAACGGCACAATTGTCGAACAAGGTAGTTTTGACAACCTGATGACAAGGCAAGGATACGTGCAGCGTCTGGGTTTGAAGAGCTCTTCCGACAGCGATGTTTCGTCCGAGGAAGTGGTGGCAAACAAAGATCTTCATGGGTCACAGGCAGCATTGCTCAAGGCAACGACGACCAACATATCAACGCGAACATCGGATACTGAAGAAGCAGGAACGCGGCAACATGGGGACAAGACAGTTTACAAGCATTACTTCAAGAGTATGGGCATCTTTGTGGCCGCTGGTAGTTTATTTTTCGGTGCTCTTTTGGGTTTCTTCTCGAACTTTCCGACCATTTGTAAGCCACAAGTCACCATATCGCACCGTGATAAATCATGGCAGCATCATTGGTTACTCTATGAGTATCACAAGCTAACACCGCTTTCTCCAGGGCTCAAATATTGGTCCGATGACGTCTACTCGGAACATCCAGTACACTCTTACGCGTACTATGCCGGAATATATGGTTTGCTCCAAATATGTGCCATGATATCACTACTCCTACTCGGAATCGCGCTTTTCATCGTCTCCGTGAAGAGGGCAGGTGCCAACCTCCACCAGCAGGCCTTGCAAACACTCATTCAGGCTCCATTGGGCTTCTTCACAAGAACAGACACCGGCGTGGTCACAAACCTCTTTTCGCAAGATCTCAACCTCATAGATACAGAGCTGCCGGATTCATTATTAAACACATTGTTTTCTGTAAGTCCGCTGTGTCTGGACCCCAGTCAGAAATTTGCCATGATGTTCCATTTGGAAACATGCTTCAGATGAAAGAAGAAAGGAATACCAGAAGAATTCGTGACAGTAGTCTGACCGAGTGCTCGCAGGTCTTCCTAGCAATTGGACAAGCGGCAGTCATGCTTACTTCGTCTGGGTTCTTTGCGATAAGCTATCCGTTCCTCGGCGCCCTGCTGTACATTGTCCAAAGGTTCTATCTAAGAACCTCCAGACAATTAAGATTGTTAGACCTTGAGGCAAAAAGTCCCTTATAGTAAGTCTATCATACAGACTATCTTCACCTTCTGCGTGTCTCAAGTGCTCTATGCTAATCTCATCCGCCCAGCACTCATTTCCTCGACACTCTCAAGGGCATCACCACTCTGAGAGCCTTCGGTACGTCATATCAAAACCCAGGAGAATTATCAATAATGAACCTTCGCGGTTTTCCATGATTTTCCCAGGAATCGGCAGTCTGCTGATACCAAAGACACAGGTTTCATTCCGGACGATATGCAGAAAAATGTTCGCCTGATCGATACAAGCCAGAGACCCGCATATCTTCTCCTTATGATTCAATCTTGGCTAAATCTCGTTCTTGACCTCGTGGTCATGGTAATGGCAGCGGTGTTGACCACGCTTGCCGTTAGACTTCACTCTAACTCTGGTTTCGCCGGTGCTTCTTTAGTTTCCCTGATGAGCCTTGGAGATAATCTTTCTGGGATTGTTATATTTTACACCAAGTTAGAGACTTCTCTTGGAGCGATCTCTAGACTCAAGACATTTAGCGATGATGTTAAGCCAGAGGACAGGGATGATGAAGACATTGTACCTCCTGAACAGTGGCCTCTCACTGGTGCAGTGAAGTTGGAGGGGGTGTCTGCATCCTATGAGTAAGATCTCAATCTCGCAGACTGCGTAACACCCGATCGACAATTGCTAACAACTCGGACAGTGCGGTAGACCAGAGCGATGAGGTATCCAACTTGGCTCTCCGTGATGTCTGTCTTACAATCGACTCAGGCGAGAAAGTCGCCATCTGCGGTCGTACCGGCAGCGGAAAGTCCAGCCTCATTGCCCTGCTCCTCAAGCTCCTCGATCCAACGGCAGAAACTCGAGCCAACTTGATAATCGACAGCACTCCGCTTCACCGCATAAATCGGCCCGCTTTACGTCAACGCATAATCGCAGTGCCACAGGAAGCCGTATTTCTGCCGGATGGATCAACGTTCCAGTCTAATCTAGATCCATCCGACAGTTCCTCTCCCGAGGAGTGCCAAAATGTACTTGCAGCAGTGGGCTTGTGGGAATTTGTCCTAGACCGGGGTGGGCTGGATGCAGGCATGAGCGCTGGCACTCTCAGCGCCGGACAGAGGCAGCTCATGTCACTTGGTCGTGCGCTCTTAAGACGTCGAATGAGGGCTCGAAACCTAGGATTGGGTGGCGGGGGCTCAGAGGGTGGTATCTTGTTACTGGACGAGGTCAGCTCCAGTGTAGACCACGAGACGGAACGAGTTATGCAAGAGATCATCAAGACGGAGTTCAAAGGGTACACTGTCATTGCGGTTAGCCATCGACTCGATATGATCATGGACTTCGATAGAGTTGTTGTGATGGACAAAGGTGAGGTTGTGGAGGTTGGCAATCCGATGGTGTTAGCCGGTGACGAAAACTCGAGGTTTGGGGATTTGGTGAGGGCTGGGGCTAAGTAGGCGGGAAGACAAACATATATGATGGGAGACACCGAGAATCATAGAAGTACCACGTCTAAGATACAAGGCATGAAAAAGCCATCATTAGAGGGACACTTCAGTCAGCTACTGAGTAATCCAAATCATTGCTGCGTTAAGACCAGGAAGTATTCTGGATATGTTCATTGCAGAGTCGTTTTTAAGCCTGCTCTCTCGACTAGACTGATTCTTTAACACTCATTCCCATGAACCCTATAGTTTTCACCATTGAGTTGTAGGCAACCCTCAAAATACTGCTGAAGGCCAGCGAAGTCATCCACCTCACCAATCCAAGCCACATATTGATCAGGTCGCACCGCGACAACGCAGCCGCGATCCTTATCAACACCGTAATTTTTGTACGCGTTGCCATATCCTTCGTGGTAACTGTCATCGTCAACAAAGACTTTCTCATAGTTCCAGCCGCTGTGCTTGTCGAAAGGATGCAGGATCTCGGGAAAGTCCCTCAGTAATTCCGTTTCAGTGCGCTTTGACGAGTGAATTGTGAGGACCTCGATCACACTGTCGATAGTCGCTCCCGGTGCTGTGGCTCGTTTGATGAAGCTGTCGCCTGACTGAAGTGCTGCACAAAAGGTTTCGACGCGCTTCTTTTGGGCAGCTTCAAGAATATTACCAGCAAACAGGACAACCCGAAAGCGTCCATCGGCCTTGAACCTCTCTTGAAAGTGCCAAGGACGGGCATCAGCCTGATTCAAAACCTTGAAACTATTGAAGCGCATTCCAATTTCAAGACCCGTCGCCAAATGTTGACTCGATGAATTGGTGGCTATGAGCTCGCTGGGACCGTACTTGACGGACAGCCCGCTGGCGAACATATTTCCCTTGAGAAAGGCATCCTTGAACTCCTCCATGGAGACTCCTTCGGCATCCATGACATCCTTGGCAGGCCTTCCTGAGAACAGTCGGCTGAAGCGATGGTCAAAGTCAATCAGGTCTTGGGCCACCTGACGTCTCTCCTTTGCGTAGGTAGAGAGAATCTCTGGCCTAGCGATGCCCTTTAAGACAAGAGCGATCTTCCAGCCGAGGTTGAAAGTGTCCTGCATGGAGACATTCATCCCTTGACCGGCCTTTGGTGAATGCGTGTGAACTGCATCACCAGCCAGAAAGACGCGATTATGTGATGAGAAGTCGGTACCAACGCGCTGGCCGATCTGGTATGCCGTCCACCAGTCGCAATACTCGTAGTCAAGGTTGTACGGCTGTAGGATCTTCTTCGCGGCCCCGAATATGAGATCTGGAGTAATTTTTGAGCGATCTGCCCGCCCAGATGCATCTGGTGCTACCTCCTTGAGCTGAATATAGAGTCGCACTAGCTTATTCTCACGGGGAATCACCATTAGACTACCATTTTCAGCAGAGTGGATGGCGCACCGCATGCGGATATCGGCTATAAAGTTGTCAGCGATCCAGACCTAAATGATGAGGATTTTGGGTGCTTACGAAAGTCAGTGATAGGTATGATATCCATGACGCCCCATATAAAGTCTGTCGCCTCACCCTGGAGCTCATACCCCAGCTGTCTTCGAGTCCAGCTACGAGCACCATCGCAGCCGAGCACATACTTAGCACGCAGAATTTCTCTTTCTCCGGCCCGAGAACCGTGTTGAATGAGAATTTCTTCATCGTCCTCTTGATTCAGGCTGCTTCGAAACAGTCCGTCTGCGACTTTACTCCCACTGATCTGCTGCTTGGGCGTAGATTCCTCTTCAGTGAGGTGCTGGAGTTCGACCGTCACGGGATAGGCATCTTCACGGTCCAGGATTGACTCGTCTATTTTCAGAGATGCGGGTAGAACCGCACGCTCAACTCTGATACTGTCGTTCGAGTGTTTCTTGATGTTGTCAAGGAAGAAACGTTCAATGCGGCCTTGGTGTAGGACGATTTGTTGGAATCGTGATAGCCCCACAATGGTGTCTGGGATTCGATCGGAACGTCTGATGACCCCGTCTTGCCCAGGATTCTGTAGTTGAAGCACTGTCAACATTGCTTAGGGTACTCATCTTGGCAGAAAATCGCCAGCTGGCTTGGCGTCACCTACCCACATGCAGATCTGCTCCAAAATCAGTAAAGAACATGTCCGTCACGGAGTGAGTCATTGCGGTACCTCAATCATATGGTTGGCCTCCTTCCATGCCCGGTCCCCGAATCCAAGGCTGTCGAAGATCTCTAAACTCCGACACTGGAGTCCGTCTGCTTGGCCCGAGAAGATCTTTGCATTTCTCTTGTCGATAATTCGTGTCTTGATGCCGCAGTGGGCCATCCAAGCCGCTGCCATCAGACTTTGGCCGTCATCAATGTCAGCGGATACCCTGGTCTATCCGTACGTGTGTCAGCTTACCCTGCCGGCCCCGCTCCAATGATGAGTCTACAATCAAGTCAGTCTTCATAGGTTGATGTCGCTGGCAGGGGCTTGATCATAACTGACACGTCGACATTTGATTCCGGAGAGGCGCCATTCGTCTGGCTCTGAGCGGGGCCGTGAGAGTTCGTGGCGCCGTTGGTGGCACCGTTGGTCTCACCAGAGATAGAATTGCCGGGAGCATCTTTGGCAGTGCCATTGGCCTGCTCCTGAGCCTTTCTGGAGCCGAAAAACCTAGATAGTCGATGCATGTTGACAGTGTGGCTCGTTCTCCTCCAGATTGCGCTTCTACTGCCGAGATAATGCGATGCAGTTGGGCTGGGTCTTTCCTGTGGCTTACCGAATTAATGGGCGGATATGGGCAGATTTGTGTCCGTGTCGAGTGGCAGTCAAGGGAGGGTCAGACACAACATGACGCCTGAATCGAAGCAGCCCATTCCGTTGGGTTCGCTCCCAACAGCTGCGACATTTATATGATTTTCGGCTTCCCGGGGCAGATGGCAAGGGTCACATGCCGAATACTCTTGCCAGTCCAGCTAGCCAGCTCACCGGGATCCGCAACTGGTGCGAGGGTGCATCTTCATCCTTGACCCCAATCCATAATGATGGTGGCCATCTCAAGGGTGTCATTGGGTGGAGACTCAGACAATGTTACACCGAGGGCACTGTGAGTTTGACAGCGTCCGTGAGTCTGCAGCCGGCCGTGAAGGGACGCCTGCTACAGTAGTTCATGCAGCTTTCCGTCTCTATTGGGCCACAGCGAGCGTGCTGGACTTCAACCACGCACCTGGCAGACGGAGACCACCTAGAAATGGAAAATCGTCGACCCACCGTAAGCAGTTCCTGCCAGGATCGTGGCTTAGTCAAAATGCCAGAATCTCCAACCCTCGCCAAGAGAGTCATCGATTCTGGACTTGTTGGCACACTTCCCGCTGGCCCCGCCCCTCCCGCTGACCGTAAACGTTCCGCCAACTGCAAGGAGAAGTGAGCTGTCGATCTGTCAGATTGAGGAGGCCGAACTTCTTTCACGGAAAGGGGAACACATCCAAGAAGGGTCGAGTTGATCAAACTACAGGTTCGTGAATATTACTTGATGGACTGCCCTGACATAGGTGTCATTTTGCCGCAATCTAATGCTGTTTGCAGGTCAACCTGAACTGTCCAGGATGACGGAGCGACTCAAGGTTATTTGAGACCGTCCCGAGACAGCCCTGATATGAAATTAGTGCTCATGGTCGCAAAGATGACCTCTTCCGTGATGGAGCCCTGAATTCAGTCGGAATCTCTTGAGGTTGACTGAACAGAGTACAGGAGCTCCGCTTGGACACTGTGTAATTGATAGCTCACAGTCTTCTCCTTGAATGTGTATTTCCTGGTTGTGGATCCTGACAGGCCCTGGTGCGGCCGGGCTCTGAGATCACTGCTTGAGCTTCTTGTCTCTCGTGCCCTTTTGCAGTGTTGTGTCCAGGACACCGGAGTCATTTTGCTTGACGAGTGTTGAGACGGTCAGTATAATACATCACTGCGATCCCAGCCATGGCATCATCGAGGTTGTGAATTGAAAAGTGTGGGTATTCTGAGACACGTTCATGCCAAAGCAGATCGACAAAGAAGCCAGCTTGGATACTTCAATCCACATAAATGGTCATTATGGATTTGTCAAATTTTCTGGAGTACGCGCGGACACAGGACAGAGTACGTGAAACCCCAGCCCTGTCCATGCCCCAGAGTACATGGGTATCTTGCAACCTTTCGGCCTGGAATTTATTATCTTCGTCCTGCGGTCTATGCGACTAAAGGTATCAGTTCTAGGATGAGGTTGGCCCTGCTAGTCTAATTCTGCCTTTCTGGTCCGATTGAAGGACGAGTGAGTATGATGAGCGCCTCGAGGCTAGCCTCAGTACGACGGCTGTCAGGCTCGGTAGATGTGCGATGACCTTGGAAAGACATGCTCAAGACATTCGATCCCGCCAACATTGTCTAGGCTCAAAAGCTTCCCGTGAACTCAATTTCAGAGCCTTCCGATTTTGTCTTGTCCATTTATGCAGCATTTGAGGCCTTGGGCACTTACTGAGTTAAGAGAGTGCAATTCATTTCATAAATGGACGGACTAGTCCGTCTTTCTCAACTTGCCATGGCAACTACTTTCAAGCCAAATCTGCACAGTATGTCTTCTGAAGAGGCACAAAAATTCATTGATGAAGTATGGGGCCTCCAAGGCGTCGCTTATGTGGTCGTTGTGCTCCGCTACTACTCACGCATCGTGACGCTAGGATGGGGCAAGCTCGCATTGGACGATTATTTGATCGCCTTGGCGACGGTTAGTTGTACCCTCGGCACATATCTGTCCCATGAATCCTTCTTTTACAAAATTGCTGATGATGCCTTACGTCCAGCTCGTGTACACAGCCGAGTCAACTGCAGCCTACTACGTCGTCGCTTACTGGAAAGGCCTTGCCAACAATGGCATGTCTGATCAGGATCGAATTGAGCTTGATCCGAGTTCTGAAGAGTGGTTAATTCGTGTCAATGGATCCAAGACGCACGTGATTGGATTACTGCTTTACATGACACTCTTGTGGTTGTTGAAAGGCTGTTGGGTCGTTTACTACTTGCGTTTAACGTACGTACGGCTTCAAATGCTTCCCTTCCGAAACTACGAGGCAAGACGGCTAATTTGGACAGCGATGGATTGCCGAGCCAGAAGTTTCTGACCAAATGGGCAATGCTTGTCATGCCCTTGACATTTGTGTCTTGCTTGTTGGTCGCCTTTCTCAAATGCATTCCTTTTGACCATCAATGGCAAATTAATCCATCCCCAGGAAGTTAGTATCGTGGCTTGGAAGTTTTGTTGAATTCTATCTGACATCTTGCAGACCATTGCATGCCGGCCATATCCTACATTCAAACCATCTTTGTCATGGTTATGAATACCCTGACTGACTTCTATCTAATGGCCATTCCAATACCACTAGTGTGGAAATCACGTCTCCCGAAGGCAAAGAAGATCACCCTAATAGTAATGTTCAGTGGTGGGCTGCTCGAAATGGCGTTTGGAATTCTCCGTTGCGTATCAATATTGACCGTTGGTTCTGCCCCAGTTTCGTCGAGCGTTCTGTTGCCATCAGGCTGACCTCCATCTAATACAGGCCGGCGATAGTGATCCTGCACAGTCGGGCTACTGGTCTGTACGCGAGTCCTTCGTTTCATTCGTCTTAACAAATATGCCTATGCTGTACCCTCTCCTCAAGAGTTTCTTGGAGAAAATCGGCACGACAATGGGCTTCACAAACAACAATGGTGAGAGCGGCAGAGCCACAGGCAGTGGTCAAGCCTACAGACTGGGTAGCTACCCAGACCAGCACAAGAAGACGAAGAATAGGGACCCCAATCCTGTACCTGAGGAGACAAGATACGGGTCAAACGAGCACATTGTCCCGGCGAATGATGAGAGCCACGGAGCCGACTCCAGAAGCGAAGGCATCTCTCTCGACGACCGGTCTCACGATCCATTCCATGTGGCAGGTGGTTCTGAGCCCGCGCGAATAACTGTCTGCTCTGGGCCTAACCCGTCAAATGGCAGGCGGCCCACGCCACCGAACCATTCTAATGCTGGCGGAATCACTGTGACAAGAGAGTATAATGTCTCCGAAGGCCGTCTCATACGTGGTGTGGATCAGACTGGTCGAACGTTTTTAGAGGTTTAAGGGTACTTCTCCTCTCATAAGACATGGTAGATCTGCTACGGATGCGTCGTCTGCGTTAGAATAGTCATCTACAACTGGACAGCGGGCTAATTTATGGGGTTTCTTTCATGTTTTTCCTTTTCCTTTTCCTTTCTCATTTGGCTTTCATTACCAGCGCTTAATGAGGTGCTTGCTTGAAGAATTCGCTGAATAGTCAGACAGTGTGCAAGAGTCGCAAATGACTATGTAAAGAGCAGTGGCTCTCCCCGTTCCAAACTCCTTTAAAGCAGAGTGAAATCATGGGGCTCATCAGATATTTCTTCACAGCGTCCGATGCTAGCCGATGATATACAAAGCTCGTTCCAAGATCCCTGGCCAAACATGAGGAAGTGAGCTCTGCCATGATCCGCGCCAGGCAAAAATACCGTCTGGCCTCACGAGGACCGCTTCATTACCGCCAAGTAATCTCGTCCATTCTTGCGTAGGTTCTGCCCAGCCATCAACTCCACCGGAACTTGTGACTCTTTGGATATGCAACAAATTAGAATCTAGAAGTTCCCAGTCCGGCCGATTGTCGACCAATAACAAGAACTTGTCCAGCGGAATAAGGTCCCGGACGGCCAGTTTCTGACCGTTTCTATAAATCCAAACATGGGGAAGATTATGACCCGGCACAGTCGATGGTATGACAACTCCAGAGTTAAGGCTCCCATCTTCTAAAAGATGCGGTGCGTGGTCTGCATCAGTTGCACCACCAACCCCACGGTAGAACCAGCCTATTTCCGCACCAGGTGCCTTGAATTCCAGATCTAACACTTTGGAGGCATCCTCGACTGCCTGTCTCTTCATCGCATGATTTGGATGAGCAGAATTAAAGTATGCCATAATGGACGTGCGATTCTCGTCTGTGGACTTTTCCGGGCTCATCCCGAGGGCTGCGTCCATGATTAGGGCGTGGCTGCGCAAGTTATGCAGACTGGATTGCCCGACCCTCTCTCCCACCGGCCGTCTTTCAGTATCGTAACTTGATAGTAAAGAATTATACTTCTTCTCATCCTTCAACGCCATTTGGAGCTTCCAGACAAGATTCTGGACATCTTGGATTCCGGTATTCATACCGAGTGCTCCCCATGGAGGGATTTTATGCGCGGCATCACCGGCTAGGAACACGCGGCCCTTCCTATAGGTTTTCGCCGATATAGCTTGGACGTTCCAATGACTGAGGCTTATAATGTCCATAGGAATTTCGCCAACCTTTAAGGTATCCTTCAGCCTCTTGAGCATCGCGTCCCGGTCGAAGCTCCCGGGATCATTTGCAGCCCGAGCGCGTGCAAAGACCCATTCCTCACTCGCTTTCGCTTCCGGGCTATTAAAGGGCCATGGGCCAATCTGATACAAATACCCTGTGCGGATGCTGCCCCCAGCGTCAGGATGTGAGAACCATGTTATAAAGTTCCTGGGGTCCGGATGCCGCTCGCGAAGCCGCGCGCGGAAGTGCACGGATACCATCTCAAGGATATCACGCTCTCCAGTCCAGTCGATCCCCAGCTTGTCTGTGACACCGCGCCCTCCGTCGGCTGCTATCACGAAGCGCGCGAGGACTTCCTTCGTGACGCCGGTGCCCCTCTGCAATACTTTGAGGGCGACACAGCTACCCCGCTCTTCCAGATCCGTGACTTCGGACCCAAATTCTAGACTCTCGGGGCTGAGCTCTTTGGCCCTATCGACGAGCAACGGCTCCAGGCGTATTTGCGGAAGAATTTCGTATCGCGCTGGGCTGTGCCTCTCGTAGTCCTTGGCATCAGGCCCACCGCCCCATGCATCTCGGCTCCAGATCTCGCGGCCGTCGATAGAATTGTCACCGTCAGTCCCGAGACTTGTATACCAAGCTGTGCGACTTTTGATATCATCAGGGCACGCAGATTCTCGAAGTTTGTCATATATGCCCATCAAGCGGAATATCTCAGTGGTTCGTTGATTAATGCCGCACGCTTTGGGGTGAATGGACGTCCCCGTGTGTCGCTCGAGCAGGATGTGCGGAATCTTGCGAAGCGAGAGCAGAATGCTTGCACTGAGACCGACTGGACCGCCGCCGATGATGGCGACAGGGTGCACCATTTGCGCAGATGTCGATGACATGTTGACGGCAGTGGGAGATACCATGGGCAGCCTTAAAAAATTGGGAGTCCTTCTGATCAATGGTAAGTGTTCAGTCTAAGTAAGACACTGACTTTTCAGATGCTGGGTCCAGTGGAGAACAGCCGTGGGCTTCCGTAACCCGCGGGTTGTGACCCTTGCACTCAGTCTACTTGAAGCTTACCTGCTTCCGATGGCGGCAGGTTTTCTCCGTGTATAAAGACATGGTAAAGAAATCAAACGTAACAACTACTTCATTTACAAAACGCAGGGACTGCAACGGCAACCATTGCATTACTTAAACAATCTCTCAGTCTCACGCGAATTCATGCTGTGCAAGAATTCAAATACATGATATGAGAATGACTTGTCAGAAAATTTCCTTGGTGCTTCACGACAGAAGGAAGGGCAAGGGAAACATAACCATTGAAGCAAGTATCTTCCTATTTCTAGCCTGAATTGACTGTGTTTTGATTGGAAAATCGCAAAGCAGCGATAGCACATTGAATAGTTGCGAGAGACAGTGCAGAGAGGGTGAGATGGTGCCATGGGTGCGTATCCAAATTCGGGTGCTTCAAAATGGTGCTCCCACCCGCACTCCGACTGTTGGGTTACGTTGAGTCCTGCATGAGTCCTCACACGATGAATAGCTCCAGTTATAACAGCCTTCTTTCCTCTTGTATTTGTAAATGCGACAGTTTGTGCTTTTACGTTCCTTTGGTGAATATGGAATACGGTTAGCCAATTCATTGGGTGAGTCCAGCCACCACAAATCGATAGTGTGAAAGCTTATGTTCTTGTCAGGAGAAAGTTTGTTGTATAGTGTGGAGAATATGTACAGCTAATTTAAGTAGTATGTCTTGTATACATCCATGTACAACTCATATCTCAGCCCAATTTGGTGTCATCAGTGACACAAAAGAAATCCTCTCCGGCAGGCTGGTTTACATGCCGTAAAAGGCCCCATTAGGTGGGTCCAGTAGGCGATTGTCTCTAGCATCCGACCTGGATGGCTGTGGAAGATGTCAGCGTCTGGGCCCACAAGTCTCGGCAAGGGAAGAAACCTACCATTGGCAAACAGCGCGTAGCTGTCAGCGTTGTTCAAGCTTTGAGCGGAGGTCAGGCCCTGGATGGCGTTGTAGCCGTAGCCGTTGTCGGCGGTTCCCTTGATCTGCCTCAGGTGGGTGGTCTCGTGGAGAGTGGTGGTGGCCTGGTCCTGAGCGTGGCACTGGGTGCTGAGAGCAGTCAAGGCGCTGAAGTACAGGGGGCACGAGACCATGAGGCTCTGGGAGGGGTAGGTGTAGGCGAGGACGTTGCTTGAGCAGGAGCTGAGCACGTCGGTGCAGTACTGCGTGCTCACGCCAGAGGTTGTGCTGCCGCACTCGGTGGCGGCGGCGTTGAAGACGGCGGCGACGGTGCTGCGGGTGGCTGACGTGGACGACTTGAAGTACTCGGTCAGCTTGGCAGCGGCGCCGCTGGTGGCGGCGGTGGCAGCCTTGCGGGCCAGGGCGGCGCAGTTGCTCAAGGCAGTGCGCTGAGCAGTTCCGCGGGTTCCTGTGCAGTCGGACTGGACAACGGTCCGCTTGATGTTCTCGTGGAAGTCCCGACGGACCTTGGCGGCGGCAACACCGTCGACGTGAGACTTCAGCAAATTGCTGTCGAAGGGCACGGAGCCGTCGATGCTGGTGCTGTCCGCAGAGGCGGTCAAGAACGTTCCACGGACGAGGAAGTCGAAGTCACCACCGGTGCTCAAGTCATGGACCTCAGCGGGGTCGAACTCGGCCTCAACACTCTCACCGGCAGCCAGGGTCTGGAAGGCATCCTCAGCCACCTCGCTGGTCTGGATCTGGAGGCGAACACCATCGAAGGCGACCTGGTCGGCTATGCGTGTGACGTTGTTAGCCTATGCGCACAAACCAGCAAAGGAGAACCTGTTGTAGTTCCCACGACCAAGGTCAATATCGCCATATGCTGCTCGTAAAATGCATAGCATGATGCTGGGCAGGAGCACGGCCCCGCAGGTTCAAGACATAGTGCATAGAGTGACAAGGGTTGACCATGTTTGTGACCAAGGGGTGTTAACACATACAACCAGAGAAAATCTCGGCCTTCTCGACGGCAGTCTGGTCCAGGATGGAGCCAGTCTTCATCAGCTTGATGGGCTCAGAGCCGGTGTTGGTGACAACGGCCTTGACAGCAGAGTTGCCAACACTCTGGATCTCAACCTTGAGTGGGCTGTCACGCTTGGTAACGTCCATCCTCATCGCAAGGGCGGAGGCAACGAGGGAAAGGCCGGTGAAGAACTTCATGGTGACTGGCTGATACTGACGAGGACGAAGCTGAGCAGATGCTTGTGTCTAGACGAGACTGGGCCGTTTGCCTGGTGATGGTGCCGGAGAAAGACTGTGATGTGAAGTGAGGGATGGAGACAGGAGACACGAGATGGGATAATTAGGGAGATTCGTCCATTCTTTATATTCGATCTCAGAAGAGTACTTGGGATGTGGATATACTCTATTGGAGTTGAAAAACCTCCGATACAGTGGACCTATACCGCACAAGGAACAACAGATAGAAGCATCGCCCAGAACACGGCAAGGAATACGCCCCAAGCCGGCGGGGAATTACCAATTCGGAAGCTGAGGCCATCTTGCAGGGTCAAACGGCGGCTAGCAGTGCCGGAGATGATAGTGACCAGGCCCGGGCGAGGTGATGCGGAAGGGTAGAGAACGCTCGGGGAAGGCGGTACAGTTGAGGGGTGTCGGTGGTATTGTTCAGGAGACCTGACTATGATGTGTTGATCTTGGAAACTATAGAGGATGCAATTTGATAGGAGCAATGTGGTTCCATTTGCAGTAAGCCCAAGGATAGCCCTTGTCGCCCTCGATATCTGAAGAGTGGGCCATGCGAAAAAGTCCAAGCCTTCACGATCCTTTTGACGCCTTGGAAATAGTGAAGCTTTCTTGGAGCGTAGCAACCACTCCTCATTGCCGTATTGGCATGCATGTGCATGATTAGTGTCGCCACCCTGCGGCTGGCCGAGCGAGAAGGACAGTTGACGACGGCGAGATATGGCGACCGAACTGGAATTTAGGTACAATTGCTGCCGGTAACTGTTGATCATTACATTTGGAACGTGGTGAGATTCCTATCTTAATACACAGTACGATGTATCCAGCGAGCCAAGCCTCTTATTACAGTCCATGATAGGTTGGATGAGTTTCTGCAGACGGCCGTGGGGCGGGGGCCCATGCATACTGGTGACGGGAAGATTCACAGCATTCGCGGGACATCTCACCAATAGGCTCCCCTGGGTGTTCCATCTAATGTGATCCTTTCCGAATTGCTTTCCGAAAGTAGAAGGCTTTACTGGGCGAATAATCTCCATGTTTGTTCCGCAGGGGGGAGGGGGAGGGGGAGGGGGAGGGGGAGGGGGAGGCAAAGGGTGGTGGTGTTGGTGACCCCTGGGCCACAATGACGATGAACTGTCTGAGATAAAGTGCCATGGAGTGGCGAGGAAACGACAAACAGCCCTCCCAGGGGGGTCATCTGGCTGGGGTTCGTGGATTTACCAGGCGCGGGTGACTTGATGCTCTCCGGTGATTTTCTTCCCGGCTTGTATCTTCCGACTCGGCGAGCGAGGTGTGGCCTGCTTCTCCGACTCCACAGCGAGTTCCGTCGAGGACGGTCCAGACCGTACAGTAAAAATCGTCCATCTGGCGCAGATCTTGGGACATGTGGTTCCCGCGAAGCTTGAAAACTCAAGACTGGCTCATACTCCAGTGCTCGCTAGGCTTCCATTGACACCTTCCAAAAGCTGCAATGATCTGTCTGGGACGAACTGTGACCTAATCTCGCAGAGTTATCGGATGGCCGGATGGTTGCTGTCGCGACAAAGTCCGTGATAGTACATGGCAATACTGTACGCGGAACTGTAGAGCCGCAAGGAGAGGTCGGGTATAAGCTTAATTGTACATCAAGCTGTGCAGGGCCACTAGGTCAGATAAGGATGCCAGGGCCGGAGCTAGAGTCCACCTTAATTGCTGCTGACATGTCCCCCACACAGCTACATTCTCGCTGATACAACTGCACCGGCGACCATGCCCGCCCAACCAATCTCGGTCACGGCACTGCATGATGTCCCAAGCTCTCGGCGCCAAGCCGCCGTTAGGAGCCGCCGTCCTACATAGGCCTGGGCGCGTAGCATCCAACCAAAGAGAGGAGCACTCGCCCCTGCTAAAAGGCCCTCTCCTGAGTTCTGGTTTTGCTTGGCAGTGCCACTTAAGCCTTATCTTCATGTGAGCCTGCTTCAGCCATATTGTCGAGTGGCCAATTATCATCACCATCACCGGCACCACCGGCACTCGGTCTTCGGTCTCGTTTCCCAACTGAATGCACAGGTCCCCACGGCCATAACAAACTCCGGAGTCTATGCAGACGCGACTTCCATGCAGTACTGTAATATACTGTACTGTGTGTAGCTGCGCTGGGTGCGGGGTCAGGATGGGACGAACAGACTGTCGTGTGTCTCCTGATGTGGAATATCAGATGGCCCTCGTCGCTCATCCAGCGTCGATAGGAATTGGGAATGGGATGATCGACAATCCAATTCAGAGAAGTCGTACAAACCAAAACACTTCTGGAAGGTAACAGTAGTCGTAAAAGGACCAAGCCAGAGTGGACATCGTCATGAGAGCATCACCCGAGTGTCTGGCAAGGAAGAACGTTCAACCATACTGGCCGAGCCACTGTGTTGACATCTGGATATACGGCCTGCTGCACCTAGTTCTCGCAATCTGCAGGAGCAGGTGTGTCTGCCGTACCAAGCCTTGAAATCGGCCGGGTTCTGACAAGCGAGGACGATGGCATACTATGCCAAGATCAGGCATGGAGCGGGGGTGGCATGGCGCGTTTATCCCTGGGCAGAGTTCTCGAATGGTCGACGCATTGCCTACGCCCCTTCGCATCCGTCCACAAACAGCTGGTTTGATGATGGGTGCCTCAGATAAGGGAGTCTTACCTAAGAAATATCACAACACGCGGAAATTGAGGTCTTCGGTTTTACAACAGCCAGCTCGACTACGAGACAATTTTGAATAACAAACTGCGGGCATTTCTACGTGAATTACTCCACAACAAGGGGCGCGTAAAGCACACCTGTAATTTCTTCCAAAAGGAACGTTCGAAAGCGATCTCGTCTCGTTCATTATAGTGTTGAATTAGGGGAACAGCCTCGGTAACCACTCCATACAAGATTCATACTGTGACGTCAGTCCTCAGCACCACCACCAATGCCTGCGAGGACGCAATTCGCCCTCCACACAATCTTCACTGGTCTTTTCGTCTTCGGCGTTCTCACATTCATCTACCACAACCTCGACCAAGTCCCAGCCTCGTTCAAGATGGCCAGCCAAGACAATGACATCCTCTCGCAACTGCATATATCTCTCAGCCAGGCATCAAAGTCGCCACCGGCAATATCAATCAAGGTGACCAACAACTCTCCCAAGCCCGTCACCATCCTCACATGGGACTCGCCGCTGGACCAACTCGCCTTGTCGCTAGGCACGGTATACATCACGCCCTCGGATGCGTCTGAGCCGCTGGAAATCAGCCGCATCATGGTACAGCGCAAGACGCCTCCCAGCGACGAGTCGCTTGTGAGCCTGGCCCCGGGCGAGAGCCGGGAGAATCAGGTAGAGCTCAGGGAGCTGCTGGTGCCGGCCGAGAAACTCAAGGGGAAGAAGTCCACGGTCCAGGTCAAGGGGCGGTGGATGGGGGTCTGGCCGAAGTCGAGGGACGAGTTGAACGAGGAGGCTATCGAGAAGGGGGCGCATGGAGGTGGCGCTGTGGCTGGCACATACTCGTCGGAAAGCGTCGAGATCGAGGTCGACTGAGCGACCATCTTTCTAGACCAATAGCTCGCTAGTCGCTGAAAAGTCTCTGTTGTTGGTTCATATTGCTCCTCCTGGGTATGCAAATGCGTGCTTCTCTGTCTATGGGCACAAGCCCTCGTCGAACACTTCACGCGGGTAGCTGTGCATCATCGCTGACCTCCCGCTTCCCGCCTTTTGCTTTGTCGTTGTCCACCATTGACGAGATCTGATCCATCATAGGCGGCTTGCCCAACGTCGCAGGATCAGGCTCCGGGATCCCGCACTGTACCTCTACGCTGCGCCAGTGGCCCCCGACCGCCCTGTTCTCGACCATGAACGCAGCCGTGTTCAAGTAGGTCCGGCAGTTCGTCTCTCCGAACACTTTCGCCGCACATCCGTCGGCTTTGTTCGCCCAGAAGTTGGCACACCCAGAGAACTGCTCTCCGGGGAAGTTGTAGCACTGCGCCGGACCTGGGACGCCCATCCCAGCAGGCTTGGGGAGGTTGATGACGGCAAGGACGTGCCCTCGACAGGCCTTGGGGCCCTCAGAGCCACTGTAGAACACCGCCTTGATGGGTATGGGTGGCTCCGGGGGATCCTGTTGCTGGGGAGCCGGGCTCTGGAGTGTCGCCTGGCCATTGTTGTCTCCGGCTACGACGTCCGCTCCGGGGACATCCAAGGTCACGTTGCCGTTATTACCACCTCCTTGTACTTCGACTGCGTCGCCTTCTTGTGTCAGCAGTTCGTTGTCGCCTTCGATCTGGGTTTGGTCGGGTCCTTCTTCCAGCAGAATTCCTTTGTCGGTTTCCACTATCTTCGGCTGTTGGGTTGGTTGTTCTATTGCCTGCTTGAGAGATGCCCCTGACGGTCGTCCTATATGCCATAGTCCCGGCCTCGATGCGAGTTGCGCCGCGATATATAGGATGGCGACGCAGAAAAAGAGCGCGACGAGGCCCACGAGAAGAGCATTACGACGCGCCCAGTCCTTCAGCCGCGCTGCTCGAGTAGGCGGGTGCAGGAGCTTCTCCAATTCGAAGTAGTCGGGCTCCAGCTCGAAAGTGTCCGGGTCCGGTAGTCGTGAGTACTGCGTCGACTCCATTGCCACGGTGCCACAGTTTGTTCCACTGCATCTCTTGGAGGCAGATTAGATTGTCTTGACGACAGATTGATTGAGATGCTTGGTTGTGATGGAAATAGCTCGTCTGCTACGCGGCGAGGACCCGCCAAGCGCCAAGCTGTTTCAATGCTCTCCTCGAAACGGCCGCCAGGGCCAGAACGGACGTCGCATTGACAATCCGGCCCCACTCGGCGCCGCCCCCGATTCCGTGGTCCAGTGCTCCCCGATTGACCCTTGGCATGGCTTCGCAATGCCATAATACAATGTTGAAAGGTCGAGAAAATGTATGGCGTGAACATTGTCGACAAAATTTCTGATCGCGCCGGTGTGAAGAGTTTCCAGAGCTCCGATGTCACACCGAAACTCAAAATGTTAGGGGGACAGACCCTAGCAGAGAGGAACCAGGAACAGGATCTTGTCGGCTTTTCTCTTCGTAAAGGGTAGCAATACTACAAAGCGTCTACCTAGGCAGTTTTTAATCTGGAGGAAATTTAAGGCGGAAGTCGAGATCCGAACGTTTCTTTCTCAACTCGATGATATCACTGGGCTTTCAGAAATAGTATGATGCACTCAGACTATCATACGTGCGAGCTACGTGTATGATGGCCAGGAATGCTCACATGAATTGTACGTCGAGATGTCAGGCTTACAGTTCTGTAGGAGAGTTTGAGTGCATAGAGTCCGAAGATTCAGGTCACACATGTTGACGGTACTCGGTCCTGGAGAAAAGTAGAAGACTCATCCTCGTCTTAAGCGCCTTCGCATCTTTGCCCGGGTGGGCATGCCAGAAATTCATCCATTAGTAGGGCTCACAAGCCCAAAGTGCCTCTTAATAGAGTCAAATATTGCAGACATTTGTTCCAAAAGGAGATTTACGCGGTATGAGCAATTTTGGCGTGATGCGGGCGTGCAGGGCGGAAGAAATCAATGTATTGCGGACAGACAACAGCTGAAACCTGTTCGTCTCCCTCGCCTTTCTGTAGCCTTTTTCAGATATATCATACGCTCGTGAGCAGAATCATTACTGCTTTGTCGTAATTTGGGCATTCGCGAACCAATTTCCAGCTTGACATGACTTCTACGTCCAGATTATCGTTTCTTCGCATGCAAAGTATGGCTAAGAGGTCTGGTAGTTTCCCGAATTACGTTGAGGTCAGGAATCAAAGAGCGATAGGCGTGGAGATCCATTCGAGCAGATAGGAGCCTTAAAATTGATATATACCGGCACAATCAACCAATGTGTGAGGGAGAAAAGTCTCGAAGCATAATCATTCGCCTTGACTGTTATATCAAGCAACAACTGTCGCAGCCTCAGTAGCAACTTTGCCATCAGACCAGACGACTTCCTCCGCATGAACAACCTCTGCTTCCTTCTTCTCTGCCTCGCGGCCAGCTCTACCGACGCAGACATACTGTCGGAACTTTCTGGCGGGAAGGCGCGCCTCGAACTATACGATGGCCACGGCTTAGTCAAAGGGTTTTCATGGTTGCTTTTAGCTAGGAAGACACGCCGAGACTCACCATCTCATCGATCTCCTCGAGGGAGCGATCCTTGACTTCCGGCAGGAAGAAGAAGACCCAGGCACTGTTTTTGGTCAGTAACACACCGAAGCACGTTCGGACAGATACGGGAAGACCCACGCTGCAAGCCAGCAAGACGGCGTCCAGATGTAGCCATACTTAGGGCCCCAGTTAAGAGACTCGGGGTTGATGAAGTACGGCGCAGTGAAGGTCGCTAGCCAGGCGGCGAAGAAACCGACAGCTGTTGCGAGGCCAAATGTGTAAGACCGAAGTCGCTGAGACGGGAGCTCACCGCCCGATATCCAGGCATACGTGGCCACCATTCCCTACTGGTTGTCAGCAATGTAAACCCAGAGAGCATAATGGCACTCACGTTGTAGCCAAATATGTATATGATTGCAAGGCCGACTATGCCTTTTCCAGTCGACTGAGTGCCAGGCTTGATGGTGTAGATGATAGCTGTGAGAAGCTGAGAAAGTCCGCAAATAAACAAGCCGATAGTAAGGAAGACACGTCGACGGCCAATATGAGTGACGACGGCACTGTTGAGTATGATAGCGAAAACACCGACAGCAGTGAGAATACACGAGTTCTCGAAGCTGTTGCCGATATTTGCCATCTCGAAGAAATATGTGCCATAAGCTGAGGAACGTCAGAGACCGGGTTTTAGATGTTATTGGGGACGTCCGGGAAGGTTGTTTCAAAAAAAGAAAATCGGGTGGTGACAGACCTATCATGTACATCGCACCAGAGGCGCCTTGAAGCGTGATGGCGCAGACTGCTAGTATAGTTCTCCTGCGATCCACCGGATGTGTCCACATATCTTTTATGGCGGCATTTTTCTTTGTGTTGACCTCGCTGTCAAGGGCTTCTTGCATATCTTTGAGCTCCTCCTCTGCCTCCGCCTGGTCGTATGGCCGATGCCAGAGCAGCGACTTGAGGGCTTTGTCTCTGTGACCGTGTTCGAGGAGCCACCTGGGAGACTCAGGGATTATGAGCAGGCCCACAGACATAATGAGGGGGACGATATAAATCAGCCCCAGCGGAATCAGATATGATTCCCTGCCCATGATCTTCGCTGTGAAGTTGTCGACTATGGTGCCGATTAGGGACCCTACTGAGGTCCAAACTTGGAACGACGATATCATTAGACCACGGTAGCGTGCGGGGACCGATTCCTGTCGGACGTCGCTGTCAGTGCCGTTTCATATTGGAAACACGACGCAGGCCTCAGAAGGTTACCTGGATATATAGTTGCGAGAATGTCATGAATAGGCCATTGGCCAACCCAAGGAGCAGACGGCCGATATATATCGCATTGATATTCGTTGTGGTCATCATGATGACATTGGACACACAGCAGAGGAGACTGGCGGCCCATATACTTGGCTTGCGGCCCATGAATGAGGCAATGGGACCTGCGGTTGATGAACTTAAGAAGGCGCCGAGGGTCATTAGGGAGGAGATGAGTTGTTGACGCTCTGTTGAGAGGTTCCAGCCCAGCGGGGTCTCTGGTGCTTCATGCCCGAAAATCTATTGAAGGTCAGGAATGCGATGAGATATCTAAAGGAGGTTGTAATCAGCCGTACCTTCAGAAAGCCAATCATGGCCTGAAGTCCACCGATGAGGCCAAAGTCCAATCCTTAATATTCAAATTAGTACGCTTCCTTCGAATAGGAACCGCCTGATATTTGCGAGAAGGACACACCATATTGGAAGGGGCACATAGACACGAGGGTGCAAGCTGCGAGGCATTTCCAGTGAGCCTTTATCGTATAGGTCTTTCTTGGAGGATCCGAATTGGGACTCTGAGATCGGTCGCTGGCATTTGTGACTTTCGTCTCCATAGCTTGGTCGGGCTTCATGACGAATACGATGAATTTCGGCGTCGAGGCGCCGATGCTGTATGGACGATAGAAGTAGAATCTAGAAACAAGATCGAAGAAAGTCGAAAATCGACCCCTACATGTCTCGTTGTCAGCTTTGGAGAGGAGTCAGCCTTTCATATGTACAATCTTAAAGCGCTCGAGCCTGTCACGGGTACCCAGCAAATACGACCACCATCTTTCTGAATGCTAGATAGATCTACGTATCACTCATCCAATATGGGAGATTCGACGCCATTGTGCATTTTGCCGATTCATCCCAGCCGCTGACAACGAATGGCGTCTCGGAGACGCGCTGGGCGAAATGTCACACTGCAGACCACGCTTATTCAGGTTCCGACGAACTGTTTGGCCAAATGGGATAACTGCCGGCCTGCGAAGTTTCTATGGCGCTCCACTATTTCAAGCCAAAGTCCGGGGTAACTCCCCTCTTTGATCAGTCCTGTGCCTTAGACCCATCTGGAATCCGGGGTAGCTTCGAGGGGAAAGCAAGGGATGCCCCTGCCCCTGACAAGTTTGTCGCTCGAATTCCCAATATGCTGGGGCCGCGTTGCGTATAACCCCATATGTTCGATGTTAGGAAATGGGCTAGACTGTAACAGTCTGGTCTCGTGTTCGGCGGGGTGTCAACATCTCCTGAATAGCGTGGGATTTGTTGAAGCTGACTGATGTCTGGACGGCCGGTACTTCTGCAGCCCGATGACAGCAAATCTAGTGTCTATCCGCTACCAGGATCAAGTTTGCCGGGTGGACAAGTGACAGGGACGATCTGGATGTGCGGGGAGAAGACGCGGCGGGCATAGGGGACAGCCCCTGCACGCTTGGGCGGGTGTCACAACCATCATAGTCGCATCTGGGAGGTTGGCGCAATTATTCCAATAGATGACCCGCGGGATATCTACCACCCTGCATTGGCCCAAGTGACCCACACGAGTTATGGATCAAGGCAGCCGGAGCTGAGGGGCCGTCTCACAGCAACATTGAAGCCGCGTGCACAAGATAACCATGCCTCGGAAGACATCTTTGACATGACTAACCTCTGCCGATCTGCCGGCGGGTAATGTGGAGATGCGTCTATAGTAACCTCGTTTCAGGATTGTTCACGTTCATCTGGGAAGTATCTGTAGCAATTTACATTTTCCTCGGCTTCCAACTCACACGTCGCAAACACTACCTCTTGGCTTGGCCACAACACGGTTTGACGACAGGACGCAGCCAGCGCTGTTTACAGTAATTGAACGGCACTACAGTCAACGCAACACTGCTTACACTTCACATCACGCATCGAGCAGTCATGGCCACCACCAAGCCTAAGACCGGCATCAAAGTCGTCGTCGTGGGAGCAGGCTTCGGCGGCCTCACCGCAGCCATAGAATGCCATCGGCAAGGTCACGATGTCGAGGTCTACGAGTCCTTTCCAGAGCTCAAGGTCCTCGGCGACATCATTTCGTTTGGGTCCAATGGCGGCCGCATTTTTTATCGTTGGGGCAAATACCCGGGCGAGATTTCGGATCGCCTGCGGAAGCTGAGCATTGACCTGACCGAGTATGGCTTCCGAATCCACAAATATGACACGGGAGAGGTTATGTTTCACCAAAAGACACCCCCTCCAAACAAGGAGGCACCGGTGTTCAACGGCCATCGCGGTGAGCTTCACCAGGTGATATTCGACTATGCGAGGGATGAGCTTGGGATCCCGATCCACCTGGATGAGAATGTGGCTGAGTATTTTGAGACTGATGACAAGGCCGGAATCGTTTTGAAAGGTGGCGAGCGGATCGTTGCCGACGTAGTGGTTGGGGCGGATGGTGTTCGGTCCAAAGCCAGAGAGCTTGTGCTTGGTTACGAGGACAAGCCTAAGAGCAGCGGCTACGCAGTCTGGAGAGCATGGTACGAACAGACTCTATGAAGCTTCCATATCACATCACGACTCGCAGTACTAACGTTGCCTTTAGGTTTCCCAACATGGACATGATCAAGGATCCTCGCACCAAGGAATTCTGCGAGAATGGAGACACTTTCAACGGCTGGATTGGACCAGATGTGCACTTCCTCTTCTCAACCATAAAAAATGGCTCGGACTGCTGCTGGGTACTCACCCACAAAGACGAGCACGACATTGATGAGTCGTGGTCATTCCCTGGTAAGCTTGAGGATGTGTACGAGGTCCTCGACGGGTGGGATCCCATATGCAAAGCCATCGTGGAAAAGACTCCCAGCCTTGTTGATTGGAAGCTCGTTTATCGTGACCCATTGCCTACCTGGGTGAGCAACAAGCGCAGGATCCTGCTCCTGGGAGACTCGGCACACCCATTCCTTCCGACTAGCGCACAAGGCGCTACGCAGGCAATGGAAGACGGGACAACGCTTGGAATTTGTCTGCGAAGAGCGGGCAAGGACAATGTACAGGCAGCGTTGAAGACTCACGAGGAAATCAGGTACGTCATCCGCCTCAGGAGCGAAAACAAACCTGCCGCTGACGCTATACGCAGATATGAACGTGTCAAAGCTGTGCAAAAGACTGGGGAGACCACTCGAGATATGTGGCACAAGACTGATTGGAATAAGGTCCGGGAAGATCCCAAGAGCATCGCGATGCCTCGAGATGATTGGATCCATTTCCATGATGCGGAGACCCATGCAGAGACAGTCTTCGACGAGGTCTTTAAGAGACATTCTGGTCCATCCGGGGACAGGGCAGAGACTAACGGTGCATTTGTTGAACATGTTGAGACGATTCAGCCGGTTGTCACAACTTAGATTCATGTCATTCTTTTGATTAGTTTCTTTTCAGTCTCATCACTTTACACAGACCTAAACAGAGGAATAGAACAGTCATCAAATCACTAAGCCCAACTTTTGTTTCCAAGCTTGCATAGACGACAACACCACTCATCGCGAATACCAATTCTTCACATACATTACGCAAGATGGGAATGTATTCATGAACGCACAGCCTAGAGCGCCTTGATCTACGTATGTATACTCTGCTCTTTGTAACTCTATCACAGCCGTGACCCGAGCTCGATCAGGACCGTCTTGACCTCTAGGAAATTGTCCAAGCTATAGTTCCCTCCCTCGCGTCCTTGGCCACTGGACTTGTATCCACCGAAGGGCATATCGCGAGCATTGCTGGGACTCGTGCAATTGACTCCCACGTATCCGCTCTCAAGTGCCTTGGCGACTCTCATGGCGCGATCTATATCCTTGGTATACACCGCTGCGTAGAGGCCGAACTCAGTGTCGTTTGCGACTTTGATGGCTTCCTCTTCGGTCTCAAACGTGCTGATATTGACCACCGGCCCGAATATTTCTTCCTTCATGAACTTTGAGTCTTCTGGTGTGTCTAAGAACACAGTGGGCTCGATGAAGTATCCGCCTAGACTGTCTAGCTTGCCGTTCCCACCCATTGCAAGTGAACCACCGGCACTCTTGCCCTCTTCGATATACTTCATGACATTAGAGTACTGGACACCGTCCGCCTGTGGTCCATGGTCCGTTTCTTTCTTGGTTGGGTCCCCGGCGGTGATGTGCGCAAATTTCTTTTGGAAAGCCTCAATGAATTTGGGAGCAACACTCTTCTGCACGTAAACGCGACTGTTGGCCATGCAGACCTGCCCACTGTTGGTCTGGATGGAATGGCTGGTGTCCACGACTGCCTTGTTTAGATCGGCATCTTCAAAGATCAACGCAGGTGACTTGCCCCCGAGCTCCAGGATGACCTTCTTCAGGTTGGACTTCGCGGCTGCCTCCTGGATAAGCCTACCCGTGCGGGCGGAGCCAGTGAAACTCAGAGCACGAACGTCCATGTGAGAGGAGAGCACCGACCCAGATGGGTTTCCGTGCCCGGAAATGACATTGAACACACCGGGTGGGAAGCCTGCCTCCTTGATGAGCTCGGCCACCTTTGCGGCGGCGAGTGGAGCCTTCTCGCTTGTCTTAAGAACCACAGTGTTGCCAGCAATCAATGCGGGTGCCGATTTCGAGGCGAAGAAAAGCAATGGCACGTTCCAGGGGATTATCACAGCCACAACGCCATAAGGTTGGCGGAAGGTCACGCTGATGTGGCCTGGCGTGTTGAGGCTGCTTTCGCCTTTGATTTGCGGCCAGGCTGCTGCGTAGTGTTCGTACTTGCTGGCTGCGGCGTGAGCATCGAAGAAACCTGTCACGGGCTTACCCATGGACTGGGCTTCAAGGATTGCCAACTCCTCATTATGGCTCTGAATCAGGGACGCGAGTTTCTTAAGGTAGCTGCCGCGCTTTGCAGGATCCGTCTCAGACCATGAAGGAAAAGCCGCTTTTGCGGATGCGACAGCGGCATTTGCGTCGTCCGCAGTCGCCTCAGGGACTGAAAATTCATTAGCGGTGTTTTCTGGTGTTCTCGATTTGAGGCTGTCTTACCATCTGCAAGCTTCCCAGTTGTTGCTGGGTTGTACAGCGTGAAGGTCTTCTTGTCCGATGCCTCTACCAGCTGGTCCATTATTAAATTAGTCGCTACTAGTGCCGAAATATGTCAGCCAACTTTCGTGACTTACCTCGCCATTGATGAGCATCCGTGGGTGGAATTGGGTTGTCCCGTTGGTCTTCTGCCCGTTGGTGGCCATGGTCATCGGTTTTCAAAGAGTTGATTACTTTGTACAATCTATCCTGGAGATCTGGTTGGTCTGGGTCAGCTTTCGATAAACTTCTGCATCTGAGATGCTTCGAAAGCCAAAAACGACAAACAGTAGTGTCCTCGAAGTGACAAACAGGGCAACAAATAGATTCTTTCTAGAGTTGGGTCGCGCTGTTGGGTATCGCCGATGTATATCACCGATGTCGTCAATCACATATATAATCCAGTGATTTTCCAAGACTGAAGTATCCACTAGGCCGGTACCTGATGCACCACGATGGCGGGGTCAATGTCACGGATCACCCCCGCCTGTCCGCATGATCCACCACTACACAAGGAGCTACCCGGGTGTATCAGGGCCCGGGGTGGTGAATATGTAGCCGGCAGATACTTCTTGCAAGCTTGGAATGCCCAGGATGCCCAGCCCTGGCTCCTCTTTCCGAAAATGCGCGGGGCATAATTCTTCCTCAGGGTCTACTACATTCATGGATTGGTTCAATATTAGCACCATGCAGGTGACATTTGCCAACAACCACCCATGGTTTACATTGCAGACGGGTTGGTTGTCAGAGGAAGTTGCCGAGGAGTACATTGAACCAGGCATATAGCATCGAGATTCTGTTGCGGCCCTCCAGTTTCTGAATGTTTATTTCAAGTTAGACTACGATCACTGGGCGAGGAATGAAAATTGTCTTCGGCCAAATTCGTGTCACTACAGTTTATTTCCACGTCAATTTATAAATGTTTGTCTAAGGCGATCTCAACGAAGTGATTCACCTTTGAAGCAGATCTCCAACCCCCCACCACCCTAAAACCCCGAGACATAGGACTAAACATCGCACTGTCTAGGGATGCCTCCAAAAGGGACCATTGCCATCGAGGAAGCCGTCCTTGACCCTGAAGGGATCTCATGGATGGCTGAGACGGCTTCCCTTTTCGCTCCTGGCCAGAACTCTTCCCAACTCAAACACCATTCACTAACGCAGAAGCTCATGGACATCCATGACCAGCGCCTGAAGGAGATGGATGCCGAAGGTGTTGAGTACATGCTATTGTCCCTGACCTCCCCGGGCGCCCAGGGCGAAAAAGATCCCGTCAAGGCCGCCAACATCGCCAGAAATGCCAATGACTGGCTTGCCGCTGAGGTCAACAAGAACCCAACCCGATTTGGCGCATTTGCCTCTCTTTCAATGCATGATCCAGCGGAGGCGGCAGCAGAGCTCACAAGGGCAGTGAAAGAATTGGGGATGTTCGGGGCGATGGTGAATGACTTTCAGACATTTGGCGAGGACGGTGCCGGGAAGAAATACTATGACGCACCAGAATATCACATCTTCTGGGAGATAGTCGAGAAGCTAGGCGTTCCAGTCTATCTACATCCTCGGTACCCCATTTCTCAGGACCTCGAGGGAGCTCAGGCAAAATGGGGCCCGAGGAAGCATCTTCTCGGGGCCGCTGTATCTTTTCACTTGGATCTGAGCTTCCATGTTTATGCGCTTTGCTCAAGCGGTATCTTCGACAAATTCCCGAAAGTGCAGATCGTTGCCGGGCACCTGGGCGAGGGGTCAGTCTGATCAAGATGCAGCCGAGGCTGTGGCTCTACACGAAGCTGACTTAACGCGCTGGTAGTATACCGTTCAATTTGTGGCGTGCGGATCACTGGTACAACAAGCCAGTCAAGAAAGCCACTAGGCCGTCGAAAGAAGACTACAGCTACTATTTCAAGCACAACGTCTCTATCACGACTTCAGGAGACTTTTCCACGTCAGGTCTGAAATTCTGCATTGAGCAGATAGGAGTCGAAAGGTGCATGTTCTCAATTGGTGAGTTTCCGAGTTACAAAAATAATACGCGAGTCGTTGTTCAGAGACACCAATCTGATGAACTCAAAGACTACCCTTACGACTCCATCAAGGAAGCCCAGGACTGGTGGAAAGGAGTCGATCTTGCGGCCGATGAGAAAGAGGCAGTGGCGAGGAGAAATGCAATCAGAATCTTTAAATTGCCGCTCGAAGATTAATTCTAAAAGGACTCAGGGTTAAATATATAGACCCGAATGTACTTTGTCAACTTCCTCAGCTGTGACGGGCGGGATGAGATGCGCCAAATGGCCCTGCAATCTCCGTTTAATCAAGTGTGACGGGACGATGAAGAAATTAAGAACTATTGTTGATTTACCTCTTGTTGGTACGAGACCATGTGAGACAGGCTCTTACCGATTCTACTATCTTGAATCTCAATATATGGCAACAAACAAAGAATTGGGTATCCGAGACAAAATGGAACCAACCGAGCTTGACCAGCAAGCTTTCACCGCCCACTTCTTTCTCTGCACCTCAAACAACGCTCTGGGGTTCCAGAGCAGGCTGCTGAAGCTTCCTCCCGGCCCTTTCGAACAGGCCCTCCTCACCGACCTGCTCAAACTGCTCCATTTCTCTCCCGTGTTTCCGCTGGACCCTCTTGAGCAACAGAGTGTTAAACACGAAGAGCGATCCACAAACGACCAAGTCCGCGCCCTCGACAATACCGGTCACCTTGGCCGTAACACTCCAATCACCATGTTTCTGCGAATACACAACAACAAGAGTCGATATCAGCCCGGCGAGGGCATTGGTTGCGCCAGGCAGATAAACCCTATTCAGCAACCAGACATAATTAGACCGCCAGCGGAAAGCTAGCCACAACAGCCCCGCGGCGCCGATACCACAGCAGACAGCGGCAACGACGAGCAAAGGCACGTTCTGGACTTGGTCCAGGATAACGCTGGCGGCGGGGGACTTGTCAGCCACGTCCGGGTCTTCGGACAGGTCGCGGATGCTGGTGAAGGTTCCCGGGAAGACGATGAAGCCGGCGAGCAGGATCCATCCGAAGAAGGCGGCGAGGATATTGTGCAGGCGGGGAATTTTGTCGAGGCTGAGGAGCATCTCCATGTAGCGGGTTTGGAGGGTGTTTTCCCGGCGCAGGCCGGCGGTCGGCCTTCGTTCGGGACCATTTCCCGTGACTGTCCTCACGGAAGGATTCCGTGTTGTGGAGCTTCGAGTAGAGGAGAGGCGCTGGGGACCGGCTTTCTCTGACCGTATGGAGGGATGCCTCACCGGAGGTGGTTTGCTCGTTGAGGGTTGTCGATGAGGCATGGTCGGTATTGGACTAGACTGTATGCTTGTTTCACTTGGAAGATGTTGCCAATGGCTTTGACAAAGGACAGTGAACAGCTTCATGTATCTAGCTATGGGGATGACTGAAGGGGCATGAAGGTCTGACGAGAGAGGCTTCATGTTGCTCAAATGGAAATACTCGCCGTCAGCCCTACTCATCAAGAAGACAACAGACTGGGTAACATTGAATGAAGCCGTGAGCTGACATCACCTCGGAGGACTGTCTTCGCCCTGGTTGGTCCCTTGCCCTGATTTTCTGGTCACTCATGGCCGGGCTAGACTAATACAGACAGACATTGAGCCGCCACGCTGGACGAGACGAAAGAACAAGGTTTCCAGAGACCATTCTGGCAGTCTGGGTCGCATCTGCTTCAGGATGGCGCGCAAAAACTTGGTTCGCGCCAGGCACTGGACAGGGATCGTGGGGTAGCATTGGCACAGTCCTCATGCAAAATGACATAAGCCCTGTCTGTCGTCGGGATCCTCATCCTCCAATACCGACGGCATTCAACAGCCAGTAGATAACGACCGTGATATCTTATCGGTCTTGGCGACACACAATGGCCTCTCGCTTTTTCTCAATAATTTGACGCATCTTCAATGGCATCGCGCAGCAGCCGGCTTGTCGGACATTACATCTGTTAAAAAGCAAGAACTAGCACATAGTCCGAACACTGAAAACTGACGCATTGGTCAGCCGCATGATTGCGAACGCCCGTCAGAATAAGCTACCTAAGACAAATACAGCCCGCTGTACTTTAATCTAGCAAGTATTATAAGAGGGGGCACTTAGCTTTAACACTCTTCGTCTCTACCTGATATTGCCGGAAAAGTTCCGTCGAACAACAGCCCCTCTCTTATCCCCCCGCCCTCAAAGTTCACAATTTCTGGCCTGTCTCCGGGTGAACTCCAACTTAGTCTCAGACATGCGTCCCATTTGGTGTTGCGAAATACGACCTCCCTGGTGTCTTTGGACGATGGCACAGTCGATTGAGAAGTCACCTTCACTGGGACAGTAAACGAAGATCGTACTATAAGCGTCAATGGTCGCAGTCATCGTCTACGCACTACCAAAGATTCAGATAACATTTCCAATGTGGGTTGATTCGCGTCTGGTGCAAGCGTGAAGCTTTCGCGTGGTTAGACTCTATCCAAATTTGATTTGGCACCAGTGCGTAAATCGTCCATGATAAGGCATGTATTAATATTTACTTGTGATAAGATTAAATGTTTGTAATGTCACAGAACACGACGTGAGTAGTAATCGAGCTTGATTGCGCTTTACATCTCTCTATCTCTCTATCTATCTTTCCTTCTTTTTTGAATTCTTTCAAGCGCTATAAAAGACCCTGCAAGCTAGAGCTAAGATCATTCGCTCATCCTCATGTATGCAGTCATCCCACCATCTGTCACTTCGATCGCAGCGCGATCAGCTGTACTGAGTCACCAGGCAGAGGCCAAGACTAATTAACGCTGTCGCCATCCAGCCAACGATAATAAAGCGTTACACAGGCCCAGCGGGGCGTGCCCTAGTTCTGCACAAGTCAGCCGCAAAAGGTAATAAGAAGCCAGGCGACGTCCGAATGCATATGAGAATGTATACAACTTGACTGTTGCTACCTAGCCCACAATCTCGTCCTGCGGGGCGTTCGATGGAAGATGACAAATTTGGTTCTGGGTGGTACAAGTTGTGAGGCTCCCAACGTTAACTGCGTACTTTAATTACCATCCCCCGTTGAGGCTCTAGGATTTATCGAGACAATGTTTCTGCGTTCCTTTCTGTGATTTCTAGCTTCTAGTCTCCCCACGCTCTGTCCCAGAGTTGCCAAATGCCGGTGACCAACTCATAATGTCGAACTGCACTCCTCCCCTAGGACTGCTAGATGCTGAGAATGATATTGTTGGCCCTGGAGTATGACTTCACTTTCCATAATTGTATATGTGGGTTTACTGATCGTTGCACACCTTAACAGGCGCTTTCGGCTTTCTTCGCCACTGCCGCTATCACATATTTCACCGTCATCTATGCATACGTTTCGAATGCACTAGATGAAGACCTGCTTAATCCTTTCGATGACAGGATTGTCGGAACGACTGGGAGGTTTCTCGCCTGGCCCGTGTCTAAGGATCAGATCCTGCGGCAGAATACCAACGGCATAAATGCTGGGAACGGAAACCAGCATTCAGACCCTGGGCAAAAGGCTCGGAAAGATGCCATTGCAAACTTTCTGGTCGGCCTTAGTGATCAACAATTGGTGACAGGACTCGCTATCCTCGTGGCCGCCGTCTCTGGGCAGCAGTCGCTTTCAGGATACGATTTCTCTGTCGCACTCGGCCTTGGTTGGTTCTCGTGTACAACTCACCTGGCTACGATTGACGTCCTTTGCCTCCGCTTCAAGACACATGGCATCATCAGAGATGCACGTGTGGCAGGTCTTGTGTGTCTTATAGGACTGTTGTCCTATGCTTTCATCAGAACGACATCTATCACCGATCTGACAATCCCTGTAGACTGTCCCGATAATGAACCTTGGGTAGCATACACCGACATAATCAGCCTCCTCCCGGTCTGGATTGATTATTTCTCAGCTGTTCGAACCCTCTACTTTGGCCCTGAGATTGGTCTTTGGGACATTGTTGGTGGAGTTTGGCTCAAGCTCCAGGGCCGTGAACTTCCTACCATGGGGCAGCTGACAGATCATAAGACTGAGCAACAGTCAGAAAACATTGAGGATCTAGTCGAGAAGTCGGAAGAACACGCAAGGATGCGCTTGGGCTTGTTCTTTTATGACGGATCATTCTTGGCAACCTTCCCCGATATGACCTACAGTTTCTGCTTTGGTATAGCGCAGATTGTGGCATTACGATGGCAAAATGCCCCAGAGCTCTCTGAAGAATCTACAGAAATGGGCTTTGGTCAAATAACTACGTTGCTCTTGCTGATCCTGCCGTTCCTCGCTATTGGAGAAGCCTATACCTGTGAGTATTCCCCAGGTCCCCGCCAATAATTCAGCTATTTTAGCCGAAAGTAGCTTACTCGGTTCCAGCGTATCGAGTAAGCCGGCGCAGTAGTGCTGCCTCAGGCGTAGTCTCAATTGCTTGTGTATCGGCAGAGGAGAATCACGAACTTGCAGCTAATCCTCACCACATCACACGCCCTGAGACAGCTGGAATAACAGCTCCATCGGACAGCTCCGTTCACCAGGCACTAGGTCAGTCACCCCAAGTGGCGACTGGGTTATCGCAGGATGCAGCCCGTTCCGAGAATCAAGTCAGTCTGGAACGCAACCGCTCTCATGTCTCGGATATGTTACGAGCAAGAGACCATGAATTTATACCTACAGATTTCCCGGTCGAGTACATCCAGTACTTCCAGAACATCAAAGATTTAGAACAGTATTTTCCATTGGAAATGAAGGCTTTACCTCCATTAAATCAAGAACCAGAGTCAAGAAGGGCAAGAATTTCCCTGCTGCGCCGCTACCTGTTGGTGAAAAAGGCAGAGGAGAGCCTAGGCCGGAAAACCCCCGTGGCATTCTTTGCATTGCATCTGTGCATAGGGATACTGGCGGCAATCTTCCTCAACTCCTCTAATGGTCTTCTGGGGCTGATCGGCGCTCTCTTAAGTTTACTGTCGGTGGTGCTTGGGAATCTGAAAACTGTTCGCCGCATAATTAGGTTCGCCGAAAAGAGAAGAAGTCGCCGCAACACACGATAGGTCTCGTGAAGAAATATTGTGTAAGGACCTCGACGGTCATGCGCTTCAATGCTGTAAGGTGTACTCTAGTCGCTATGCGAAATCCCTTTTGGCAATTCTTTCTAATGAGGTCCGCAGGGATTGCATCTTGATGAGAAGGCACCGGTCTTGTTACCACGCTTTAGCCTGCACGCTTTCTGAGCCACATTGTAGATTTCACCTAGAAATGGAGCTGTGATATTTGTGACAACATGGCGCCTCACATGGTATGCTATGCCACAGCCGAATTAAATTCGTTGAGGAGCAGCCGGCCGCGAAAATTGACGCATTGTCGGAATATAAGGATTATGCACTAGAGATGCTGATCGATAACAGCTGCCTGGTTTCATGGGTCTGATATACTCATAAAATAAAAGATATTTTCATCACTTGTAACAGCTGATATAGCTGTAGTATAATAATACAGCTATATTCAGTAGTCTCGGCCATTTATGAGCTCTAAAGTTTAGAGCTCTACTAACTTCTAGCAACATTTCTCATAAATATAGTATGGCAAACTTCCTCCCCAGACATCTTCAAAATTATTACTATTCGTCCTCTGCTGACTCGTAATGATGGTACAAATCCAAGAGGACGTTCGGCCGAACCGAAGCTATAAACCGGATTTCAATTCATATGTAAGTGTGAATGATGTTGGTATTTGAATTGAGAAGATACAACTTTGGGAATGGAGTAGGCCAACTAGGTGCAATCAAATCCAATGTCACTCGGGAGGCGCGAAGGCAGGAGGGCAAAAGGCTAGAAAAATTACTGGGTGAGGGGGGCGCCGGGGTTGGCAGCGTATGGATTTTCCCCAGAGGATGTTGCGGCAGTGCTGCTTGATAGCTGCTCGATGTGAGTTCAGAATATATTTACCCAGGGTAGTTTCAAAAACGTGCTACACAGATTCATCCCGAATCGATAATGCTGCAACAGCCATTGCTGTAGTGACGCCGCGATTTCCAATCTTCACGCCTGTGGACCCATACTGATACATCCAGCCAGGTTCCCAGCTTCCGTCATCGCACTGCATGCTCAGCAAAGTATGCTGGTCCTCTTGGCATTCAATGCCCATCTGCTTGCAGGTGATGATTCGCATGGCCAGATCTAGTGCATTGCCGCTGTGACCGAGGCGTTCGTTCACTCTCGATTTCAACAGCGGACCAAGGGTCATCTGGAGATGAGGATCACTCGAAGACCGTAACAGACGCCCGACGAAGCCCAGACAGCAGTCAGCTGAGGAATAGTAATGTGTACCCTGTAAGTAAGAACGGTTTAACAGCATGGAACGCACAAGTTTCAGGGTATCCTGAAATTCGTGTCCACGGCCATCTAGTAATCGTCAGAACCGCATTCAGCAGCACAAAGCGTCGCTTTCTAGACACCCATAAAATGGAAGTATCAATACTTACAGGAGTAGAAGCAAGCCAATATGTTTGCGCTCACGATGGGGTCATCCCGCACCTTGATACGGTCGAAGTACGTCTGTCGCGCTATTTAGCAAAACAATTCCCTGAAGGCCGCGGGCGGACCCGAAAGGAACTTTGACCTGCCTGGAAAGTTCCATCCTGGTTGGCGTATTCGGCCATTTCATTAAGAAGGGTTGACACTAATTCCTTGGATGGTGGTTGCAGAACTTGTAGAGCGAGGGATGTGGTGTCTAAGTCGTCTGGAAACTGTCCTCCCGGTATGAGTGCTGCATCGCCTGTTCAACATGTCAGTTACGTTGCCATTTACTTGCGCCTTAATGGAGGCCCCACCCCCCCCCCCCCAAAAAAAAAAGTTCTTACCATTGAAGAAATTCCAGGTCTTCTTGGATCCCCAATAGAGATCGATGAGGTTTCTAAGCACTTGTAGTCAGTCACTCAGGTCTTTTCTTCCGTAGTCTTTCGAAGAAATCTAGGCGAAATGACTCACTTGTTTTGCAGCGTGTCCGCGATTAGTAGTTTTGCGAAGTTGTCTGCGAAAGCCACGCCACTGTTCGTAATGGAATCGCACTTCTTTGAGTTTTGGAAAAGGTACGTCCATGCCTTTCAACTGGACTTTCGAGCGTCATACGCAATGACTGAATTGTCGAATGCTCAAATACGTGTCCACGAATGCCCAAAGCTTGTGCGGCGCGAATGTTCTCTTCCTTATCATCGATGAAGACAATCTCATTGCCGGCTAGGCCGATATGATCCAGGACATGTTTGTAGAACCCGAGCTCCGGCTTCCGCATGCCAGCAGCCGCAGAGGTAAAAACTTGGTTGAAAAGCGACCAATCTATCCTCGTTGCAAGATCCTGAAAGTCCTCTTTGCCAATATTGGACATCACATACACTTGAATCGTAGGGTTCTTGTTTATTTCACGCAAAAGGGCAAGAATCGCTGGATCAGGCTGCAAAGACTTGCGTGCCTGTCTAAACGCTTCTGCAATTTCGGATGCCGAAAGACAGAATTTCTCAGCACTCAGCTGATAGCAAACATCTCGAGTGATTTCACCACGATCGTAGGCGAACCAGATAGGTGTCGAAAGGATGTCTCTCAGCTGTCGAGCTGGAATGGTCGAAGCTGTTGTGGCGGACCAGGTGAAGAGTACATCGCCAAGGTCGAAAATGACAGCTCGAGGAGGTGGAAGTAGGAGGTCCATTGTTGCGCTACTAATCTTGCTTGTGCAAACATTCTTCCACAGACTGTCACTGCACATTGATATATTTCTCAGAAATCGGACGGCGGCCGCTCAGTCACACCGTTAGGCTATGATAATCCTGGCGATTCTGCTATGCCCAGATGCTGGAGCCTCGGAGGAGCTGGATCCTGGGACCTCGGGCCACAACACAAAGTATCTACAGGCTTGTAGGCGTTGGGTGTGATGCAGCTATTGGCTTTGATGCAGGTGTTGGCTGTGATGGAGGTGTTGGCTGTGACGCTGGTGGACCCTTTTGATCTTACCTGCATGGTTCTCCATCGTTCATGCTCTCTCAAAGCGCATTCATGCGCCACTTGCCAACGGCTCTTCTCGGTGGGTGCTAGAAGGAATGGATCGCTCATCTGTGGGAACTATGGCACCCAAGGCGTGAGTATCACTTTTCCCAGTTCCCTTGCACGTTCAAGATGACTACAGCATCTTAACACCTTGACCGAATCGACTAACAAGTAAAACTATTTAGACGGGAGGTGCGAAAAAGCACTGCTACTCGAAGATATCAGCTTCGAATTTTCGCGAAACCTTCAGCTTTGTACCGGAACGTGGTTGGGTGATGCCGCATGCGTTGACGACGAAAAAGACGTTGTACAACCGTTCTTTTATTGGCCCTCGGAACAGCCCCGGTCAGGAGTGAGTTCAACAGCCGCATTTCTGAGATGCGCGAATTTCAATGCTTATCACCATGTATATTTTCACTGTACGACGTAATTGACCTCAGATTGCGTGACGGTATAGAAAGGTGGGACGTGGGACAACAGATCTACAACAGCTGAATCCAGGCTCCGCTGCCGGTTGTGATGCATAAACGAGTGCGAGCCTGAGATAAGGCATACCTGTCTAGGTAGTCAACTCGTCCACAACCAAATTTGGGGAGTCTATAGACTTTAGCTACCTAGGCACAGACTGTACGACATTTATCAGAAACAGTTCTTACTTGGGCTCCAGTCTCCCATATCATCCCCTACATAGTCTATCCTATAGTCCCCTCCTCTTTAAGCCTGTGCAATCTGCGTGATTATTGATATCTTCGAAAAGTTCAGTTCTCCACGGCTTTGCTTTGGTACAGTCTTTGCTGTCTGGCTATCGCGCTACACCATTGAGAGACTACAGCGATATACTGCAAGAATGTTTCCTAGGTACCAACTCAGAAAGCCGACCTATTACAGCCCAATGGTTACCTAATTAGATCACAATTTCAGGGTTGTTCACCAACAGTTGTGTGTCAATACTGATTGTAGATTTAACCTCTTAGGTAGAAGCACCCTGCTGCTGTCACTTCTACCTGTAAGACATGCTTTGCCCAGAATTTGTGCCGAGATTCCGGTTAGATAGCTTTGCTCAATGGCTATCCCGCCAACTGTAGCCCCACATGCTCTACACGCCCCCCAACGAAGCTCTGGTGTTGTCCGTGGCCCCAGTCACAAAGTTAGCAAGAGGCGCAAGGGTGGTGGTGGTGGTTGGTTTCGGGGGGTCGGGAGCGGAGTGACGTGCTAACCAACAGTCATGCATGGCTATCCATCAGGATGTCCACTAACTAGTACCCAGGTGTGATATCCCATATGTATTTGATGTTAGGAGATTAACGACCAAGCAATAAGGCATCTATTTTGTCGCATTTTACTTCAACGTCCGGAACATCGCAAGATGACCACTTCGTTGCTAATCCGTACAGGCAGAGATGATGATATCTAGACAAGACTATCATGTCCATGGCCCTGAGTCTGTCCCAGAACCACCGAGTTGATTGCTGCAGCCACACGGGCCACGTTGTTTGAGTTCACTGAAGATTTTAGGTTAGCCACCTAGGTACAGGTGGAAAAGTTCGCGTCCGCCCCTAGAAGACATATTACTTACGGCCAGCAATTGATGCTCGTCCGCTGGAGAACAGGTAAATATGGTGTTTTTGTCGCAGTTCCTGTACCTGTTGCGCAGTCAAGCCCGTATACGAGAACATCCCGATCTGAGGTACATCAGCGATACATCCTTTTCACTGCTCAAGTGCGACTGAAAGAATAAAGATGGGTACTAGAGACAACGAAAGAAATGTACCTGGTTTGTAATGTGACTCCAGTCTCCAGGAGTACCCAGCCGCTCAAGCTCCACGACAAGCGCTGCTCGCATACTCTTTATCCGCGAGCTCATTTTCTTGTTCTCTTCAAGGAATTGAGTTTTCAATTCCGTGTTATCCAGAACTTGTGCAGCAACTCTGGAGCCGAAAGCAGTGCCGGAAGAAATCTCGGATCTCAAGACACGTACGAGTTGCGATTGAACGGCGGGCTTGACACTGGGCTCGCTGGCCAGTATATGGAGTGCACCTACACGCTCGCCGTACAAACCGAAATTCTTAGAGAATGATTGCGCCACAGCCATTTCCATAGAGGGGCGGCTTGCGAAGTAACGGATGGCCCAGGCGTCGTCGTCGAAATTTCCAGAAGCGAACCCCTGGCTGTAAGCAAATAGATCAGCAAGGACCGACCAAGGACTACACGGCTGAGGGAAGGACCCACTAAGCAGAGTCGAAGAAAGGGAAAAGTTTCTTCCTTTCACAAATTTCTGCAATGGCGACCCATTGTTCCTTGGTTGGGTCGAGGCCCGTTGGGTTGTGGGCACAAGCTTGCAGGATGACAACGTCTCCCGGCTGCGAGTCCTTTTCCAGTGAGGCGATCATGCCCTTAAAGTCAAGCGACCGGGTAGCTGCATGATAATAGGGATACAGGCTCCGAGTGACGGTTGAGTCTGCGCATTCCCAGATGAGTGCATGGTTCATCCATGACGGATCCGAGATGAAGACGGTCTTGGGCTTCAGGCCGTTTTTGATAAGAAACATGGCACCGGCATGGCAGGCATGGGATCCAGATGCTGTCTGAATAGAGCTCAGGCGCGCGTCTTGGTCATTGGAAAGATCTCCAAACATAAGGGACCGGGCGCCATTCAAGAAAGGGGGGAATCCGCTCTGCGGAAGATAGGTGTGGTCATCGGGGAGCCGAGCAATTGCCTGTACACATATGGAACGCCGTGGTCAGTGATTGTGCTAGCACTCTCTCGAAGACAAATGGCCTACTTCTTTTACAGATGGCAAGGTCCACGGTAATCCATTCTCATCTTTGTACACGCCTGCGCCCAAGTCCACCTTCGTTGGGGTCTTGTCCGCCGCCAAGGCTGCGGTAACTTGATAAGCCTCGTCGTACGGGATCGCCTTGATAGACGAAAATACTGAAGTGGACTCGCCGACACTACCCATTTTGCCTGCAAATACAAGTGATAAGATTTTAAAGCTATTGGCTTCCTGAGAAAATTACTATGTTCATCTACACTCGATTTCATGAGAAGAATACCACGGGTATTGAGTGTCACTTGTATCTGATAAACAGATCACACGCCGGTCTCGGGACCGGTTCAAATGTTATCGTGGCCGGTTATCTTGGATGCGAGTCGGCACGATGCCGATAGCTAGCCAAAGAAACGGCTAGTAGGGTCGGGATTTGTGCCGACTGTACAATTATCATAAATCTATATTGGAATCATGTTCACATTGCGCCAGCCTAGTTTGACGCACCCACAGCCTCCCGCTCTGCAACACTGCCGTTCGCTCTGAAGGCGGAAGAACCGTTCGCCAAACCATTTCTGGCAATTTTAGATTGCTTCAGGATTTCCAACTCCTCAGGCGGCACAAATTCTTCCTCGGCATTCGGATCCTTGCCATACCCACCACCTCCTGGGGTCTGCACGATGATCCTGTCGCCTGGGCTCATCATGGTTGTAGCCCGTCCTCCGAGACTGATATATCGCTCAGAACCATTCTTGGGGTCTTGTCGAACCCATATGTTCCGGCCTCTTGCTCCATCACAGCCGCCGGCCATTCCGTACGGCGGTATTACTCTTCGCTCAGAGAGAATGCTGACCTGCATGGGTCGAGTCAGCTCGATGTCGCGCACACATCCGTCTCCTCCTTTGTAAAAGCCTGCGCCACCAGTGTCTTTCCTGATGGAGAACTCTCTGAGGATTACCGGGTATCTTTTCTCGAAGGTCTCCGGGTCCGTGATTCTTGTGTTTGTGATGTTGGTGTGCACACCGCTCTGGCCATTCCACCCTGGTCCGGCTCCAGCGCCGCCCGCGATGGTCTCGTAATAACCAAATCCCTTGACAATATTGCCGGTCTCCGGGTCCGTACCGCCGTAACCGAAAGTCAGATTATTACAAGTCCCCTGGCTAGCAGCGCATGCGCGGAAGGCCTTGAAAATGAGATCCACAATACGCTGGGAGGTCTCTACATTCGAGCCCACAGTCGCAGCTTCAAGAGACGGAGATAGCAGTGTCTTTGGTGGGCAGTACACCTCGATCGGGGTGAGGCATCCTTGGTTTAGTGGAATGTCAGAGGAAATCATGCACCGGAGACAGTAAATGATCCCAGAGTACATCACCGCGGAAGGTGTATTCTGTAAGAGATCGTTGTCAGCAAGTGGGCGGAATCCATATGCAGTCCGTGACTGAAGCATTTTGTGGCAGACATGGCACTGAGCGAGGTACTTTAAAACTTACTAAATTGTTGAAAGCCTCGGGGCCCGTGCCGGTGAAGTCAAATTTAGCGGAACCATCTTCGCCGTTGATGGTCACCTTCAAGGCCAATGGCGTACCATCGTCCATGTAGTCCACCGCCTTCAGAGGGTGGCCTCTGAACCGCTCACTGAATCCTTTCAGAAGGGTGCGTACTGCTTCTTCCGCGTTCTTCTGAATAGCGTCCATATAGAACTTCACGACCGGCCAAGAGTATTCCTTGACAAGTGCCTGGATAAGATGAATACCACGATTGTTAGCAGCCACGGATGCTTTCAAATCCGCGATATTGTCTTTAAGTGTCCTGGTTCCGCTGCAGCCGGGATACTTCCCAGGCTTGGTGTACAGCTCGTCAACCAGGCCCTCCTCATCAAAAGCTCCGGCTTTGACCATCTTGAAGGATTCAATAGCAGCCCCTTCTTGCCACAATTCTGTCGAGTTGGGTGGCATAGATCCGGCCAGGATGCCACCAATGTCTGCGTGATGACCTGTATTTGTACAGTCAGATCAGTGGTTATTTCCAATTTTCTGAAGGGCTTATGTACCTCTGTTTGCAACAAAGAACAGGATCTCTGTTGGGTTTTCGTTGTCATCAAAGACGGGCGTTGTGACGGTTAAATCTGGCAGATGTGTTCCACCCGAGCAAGGATGATTCGACAAAATCACATCACCGGGCTGCAGGCCCTTGAGGCCGTATTTATGCGCCTGATATCTGATTGCTGTGCTCATCGAGCCCAAGTGACCCGGAATATGCGGAGCGTTGGCAACGAGTCCTCCAGACTGGGAGAAGATAGCACATGAATAGTCTAGACGTTCCTTGATGTTGGTGGAAATGGATGTCTTTTGTAAAGTTCTCCCCATCTGCGAATCGCTCGTAAGTTAGCATGAAACAAGCTTACCCAGCTTCGAAGTGGTATGATGGAAATAAAGAACCTGACCTGCTCTGCAATGGACATGAATCTGTGGCCAAAGACAGATAGCTGCACCGGGTCGACTTCGTCAATGCCAACTGTCTTTTGTTTGGCTGCGACAATGTCAAGAACAATATGGTCATCTAGAACGATCGCCACACTGTCCTCCTCAATGATTATCGTCTGAGTCGCATCAATTGCCACCGCCGGTCCCATAATCTTAACCTTCCTGGGTATGCTGTCGATGTGAAAGATAGCCGCATCCGTCCAGCCTGTCGTTTCGAAATAAACCTTTCGTGTTCCCTTCGCGGCGCTTGCGTCCAGCACCGAAAATTTCGCCGCTTCTTCAAGATCTTTGAATGGGCTGCATATTGGGACGTCAATCGCCTTGCCGATACTTCTGACGCGAATGTCATCAACCAAGATATCCCTGTCGGGTTGACCGAACCCGAATTCACGTTGGTGGCGATCACTAAATGCTCGGGAGAAATCGCCATCATCCGGCTGCTGTATCATAAGTGCCGTGTCGCTTCCTCTGTATCTCATGTTCAGGAAATATTCATGTATGACCCTCTGAGCTGGAATGCCTTGGGAGCCCAAGTCTTCGGTTGCTTTCTTAGCCATGGCTTCAAATCGCTCTTGTATCCTGTCGCTTGCCTCGGTACCATAGATAGCCGCTTCCGGGTCCTGCTTCTCGACGACAATATCGGCCAGTGCCATGCCGTATGCTGACAGGATACTCGATAGCTTGTGGATCAATATCCGGCGGATACCGAGATCCCTTGCAATAGCCACGGCATGTTGACCACCCGCGCCGCCAAAGCAGGCAAGATTGTGAGCTGCGGTATCGAAACCCCTGCCCTCACTCAAAGTCCTGATCGGTCTCGCCATTGTCGCATTTGCCACCTCAATAAAACCCATAGCAACTTGTTCGGGGGTGAGCTGATCATCGCCGTGCTTTTCCGAGTTGACCAGCTGGGTCAGCTTGGCGAACTCTTCCTTCACCTTGTCCATGTGCAATTTCTGGGGGAAGAAGTCTGGAAGGACTCTCCCAAGGAAGCAGTTGGCGTCGGTAATGGTCAATGGGCCTCCATTACCGTAGCAGGCCGGTCCGGGGAATGCGCCTGCTGATTGAGGGCCTACTTTGAACAGGCCGTTGCTCCAGAACAGAATGGAGCCACCTCCTGCGGCCACAGTGTTGACGTCTAGCTGAGGCGTCTGAATCTGAACTTCGGCGGTGTTGCTCTCGAAAACATGCTCCAGGGCGCCGCCATACCGAGAAACATCGGTGCTGGTTCCACCCATATCAAAGCCGAGCACCGGGGTGCCCTCTGCAGCGTCGTAGCATGTTCGTGCATACCCAATGACTCCGCCGGCGGGTCCAGAGAGAATTGCGCGCAGACCGGTGAACTCAGTGTACTTGACCAGACCGCCATGGCTCTGGGACAGAAGTAGCTTGTTGGCCGACTGCGGATCCCGTAGTTCACCCTTGAAGCTCCGCCGGAAGCCATCGAGGTAATTGTCGGTGATGGGTGAGAGGTAGGCATCCGCAACGGCTGACTGCGCACGAGAGACAAGCTTGATCATGCTCTGAAGCTGTGATGAGAGAGAAACCCTGAAGCCCATCTCGCAGGCCAGATCTCCTATTGCGATTTCATGATCAGGATAGGCGTAAGAGTGCATCAGTGCCACCGCTAAGCTGCGAAAGCCCCGGTCCCGCAGACCCTGAAGGTCCTGTCTGATGGCCATCAGGTCGGGCCGTTTCACAACTCGGAGAGCCTCGCCTGTTTTGCCCATTACCAAGTCATCGTCGCTCGATACATCAATTGGTTGCGGCTCCGGGTCCTCGGAGAAGCCCTCTATGGTCACGCGTTCGTCCACCTCGACAACGGTCTCGTAAAGAGTGCCGAGCTTCTTGACTGCGAGATCAAAAATCCTTGGCCGTGCCTGGTTGCCGATAATCAGAAGGTCTTGGAATCCCTTGGTGATTAAGAGAGCCGTCCGCTCGCCCTTCCGTTCCAAAAGAGCATTGGTGGCGACGGTGGTCCCCATGCGTATGCTCTCTACGGGGGCCAAATCCAACAGCTCGCCCTTCGCGATGGACTTGCCGGTTGCCTTTTCAAGGATCTGTCGAATGCCTTCTGTTGGTGCATCGGCATATTTGTCTGGACAAACGGAAAGAAGCTTGAAGATAAGGTCGTTTTGGCGGCCGGGGATACGTGCCCAGCTGGTCGAATGTTAGCTCGAGACAGGCAGTATTATCCAAGTCAGAAGACACGGCAAGGCAACTAACAAGTCACAGAATGTACCACCTCGGTCAATGGCTATTCTGATGCCTTCTTCACCAATGGACGGCATGGCGGAGGCTGTAGGAAGGAGTGGATTCGATCGCAAAGCTAAAAAGTTGCAGTGTCCGGAAGGCCAGCCGGGTTACCTGGGTACTTGTGTAGTATTGAAGCTATCAAATGTCTGCGTTATAACACTTTCAAGTTGGTCACCACTCGTTCTTCGTTGAGTCTGAGTCTTTTATATACAGTCAGTTTGAATCTGAAAGCTACGAACTCGTGTCTTTGGTTGCTCAAGTTACATATCATAATATTCGCTCAGCCATCTCGGCTGCTGCTATATGGCTGCGTGCCAAGGTCCTCAATGCCGGCGCTCGGAAAGGCGGCGGCTGCATGCCGAACAGGGTAACACAAACTGATAAGCCGCCCGGCATTTGTTCCAATACCGATCTCTCGCGGCTCGGTAAGATACTGCCGATCGCACCATGTTCAGGGGGTTGTCTGATATCACCCAGCTCGCTACCACAGTCGCGGCGGCGATAAGCTGCGGCTCCTACGGCACCATAGTGATAATGCTCACCGCAGAAGGGTCTCTGGGTTATAGCAGCCAACAACATCATACCATGGGGGGCGTGTGCGTGTGGTAGCGCAATCATTCCATCCAACCTTGCCTCTGCCATCCCTCTTGTGTAGCTGTGTCTCGTGACGCTGTCTTTGAGTCTACGCCGACTCTGATCGCAAGCTACAATTTCACGTACATTGATTAGAAAACTCACTGCACAACTTTGCAACATCCCTTGAAAGATGAATGACACTCTTGATCAAAAGATCGGGATAGATTCGGCTGCAGAGCAAAACAGTGAGGACCTTAACCATGGCCAGGTCGTGGGTTACATCGACCCCGTCAAGGAGGCCAAAATGATGCGAAAGTTTGACGTGAGGAATTTTGCATTAACATTTTTGAGAAATCCGAACGCTGCTAATCTGTGGAAATACAGTGCTGGGCAGTCGGTCTCCTCGGCATTCTCTACATGTTGGCAAACCTCGACAGGTCAGTCTTCTCACGAGCCCCGGCAATACAGAATAAACCATGACAGCTACCAACGTTGTATTCACAGGAGCAACATCGGAAACGCACAGATTGCGGGACTCCCTGACGATCTGGGACTTGTTGGAAATCAATACGGAACGGCAGTAACATTGTTGTACGCTACGTACGTTCCATTCGAGACACCAGTCGCCGTTTTGCTCAAGATTATCGGCCCCAAATACCTCCTGACAAGCTGCTGCTTCGCATGGGGGATCACCTGTCTCTGCACCGGCTTCATACAGAACTGGCAAGGACTATACGCTTGTCGGCTTCTCATCGGATTCTTCGAGGCAGGATTGATCCCGTGTATCAACGTCTTCCTGGGCATGACATACAAGAAGTCGGAGCGTGGCAAGCGGTCTTCAGTAATATTCGCATTCAGCGCCCTGGCCAGTGCTTTCGGTGGCATCTTCGCGTATGGTTTGACTCAGATCCATACCAATTCCTTGTTCACGTCGTGGCGGGCCTTGTTCATCACGGAAGGTTGTCTGACGGTGCTGATCTGTCCGATATTCTTCTTCTTCTTCCCTGACTCACCAACAACGGCATGGTTCCTGAATGACGAGGAGAAGGAGATGATGAATTTGCGTTATCAGCTTGACCCCCATTGGGGTGTTGTTGACGAAGAGTTCAGCTGGGAAGAAGTTGGCCTTGCTCTGAGAGATCCCAAATTCTTTGCCTTGTGAGTTTCAGCAAACCTTGACCGATGTAACCCCCGTTGCCGCAGCCAATGCTGACCGGACTTCAGCTTCGTGTTCCAGTTCTCGGTCGACATTTCGCTGTACGGCTTCACGACGTTCTTGCCTGCCATTATCAAGGGCCTTGGCTATACGTCTGTCCAAGCCAACCTCATGACGGTGCCGATCTATTTTTGGGGCTTGGCAACCTTCGCATTTACCGCATACATGTCAGACAGATTGCACAACCGTGGTTACTGGATTGGTGGACCCTTGCTCTGTCTTATAGTCGGATACGCGATCTTGATCTCGGTTGACAGCCTTGCTGTGCGATACTTTGCTTGCTTCAGTATGTATTTCACTACTCTCTCACATCGATTAGATTCATCCGTATCGCTCTGGCTGATGATTATATGCAGTCACTGTCATGGGTATTTATCCCACAACAGGTATGAGCTTAATGTGGCTTAGTGATAACGTATCTCGCCACTTTAAACGGTCCACGATGGTAGGAGCAACATTGACCTTGGGCAACACGGCTGGTGTTGCCGTGGGCCAGATCTTCGTTTCTGCCGATAGTCCGAGGTACATCAGAGGCCTGTCTGTGGCCATGGGTCTTGCGGCTGTTGCTTTGGTTATGGTGGCTTGCCTCATGGTTGGCATGAGCCTAGTGAACAAAAGGCGTGCTGCTAGGATCGCTGCCGCAGAACAGGCGGGAAATCCATTGGCCCCTGAGCCGAAAATGGGCGATATGGATGTTCATTTCAAGTATAGTCTATGAGAGTCTGGAGGAGCATGCATACTCTGTCACCGGATTTTAATCGGAGCCGAGTAGTCCACGCGGACTTTCGATTGACCAATCAATTTACACTGATAGCCTGATTAGTCTTTGGCATACGGAGTAGATGCAGTCATGAAATAGTAATGGCCACTTTCCAGCCTTGAGTCAAATGGAAACTCGCATCCGGATATACAGCTTGGCATCGTTGGAAGGTTGCAGCTTAAAGTTCCCGAGCCGGCACGCCACTGCAGTGGTGTTATCTCGCTGGACCCACAAATAACTAGCTCTTAGATCTTGACGCTATCGGCATTTGTTCGCTGTAAATCCGCAATGGTCCCCTGGCCACGACTCCCTCGGTTCTGGAAAGACCAAATTATATGATTCCTAAAACCCCCAGTCATGTCCTCGCCTTCGAATAGCGTTGCCGGTAGCCCGGCTAATCCCACCAGTCCGCTCAACCGCAAGAAGCGAACCTTTGCGGCTTGCAGGTCAGCTCATAACTTTGGCATCTAGAACTAGACGAGGCCTCTTCCCCCCCTAGCGGCACTTTGCTGACTGCAAAGCCAGCCGATGCCATTCTCAGAAGACAAAATGCACTGGCAAGCAGCCCTGCCTGAGCTGTGTCAGATCCGGCAGGGCCGCAGAGTGCACGTTTCCAGTCCGGGCAAGGAAAATAGTTGTGTTAGAAAGGTATCCAATCTGTCCTGCTTTAGATCCGGGGCCGGGCATTTAGGGTAACAACAAGATTAATACCGCTCAGTTACATCCAGAAGCTCCAAGCGGACAATGCCGAACTCAGAAGAAACAACTCCACGTCCGGCACAACGAGACTAGGGACACCATCTAGCGACCAAGCTGTCAACGCGTCATCTTCAGAGGGAATCGTAAGTCATCCTGACACGACAGAACACCTCGCTGCAGATGAAGGCGAGGACGGGACGGGTGCGGGTACGGCCACTCCACTTCTTGAGCAGCGTGTCATGGCTCAGGATAAGAGTGTGTCCTTGGGAGCATTTTACGTCGGTGGCGCCGCCTGCACGGCTTTTTCGACACGTCTCGGTGCTTGTGTACGCGGCAGCCCAGTGAAAGTGGCAAAGACATCGTACACTGTACCGGTCTATAAGCATCCAACATTCAGCCGCAGGCTTGAGCCACAATACACCCTGCCGAGCCGAGCATACGCAAACATGCTCATACAAGTCGTGATGAGATTTGTCGGGTCGGATTATCACCTGATCAGAAGGAAGTCCTATCTGGAGAGTATCGATCTCATATATGATGATCATCAGCAGACGGACTCACTCTCCCTGAGTCGTTTCTTCGCCTTGCTGGCCTTGGGAGAACTTTGGTTGAAGAAGACCGGAGCGATTCTGAACGGAGAGAAGACCGTGCCCGGGACGAATCTCTTTCTCCAAGCCGTCTCGCTCTTTCAGGAACAATTTGAGGAACCTAGCATCGAATATATTGAGACCCTCTTGGCACTGGTTTGTCTGCCCACGAGTCACAGCACCACGTTCAAGGCATCGCACAGGCACTAATCCTGGACAGTGTTTCTATTGCTTCGCCCTTAACCGAACGAGCACAGCATTTGTCTATGCTGGTCTAGCGTTGCGCTTGAGCCAGACCCTGGGGCTCCATCGAAATATCGCGTACGAGTCCAACGTAAGCAGCGCAGAGGTTGAAAATCGCAGACGAGTTTGGTGGACCGTATATATTTTCGATACTCTTATCAGCTCAAGGCTCGGTCACCCCACGATCAGTGACGGAGACATAGATGCTCCCTTTCCATCTCAGGACAACTTGCCTGAAGCAGATAAGGACGACTTTTTTGATCCCATGCAGCTCATTGCTAATATCAGGCTGTGCCGCATCACGGGATCAGTTCTGAGCCTCATCTACGGAGGGCCGTCCCCAAAAGACGCTGGAGACTTCATTAAAAACGTGCATACCATCCTGAACCAATTGAAGAAACTCGACGCCGAACTCCCGATAGAACTGAAGCTAGATCACACGCGCTTCCCAGCGTACGGCTCAAGATCCGTCGCATCTTTACGGCTGCACTTCAACCAGGTCAGACCCAGCTCTATTTTCATTGCTTGGGGAATTTAGACTGATGTGCCTCTTCACTCAGAACCTCATTCTCACCACGCGGCCCGTGTTGCTCCATATTTTAAATTACAATCTCAAACGCCTGCGATGTGATCCTTCTACAATTATGGGAGTGAAGCAGCTTTCGCCGATGACAATCGCTTTGAGCGAGGCATGCATCTACGCTGCGAGAGCATCTGCGAATATCCTCGAGCAGCTCTGGATAAGCGGTAACATTTCAACTTTTGGCTACTTTGACGCTCATTACACGTTCTCTGCAACAGTGATCCTGATGATCTCAAGGGCCCTTCGCCCCAACACTGAAGATGACGACGCAATAGCGTTGGCTTTGACATTACTCCATTCTATGGTTGAAGATGGCAACATTCCGGCCCGTGAGCTCATTGATAGGATTTCTGCCCTGCAGAAGGACTTTGAGATTCTGAGATCGTCGGAAGACTCCGGAGAAGGTCTAATGGCTGAAAGTACCACAGGGTTTATCACCTCAACGGGCACCTTTGCAGCAAACATCAATAGAAACCGTCCTCTTTCTCCTTCCCAATCCCGGAAAGCTTCTTCTACCAGCATACCGACGCCACCAAGACTAGACAGCACCATTGATTCGACGGGCCGGCCAACGGTCGCGACGGCCCCTTTGGACGCACCTTTCATACAGAATTTTCTCGGAAACTGCACTCAAGAATGGAGTCCACAGGACTTTGAATTTTTGAATCAGGGCACTGGTGTTTGGGCATCGGCATGGGACAGCTTTGATTTGCAACGTAGCGAGGATAGCATAGGCCTTTGAGGGGCCCTTGGAGATGCATTCGAAACATATAACCCATAACTACACAAGTAACGGTTCACAGCAAAGTTTTCCATATGATCTATACTTTATTAACGCTTGTCACTTTCCTCTTGTCGCCAAAAAAGAAGTCGTTCAAATTTCTTAGGCCCACCTCATCGAAATTCTTCCAGCTGGTCTGGGAAGCTACTCCAATATGTGGTAAAACCGTCACCTTGAAGTTGTTTTTCAGCTTCGGGTTGATTCCCGGCTCGTGGGCATGGACATCCAACCCAACACCGACAACCTGGTCCCTGTCCATCGCCGCCAGCAAATCGTCCTCGTTGATGAGCCCGCCTCTAGCGATATTCACAATCCTGATCTTTCTCTCTTTGATCCGACCAAGCGCCGCGGCAGAGATCAGATGCTTGGTGTCGTCAGTCAAGGGACACGCCAGGCAGATGCAATCCGCAACCTCGAGCAGGCTCTCAAACGTGTCGTGGAAGGTTGCTCCGGGCCTCGTCCCGTCAGGTGATAGAATCTCCCCCTCAGCGTCACGCCTCCTTCTCCGGTTATGGTAGTGAACTTCCATACCGAGGGCAGCCGCAGCCTTCTTGGCTATGGCTAGCCCGATGCACCCCATGCCCACCACGCCGAGCACCTGCCCAGTCGGATCGACAGCCATAGCGCCGACCTCTCTGCCTGTGGTCCAGCCCTCGTCGTTGCGGGTGTGATGCTCGGCCAGGGTGAAGTAGCGGTACGTGTTGAGGATCAGGTGTAAGGCCGTGTTGGCCACCGCCTCAGTGTTGGTGTTGGGTGTGTTTGCGTAGGCGATGCCCCGCGCCGTGAGCGCCTCGATGTCCGCGGCATCGTAGCCGTGGCCACTGCAGCCAATGTATCTCAGTGTGGGTGGATAGAGAGACAATGGTTCTCCGCGAAAGAGCAAGTGTTGGCTGTATGGGCCAGATTTGAGCCAGCCGGTCCGGAAAATGGCGTCGATGTTGCTATACGGGCCACCGGGCTGGAGACGCTGGCAGAACTCGTCAACAGAAGGACAGTCGTATTGGATCGTATTGAAGTTGTGCCGGGTGCGCTGCCATGCCGGGGTGGAAAGGTCGCCATGAACGCCGGCGAGAACTAACAGGACGGTGGGCCTCCTCGACTCCCTAGGCTCGGCTTCCGCGCGCGCTGAGCCCGTTTCATTGGGCTCCGCTGTATCAAGCTGTGCGACATCCCCTAGATCTCCCATAATTTCTTTAAACCCGGGCTGCAATCTCGAGTCTAAGGAGATCTGATACTGCTTGCAATGGGACACCTCAAATCCTGGCTATAGACTTTTTTTGGTGCGTGTGTCTCAACCAGATATTTCGCCCTGTCGCCGTCATCGGGTAATTTCTGCGCTGTGCCGCTATGTTCGATCTCGGGAGATAAGCTGCGGCGCCGATCCAAGGACGTATCATCCGGCTGCGGGCCGGCAGCTCCTCGGAGCTTGGCTCCGATACCATTGACCACGATTCCTGGAGTGGCGCACACGAGTAGAGTATTGTTCGATAACTTGAAGATCCAGGATTGCTTGTCAGAACCTTCTGGATAGATGCAGGCCCTTTGTTTTCTTTTATTCACGGGAACTGTGGACTATAAAACGCCAGTCGAGACGAATCCCATTGGCTCAACTATTCAAGCCGCGGTGTCATCACCATCATCATGGCTGACTCGCTTAACCATCCAGTCGTCCAACTCCTCAGGTCTCTGATCGACATCGACAGCACGAGCGAGAAAGAACTCGAGATCGGGATCTTCCTTGAGAAGTATCTGCTAGATTTGGGATACACTGTGGAACGCATCGCCATAGCCGCAGGCTCTTCTCGACACAATGTCTACGCATACCTGGGACAAGAGCGCAAAGCACGCGTCTTGCTCACGTCGCACATGGATACCGTGCCGCCCCACATCCCATTCAGTATCGAGGACGATGTGATCCGCGGCCGCGGCGCCTGCGATGATCTTGGTCCTCTGGTCGCACAGATATTTGCGATCGAGGAGTTGCGGGCAGAGGGCAAGCTTAATGAGACAGGTGGGGATATCAGCTTCTTGTTCGTCGTAGGCGAGGAGAAAGGAGGTCCGGGCATGATTGCTGCCAACCTCATGGGCCTGGAGTGGGAAGCTGGCATCTTTGGCGAGCCGACGGAGGGCAAGCTCGCCAAGGGGCACAAGGGACACGTCGTTTTCGAAGTTGTTGCCAAAGGCATTTCTTGGTATGTGTCCCTCAAGTGCTTACGTCTATATCACGGCTGACATTGCGGTTGGTGGGAGCAGCCACTCTGGCTACCCACATCTCGGAAAGAGTGCAATAGGGGCGCTACTGCATGTCCTCAACGACCTCTCGGCTGTTGAGTGGCCATCATCAGACCTGCTAGGGCCCTCGACTCTGAACATTGGAAAGATAGAGGGTGGAGAAGGATATAATATTGTGGCGCCATCTGCAAAAGCGCTTTGTGGTGTAAGGGTGGCCGCAAACTTGCCATGGATCACAAAGAAGATTGCCGATGTGGTCGCAGCACACTCCAGATCAAGTGATGTCCAGCTCAATATGCTTTTTCAATATCCCGAGACTCTTCTTGACTGGGACATTGAGGGTTTCGATGCAGCTCCAGTGGCATATGGCACCGATGTTCCGAGGCTGAAAGGATCCCATAAAAAGGTGCTGTACGGCCCAGGATCGATTTTGGCAGCCCATGGCAAAGACGAGTGCGTTCGTATGAGCGAGCTCCTGGAGAGCATCCAGGCCTATAAAAGGCTGACTTTAAGATTCCTCGAAAATCGAGACGCATGCTGATAATACATACTGCAGTAGAGCCCGCTCTCTGTCACGCATTTCTGTTTTCTTGCTCACACATCTTCTTGAATCCCAAAACTTTGACTCTAAAGAGAGCTATTACTAGGTTCGTACAAAATTCTAAAAATTACTGTATCCAGAGTCTCCCCTGTAGATGAAAGCCAGTTTCGCAGACGCCTAATCGTCCGATAGCATAGACGCCGATGCTCGGGTCGAGTGGTTGTGCGGGATGACAACGCACTGGCTGACAAGGACGCAGCTACGTTCCCGACGTCGACCTGCAGCACGTACCTGCAGACGTTGGTGTACTTTCCCAACTGCGTAGACGAGAGCAGCCTGGAAACCTCTTACCAGTCATAATCGTACGGCACGGACATCTGGCACGAAGCAGAGCCGCAGCTCCGGATCAGCATGCGCTACGACGCGAATAGTGTGTTGCCCGACGGCTGGTCGGGGGATGCGCCCCTCATCCCCGGGGTGATTTTCCGGGGATTCTCCGGCGTGGCCAGTGATAAACGCCCATTTTGGTGTTTTCAGGTTTGTAATGCACCCTTGCGATGCCAAAATAAGTAAGCTAGCGTTTATCTTGAGTCAAGACTTCAATACACCGCTGAGTGCGCTTCTGGCGTTTGAACAAAAATTTTATCAAATGCAACTACTATACAATCGGCCATCATCAGCTGACTGGTCTGAGGTCGAGGACCACTTTAGGTGGATCGCTTCCACCCTGGCTGGCATAGTACCTGTCGTTACACGAGTCAACATAAATCTTGTAGATCTCGATCACCTTTTACATAGAAGCGTGACCTTCGTTTCCCCATGTGACAGCACCAATACAGTGGTCCGCCACCCTGAGACATACGACTCGGGCCGACTCGGGCCGCAATGCTGTTACAGTACAGCTGAGGGGTTGTTACAGCTGGGGGGAAAGGGTAGCAGGCGTTAAATGGAATAGTGTTCATGGGAATCGGAAGCCCGCAATGGCGCACATCCCACGCTTTGTATACGTTTATTCAGGCAAGCGGATACGGAGCCTCGACACATGCCCTAACAAATAACGTGCTTGTGGTCCAGACTGGCTTCAATTTGGACGATGCGTATATAGGGCCTCGGGTAGAATATTTGGGAATTGATGTGTATCTCGACTTCGGGAGGCAAAACTGTGTGGTAGATCTTGCTAAAGTGTCAAAGTTTCATGGATAGAGAGCTTTGGCATGGAAAGAAGACCTTACAAATTCAAAATGCACAAGCCTCTGGAAATCCCGGACAGGAGATTCTAGGTCTCAAAACTTGAATATTCCGTTGAGATAGCATGCTTATACAAAAGTTGACCTCCCGAGATCCTCGATGCACACAATCAAGTTCACGTTTGCAATTTAAAATCGAGGCGCTTCCAATTTGTGGACGCGTGAGATTCTGTGCGGATGCCCACGTTGTTTTGATAAATTGGTATTCTTCGACGAAAACAAAAACTGTACTAGCCTGCTCTTACACCTCTTGTTGTCTCCTCCTGATTCTAATCTTTGCGTCCATCGGCGGAATGTGATTCGTTCCAAACCACAGATTGTCTGGTCTTTTCTCTTGAAACTCGAAATCATACCTCAACAGGATATTCGCCATCAATACCTTCAACATTCCAGAAGCAAAGAATCGTCCAGGACAGCTATTCAAGCCAGCCCCAAAGGATAAGTAGTCGGCGGACGTGGTCGCCCATGCCTGCCTCGCCCCCTTCAAGTTATCGCCAGTTTCCTGCGCGTTCTTCCTTCTGTTGTAGAAGCGAAACGGCTTGAAAGCCCCCGCGTCAGATCCGTAGACATCCTCATCAAAGTGGATTGAGTATGCTGGAATGCCAAGTTGATAGCCCCGTGGCACCTGGACGCCAGAAGGCGTCGTGACGCCGTTCTTTCCCACGATGCGCAAGGGCCCCAAGCTCAGGATTGTGTTCATGCGCTGGCTTTCCCGGAAGCAGCTATCCAGCTTTTCAAGTTGGGCTAGCGACCGCTTGTTCCATCCTTCGTCATCGCTGTGGGCGGCGCGAACCTCGCTGATTTCTTGACGGAGTTCAGCAACGTTTTTTGAACCTTGATCGGCGCCGGAACCGACAATGTCGAGGACCAAGTGCACGATGGCGAAGACATTGGTGTGCAGTGCGAAAGCATTGAGGAGCAAGATCCGCGCTGAAAGGACTTCTGGGTCCAAGAGGTACGGGTCGCCCTGGGATTCTCCATAGGTGATGAGCCAGCTCAAAAAGTCATTTTTGTCTGCTTCCCCCTTGTAATCCCCAGCATCTGCCTCCGATCCCTTGCCATGCTGCAGGTGGCCTCTGGCGGCTAATCTTTTGCGGACCTCGCCGAGGGTGAGCTTAAACCATTTTCTCTCATACCAGCGGCATGGAAGGGTTACCAAAGGCGCCAGAAGACGGCGCAGGGGGTCCGGAATCAGCCAGAGCATATTCGCCGCCAACGGTATGGCTTGTGCATACCCAAAGCCGGTGTCGAGGATCGCTTCGTTCCGGCAGTGTGATTCTCCAATGAAGATGCGATTGATTGCCTGACCAATTATGGGCCTCAGTGTGTCGTAAACGCCCACCTCCTTCCATTCATTGCTGCTGGAGGCGGCCTCGACGCCGCCCCAGTGCTTCGCCAGTGCAAGGTCCAGCTCCTCCGAGAGGGCTGGGATCAGGTTGCCGATCTCCCGCGTGAGCTTGGTAGATATGATGTGGATGGGCACTGCATTGTGATCTCGCGTAGGATAGACGGTGCCGTAATTCCACTGGAAATGCTGGGTGGTCTGCTCGTGCATGCTCACGATAGACTCGGGCTGATCGACAAGCCATTTCCTCTGGGAGGAGGGCAGCAGGATCAACTTGTCTTGGCCTGGACCTAGGATTGGAACGCGAACGGTCTCATCTTTGTGCTGTGTGTGGTGCAGGTGAAGCGTCTTCTTCAGATCCAACGTGTTCCGGTAGAGTGCCCGAAGATAGGGCGCCCATTCGCCGGGCGAGCCATTAAGAAACTTTAATTTGGCAATTGAACGAGGAGTTGGAAAGATCAAATAATTGTAGACTAGGTATACAATCAAGACGACCGTCAGAACGAGTACCTGCGGCGGTACGTGCCATTCTGCGATTTGCATTGTGGCGGGAGTTCGACTTGACTCGTCGATATCTGGCAGAAAACGCAGATAGTCGACAGGCAGGAGAGCAGAAGATGAGTGTAATACTTTATATCTTCCTATCAGCTGAACTGTGGCAACGGTAGCCACACGCGCAAGTCCAAACGCCCAACTGGCGGGTTGAAGATGTGCTCAAGCAGGGCATTACACGGAAAGTAGCCCACAACAAGGTGCGACAACCCAACCATGAGAACCGGGAGCCTCCCTGCCTAGCTCAGCTGTTTCCCCAGAGGTGGACTGAGGGAATTTCAACCCACCTGGCTCTCATGGAGCCCTCACGAGTCACCGACCCTGTCGGCTCCGTCTCAATCAGGCGGGTCCAGATCTGCTGGTCCCGTGTCAGGTCTTGTGGGGGTCTAATGGTCGGCTGTTGCCAGCCAAACCATCATAGTCTGATTACGGACCACACTGGCGCCGTCTTTGACAGAGATGATTCATTCGAGGTAGAGGGCACCTTCACACTTTGGACCCAACGCTAGGTTCGTCAGATCTCGAATGCCTGCCATGAACCTCCCAGCGTTAGTCTTAGCCAGTGTATGCTCTTTGGGCGTAGCAAGAGGAGCACCGAGCTCGAGCTCGACGTTTGATATCAAGGCAGACTGGGTGTCCTGGGATGATGCTACGTGGACTTTGAAATCCACCAAGCCGCTGCCAGGGGTATTTACTGCGTGGCTACCGCAGTCCAACGGGTATGACTTCCCATTATCATGGCTGCTGATGATGCCGTTTCCTTCTATCGTGCTGACACATGAGCTGATAACGCACTTGCTATGTTGTGAACAGCTATTTTGGCCTCGCACAAGGTTCTTTGGGGCCGTTCTATGAGCGCAGCCGTCGAAATGATTCCGAAGGATGGCCGTCTTATAGCAGTCCTCGAAGAACGTTCGCCACGGTCACGGGATTCTGGGGCAGTCGACCCAGCACGCTTGAGCCCGGGGAGCTGGGCGAGAGTTTCATCTCCGGTGTGCCGCACTTCACCGATTTGCTCGTCGAGGCATGTGGCAGTGTCCTTGATGGAGACGTAAACGTATTCGAGATCACTGAATTCGAGTCAACGCTGTCTTTGTAAGCAAGCATGTGTGCACCAGCAGGCAGAAGATGGGGCTGACTCGGGACGTCCTACAAGTAAGACAGGAATACTCACATGGTCATATGTCTGGAATCCTCCAAAGTGTGCAGAGGGCCGGAAGGTACTGGTATCTTACGAATCTTTGGCGTCGCTGGCCGAACGACGTCTGGCAGCTGTGAAACTGGTCGTCTCCAGCGAGCAGGGCCTCGACGACGTACATATCATTGATAGACTGGACAACCAGTCAGCTTTGCGCACGACAACCGTCAAGACGTGGGTGAATCTGACCAGCAGTCAGATCGTTTCTGCTGTTTCACCAGATGGACTTGACCATGTCATGGCGTACGTGCTGTCATCGACGGTTGGGGACGAGTTATTGTGCCTTGAAGACAAGGACGAATACTCCAGCGACTTCGTTTCGGTCTTCAATGACCTAGAAAATTCGGGGGCAGCCAATTCATCTAAGACCGAGTCCGAGTCCGTCTCCTCGACGCAGCGGTATGGGTTTCAATCCGGCTCACAGTCCGCAACGGTCTACAAGTACGCAGGTATTGCCTCGTCAGAGCATTATGGGTCGGACACAGAGACGGTGGTATCGGACGTTGTGTCGTCTGCTATGAACCGCGGATATAGTATTCTACGCGAGGAGCACAGCGCTGAAGTGGGCAGACTCATGAGTGCAGACTTCGTCGCTGATTTCAGAGATCCGGTGACAGGATCGCTCCCAACAGGCGACGACGTAGTAGAAGCTTTACAGATCACAGCCATCTCTTCCGCTTACTATCTTTATACGAGTCTCATTCCGTGGAGTCCGACGCGTGATGAGAACCCAAGCACTTGCATTGCGTGCAATTCTCTCGCCGTGGGTGGTCTAGTCTCCCAAACGTACGGAGGCAAGATTTTCTGGGACGCTGATCTCTTCGTGGCTCCCGCCATCCAGGGAGTGCATCCCAAGTTGGCAAGACAATTCCCGCTGTATCGTATCAACCGGGCAGAGCAGTCTCGGAAGAACACCGAAAGGCACGGCCTGAAAGCAGGAAGCATGCTTTATGCGTGGACAAGCGGTCGACATGGACAATGCTACAACATGTCTGCGCCCTGCATCATGTACCAGTATCACCTCAACGCCGACATTGCGTTGAGTATGACCATGGGTCGGAACACGAGCGGCGACAGGAACTGGTTTGACCAGCACGGGGCGGTAGACGTGATCGACGGCGTAGCCTTAGGTCTAAGCGATGTTCTTACACGACGAGAGGACACTGGTCACTGGGGCATTGACGTGATGGCCGATGCTGACGAGTACTACATGTGGATCGCAGACGGTTCATTCACTGGGACTGCAGTCAGCACTCTTCTACAACTCGCCTCGGAGGCTCGCCATGCACGAGGCATCCCACTCGAGCCAGACTGGCTTGACCAGCTGGAGCACATGTCCATACCCACTTCGGAGGATGATGTCGTTCTCGAGTTCCAGGGCATGACGAACGATGTCTTCCCCAAGCAGGCAGACGTCATCCTGTCCCACTATCCCTACGACTACAAGCGGAATTTCTCACTCGCCAAGTACCGAGCTGCTATGGACTTCTACGCGGTCCGGACGGATCCGCACGGCCCAGCCATGACGTGGAGTATGTATGCCATCGTAGCCAACTCCCTAGCCACCTCAGGGTGCGCATTCTGGACATATCTAGTCAAATCATTCCAGCCATACATCCGCGGCCCATGGTACCAGTATTCCGAACAGCAAGACGACGAGCCCGGCATCCCGGATCCCCTGACGGGGAACGCCATCAACCCAGCGTTTCCGTTCCTCACCGGCCACGGCGGCCTCCTGCAGATATTCACGGCGGGCTTCCTCGGCCTGCGCGTCACGCACCGGAACCTGCTGATCAACCCATCCCTCCCTCCCCAGCTCCGCAACTTCAAGCCACACATCCAGTTCTACAACGGCGCCGTCGTCAGTTTCCGCATGAACCGCACGCATACTTCGATCACGCGGCACGATGCATCCCACTTCGACGGTCTGGTGCCAGACCAGTATGGTAAGGAGGATATGCCCGTTACCATCGGTCGAGACGTGAACGACCCCGACGCGCGGACGGTATTCTTGCGCATTAATGACACTGCGGTCGTAGAGAATAGGTTGTATGATACGGAGGTCGCTGTGCCGGGCAACATATTGCAGTGTCACAGCGCAAGCTCGACGCATGGCGAGCTAGCGTTTGCAGCAACGGATGGATACGGAGGCACCTTTTGGCAGTCCGATGCAAGTAATGTTACAGCCGCACTTGTAGTGGACATTGGATCTTCGCAGGCGCCGCGGCTGCTGGAGGCTATTCAGCTGGACTTCGCTATGCGACCGCCAAAACATGCCAAGGTGTCGGTTTCGAATAGCTCGGATTTCGAGCCTGCCATTGTGCTTGCGGAGGAAGACATCAGCATCACGAAGCCATGGGTTCCGGACTCGCCGGTGGTGAGATATGTTGGCAACATTACCACCATCCAGCTCACTAGCGCAATATGGAGTGGTGCATTTGCGAAACTCGAGGTCACCGGATCCTGGACAGATGATGGTGCTGGGGCAACGGTTGCTGAGTTTGTGCTCCTGGCCGCAGATTCCCACGAAACCCAGTTTTGAGATTAGGCATGGCTGAGGTGTTCTGGGATATCGAATACTTATGTACTGGATGCGTTGTAGTTACATACACCGAAGCCGCCATGAGAAGTTCCTATATCCACAATTCTACAGAGCTTTCTCCACCATTGCCCTGATCGACCTGGCAATGGTCTTGTTCATATCAAGCCCTCGTGGAAAGTCGTGCCCGAAGACATGCCCAATATGCTCCGCTTGACTTGGTTCGGCAATGTCAAACAGTTGCTGGCCGTATTCTGGGGCATCGCCCAGGCCGGTAATGTGCAGCGAAGGCATGGAAAGAATATGACCATCCCAGGTCTCGTCAAAAAAAGTCATGTAGTGCGTGCTATTTGCAAGAACCTGTGAAGGTGGTTTTCATCACCATCAGTCGGTACTGTACATTCTAAGAAAGTGTAGTCTCTCTGTACGTACCTGTCGGCCATTGGAAAGCTTCGCTGGCCGCGCTTTATCCAGGTGGTCAGCCGGGTTCGCTTTGAAGACATCAAATAGCATCTGCAGCTTTGGCGCCTCTTCAATCGGTATGTCCGTGACCTCTTCCCCATCCAACGGCATGATGTAAGGCGGCACGGCGCTGTTGATGAGCACCAGGAATTTGATCGGTAACTCCTGGGGTGTGGCGTATGGGTTCTCTAAGAGGAGCCGGATGGCGATTTGAGCAGCCATTGATCCACCTTGGCTAAATTAAGGTAGGCTTAGTTCCAGAGACGAAAACATTGATTGTGCAGGTACTGGATCCCTGTGATGAACAGAGAGTTCTCGCCGACTTACGAGTATCCCAACAAACCATCGAATGGACCATGTTCCTCTATGACCTGACGCAGCTCGTTCTCGGTGGCCAGAATATCCTCGATGTCCAACATATTGTAGAACCCATACAGCTTGAAACGCACATTAGCACGGTAATCCTTAGCAACCCACTCCCTTTGAATCCAGACCAGAGTCGGCATTTCAACAAGCAGACACTCCCGGAAGGGGTAGGTGGCCTCCTGAGCCAGCAGCCAAAAAAAAAAAAAAAAAAAAAGTCCCTGAACACTTACATTTGACTTTGAAAAGTCGACTGTATGCAGAGACCAGTTCCCCTCTAAGTGAGGCCACCGGCCCTCCACAAATTCAAACTCATATTCTGGCTCTAGCAGACTCCGTATGCCTGCCGTTTGCATCCGGAAGATCTACAAGGGCGACGAAACATCAGCCAGTTGTTTTTTGGTGTTGGGCTACATGCTATCAAGATCAATCAAAACTGCCTACCTCGGTGTTAGAACCCCTGCCGTGCAGACATAGAATGCGTATAGGCATATTTACAGATTGCCAAGTACGATATTCGTGGAAGATTCAGTTGCTGTTTCGGGCTATGATTGCGTAGTTTCACAAAGGTATTGACGTCGGGGCCTTTCGGCAGGTAAGACTGTTTTCTGATAACGATGCTATAGTAAACCAATCAAACACAGCAAGTTGACATAGCCACACGTAGCAGGAGTCCGTTTAAATGCCGCATTTTCCTGTGATCCACTGTGAGTGGCACGCGGCATCTTTCACCCTCCGTCCGACCTCTAGGTATTCCTGCCATGTTTGTAGAGATACCGCCTTACTACACGGATTTGGGATCCCAGGGACCGTACACGTGCCGTAGTACCTCCGCTAGTGTCCGGAGGTCGCCCGGTCTGAGTTAGATAGGCCGGGCGCGCGCTTCCTGTTTTGGCCCCATAAAAGCCCCCAGTTCATCCAATGTCCTTCAAGAAACAAACAAGCATTATGACAAGCTCCTACAGTTTTCGCTTGAGGCCAGTGGGTAAGATCAATACGATCCCCACACCGTAAGTCCTTTGATATGTGGGCTCGTGGGGTAGAAGTGGCAGATAGGCTCGTTCCACTTGTAATCGGCCCGTGTGCATTCTCGGGGAGTACCGAAATGTGATACCCCAGGTGTTTATATCGCATAATTGGCCTTTCCAAGACCGACAAGATACAATAACATATCAATATAATATAAGCCCTCTTATTTCGTACATAGCATGAAAATAGCTGCCCAACTGCTAGGACCTGTTGAAAGGTCGGCCATACATATGTAGACAACATCCTACCATCAATTCGTTATGTTTACTTAAGATCCTCGCCCTCTTATCTGAATGCAAATCAAAGACACTAGATTGAATAATCATTCTAATCCCGGCAGCTCACGTACGACGAGGTTGTACGGTGTTACAAAAAACGATACTAATACGGCCGAGTAACGCCGAGCCTTATATATAAATGATCAGATCTTGGAGTTGCCAAGGGGGTCCCGCTTCCCCAGAGTCAGGTAAGAGGGTCCGACTTCACGAGCCCCAGATATCAGGGCCGAAACGAGGCTGAACAGGGGATATGCGTCAATGACTCGGTTGATTTTGTGGGTTGGACACCTCAGCAGACCACATGCCGCAGCCGAGTCTTGCGCAAAATAATCGGAGATGGGTCGATTGTATGACGCGGAGCAGCGATATCTTGGGAGGACATACAATATGTGAAAGGACCGTTTTTTGCTGAGTCATCTCATTACATTTAGTGAGGATGATCGTGAGTTCATGTTGATATAGTGCCGTATGATTTTACAATAAGTTGTATACCGATCGATTTGAACTTTAGATGACTTCGTGATTATCGGCGTGCTTTGGTGCTCAACCACCTAACCTCACTTCCTTACCCCCCTGCGTAAACATTATCAATTCCAAGACGCCGCCATGGGGTCCACCGTTCCCAATCTCGACGATGACATCGCCATCATCGGCATGGCCTGCCGCTTCCCCGGCGACGCCACGAGTCCCTCAAAACTGTGGGATTTGCTGATGGATGGCAAGTCCGCCTGGTCGGAAGTCCCAGCAACGAGATGGAACCAGGATGCACATTACCATCCGTCGCAGGAGCGCGCGGGGAGTAACATAGTGAAGGGCGGGCATTTCCTGCGCGACGGCGAGCAGAATGGCAAGCAGTTCGACGCGGCCTTCTTCAACATCACCCGCACAGAGACAGAGACGATGGATCTTCAGCAGCGGGTAGTCAGTAGGTGTTTCACAACCTAGCAGCACGTATCTGCGGAGACGTCTGCACACAAAACATGTAAATTGAAGCAAAAAGCTCACCACACACAAAATTGTAGTGGAAAATGTCTACGAGGCAATGGAGAGCGCCGGCCTCCGGCTCGAGGACATGAAAGGCAGCAACACAAGCGTATTCGCGGGACAGTTCACCGACGACGTACGTTCCATCCTGCAAGAGGATCCGGACTTGTCAGTCAAATACAAACCGATCGGCACCAGCGCGGCCATCCTCGCAGCGCGAGTAAGCTGGTTCTACGACCTGAGAGGCAGCAGCTTCACGCTCGACACGGCATGCTCGAGCAGTATCGTAGCGTTGCACACAGGAGCCCAAGACCTGCGGGCCGGGTTCAGCGATATGGTACGTCCCAAAATCAAAATGAAATCCACCTCTCGAGTGTGCCGCACACTTGAGCAACCACGGCACGGCGATAAATACCTGGGCGCATAATAACAGAGCTACTTGCTGATCCACTCCCAACAGTCCATCATCACCGGCGTCAACATAATTGAGTCCCCCGAATTCATGTTCCGCGCCAGCGGGCTCGGCATGGTGTCTCCCGACGGCAAGTGCTTCTCGCTCGACGCGCGGGCCAACGGCTACGGCCGCGGCGAGGGGGTGGGCACGCTGATCCTCAAGCCCGTGTCGGCGGCCATCCGCGACGGCAACGTGATCCGCGCCGTGCTGCGCGGCACGGGGGCCAACTCGGACGGCCGCGGCACGGGCGGCATCACGCTGCCCAGCAGGGCGGCCCAGGAGCGCCTCATACGCGACGTGTACGCCCGCAACGACCTCGACCCGGACCACACCGGCTTCCTCGAGGGCCACTTCACAGGCACGCCGGCCGGCGACCCAATTGAGGCCAGCGCCATTGCGGCTGTGTTCCAGCGCGGGGGGCCGAAAGCGACGGGCAGGCCGCCGCTGTATGTGGGCGCTGTCAAGACGAATATTGGCCATCTGGAGGCGGCGTCCGGTATGTCCCAAGTGATCAAGACGGTTTTGGTGCTGGAAAATGGTGTGATACCGCCCAACACCAACTTTGAGAAGATTAACCCCAGGATACCGATCGACAGATGGGGCCTCAAGCTGCCTCTGACCCCGACACCATTCGAGGCAGGGCCCTCGGGGATCCGGCGGGCGAGTATCAACAGTTTCGGGTTTGGAGGCACAAACGCCCACTTGGTGCTGGACGATGCGAGAAGCTATCTAGACAGGTTAGGTCTGGGTGAGAGCAGCCACCTACATGTAACAAAATCGAGCACGCCAGCACTCGCGAGCCCCAGGAAGGACGAGAGTTCGCAAGCCGTGGCAGGCCACAAAATCTTCTTGTTCTCTGCCAACGAACAAGAGGGCATCTCGCGAGTCCTCGCCAGCTTCGCAAAGCACCTGCAGAAGCAGACGGCAGAGAACGGAACCTCGATAGTGGACGACACATACCTCTCCAGCCTCGCCACGACACTCTCAGAACGGCGCTCACGCCTAGCCTGGCGCCTCGCCGTCACCGCCGACTCAGCCACGTCCCTCCTTGCCGCGCTCACCGATCCCACCACCAGCACCAGTGCCGTCCGACCCGGCAAGGCCACCACGCCCGCCGCAGCCTTCATTTTCACCGGCCAAGGCGCACAGTGGTTCGCCATGGGCCGCGAGCTACTCGCCTACGATGTCTTCCGCGCGAGCGTCGCCGAGGCCGACAAGTTCATCGGCAGCACGCTCGGCGGCGGCTTCAGCGTGCTAGAGGAGCTCACGCAGCGTGACGCGGAGACCACCAAGATCGACCAGCCCCTGTACTCGCAGACGCTGTGCACCGTCCTGCAGGTCGCCCTGGTCGATCTGCTGGCGAGCTGGAACCTGGCGCCGAAGCGCGTGATTGGGCACTCGAGCGGTGAGATCGGGGCCGCGTACGCGGCGGGCGCCCTGGACCGCGAGTCGGCGTGGAAGGTCGCGTACTACCGTGGCGTCGTCAGCGCAAAGCCCGCGGCCGACAACATCCGCGGCGCCATGATGGCCATCGGGTGCACCGCGGACGAGGTTGCGCTACTCATCGCCGAGGTCAAGGCGAGGCTCGGCGCCGACGCCGACGGGGAGCTGGTAATTGCCTGCTACAACTCGCCCCACAGCCTCACCATCTCGGGAGACGAGGCCAAGGTCGACGCGCTGGTCGAGGCCGCGAGCAGCAAGAAGCTCTTCGCGCGGAAGCTGCGCGTGGCCAAGGCGTACCACTCGCGGCACATGGTTCCCGTGTCCGACGAGTACCGCTCGCTAATGGGCACACTCCACGCACGAGAACTGCCGTCGGATGTGCAGGTCGTGTCCTCGGTAACGGGTGGTCTGATAGCCGCGAGCGAGATGACCAACCCCGACTACTGGGTGCAGAACCTCGTCTCCCCAGTCCAGTTCTCTCAGGCGCTGGTGGCCCTGTGCACCTCCAACGTCGCCAAGAAGCAGCTCAAGGTGGGCGGCGGCGCCGAGCTGCCCGTGTCGCACCTGGTCGAGGTCGGCCCGCACGGCGCGCTGCAGGCGGCCGCGCGCGACGCCGTGCTCGAGGACCCCAACTACAAGGCCCTGCGCTATGTGTCCCTCTTGACCCGCGGGAAGCACGCCTGTGCCACTGCGCTGCACACAGTCGGCGCCCTGGCTGCGGCGGGCCTGCCGATCGACCTCCCCAAGGTCAACGGCGCCGGCGGCAGCAGCAGCAGCAGCAAGGCGGCCATGCTGGTGGACTTGCCGCCGTACCCCTTCCACCACGCAAAGGAGACATATTCGTGGTTGGAATCCCGCAGCAGCCGCGCGTGGCGTTTCCGCAAGCATGCCCGGCACGACGTCCTCGGCGCCCCCGTGCGTGACTGGGACCCGGACGCCCCGAGGTGGCGCAACCACCTGCGCGTGCCCGAGGTCCCGTGGCTCCGGGACCACAAGGTCACGGACAGCATCGTCGTGGCCGGCGTGACGTACCTGGTGATGGCGATCGAGGCCGTGCGGCAGCTGTACAGCGACAAGGGCGAGGTGCCGCTGGGCTTCAACCTGCGCGACGTGAGCATCTCGCGGGCGCTGCAGGTCAGCGAGGACGAGCACACCGAGACTATGTTCTCGATGAGGCGCGTCACCGAGTCGCGGCAGTCGGACAGCAGCTTGTGGTGGGAGTGGAAGGTCACGTCGTTCAGCGCCCACGACGACACCTGGCTGGAGCACAGCCGCGGACAGATCGCCGCCGAGACCGACGCCTCCACCACCACGGGCGTGATCGACGGCGGGCGCGAGGAGACAGCGCGACGCCACCACTACAGCGAGCTCCTGTCTACCGTGACGCAGGCCTGCACCGCGCCGCAGACCGAGGCCCTCGCGAGCAAGTATGCGGAGCTCGAGCGCATCGGCCTCGGGTTCGGGCCCATGTTCCGCAACATCACCAGCGTGCACTCTAACAGCAACAGCGACAGCGACAGCAAGACGCGCGGCCAGTCGCTCGCCACCGTCCGCGTCCCCGACCTCGCCACCGCGATGCCGGCGAACGCGCTCGCCGCCTCCGTGGTCCACCCGCCCGTGTTCGACAGCATCCTGCACACCTTCATCTTCGCGCTGCAGGCCTCGGCCGAGCGCCTGACGGAGCCCATGGTGCCCGTCGCGATGCGCAGCGTGTGGGTCAGCGCCGGCATCGAGGCCCAGCCCGGCGCGGAGCTGACCGTGCACGCCGCGGCCGGCCGCGTCGGCCACAAGCGGGTCGAGGCGGACATCACAGCCTGGAGCACCGACGCCGGGGCCTCGAGGCCGGTAAGGGTCGTGATGCGCGGCATCGAGGCCGTGCCGCTGCAGGAGAGCACCACGGCGGGGGACGCGGCCGGCGACGCGCGGGAGATCTGCTTCAACCTGGACTGGAAGCCGGACGTGGACATCCTGGAGGCGAACGGCGAGGCGGAGGCTTGCATACGCCAGGCCCTGCGGCCACTGGAGACGCCAGCGCTCGAGGAGGCCGCTGTGAAGCAGCTCGGGGACGTGCAGCTGGCGTGCGCTATCTGGATCATCGCGGCTGTCAAGGAGCTCGAGGCGCGGCCGCTTGCAGACGAGAAGGCGTTGCCAGAACACTTGCAGAAATATCTAGGTTGGCTGCGCCTGATCGCCGATCATTACAAGAACAACAAGGTGCTCCGCCAGGACGCCTCGTGGACGGCTGTTGTGGAAGACGCCGCTGCACGCGACAAATTCCTTGCCGAGTACGAGGCGTCAGGCCACCCCGAGGCCGTGATAATTTGCCGAATGGGGCGTGACATTGCACCCATCCTCCGCGGCGACGTGGACGGACTACACCTGCTGTTCGGCATGGATGACATGCTCGAGCGCGTCTACCGCGTCGCCATAGGAACCCAGAAGATCCACACCCTGATGGGAGCGTATGCCCGGACGCTGAGCCACAAGCGGGGCGCAGACCTCAAGGTGCTCGAGATTGGTGCCGGAACGGGTGGGACGACGACCAGTATCCTCGAGGCCATCTGCCCGACAGGATCCAGGATCATCGGGGACTCGCGCCTGCTGAAGTATACGTACACGGACATCAGCCCGAGCTTCTTCGAAACCGCTGCCACCAAGTTCGGCAAGTGGAAGGCTGGCGGCGTGATCGAGTTCAAGACATTGGATATTGATAGGGACGTTGAAGAGCAGGGCTTCGACCTGGCCTCGTACGACCTTATCATCGCAGCAAACTGTCTTCACGCGACCTCGGACATCACCAAGACTATGACCCGCGTCAACAGCCTGCTGAAACCCAGCGGAAAGGTCTTCCTCCAGGAGACCACCGAGCTCTGGTGCCTCGAGTCCCCCCTGGTATTCGGCATGCTTGCAGGCTGGTGGGCAGGTAAAGAGGATTTCCGCCCCTGGGGCCCACTGCTGGACGGAAAAGGGTGGCAGCGAGTGCTGCGCGATGCCGGCTTCACCGAGAACGTCCTGGAGCTCCGGGACTCGCTGAGCGATGAGCAGCACGTGCAGAGCATGATTGTGGCGACGCGGCCGGCGGAGGAAGAGGCTGGCAAGCAGCTCGACGAGGACGACGCCATCAGCCGGGTGTTTGTGATTGCGCACACGCCGCCCGAGGACGCCGCCCTGGCTGCGGCTGTGGCTTCTGCTGTTGGGGAGGTCACCAAGCACAGCGTGAGCGTCGTCCGATTCGCCGACCTGGCCCAGCACAAGCTGAAGAACACATGCTGTATCGTGACGATGGAGACCACCGCGCCCTTCCTCTCGTCGTCGTTTAGCGAGGCCGAGTTTGGGCTGCTGCGCCAGCTATTGACCACAGCTGGAGGCCTGCTGTGGCTCACGCTCGATCCACACGAGAACCCACGCATGGCGCTGATACCAGGCCTGCTTCGCACCGTGCGCTGGGAGAGAGACCTGGACGGCTCGGACCTGTTGCTTCTGCATCTGCCCTCTGCCGAGGCCTCGCTTGTTGTCTCCAACGTTGTCAAGATCTTCAAGCACCATTTCGGCGGAGCTTTCCTGTCGCCAGATCGCCATGCCGACTACCTTGTCGGCGCAGTCGGCGGTCCTGATGGCGGCTTCGTCCAGACGGCCCGAATCGTCGCTGCTCCCCCCGTCAACGACTTCATCGCAAAGAGGACGACCGTGCTCCAGCCTCAGCTGCAGGCGCTTGGTGCTGACCCAGATCGCAGCCTGAAGCTCCACACCTCGGGGCCGGGACGTTTGGACAAGCTGCATTTCATTGACTGGCCGGGCGCGCAGCAGCCTCTCAAGGCCGACGAGGTCCAGGTAGACGTCAAGGCGGCGGGCCTGAACTTCCGCGACGTCATGGTGGCCATGGGCGAGTTGGTGAACAACATTCTCGGCTACGAGGGCGCCGGTGTTGTCACTCACGTCGGTGCTGAGGTGACGGATGTCAAGGTCGGCGACCGTGTCATCTTTGTCTTTAATGGCGACAACAACTGCCTCCAAACCCGCACGAGGGTGCCCCAGGATCTCTTGGCCAAGATCCCGGATAGCATGTCGTTGGAAGAGGCCGCCAGCATTCCCGTCGTGTTCGTGACGGCGTACTTCTGCCTCTACGAGGTGGCGCGTCTTAAAGCTTGCGAGACTATCCTCGTCCACGCCGCAGCGGGCGGCACAGGCCAGGCCGTGATCCAGCTGGCCAAGCACCTGGGCGCCGAGGTCTACGCGACCGTGTCGTCGCGCGAGAAGAGGAAGCTTCTGATGGACGAGTACGGGCTTGCCGAGGATCACATCTTTAGCAGCCGTGACTTGTCCTTTGCAGACGGCATTATGCGGATGACCGAGGGTAAGGGCGTTGACGTGATCGTGAACTCCCTCTCGGGCGAAGCACTGCGCGCATCCTTCAACTGTTTGGCCATGTTCGGGCGGTTCATCGAGATTGGTAAACGCGATATCATGGCCAACGGCAAGATCGACATGCTCCCCTTCAGCCGATGCGCCACATTCACCGCGGTCGACCTCGCCCAGATAGCCACAATGGCGCGCCCGCTGGCCTCCCGCATGATGCGCTCCGTCATCGACCTGCACGCCACCGGCAAGCTCCACGCCTGCAGGCCGCTCAACGTGCACAGGTTTGGCGAGATCGAAGACGCCTTCCGCATCCTCCAGCAGGGCAAGCACATGGGCAAGCTCGTCCTGACCACGCACCCCGAGGACCTCGTCAAGGTGACCCCCAAGCCGCCCGCGCCCACGCGCCTGCGGCCCGATGCGACGTACCTGCTGCCCGGCGGCGCGGGCGGGCTCGGGCGGTCCATCGCCAAGTGGATGGCACAGCCGGCGCAGGGCGCCAAGAACCTGGTGTTCCTCTCGCGCGGAGGCGCCGACGCCGCGACGACGCGCGAGCTGCTCGCCGAGCTGGCCGCCCTGGGCGTGCGGGCGGAGGCACTGAAGTGCAACGTCGGCGACGAGGCGCAGCTGGTGGCGGCGCTGGCCGAGGTGACGCGCCTGGGCTTCCCCCGGATCGCAGGCGTCATCCAGGGGGCGATGCAGTTGCGCGACTCGGCGTTTGAGTTCATGTCGCACGCACAATGGGAAGAGTGTCTGGGCCCCAAGGTGCAGGGCACGTGGAACCTGCATAAGCACCTGCCCGCCGACATGGACTTCTTCGTAATGCTGGGTAGCGTTGCAGGGCTGGTCGGCAACCGGGGCCAGTCCAACTACGCGGCGGGTAATACGTTCCAGGATGCGCTTGCTATACACCGACGCGCGCAGGGGCTAGCGGCGACATGTATCGACCTGTGCAATATTATGAGCGTGGGCTTTGTCGCCGAGAACCAGGAGACGCTCAACAAGAACCCGCTATTCTTCTTCGCGCACGACGGCATCCGCGAGGACGAGTTCCTCAGCTTGGTCGAGTTCCACCTCGACGCGGAGCGCGCGGGCCGCTGGGGCCAGCCGCAGATCGGCGTGGGCCTGGCTCCGCTGTCCGTGTTCAAGGAGCGCGGGCTGCCCGAGCCGACCTTCATCAAGTCGCCGCTGTTTCGGCAGCTGCGGTCGGCGAGCGACGAGTCGGGCGGCGCGGCTAGTGGCGCAGCGGATCAGGATGGCGGCGTGTCGGTGACGAATGCGCTCAAGTTTGCCGAGAGCCCGGAGGCGGCGGCGGAGGTGATCTGCGATGCGCTGGTCAAGAGGCTGAGTCGCACGATGCGGATTCCGGAGCCAGATATTGACGTTGGCAAGCCGATTCACGTCTATGGCGTGGACTCGCTGGTGGCTATGGAGATCAGGAACTATCTTGCTAGTGAATGTGGGTCAGAGATTTCCGTGTTGGAGATCATGGGCAATAAGAGCATGGAGGTTTTGAGTGGTGACATCGCTAAAGGAAGCAAGTTTGTACGAGTTATAAGCAAGCCCGAGCAAGCATGAGGTTCCTGCATAGAGTGCTTATAGGAGAAAAGAACAACTTTAACTACATTAGATACCTTTGAAGAATTTAAAGCTTTTTGTGAAGTCTTAAAAAAATGGGTATATTAATCGAATTTACGGTGTTATGTTTTTCATTTTGTAATATTCAAAAAAAAAAAATCATACTAAAAAAATATACTTTAAGGGAAGACTAAAGTTATTGAACTTAATACCATTCTAGCAAGCTTTTCTTTCTTTTCCGTCGAGGAATTTTTACATTTCAATAGTAGATTTATGTAGAAGAACAAATTTTATCGCTCTCAACAATGTTTGTATTGGACGAGTTCTGGATACTTGATGTTTGGGCAGCGATAATAAATGTAAGCGGTTAGTTGAGTATTGAAGGAATTTAGTGCGGCGATGCAAGAGGAGATGTAATGGATGCTAGGGATAGGGGGCGGTAGACGGAAATGATTTGATTAAAGAAGGCGTGTAATACCTAAGATAACTCGGTGAGGAATTTTTCTCGATCACCATCGCGGTTGAACTGAATGAGATATATGACGAAGCTCAGATACCATTCAAAATCACTCAAGAACTGAAATTGAAGAGTCTAGAACGCAGGAAGGTATCGGACTCGATGGACAAGCCATCACGTTCGAATTCATTTGTAGGCGAGTGATAACCGTCCAAGTTGTGCCTATTGGTAAATGTCCTATATTTCACCAGAAAGGGCAGTTATGTCAAATCGTCCACTATTCAGCTCCGCTACGCCAGTCTGTTCTTCTGTACCTGTAAAGACAACGAATAGAGGTAGCTACGGCCTAAGAAAGGGTGCCTTAGAAGGAAAAATAACCCGAATCCGGCACAGGCGCCCGATCAAGCTTGAAGTATCCAGGTTGAAGCCTTTGAAACACCCCCGTTGGATCATATTTGGCTGCAACACTTTTCAGTGCGGCTTTGTTTTCGGCCCCGTAGCTGCTGATGACATCTTGGAATTGACTTGCGTAATTCATATAGACCCAGTCATTCTGGACGCCCTCTGACACAGCTGCAGCCTTGATCCTCTTGAGCACTGTGGAGATCATCCGGTACATTCTTGGGTCGTCTTCTTCATTCTCCCACCAACATGACAGCTGGATGAGGTAGAAGGGCCCGTCCTCTGCTGAGAGACCCAGCGGGTTGCCCCCGTGTTTCTTCGTGGCATTGAGCAACCCTGGGCAGAGAAGCAGTCAGTATTTCCTATCTGCATAAGGAACGGGCACCATAAGTTTCAGGGAGTACACATCACCGTCAACTCACCTTCCGTAATTCCCTTCCATACCATTACAGGGTTGGCACCGGGCACATCTGACACCGCGACGACTTCTTCAAAGAAAATATCAGTGGCAGCTTGAGCCACGGCGCGAGATGCCCTGATGGACGTGGCATAGTAACACTCGCGATAGCCGTACGGGTTCCTCTCCGCGACTTGTGCTGTATAATTCGCGAGACTTCTGTTCCCAGAACTGTCGGATACCGCGGGAATGCGGTTAAAATTTTCGAAAATCGAAGAGTGCCCGTTGGGCTGGGCGTACCAGAGCTCGGCGGACGCGAGCTTGGCCCCCGAGTTCAAGATCCAGGCCACCCAGGTCCCAGCATTGGGGTCGGTGGGTGAGTCGTCGATGAGGCCCGCAAACGCATCGATGAGTTTTGGGAATTGTTCTTCCATGTAGACTCTTGAAGCTCCCCACATTTGACCTTTGGGCAAAGAGATTGTCTCCAGTTCGAAGTTCACCACGACTCCGAAGTTATTTCCCCCACCTCGAAGTGCCCAATATAGGTCTGGGTGCTGTCTTGGGCTTGCAGTGATTACTTCTCCCGTCGATGTCACGACTTCGTAACTGGCGACATTGTCGCATGCAAATCCGTAGATGTTAGAGAAAAAGGATATGCCTCCTCCAGTGGTCAAGCCACCGATGCCTATTGGCGCAACCCGCCCTCCTATGACTGACAGGTCGTAATTGGCCAATTCACCGTATATATGACCCCAAGTGTTCCCAGGCTGTATGAACACAGTTTTACGATCGGCTGATAAGGCAATGCTGTCGAGCTTCTTCAACGAGACGGTGACGCCGCCCTCAATGCTGCTGGCTCCGGCGAAGGCGGCATGCCCACCGCTCTTGACGGCAAATGGGCACTGCGTCAGTCTTGAAATAAGAACGAGGACCGAGACGGCAGATGCTGACGAGGGGTAGAAGATACAATGAGGGTGGACTTCTGCCTGCAGCTTTGACCAGAAGGACCCGGTGAAGTTGGCGTAGTTGGCCTCGTCCTTCAATTCCACAGCATCATAGCCATAGACGGCTTGAAGAGATTGGCACTATTCAATGATTTGTATCAGTGATCGATTAGACAGTAAGAACATGGAGCGAGTGACCTACGGCAATATTGCAGGCAAACACAGAGCTCTGGTCTGTGAGAGTACCTAGTGCGGGGATTGCAGACACGTTGACCCCCTGTTCGATCAGGGCTTGTGTGACATTGAAGTCGGCAGACTCGAGACCGGAGGTAAAGGGGGGCTTGATTGAAGAGGCCACTGCCAACGAGAATAAAAGAGAAGATAGCATTCTCAAGTTTTGCTCGCTGTTGTGCGAGTTGTTTAGGGGGCGGGGGGGGGGGGGGACGCTGGCGGGGGGGAAAAGAATCTCGCCATCTAATACAGACGTAGGACACTGCTACGTGCTAAGGCGCTGATTTGAGAGTTGTGTGAGACAATAGTCCCTTTGAGGTTGCTGCGTGGAGCATTCGGTTGGTAAGGGCTTACTCCCAATGCTGCAGGGGAACTAGGCAAAGATCTGACCACTCAGCATTGTAGTTGCATTGTTCCTGGACGTCTTCTCAAGTCTAGCGGACAATAGTGGTCGCCTTGATGGCCTCCATTCTTCTTGGTGTTTGGTCTCTATGTTTTCTTGGCTGACACATTTTTAGACTGGCTGTATTCCCAAGCGAACTTGCAGTTCACACTACATAGGTTACAGCTGTTGACCTCGAGTTTCGCATCCAGGATACGCAGTGAATTGAAGCGAGCTTGCTATAATTACCAGAGGCCGTGTTCTTCATTCTCTCATCAGTAAGACCAAGGAGTCAGGAGCGGGTAGGGGATTTCTTGATTTCAAAATACTCAATTTTGTCACCTGTATGATAATATCTGCAAAATCTGGAAATACCCAATTGATGAATGTATGTATATTGCACACATACATGTATAGGGCCGGCAGGGCTACGGCCGAACCTTCGCCCTACTCAGGCCCTTTCGAACCTCTTAATGTTATTATTATTGAAATGAAGCCATGCCATAATGATATCAAAGAAGCATTAAATTTTAGCGTTTTATCAAAAGACGAGGAGAAGTTATTAGGGGTGGCAGCAGAGTAACTGAAGGCCACCATCTAATCGACGTTGTTGGTAGGTCCACCAACAATGCCCTGGCTGCGGACATGGTTCGTGGCTTTTCCTCTGTCCTGGGCCTTCACGAACCTCCTCAACGCCATGGATCCGGTTCATAGATTTCTCAAAAGATTCTCCAGCATCTCAGTAGCTTTGCCGGCACAAATGATCGAGCCTGGACCACGCGCCGAGGCCTCGTTCTCTAGCGATCTACCCGAGCGCGGGATTGAGTGGTAGAGATCGGATAATTTCGTTGTGCGCGAATGGATGAAAAAACGCCTTTGCAGTGCCAGTGAAGGGGATCGAGTCAGGGCCCTTCCGGGGTCTTGCAGGAGAGCAAAACTGAGGCTGGTATCACCTACATAAACTGCCAAGGACCCTACATTGATCATGTCGAAATGTGCGCACCAGCAATACATGATACTAAGCACCAGAAAGCTACAGAGTTCATCCGCATATGTGCAAGCGACTGGTTATTTGCACTCCGTACCCTCACACGCACCCTCACATGCCAACTCAAAGTTATAGTGAAGCTCTTGTTGGAACTCTCTTGTTGGATCGGGAACCAAACAAAGGAGATGTGAACGGGGGACTTCATCAACTCCCTAAAGACTTGCCAGTGGCAGAAGACGCTGGGGCACAAGATGAGTTCAGCTTTCGTGCGCCCTCATCAAGGCGATATGTTCGGTCTGAGGCTTTGAGTCATGGACGAAAGCTTTTCAAGAGCGGGAAGGGCCATACTGGCCTTGCACCATCTACAAACAAAGTCAACTCATGTAGTTGAGGATGTCAAGTCAATATTGGCCCCTGGCCCCTGTTGCGGCCGCTTTGCCGGTATCGGTACCGATCAACGGCCGATCCAGAGCACGTAATAGCAGAGTAGCATGAGGGGTGAGTGCCGCTGTGCACAGCTTAGCTATAGCTATAGCTCCAGCTCCAGCTCCAGCTCCAGCTCTTCGGCTCCCCAACGTGAGCCCACCACCAACCTGTTCAACAGGTCCAATTCCGAAGAAGATGCTGTGTAACAACTTGCTTCTTTCTCTCGCCCTGAGCTCCAGCCCAGTGATTGCGTCCATTCTCGCCCAGCAGCAGCCACTGGGCAATGGCAACCAACCTGAGCCCCTCCGTCCTCCGCCGGCCGAAGTCGAGTCCATTCCCACAGCCGACAAAGCCCCCTCCTATCGCGACGACCTCATTGCCCTGCACAAACAGCTCGTTGACATACCCTCTACGACTGGGGCCGAGCATGACGCCGGCGCCTTTCTGATCGACTACTTTATCTCGCGGTCCTGGCACTACGACATCGACAAGGTACAGCCGAGGAATAACACTCCCGAGGGCAAAGACCGTATCAATGTCGTCGCCTGGCCTCCGTCCAAAGGCAGTAAAAAGCCCGACCCAAAGGTCCTTGTGACCAGTCATATCGACGCTGTGCCACCGCATATACCATACTCGATTGCCGAGGGCAAAGTGACAAGAGACACCGTCATCGCAGGCCGCGGCACCGTCGACGCGAAGGGCAGCGTTGCCGCACAGCTCACGGCCGTGGAGGACCTGCTGGCGCGCGGCCACCTCGCCCCGGAGGATGTCATGGTGGCATACGTCGTAGGCGAGGAGCGGTACGGCGACGGCATGCAGGCCTTCTCCAAGCGCGCCAAGTCGTCTTCCCTGAACTTCAAGGCCGCCATCTTTGGCGAGCCGACCGAGAACAAGCTGGCGTGCGGCCACAAGGGCGGGCTGTCGTGCGAGGTGACGGCCACGGGGAAGGCAGGCCACAGCGGCTACCCATGGCTGGGGAAGAGCGCCAACGAGGTCTTGCTCAAGGGGCTGTTGAAGGTGTTGGAGACGGATCTGGGGAGCAGCGAGAGGTATGGCAATACTACTGTCAACATCGGGCTGTTGCAGGGAGGTATCGCGCTCAACGTTATCCCCGCGCACGCATCAGCCAGTCTGATGTGCCGCGTTGCGATCGGTCCGCAGGAGACCGGGCACACTGTTGTGCGGGAGAAGATCAAGGAGGTGCTAGCTTCTGTGGATGATGAGGCACTGAGTGTGGAATGCCCTGGTGGCGGCGGCGTGGTGCATTGCGACTGTGATGTCGATGGTAAGTTTTTCCCAAGATGCCGTAAACTCAAAGCACTACAAGAGCTAACAATGATCATCCGGCAGGCTTCGACACCATCATCGCTAACTACGGCACTGACATTCCACACCTCGAGGGCAACCATACCCGGTATCTCTACGGGCCTGGCACTATCCTCGTCGCCCACGGTGACAACGAGGCCCTGACAGTCGGCGATCTCGAGGACGCTGTCGAGGGCTTCCAGAAGCTAATTCTGCATTCTCTAAAATTGTAGTGGGTATCAAGGTGGTTTGAGAGGTCAGAATGTAGATACGGAGGGCAACAAGACCTGTCGTAATTTTGTGCGCCATCATCGCGTTTGCTGGACATTTAACATGCCCTATATCATTGCCCGCCCACAACCTTCGCCCAGCGCTCCGGCATGACCTCCTTGAAATCAAATCTGCCCTCCGCATTTTTGACCACCGCCCCCTTCTCCGTCACAATCGCATCGATAAGTTCTGCCGGCGTGACATCGAAGGCCGGGTTCCACACTCCGATCCGCTGGTCCGCAATGGCCACCCTCGCCGTCTTAGAGACGTCCACCGTGCCGTCAGCGCCCACAATGGCGCCACTGATCTGCGTGAGCTCCTCGCTCTTGCGCTCCTCGATCTTAATGCCATCGCCCGTCAGCGTCTCCAGGTCGACCGACGTCGTCGGCGCGGCGACGACAAACTTGACGCCGTGGTGGCGCGCCAGCACGGCGAGCTGGTACGTGCCGATCTTGTTGGCGGTGTCGCCGTTGCGCACGACGCGGTCGGCGCCGACGACCACGGCGCCGATGTTCATGTCGGCGCCGCGCAGGCGGAACAGCGCGGCGGCCATCGAGTCCGTGACCAGCGTCGACGGGATGCCCTCGAAGACCAGCTCGAACGACGTCAGCCGGCTGCCCTGGTTGTAGGGGCGCGTCTCGGTGCAGAACGCGTGCCGCAGCAGGCCCTTGGCCCGCAGCGTGCGGATGATGCCCAGCGCCGTGCCGTGGCCCGACGTCGCCAGCGAGCCCGTGTTGCAGTGCGTCAGCACCGAGATCTGCTTGTCCGGCGACGCGCCGTGCACGCCTGCCAGCCACGCCGCGCCGTGCTCGCCGATGGCCAGGTTGGTGTCCAGGTCCCGGGCGAGGATGGCCTCGGCGGTGACGATGAAGGTCTCGATGACGGTGGCCTGCGGCGTGGGCGTCGGCACTGAGCTGGTGGTCTCCAGCGGGTCCGCGCGGATCGCTGCCTTGAGGTGGTTGATGGCGTTTGTCAGGTCAACGGCTGTGGGGCGGGACTCTTTCAGGTAGTCTAGCCGGCCGTCTATGTATTTTATTGTATCTTCCACGGATGAGGCGGCTGCAATGCGCGTGTTAGCTATCATGACTTTTCACGCAGTGTGACCTCTAAGTAAAATAAACTTCAAAAGTGAGTGAGACTGACTGCAGGCACCGCGGTGTAGCTCCACTGCCAGGGCCAGAGCAGCCACTATAGCAATGGCTGGTGCACCTCGGACCCTCATTGACTTGATGCAGTCGAAGGCCTCCTCGCATGTCGACACCTCGTCGTAGTGGTGCTCATGCGGCAGCCTCAGCTGGTCCAGCACGTCCAGCCTGCCCCGCGTGTACTTGATGGCTTGCAGGTTGGCCATCTTGAACGAACTGAGTGCTGGAATTTTCCAGGTGGTTTGCGTGAAGTGGTCTTCGAATCAATGAATAAAATGACCTGGGTTGTTTTAGAGTATCACAGATGTGTGATGAGATTCTTGATGGGTGTCTAAGTCGCGTGGGTTGGGCAGTGAGAGTGAGAAAGCTACCCCTCCATCTCGAGGAAAAAGTTCTGCCCCTCCAGCTCACTGCGCGCTTTGCGTCAATCTTCAGGGGTCCCTGGTCTCCTGCGCGGGTTCGCTCTGCATCCTCACAACACAGCATCCTGACTTGATATCTTTCCCTTTTTGCCATGCTTAGTGCAATCCACGTGGTACTTGAGCTCGTCCTCAATTAAAGACTTCCGCATTTACTAGACAGCCTTAGCAGATGGGCGCTGTGCGTCGAGTGACAGTCAAGGTTCTATTAATGTACTGTGTATGCCTGAATTTGGGCTGTGTGCCCCACGAAGTACCTACCTAGATATGCCATGTCAGCAGCACTCTGCTACCGCTCAGTCTTCTCCATTCTGCTTAGGAATTTCCATATTTTTTGACTCCCTCCTAGTCGTGGGAATGAATCTTGGTTCAGCTAAAAATGAGGGAACACATTTGTCCACTGAGGTGTCCAATAAGCTCCCTCGGGCAACTCCCTAATACTAATGAACGCTTCCAGCACGATGAACACCCGAGCCAGAATCAGACTAAAGCCACACAGGAATACAACAATTCCAAGCCCAACGCTTTGCAACCATGACTTCTCCCCATCCATCCAATGCTCCCAAAAGCTGTTCAGCCGGGGGTATTTTGTCACTACGAAATTGAGAACAACCCAAAGCCCGCCGCAGAAACCGATGTACGAAGCAGAGGCGCGCCATATCCACTTCTCGACACTGGTCGGGAAATAGTCATTCCATGCGGCTGCATGTATACCACCGTAGCAGAAGTTTGCAAGCCACAGTACCATGCCCACAACGAGACCGCCCACGCTACGAAGCAAATCATTCGATGGCCAGTTTTGGATGTGGTCGGCCACCAACTGTTCGGGACGTAGATGCATGCAGGTGGAATTCAACCTGATGAGACAGGAGGACTCTATCCTTGAACAGGCCCGGATTTGTCTCGAGCGCTGCCTGCACGAGTGCCCATCTCTTCTCCTCTATTTCCTTGACGTCCGCAGTCACCGGCCGTTTGTCGTCGACCTGTGGACGCCGCTCAAAAAAGGCTGTCCCTTTTTCTTTTTGCCGTGTGGCTCGCAATTCAGCGGCGCATTCCTCTTGACTGGGTTGAAATGCGACGCCTTCGAATCCATGTATTGGGCAAAGCTCACAGTGGTCGGTTGGACAAGTGAACACGAAATCATCATACACACGCCTGCATCCTGCTAAAGATGTGTGGATGCAGCTGGGAATGTTGGTGACGCTCCTGTGTCAAGCTTGGGCGGCCGTGGGGGCCAAACCGGAATTCGCATCGCCGGGGTCTGTTGCTGATAATGAGCTCTCCAATTAGACTCAGGCTCCCACCACAATGACCAATCGACCACTACAGCCGCCGGCGCTGATGTACTGTGTAATGCAACGTGCTACCAACGTCAAACATTGAACCTCGGCCGCTTCCAAAGATTGATTCCAACCTCATCGCCTTCCTTCTACTCCTTCTGATTGTGACTTTCCAGCGAGATGTCATCCTCTTTGAACTAAAATCAATTATCTCCTCTTGTTATGTCGAACCAACCCCAAGGACGGGGGAGCGGAAGGTTGCTGGAATGGAAGGATATCTGTAATTATGTTCATCCACCTTGGCTATTGTATACGCGTCGCTGACTTCCTGCAACGCAGTGCCGTGGCAGAGGTATTCAACATGCACAATTCTCATATTGTCCGAACAAATGCTGAATGTTGTCTAGGGACAATGAATTTATCTTGACAGGCTATCGGTAGCGACTTCCCCAACCTGTCAAACGTGTCATCGATAGATCTGACGACAGCCTCGCTCGATAGTCCAGCCTCCTTTTCATACCCCAAATCAATACGGAGCATTCTTGCAGCGCACAATGAAACTGGTAGGCTGTTCTTGCTTTAACTTCCAATTCATACAACAAGCCACCAGACTGAGATATTCTAGCAAATATCTGGTCACATATGCTAGGCGCCCTTTGGTTCATTGCGAATTTGTTGCATCATGTCAATGTATCCAAATCTCCCCAGACCCCTCCAAGGCAAGACGTCCTCGCCATCGCATTGTATCAGCTCTGCGTCTCCGTCTGCTTTATCCTATCCACCTTCTACCATACGTTTTCAGACCACAGCCCAGGCGTGCACAAATTCGGGAACGAGCTGGATCATCTAGGCATTGTCCTCGTGATGTGGGGGACTGGCATGTCTGGGACATATTTCGCATTCTACTGTCACCAAGCCCTGCGCAACATCTATTTTGGATTTCTCACTACGACCGGGCTTGGCTGTGCAGTATTCACTCTCAGGCCCAAGTTTCGCCAGCCAGAATATCGGACGACCAGGTTCCTCATGTACTGCTTCCTCGGGGCAAGCCTCTTCGGTCCAGTGGCGCATGGCCTCCTGCGTTTCGAATCCGAGCTTGAGGAAATGATGGGCCTCAAGTCCTTTCTCGGATTGGCGTTGATCAACTTCTCTGGAGCAGCTGTATATGCGGCCAGGGTTCCAGAGAGATGGTATCCGAAGACGTTCGATCTTCTCGGGCAGAGCCATAACTGGATGCATGTTTTGGTACTGACGGGGGCATTGGTGAGACTGCAAGGGCTTTACGATACCATTGAGGTGTGGCGGGTGTCTACAGAGAAATATGGACTGTGTAGGACTTCGTTATGAGCCGGATCATGTTCTCTTGAGCTGTGGTCAATGGTGGGATAGAGTCATTGTTTGGGCGGTACGGTTCACACGCCTTCGATACATCCAGCAGAGACCTTCCAGTGCGCTTGAATTGGTTAAGTCATTACTCCCGGCTCTATTGAAAGTCGAGGTCAGAGGATCTTGAGAGCAAGACAGCACAAAATGTCTCTTTGTACCCATCATGTGTCTAGCATGACGACTGTGCTTCCAACACCAGGAATCACGAGGTCTTCGTCCAGGCCATTTAAAGTAGGTCTGCGAGGCAAAAGAACTCTTGGGAACTTGGTGCAAAGACACTCTCAACAGCGGTTTTAAAGCCATAGGTGAAATAAATAAGCTTTGAGAATGACATTGGTTAAACCATGAAGAAGACAGCGGTCGCAGATGTAGCGTACTGGTTTTGTCGCAGTAGGAGCTGTTGGTTGTGAAACGGCATCGATAACAGCAGCCAACCGTTTGACATGGTGGGTGCCTGACCGCCTTCTGTTCTCAGCTGGCGTTTCTTGGAGCTTCAGGTGGGGCCGTCTCACTCAGGGGTCCTGGTTCCCGAGGCCTGGTTTAGGACATCGCATCGCATCGTATCAACGTCGTTGCATCCTCTCCTTGTTAAGGTAATCCAGGTACGGCAGCACAGCGTGGCGCAACGACCAACTGCAAGACTCAAGGCCCAAGAGTCAGCGATGCATTGCTGAGCTGGCCCTGCATATTGGATGCGACAGCAATGTGACTGTCCATGACAGCTGTGCAGCATGGAACAGCCCTTCTCGACCTCCAAGGTCACAGGTAAACAACGCTCACACTCCCACTCGCTCCCCTTCGATCGCCAAGGTCGTTGGCGTCGTTGCTGCTCCTGATGCTGACACGTGCCACCCAGTCGATTATTTTGACCCTCACGACGTCTACAAGCTCCTTGCCCCCGGGCTGATACCACGACTCCCCCTGCACAACCTACACTGGCAATCGCACGCTGGCCCTCTGCGATCTATCGAAACCCTCCATGTCGAGCTCGTCGACGCCCTCGCCGCCGCCAAAGCCCCGAAGCAGAGGCAGCCTTCCATAACACCTTCCTTGGGCGCTGGCGGGGAGGATGGCTTCCAGACACAGTCTGTTGCAGGCGGCAACAGACTAACTGCCGACCCTGAAGATGCATTCCCATCCAAGCCATACTCGCCCGGCTACGGCCCTTCCGCTGCAAATGTTAGACGGCACCAGATACCAGGCTTGCGGCGCACACCATACCTCAAGGTGCTGTTCGTGCGGTGCGATGATAACGACCAGTACAAATCAACAGTGCGCTCTGAGATACGCGACTGGCTCAAAGAGCACGCTACACCGGCCTCAACGACCAACAGCAAGAAAGACACGCGGACGCCTTCCGAGAACCATGATGCATGCGAATTATTGATTATACATGTCGTCGTGCCAAACACCGTGGCCGCTACCCAGCCTAGGACGACCGGCAGCGGAGGCGACAGAGGCGCTGACGGCAGCTCTAATGCGTTGCCAGTTACAAAGACTACATCTAGATGGGGCAAAAATACTACACCACTTCTAGAAAGGCTCAAGAGTGACTTTGGAAGCTCTTCCAAGGCAAATGTCGATAGGATAGCGCAGATCCGCATCGGTATCAACGATGTGCCCTACGATCTCCTTCCCAGAGTTGTGCCCGCCGTGCCCACGGGCTACATGGAGACAGAGGAAGATGCCAAAGTTGCGTGGGCCGATCTCATCGATAAGTTGAAGAGACTGATCTTGTCGAGCTTCGACATGAGGGTCAGCCAGTACGAGGAAGACATCAAGGAAAAGGATGCCCAGAGAAGCCTACCCGGCTGGAACTTCTGCACCTTCTTTATTCTGAAGGAAGGGTTAGCAAGGGGCTTTGAGAGTGTAGGGCTGGTGGACGACGCTCTTGTCGGATATGACGAATTAAGTGTCGGGTTGGACACGATAATACAGGAACAGGCCGTCGCAGACATTGCGGAGGCTCATGGAGGCTCATTGCTCTCGCACACCCCGGAACTCAAGAAGATCGCGCAAATGGCAGTGGCGGCCGCGAGCTCAGGGACCATGGAATTCGAAGATGAAGAAACCGTGGATCTGCAGTCTACCAAGGAACAGGAACCTGCCGAGAAGTTCGACGACATTCCCATCTCTGTCATCAAGAAGCCCTATCGAGAGCTCATCCTAGCAAACAATGTCTCGATATTCGATTTCAGGTGCTACATATTCGCACGCCAGATCGCTTTGCTTCTCCGCCTGGGTAACGCTTGGTCTACAAGGGAAGAGCTGCTGGCCAAAGTCAAAGAACAGCAGGAATCCATTCTACATGGCGTCGCGCCACGGGCGCCACCGCCTCAGCCAGCGGACGAGTCCGAGAATCTTTCTATGCTCGCAGAAATATGCAAGCGCACCCTCGAATTCATACCTGCTGTCTCTCAGGTCATGCGCCGGGATGTAATCGCGGCCTTGGCGGAACAACGCAAGCTCGAGGCTGGCGGTGTGACGCCCAAGACCACGATACCCTACGAGAACCTGGTATCAGAGGTGGCCGAGAATATCGTTGCCTCTTTCGCATTCTCGATAGCACAACAAATCCTTGCACAGACATCTACTAAGGCCTTGCCCGTTCCCCCAGCGACCACGTCTCCCACTAGCGATGAACCAGAGCAGAAGTCCAGAGAGTCGATGCCAGAGCCCAAGACGATGATGCATCCTGCGAGGACAACTTCTCTCAGAGTTTCAACAACAGGGGATGGTCGCTTGCCGCCCCTGCCTAGTCCCAACATATTCCCCGGCCCTGGCAATCGCAGAGCGAGCGCGGCTGATGTGCAGGATACAATAAATCAAAAACAACAAAAAGCCGGGCAGGAAGATTTAGCCGCTAGGAGAGCTGAACTTTATGCCTTGTCAAGGAATATACTCGAGGAGTGCGGCAAGAAACGAGGCTGGAGCGATGGGTGGTCTTCTGCGCCAGTGATAGGAGAAACCGGATTGCAGGATATGGAGGATGTCAGCCTTGACGATGACCTGCCGCCCAGTCCCTCAGGGCCCGTGAAGACGCCATTCTCAGATCCTTCATCAGAACTCACCCTTGCAGGGATCGACAACAAGCTGCTTCGGACGGCTCTTGACACCAAGGAGGACTTTTACCGCTTGTACGAAATGCTCACAGACAAATCGTTGCGTCACTATACTGTCGCGGGCCACACACATTCTGTCTTGGCGAACATGGCGGACCTTGCTGTCATGAAATACTACCTGGAAGACTACTCCGCCGCAGCATCATACTTCCTCCGGACGACACCGTTCTACGGAGAGAGTGGCTGGAGCTTACTCGAGCTGTCTATGCTTGTCATGTACTCGAAGTGTCTACGAGAACTGAAGAGGAATGACGTATATGTCCGAGTGATGCTCAAGTTACTTTCAAAAGCGGCAAACTCGGAAAAGGATAGGATCGAGGAAAGGGGCTCGATCAAAGTAAGCCAGAAAACGGCCAAGGAATATGCAGAGAACGAGGTTTTCAAGGGTTTTCTACCAGACTTTCTAGCTGCTGCCAAATCTTTCGACAAGGAGGTTAAGCATTCCCTTCAGAATTTCTTCACCCATATTGAGGTCGAGGGCACACCGGCATACGATGATGATCAAGACAGCTTCAGCTTGACCCTTGTGCTACGGAGCGTTCTTGCTGATACGCTGCCTGTGGACAAGGCTTTTCTGCGGATTATCACCACTGGTGGACGCGAGATGTGGCTCGAAAGCAGCGAAAAGCTGGAATTGAGTCCTGGGCGGAATAAGATTTCCCTACGATGCATGGCAATGAGCCCAGGTACGTATGAGGTCGACCGGGTCCAGTTGAACAGCGGGCCCTTGAAGCTCAGTCTCGAGCGGCAGGCTTTCCAGCCTGTCGAGCGTGATGCGGTGAATCTGAGGAACCCTTATGTGTCATTGTATCAACGTGCCGACACGCTTGACTTGCGAGTCGAGCCGTCGATGGTAACACAACTTGATCGGAACTTTGCGATGGACCTGGAATTGACGACAGGATGGAATGAGGTAGAGACGTGTGAAATACGCGTTCGTTCTGCGACCGGGGGACTCCGACTTCTCACAGCGGAGGCTCAAATACTCGGTGATGAGGAGCACAAGCAGCCGCCATCGTCTGAGCCGGGCCTCTTTGTCTTCGCATCACTGTCGGCCAGGTCCTCAGTCAAGGCCCGGATTCCATTCACCACCGAGCAGGACGTTCCAAACATCGCGGTAAAAGTCGAGGTCAAATACACGACCTCCCGGGGAACGTTCACCCTGTCCAAAACGCCATCAATATCACTGGCCCTGAAGTTGGGGGTCAATGTGCAGGATGTGTTCAAGCATGCTGCCCTGTTTTCTCGTTTCACTGTGTCCACGGCATCACACAGTCCACTCCGGCTTTTCAAGTCAGAGCTCATTCAATCTGATATCTTTGAGTCTCGTTTCGGAGTGCCACCTGCGAATCCAGTCGTCATTTTCCCAAAGCAACCGGCCAGCCTCATCTACCGCATTAATCGTATTCCTGGATCCAGAATTGGTCCTAACACGAATAAGACCATGTACTTGAAGCTGTCCTATAGCGTCCTGCTGGATGAGATCCGGGATAATATCCGTGACTCACTGACGGCTGCATTGAAGGGCACTGAATGGTGGAAGTACAGCAGGCTCATCGTCGCTAGCGTATTGGAGCGGGTGAAAAGCGATCTCACGGCTTATGACCTTGAGAGGTCTGCGACGCTGGGCGAGCTACCTCTGAGCTTTCTGACGGAGGCAAAGTGGCAGAAGCAGTTCTATGGCCTGGGCACAACACCTACTGGAGAAAGCATCCCAACACTTCTAGCCCGGTTCATCGTCAACTGGACAGGGAAAACCCCAAAGATCCCAGCAATGCGACAAGTTGACTCTACACAACAGCAGTCGATTCTCATCCCTGTCGACGTGCCATCTATACCGGTTGTCCATACCGCCGACATTCGCCTACAACGACCCGTCCCATCTCTTGTCGAGCCTGCAGACGAGCTCGAAGCACCAGTGGTCTGCGTCAACCAATTACTCCCGGCGACGTTGCACCTCAAGTGGACACGCGTCTGGGACACAGGCAGACTCGATACCGCCAACAGGGCTGGCACATCTGCCGAAGAGGCTTCCGGAGACGAGTTCAGCTACGAGGTCACAGCGCCCGGGGACACATGGCTCGTCGGCGGGAGGAAGAAGGGCCACTTCGTCATCCCTGCCTCCGCCTCTACCAACGAGGACGGCGATCTGATAAGCTCCTCGCCAATCAACGAGGCTGACATCCCACTCGTGCTTATCCCGCTCCGGGAGGGCTACTTGCCGTATCCTAGTGTCGAAGTCAGGGAAAGCAGCAGTCCCACAGAGACCAATGGCGGCGAGGGGCACGGCCATGGCCACAGTCAGGTTCAGGGAAGGAAGAGCCCTGCCATCATTGGGCACTGTGAGACGGACTACAGGAACCTGGGTGAGACGGTGCGGGTTGTTGCGGACAGAAGGAGGGTCACTGTCTCGCTGGATGCTAGTGGAGCAGGAGGTGGTCCATTGGTCCTTGACAGCGAGAGGGTCGTCGGGAAGGAGATTGGGAGGGTTGTTGCGTAGACCTTTGTCAATCATAGAAATGCTAGAAATGTGAATACGATAGAACAATTTTCGAGTTTGGCTTTTCATCTAGTTTCAACTGCTGCGTGTGATACATATACTTGTGCTGTGGAGCACATATTTGTATCATATTCCAATCAGGATGGAAGCTGCGAATATTCACCAGAAGGGGCCTGCTTGTTAGGTCGCCCTGTGGCCTGAGATGATTCTTCAAATTTTGTGCAATAAGCACTATGATAGACCGTCGCAGGGTCTCCCAGAAGACAAGCTTCAGGAAAATAAGAATCTTCCCCCTCCAGTCCTTCCCATAGCACCATTGTCTCTGAGAAGTTGTATTGCTTTGTCATGACCTCCGACCGCGGCGCTTTGAAGCGCAGTCTGCCGTCTGCCTCTCCTGAGACTACAAGCATTCACATCAGCACCAGCTGCCAGTAGACGCATAATAACATCTACATGGCCCTTTTCAGCAGCGGCATGTAGAGCCATTCCGTCTCCGTAGGTCCCGCCCAACGCGTGAACATCAGCGCCTTTCTGAAGAAAGAGGTCGACAATCTCAAGGTGACCTCCCAGGCAAGCTCCCTGAAGAGCAGTGTAGCCTTTGCACTTCGCGGAAGCACCATTGATGTCAGCCCCGTGCTCGAGGAGAAGCTTCACTATTGCAACGTAGCCGCCGCCGGCTGCCGCTTGTAGTGCAGTATAACCTGCCGTTGGTGACGGCGGAGCGTGTACATCAGCGCCCAGCTCCAGCAGTCGTCGGACCAGGTCCATATGCCCTCGCTCCGATGCAGCCTGCAGAGCCGTTCTTCCGTTGTACCGCGCCACAGCCACTGACGAAGCATGCGACACTCTCATGTGAGTTTCTGGTGCTGATGACACCTCGTTGACCTTTGCCCCCGCCCTCAGCAGGACTTCAACAATCTCCTCGCTTCCCTGGCCGCAGGCGATCTGCAGCGCATTCCGCTGGAAATTGTTGCCACCGCAGAAATGGATATCCGCGCCGGCGTCAACGAGCATCTGCACGGCGTGTAGGTGGCCGTGCATGCATGCAGCTTGGATGGCAGTCTGGCCATAGTAACCGCGCGATGGCTCGTTGATGGCAGCCGGGTCAGCAGCAAGGATTCTTCTGATCTTTTCCACTTCGCCGCCTCTCGCGGCGAGCTGTAACGGCGTCCAGCAGTACTCGTCGCCGTCGTCGGTCTCTAAGGTTGGATCCCATGCGGCGTCTAGTGGTGGTAATGAGGTCTGCATGGTCGCGCTCAAGTGGGAGAGCCAAAGAGGTGCGGGAGTGTGCGACAAAGACAGGGGATCTCTCCCATCCACTGTGAACTACCAAGCTTGCAAACATTGGGGTAGAGTCAGAATGGCGGCAAAACGGCCATTGAAGAAGGATGCAGTCTATACTGTATTAGCTGCGGCCACCCGCCGCCCTGTCATGCGGCCAACATCCAGATTAGATTAGCATGACGGCCCGGGATCTTGTCACACCGTAGGTGTCGGTCCCCAAAGGGAGTGAGATGAGGAAATGTAAAGTTATAAGATAATCTTGGCCTTAGAGGCCCATTTTTTCGCCTTCCACCTCAAATGTTCTGCGACTATAATTGCGACATTACTTATAGGCCGTCTTTCTGCATTATCAACAGCATTCACAGAGTATGGCCGCAGACCGTGAGAATGCCTGAATCTATAGGCATCTGGCGACTAGCATCAGTTCGTTTAGTACACCTAGACGATTGCTAAGAATGAAGAGATTGTACTCATGGCTCCAGTAACACAGGCAGCTTGACACGGCCACTACTTGCCCACTTTTATCCGCTAACCAATTACTACATATCTATAAATTATATCATACGCTGGTACACTTCGTACCTGGACGAAACCAAGTAGATTGTTGCCAATTGATGAGATTCCATAGTGTCTGTTCACATTAGTATTGACAGACAGAAAGAAAATCTAACATTTCAATGAATCACTCGTGCAGTCTGAACTTGCGTGCAGATTCTAATGTTTCTCTCAAGAGTTACGTCGTTTTTAGTGCCACATAGGCAACACCTCTAGGTAGTCGAAATGAACCTTAGCTTTTGGCACCACATAATGCTATTGTAGTCTTCTAAGAACGCCGGTTGAGACATCTGCGGGAATAATCGCATTGTGTTGAGACTAGGGCGTCCTTATTACAAGTAGATCAAAGAAATCTGTCTTGTTTCATACAGTGGCATTATATATGGCAGTCTTGCAGAACAATTCAACACAAGAGATAAAGAACACTGACCGAGGACAACGCTATTGTGTTGCTAACAAACGCATTGTTCGTTTTCCGTTCAGACCATCCGCACTGAACTTTGAATATCAGACCTCTCTTATTTCCAGGCCGATTCGTTGAACATATAAATAAGTCAAACTCCTGCAGTCTCCACCTCAATCTCAAACGCCTACTCAAACTATCAACACTGCCAACGCAGGAACAACTTACATTGCTATCACAACAACAACCACTGAGAACAAATATGGCGAAGCAGGTTCAGAATTTGGCTGCTTGGGGATACGTCGTTGAGCCTAATGCAAGAGGCTTCAGAAACGTTCCCTTCTCCGGCCCTGGGAGACATTGCAACATTTACCACCCCAAAGCGGAGTCCCCCGATGTGCCTATCACTACTTTCACCGTCAACGACGACAATAGTCTGCTCAAGATCCCCCGCGCCTTCAATACGCAGAACGATCTTCGGCCCAAGGGGCAGAAATTGAATCTACGAGATCAAATCGTGTCGTTTTGGACCGACGTCGAGGGTCGTGATCTCAAGACTCTCAAACGTATCGAGTATTCAAACGTTGTCGAGGACAATCTTCGGAGACAGATGGAGGTCGTTTACGATATGATGGAAAAAGATGAGTTCGACGAGCTCACGGTCAAGCGTACGGACCCTGCCTTTCAATTGCTGCTAACCACGACCCCATTCGTGAATGGGGTGCAGAAGATGCTGGACGAATACGCTGACAAGTTTGCAGGGAAGAAGATTGATAGTTTGCATTTTGATGCCGTCGGCGGCTTTGAGTCATTTGATTTCATCATTACGCTTACTTAGTATTGTAGCTCATGCCAACGATTTACGTTGGAAAGTGGGCGCATGCCCGCGTGTGCCTAGGTAAGTGCCCCCTCTCCCCCCCTCAGAATAGAGCAATCAACATCGCAAGTCCATCTCATGTCTTTCTTATTTGAATGTCCCGAAATTTCCTGAATTGACGTCACAATCATGCAGACCTTTCCTAGGGAACCTGGCAATATAAATGCTCCATATCTATCTTGGCCCCTGGTAGCATGAAGTATGTGCAATTGCTTCATTCATTATTTGATTTCGGCGTTGATATCTGGAAGAGCGAAGCAACATGACGAACGTCCCACATCTGGTTATCCTACAACTGATTATCCCACATCTGGGTATCCCACAATTACTTATCCCACAGGTCGAGGAGCTTGCTTCGCGGCGAAACCGGCCCTAAGAGTGTCGGCGAGCAGGAGGAAGCTGGGTGAGGCGGCGGCGATAACAATGCCTGTGGCAGCTGCCTGGGAATTAGATTAATTATTATACTATAAAAACTTCAAGCGATCTATATCTTAAAAGGTAACTCAAATACATAAGGACCCTTTATCGCCACAGTTAACATCATATTCAGCCCCCTAGCTATACTCAGACTATATCAGCTATTCACAGCACTATAGCTAACCAACCACTTCTCCTTTACGCCACAAGACCAGGTCCTAGCTCTAAGCAGCCTTAGAAGGCTGTCCCTGAACAGCCTCCTCAAACAACCTAAAAAGCCAGCTTCAAACATACATTACTACCGTGCAACGTTATATCTGCCCAGCAAGATATTTCAGTCCATCTTCTTCCTCCTCATGCTCACGGCCTGGATGATGTTGCTGCTTCATACCTTCGGGTCCATCTTTATAGCAAGCTCCGTGCAGAGCCTCAGCTACCTGTTCTGCGTCCTCTTATAGACTATTTGTATTCTTTGAGTTCCTCTACTAAGCCGGAATGACAATGGCAGTCCTAGAGGGATAAGAGACAATATATGCTATAGGTAATTATAGTTACATTCGCGATATAAGGCTTTAAATAGTAATTATTTAATCTTTTATAAATTAGTATTCTATAAAAATTTACTATTTTATATTAAAATTACTAATATTGGTTTACAGTCAACTATTTATATTAATATTATTAATAATCTGTTAAGCTATTAGAGATAAAATTAATAAGGCTGAAGTTATCTAAGCTAATATTATCTTTAATCATTAGTTTAACCTAGCTTAATATTATTAAGATGCCTTTGCCATATAACTCAGGTCTTCACATGAGCACAAATTGCCTAGAATGGACAAATATAAAGGTGCTATCTCTCAGATCACACAATACACGTACAAGATCTGTCTCTACTCTAACCGAACAATCAATCTGTTACTCATCTGCATCTTAAGACCATTTGAAGACAATCATTTAGCCTGCCTTCCACTAAGATCACGTGAAAATAATCAATCGGCCGAGACTGAAACTACTGGTAAGACGGCCACGCCCTGGTGCCTTGAATGTAGTTCTAATGAGCTAACAGAGTTGTCACGGATAGTAATAGAAATGAATACTAATTATAATTTATAGATATAGTCAGAAATATTAATAATACTAGGTTTTAATAGCTTAAAGCTTATATTATTCAATATAATTTATATATTTATAATTATATTTAGAACTTATAAGATTTATTTTAAAAAAGTTAAAATTTAAAAGAACATTAAATTAAAGATTAATTATAAGATATTATTGAAGAAGTTTAAAAATATAATAAAATAATTTAAAGTTAAAAAAATACCTTTTAAGTAACTTAAATTAGTAGAAAGCTGAGAGCCTTTTATAATTAATTAGTAGAATAGCTATAATTAAATAAATACAGTTAAAGTATATAATGATAGGTGTTTAGTAACCCTCATACCCAGGAGGGGCAGCGTCCTCTTATACCACCTAATCCTCGCGCCTTTATTAGTAGTTATTAGTTACTACTTCGCGAGAGGGATAACAACTTCCACTATTTTCCCCTGTATTTCGGCAACCTGGTACAAAATTTATTCCGCTATATTAATGGGTCTAATGGTTACACTTATTGTCTTCAGCCTTAAAACATAAAAAACACCTTACAGTGGTTGGACAATTACTGCTGGGTTTAATAGCAATTACTGGGCATGCGCGCTAGGAAATCTCAACTATATTTATGTTGATCCAGAACTTACAGGCAATGCATTTGGGATTGCATCAACCTATCCCAACGCTGATGTAGAATATATACTAGATACTAGCCAATTTTGGGTGGATAACTTCACAGGATCGTGTATTGGACATTGGTCGAGCGACAAGCGTGCGCACAGTACGGCATCAGAGACTGTCCAACCCGATGGGTTAGTGTGGCCCAGTCCGGAAACACAGTCCAAGTTTTAAAAGAATAACCTTTGTGTTGCAAAAGGACACATCTTCTCGAAAAGTATTTCAAGATTCCTTGCGAAACCCGTCCAGTCTTGGTCTCAGCCGAAGTGTATCCACAGTACTCCAGGAGCTACTACAAGCTTGAAAATCATAAACTAGTCATGCTAAGAATAGAATTATCCATATTTAGAGTCAGTATAGCCCCCGCCAGAACTCTTATACAAAATTTGGTGTGTAGGTATTATTCGTGCACAGGGAGTCACATGTACCCCTGTACCCTCCCAGATCGCCTGTGGTTTGCCACATAACTCATACTTGTACAGCTGGGATTGGATCAAATACGCCCAAATTCCAGGGCTGTGCAGCCAGAGTCAGGCCAACTCGAGTCGCGACGGCGGCAACACCATCTCGCTGAGTGAGGAGCTGAGTCACTGCGGCGCCAAAGGTGTAGTGGTGACAACAGACCTCATCACTGGCACAATGGTTGAGAGCCTTTCAAAGCTGACTGTGATTACAGAAAGCGATGTTGATACCGGAAGACTGCTGAAGTATGGTGTACACAGTCTGGTTTCCGTCGAGCTGCGCAACTGAATTACGCGTGAGACTGGTGTTGATGCCGGTGTTTTTGAGGCCATGGCAATCATTTCCAAGTGGGCATTAGCGATGGATCTGGCAGGCTGGTGCAAGTTCTTTCACATTGGCCCAATGGAATTCCCAGGGGGCTGTTGGGGCGAGGTGTTTCTTCCTCCGTGTAAACACATACATACACGGTCCAAAGTCACGGCGGCGATGATGGCCGCCCGCGGGGCTCGAATTGACATCAGCATATGCGCACCAGCTGAACGATCGAAAGCTTCGTATTGAGCTTAATCTCATCAACTCACCGACTTCCGTTGCGATGATCATGTCCCGGAAACATCCAGGGGTGCTGACGGATCTGCGGAGTTCAATCACCTGAAGGAAGTAGATGACTGTACGTCTGTTGATCATCGCCCGGTAGATAACTCAGCCGTTCTGCTAATGAATCTGAATTTTGGTAATGATTATGTGAGAGACTTCGCACATTGTGTCTCGACAGGCATGCCTCCATGGCTCACAAGAGATATCCGGATGGTTGAGCGATGCTCTTACTCAGGCATCTTAGTGAGCATCTCGGAAGACTCAGCTCAATGACGAGGATCACGATGCTCAAGTGATGATGGTCACCGAGAGACAGAGTCGTCATTCGATCGCTCAGTGAAAGAACAACTATAAGAGACACGCTCTTCGCGCTCGAATCGTGGAGAGCATCTATCTCATTCAAACAACACTGCACCTGCATCATCGAACTCACTTGTATCCATTTGAAAAGTCCTGCCCTATCCTACACAATGCAATTGACTCTTATCACCTCCCTCGTCGCGGCCACTCTGGCTGGTTCAGCTGCTGCAATCAACGTCAAGTATTGCAGCGAGACAGCCCTGAACGGCAATTGCAAGGAAGTCACTCTTGTCAATGGCGTGTGCCGTAAGTGTCGAACATGGAATCACCGTACCATTGGTTTTCGGTCTAACGGGCTATGTGCTTTGCAGAGAACGTCGATTTGGACGAAAACGACCAGACTCACTCAGCCCAAATTGATGGCGGCCACTGTGTCTTTTGGGCGTAAGTGAAGCATACTTTCTTGGAAAGTACCTCTGCTAACGTCATGTCTTTGAATATAGGCAGGACGACTGCAACGGAGACCACACTGACATGAGGGATGGGTATATTGAGGACTTCCATCATGTCTGCAAAGACAGCGACAATTGGCAGAAAAAGATCTCGTCCTTCGCGTGCTGTGACACCGATAAGTGGTGCGCTGGGGACAACCCTACGTGCACTTAAGAAATAGATGACGCTGCCATCTTTGCGGCTGGATGCACAGAATAGTGTCACAATGTCTTTCTTTCCGTGGGGTTTTTCGTGGGATGGTTTGACTCTTCTCTGGTTGAGCTCTTTTCACTGTTTGCTTCTCTTGGGCTTGTTCTATTAGATACAATAGGGCTAGCATTGACACCGACCAACTCAAATATGCCACTCTTTATAGTTATCAGGGAGCAAAGCCGGTGCAATTGTGTTTGTGATCATTTCTGACCGTAGTTTTATTTACTTGCATAGGTACTGGATAAGTACCCTAGGACTTTGGCAGAGGTGTAGAAAGGTGTCAGCCCGACACCCGGGGCTATAATGATCAGCATTATTCTCTGAAGTTCTCAATATGCCACGGGAGTGTGGAGAGCCTATGACACGATGTACCTTGGTGCTGCTTGGTTTGGCATCCACCAGGGCGGTCCTCGGAACGATGGAGTTGAAGTCGTTGGCCCAGACGAACTCGCCCTAGAGGAGAGGGACGGCGAGGTCCCCTGCCATCTCCCACGTCTTCCGCACATCATGCCATATTCATCCGCAGTCCATCCTCGGGGGTGTTCAATTTGGTGGTGCTTCACTGGATGTCTTGTACACCGCAAATCAGTAACGCGGGACGCTTGCACAGATTTGTGGCCGTCGGCATGCTGCCTAGGGTTTTCCACGAAAGGGGCCGCATCATGATAGTGAGTATCGGGAGAGTGAATTTCGATAGGCTTTGTCTGGAAGTTTATGAGATACTTGTCTATAGTGTAGCTGAACAGTTGCATGCTAGATGTTAGGCAAATTAGACTCGGCGGTAGAGCATCGGTGCCCATGGGCCTAAGCAGACGCCATGTTTACGCGAATGACTTGGCACACACGAGACAGGAGGAGCGAAATGTATCGATTAAAGTGATTTCATTCCAGCCTTGTTTGTGGAGACACCTTGAGATCGCATACCACCCAGGTGACACTTCTACAAGGAGACGGATCCATGAGACTTCGCATGGAGATGCTCCGCTCTGCCAAGGTGTACTCTTTATGTCCCACGTAGACTTTAACGAAGTAACTCGGATTTTGGCCGCCTGCCCAAGTAAGTGGCCGGATAATGGTGAATCATTCGCAAATTGTTCACTAGGTCGAGATTGATGATATTGACTATGTGTCCATTGACAGTGCAAAGTCTCCATGAGTGCATATGCCATGACAATACTACTATAGGCCAGGTGTAAAAGTACGGTCTGATTTGAAGTGTAGCAAACAATGTGCAGTGAGGTATTTCTTTTTGATCTAAAACATTCGAAGAAGGGTACATCCGTGCAGCTGAACCACACGTCAACTGCCCTTCACCGGCCGAAGGTTTCCGTGCGGGCGACCATTCATTTGCTTACTTGAATACCGTCACTACCGCTGCAAAAGGCAAAATTCGCCTTTGAGACCCCGATTGCCTCTCCTGCATCCTCTTCTAGATGCGGTTTGGCCCTACGCCCAGCCACGACCCGGCCAGCTTGTCAGGGAGGAATGTTCCGGAGGGTGCTTTGTGCCGCATGTGCGCGATGGGGGCTATGTTGCAGCGTAGGTGATGATCGCGGGCGCCGGGCGTGATAGTGTTTCTTCACGCAGGACGACAGCGTCGCGCTCTGCTAGGCTGTGCTGAGGTGCTGGTGAGGAGAAAGTACTGTACGTACATGTATGTGTGCCTGGCCGGTCCCTCCCCGCGTGCATCCACCCGGCATCGCGGCCGTGCCGAGAGATGCGATTGCATCCAGGCGCTTTGATTGATCTACGGGGATGACAGGGGTGATCCCGACGGAGGTTAAAATCGTCTGATGTTCGGCTGATGCCTTTGGAGATTGCCCATTGCTTTTCAAATAGGCTTCTTAGAAGTCATGCAGCAATAAGGCTGGTTCAAAGGAGTCAACATATATGGTGACTATTACAGAAAGACTGTGTTGTAAGAGTAGAGTCCTATGATGCTTAGTAGAAGAAAAACTAGCACCTTAATGTAGTGGAAGCAAGGCTCTACCATGAAAGCAGTGGGGTTTTAAGATAGCAAACATTGGAAGGAGCTCGATGAGAATAAAATATCCAGGACTTGCAAGGTCTTTTCAAACAGGGTCAATAATTTATATAACAATTTATCCTCATCATTAAATCCTTTGTTTAGAATGAATCCTGGGACCACAGTCAATATCTCGATCAGGCTCTACGGTTGTAACACAGTGCTTCCAAGATCACGATAATTACTTTATGTTGATAAGCTAGGCCAGACACCCTCGGGAGTTCTGAAGTAACAGAATTGAGGGGCCCAGGTCGTTGTACTGGGAGCTGTATTCATACCTTGAGCCTATTCTAGGAAGATGTGCGCCTAGTGTTACACAGGTCCTGCATCCCTCGGCGTGAAGTGGCATCAATCAACATCATATTCGAATGCGTCTTCACATCACAAATGCATTGCAACCTGGGTAGAGAACTGATGATGACCATACACAATGGCTGAACTCCTGTGGCATCATTCATTGCAGATGCAGTGCATCAGAATCAAATTTCCGAGCTGCTGTTCTCCCAACCTTCCAGCCACGCTGAAAGATTTGTGCACAGCCAGTATCCCCCTCCATGAGGCTACCGCAGAGGCTTTATAGTAGCAACTGCAAAATATCTGTTAGTGCAGAGGGGGAAATTAAAAATAGAAGGCCGACTAGCAACTTAATTGCATATAATGACCTTTCTGTTGATACGACGCTCCCCGGGGAGGGAGGGGGGGCAGTCGAACATGTTCGCAAGATTTTCTGCGATCGTGCCAAGGTAGGGTGACGATAACTGTAGATGGAGTTTATTTTCAACTCTCCTATCAACTTAAAAGATTTCCTCCTCATGAATTAGAGGCGTTTTCTGGCAAAGCTGGTAAACACTCTATCTGCATCCCAGTAAGCCACCCCCACTGCCTACCAACTCACCATCTGCCAAGCGCGCTCAGCACCTAAAAACATAAATAGTTCCGCCTCATATGTACATTCTCTTGTTTGTTCTCATCGGCGATATTCATGCGGGAAAATCTCTGAGTATAAGGCTCGGCAAACTCGCAGACTCGGTAGGGCTTTAAGCTGCTGCAAATGTGTGACACCTCCTGGATTTGGGCTGACGGAGATTGAGGAGACCTCGTGGCTAGGCGCAGCATCATACCATTCGTTGGTCGGATGCAGCCACACATGAGCCGAATACTCAGATGTTATTGACCGGTCTCCTCTGTTTTTGAGTGGATAATTCGCATGTATGGCTGGCTCTGGACAGATGAGTGGCGTGGTGGGGGGCACGAAATAATCACTCGACTAACATTGGTTCAAGCTGGGAGGGAGGGTTCCACTACAGATGTTCAAATATAGATACATTACAATTTGTTCTGGCTTTCGCCTGCATGTCGATGCTTCTATGCTGTCTGCTTTTGAGATTGGAACTAAGGCTGAGTGACCTGCATGCCAGCACAATTCGCTAAGCCACTGCGAATCAAAGAAACCCCGTGACTTTAATCCATCACTATCTCGTCTACCATTCAATCGAGCAATGAAGCCGCCCTTCTCGCCTTGGGTCTAGAATTAACAAAGCTTGGTATGTTATGCATGCAGCTATATCCTTGACAACAGTGTTTAGATTTACTTAAATAAGCATTAATATTATAATCTTAATGAAAATAAAGCTAGTGGTTAATTTGAAACTAAGCGCAAGCTAGCTAATATACAGCTTAATAATAGAAAAAGAAATACACTAAATTATTAAAATAAAATTGAATAAAAACAATTAATATTTAAATAAAATTAAATACAAATAAAAAAAGTAAGATTTATATAAAGTGTAACCAGTACTAAGAGATTAATGAAATTAATCCAGTTACGTTATAGCGCATGTTCTTCTCTAAGGTGTCAATGCTGTAACAGTACGGCTCTTATATACTGCTGAATAGCCAATGTGGCGATTAGTTATTATAGTTTTTTAGCTAGCACACATAGAGTTGATTTGCAGCAGTAGTCAAGCTTGTGTCAAATGCTACCTTTTCAGGCAAGCCTCTGTTTGAGGTGACACTCGCCTTCTGGTTGCTTGACTCTATGTATCCGGTGATAAATCTCTATGTGTTGTTCACACTGCAAAAGGTGTGCATTTACCCTCATGTGTGTATCAATTGAAAAGTGTCAACCGAGAAGTACCGCAATATCAGACATCGTAGGGCAGTCAACGTATTTCGATTCCGCAGTAATGGTGAATCTTTCTAGATCTTGTGAGCATGCAATCCACAGACTACATTCGGGACAAACAGAGACCATAAGTGGATCTCGGACAAGAGAATGGTGAAAGAACAAGAAAAAAAGAAAGAAAAAGAAAGCAAGGCCATTGTGGGCTCGAACCTAAGACCTATCTACAAAAGCGAAGTGTCCGAGGACTAGTTCGATAGATTTCAAGTCTATTGGCAATATATAGCCGGTCTGTTGAGCTACTTCGCTGATAAAATATATTTTACGATCTCTTATGGTACTGTGTCGAGTCCATTTTGGATGGCTAGGAAGGCGCTAGGAAGCCGCGGTCGCCGGTTGAGTCACACGCGCGGGCCGTGCAATGAAGCACGCTACCAATACTACATCAACAATTCCCCTTGAAGTGGTTGGGCACTTTTACATTCGAATTCGCGACCAGTGATGACGTCCATGAATTCTCAACCGCATGGATGAACCGACTTGGTTCCCAGGGCCTAGATCAGGTGGACGATATATGATTGCTGTCATTCGCATCTAATTATCATACTGCAATAGCTTTCATAAGCATTCCCAAGATCTCGAGATCATGTCGAGCATCAGCCGGGGTTGTCTTGGGGACCTTTCCCTCCGTGACCCATTTGTACATCTCCTGCAGCTCGAGCATGAAAGGGTCTTCATATGTCCGCCGGGTGGTGGACTCCCGATACGATCCGTCCGGCAGGGTCTCCTTGACGACCATCGTCGTCGGCAGGCCTCTGACGAACGGGGTATCTATGCACACCTTGACGGTCTTTGTGTCGCCAAAGACCTCTATCGACGCGTCGAACCGGGCCACCTGATCGACACCGGACTCGTATGCGACGGCGAAGTTCGGGTATTGGAATATCGCACTATTCATGATCAGTCTGGTTACCTGCAGTTCTGGTATCGCTCGGCCCTAGAATGACTACTACCTCCAGAACGGCGAGCCAGTAGTCGCACATGGGGAGAACCCTACGACACCCTTTGGCATGCCCAAGATCTCCCGCATGGCGCTCAGGTCGTGTGAGCCGAGCATCGAAAGCGTGTGCCACATGAAATCCGTCTGCGGCGTGATGGCAACCCCAAGCTCGGTCTGAAGAGCTTGCCGTATGTCCTCGGCCGTCTTCCTACGCAGCGCTTCGGAGTCTTCGTCGCGGTAGTCTGTGAAGGTCCTTGGGAATGTGCCAGATTGTCCCACGAAGATGGAGTTAGGCCCGATGATGTCCCGGACGCGAGCGTAACGTACTTGTTCAATGGTCCCGACCTCCTTCACCGCGTCGACAAATGCCGCGGCATACCTCCTCATGTAGCCGATCATGGTTTTCCCACCGCCTGCGGCCTTGTCCGCAGCGATGATGCGGTCCGTATCTTGCAAGGTCAAGGCAATTGGCTTCTCGATGAAGACGTGCTTGTTGGCCTGCAGCGCAAGTAATGCCTGGGACGCATGGAAGGCATGATTGCTTGCTATCAGTACCAGGTCGACTTCGGGCGCATTGCATAGTTCCTCGACGTTTCTGGTGGTCTTGGGTTTCGAGTTGCCAGCGAGCTTCTCCAGACTGTGTTTCGTAGCATCCTCAGAGACATCGTAGAGGTATGTGACATGGAAAAGGTGGGATAACGAGTTCATACAGGGCACATGAATGGTCTGCGTAACCAAGCCGCATCTGAGATCATTTAGCATGCAATCCGATGCCAAAGTATGAACAGCCCAGAACGAACCCTATAATTCCCACCTTGACAATACGGCCACTTCCCGGCGTCTCAGAAGCCTTCATGCCCCACATTGTGAATGCTCGGAACTATTTTGAGGAAGGCTTAGAGGTGGATAATTTTGCCGTGGTCAAGTGATCTCGGAGACGGTAGGGAAACAGACAAAAAATCAAACGATCATCACGGAGGGAGAGCTCTTACGTAGGTTATATATGAGGCAAATTGGAATGTGGGGTCGACGAGTAGTCAGGCCTTCGGCCGAGCAAGTCCCCAGGCGGTTTAGCTTTTCGGTTCAGCTCACTAGCTGCTGAAAGCTCTCGCCGCCAAGTTTGCCGTGCCCGGAAGGTGAATAAAGCCTATAAGCAAGAAAACTATTTTAAAGTGACATCCGCTTAACTTATTGCACACCGAAACCCTGTTAACAGTGACTCTCCATATACACATAACTGCGTTAAGAAGCAAGTGGTGTTCCTTCTCGGATAATCCACTTGCATTACCAATGGTGAACTCGGGGGAGAGAGTCTTCGATCGGTTCCTCCTCGAGCCCACAACGATCTCCGTAAAGGTGCGCTTGTGCCAGGCGGACGGCTCCCCATGTGTCAGGATCGTGATTGATGCTGCCATGACTTTCAGCATGAGCAATTGCGTCTCCAGCCCAGCTCTCCGCCTCGCGCAACATGCCCGCGTCGAGAACATTCCTCCGGGCTGTGAGACGCGATGAGGCGTTGATCTCGCGCCTCTCAAGATCCATGACAAAGCGCAGCGCCGTGCGCAGCCGTACCCGAACGACCTGCTGCGTACCCACTGGATTGATCAGCGCTGCCTCGCTCCGAGCAAGCGGTAGGGCCAGTCCCGCAGCGGTCAGCGTCGATAAGTCAATAGGCGCACTTAGGTGGTTTTCATCCCCAGTACAGACAAGCAGAACACTGCATCGTTCGAAAAGAATATCGCATGTTTCGGCTTCGTCTTTGCCTCGTCCATGTTCCAACGCTAGCTGTCTGTCGAGAACGATAATCACGAATCGGTATATGGGCCCCATCTCAAAACCATGCTCGACCCACGTATATGGATCTTCGGAACTGATCGGCTTATTCTGTAGGTTTTGCAGCTCTTCACAAATCATCTTGTGAGTGCGTATAGTATCATCTATAGCACCACGTGGGCCAGGGTGTCCTTCCAGCGCGACTGCGTTTGCAAGCCAGCGGTACTGTTGCCTGTTTTCCAGCTCCCCATTTTGGTGGTGGCCCTCCCGCCACGCTGCCAGCTTAGCTCTTGCTATATAACCACAGCCATTGCCATAAAATGGCCAGGGGCGCGGGCTCTCATCGTCGTCCTCCCAACCATGGATGCCAAAACACTGCATGAAACCTGGCTCGAAATAAACGGCAGTGACTTTACTCAGTATGTCGATGCCAAGAAAATCCTTTCTAAATAGCCCGGGGGGCAAAGCATCGCCATCGTTCAGATAGGAGACAGCGACGGGGATAGAGCTGAAGCTTAAGCGATTCCACTCCGCGAGCCAAAGACGCCTGACGTGTAGCCGGACAGAAGCTTCCAATCCCCGGTCGAAAGAATGAACCAATTCCTGTCTTGTCCTCACTTTGAGTTCCGCACTCAATGGCTCCGGTGTTGGTCTAATATTTCGTGCAGAGCAATCATCAACACGATACCTGCATATAATCCCGCGTTCCACATCCTCCGGTCCAAGTTTGCGTACGACCGGCTTGCCGACCAATCCCCAGAGCGGGTCAAACGTCAACCAGGGGTTTATGTTCGAGTCCAGCCTGAAGGAGGGAATTATGAGCCTTCGGAGGAAGCGTTCCCGGTAAGTCTCTTCCCAGCACTCGATCTCCTAGGACAATTTTGCGCTCTCCACGTCCAGCTTTGTTGCATTCAAGTGGAAGTCGGCGTGAGGTTGGGCATTATTAACCTTCGATATAGATAGACCCATCTTGCTATGCCAAATGTTCTCTTCAAATTTTTGTTTCAAGTTGATGCGAATATGAGAGCGTCAGCTTGGCCGGGGTTGTAATTGCAGACCAAATTCCATACAACCAATTATTCTGTAGATCAGAAATTAAGTCCAGCAAAAACTCAGGGTGGAATCCGGCCGACTTCAAGTTCAGCGCTAGACGAGTGGCTTCGAGTGACTAGCTAGGTAGCAAGCATCTACTAGCTATTTTTAGCCGGTGAAGCGCTACAGGGAGCTCACGGGTCATATTCAAATATCAATAGCGAGCTCCGTTAAGTGCTTAAACAAATCATCTTAGAGATGCTTCAACAACTAAGTAGAAAAATATGAGATCTTATTCCGGCTGATGTAATGAATATGTTTCGAAACTTATTAGTAAGTCAATGCAAATGGAAATCAAAGTTCAGAGATCCGTGGCTTTGCCTAAACTGCCATTTCTCATGCACCGATGGATCACGTGTCGTGACTGGCCTACTTCCGACCTACACCTTAGCGGTTGACAACAATAAAGTGCGACCCCAATTTCAGGTACTAGGCTGAAAATTATATCCGAAATTCGCAGACGTGTCATTGCCTTAGCGCTTTCTCCTTCTCTTCTTTGGTGGCTCTAGTCGAATATCCGTGGGGGAGAAGTGGGGTACCGGCGAATTAGTCGAGGCACTCAATCGACGGGTTGGGCTCGGCGGTCGAGAGCTTGACGTGGCCGATACTGAAGACCATCGGGTGCCTTGGCTGACTGCTTGAGAGGCCGGTCTGCTAGCCGGAGGAGCAGTCTGCCCGTGTGAGTAATGCCGCATGCCTAGCACATACTGCGTCCCTTGCTCTTCCTCCCAGTTGTAGAACTTTGTCGCGATTGCCGTGGCAGCTTTCTGCAGCAGCGGGCGGAGCTTGCCGATGCCATAATCGACCATGATCTTCTTGAACATGTCCACAAGCCTTCCTCTGCTGAAGTCGTCGTTCGTAAGCTGGATAAGTTCGTTGTACTCAAACTGAAGCGGGTAATTGGGAAGGATCATGAGCTGAAAAGGGGGCCGGCCTTCGTGAGAAGGGAAGGGGGGTTTGGATGCAGGGCAAGCCCGGTGCACTCGAATTGTGATGGCTCTGCCAGTTGGGACCGCCGTGAAAACCCTGACTTCTTTGAAGAATCGGCCCACAAAGGTGTCATCCCCAGCAGAGGAAGGGTCTCGGCCTCCAGCATTGTTTGTGATGGTTGAGGGGTCTCGCGCGCAACAAGATTTTTCACATTCCACTTCCTGCCTATCTGCTTCGTTGAAGAATTCATACAAGCAATGGAGGGACTGGCTGGCACTATTCAGACTTTGCAGCTGGCCATCTTTGTCGGTTGATGTTTTGTCTGCGTTCTTGGCCTCGATCATCAAGAAATGGAAGGCGCGCTGCGTGCGAGTGCCATCTTGGGCCTCGTAGATCATAATTCTTTTTGTAGCTTCCGGAATCGCGCCCATGAGTCCATCCTCAATGATAGACCGCAGATGAAAGGCAATGGATATGTCAGGTCTGGGGCGTGAGAGCATGCGCTGGCGGTCTGGCTTGTCTTTCTTCAGGGCCCGTGTCGGCATGAAGGGACAGTTCCAGAAGCTCTCGACGGCAAAATCTAGGACGGATCGATGGCCATCCCTCAGATTGTACATCAATCGAAATCGGTCCAACATAGACATCATTACAGTCCGCTGAAAGGTCGCCTCAACCTCGTCCTTGATAGCCTTCTCGAGATCCAGCCTCCACTCGTCGACATGGTATTTCTTCACCTTTTCAGGTAGGTCCGGCAAGTTGACGCTGGAATTGGATTCCTGGAGGGGCTTCATATTGTGAAACACCGCAAGGAAGGGGTCAGTTGGCAGACACGGGTCTAACCGCACGTTCCTATCATTGAGTCCCATAGCTCGATCTCCCTTCGACTTATGGAGTGATTTCTTGATTTCGACCATGATGACCAGCGGTAAGACCTGCTCTAACACGTCGATTGCGGATTCATCCAAGGCGGACAGGTATCCGACATTCCTGTACCAAGATCCTAAAGAGTCCTCTTCGACAGAGTACGTGCTGTCTCGAGAGTCTACGGCCTGATAGCCAGTGGTTCTTATCAATGGGCTCCTAAGGCCAGGGGCACCAGGGCCTACGTCTTCTAGCGTTTGTCCGTCGTTGTTGTCAGAGACTTTGGGCACGCTGGCTCTGTTCTTTCTAGGCCTGCGAAGAATTTTGTCCGGGTCGAACTGCGCTTCCAACAGCTCGTCCTGGCCAGACCTTCTTGTGTGATGCTGCTGGCGTTGAGCGGCAGTTTGGGGCTCCCTACTCGGACGCTGTTTACCCGCAGGGACGCGTGTGCGGGGTGGAGCAACGGCCGAGCTGGAGCGTCCAAATTAGCGGTTAACTGGACGCTGATCTTGTTTGATAACTCACGCGTGCTTACGGCCTCGCATCACAACCGTTCATAGCATACAGCAAAAGTATAAAGCGACTATTTTGGCCGCCGAGGGAAGCGGGGAGAGAACAAGGAGAAACCCGGGTGAGGGCAAGACAACGAGCCCCATATTGAGCGTAGCAGAAGTGGTGGAGAAGGACAATTCAACCCTGACCCACCGTCAACCTAATGTCGCAATCCAATAATTGCTGCGAAGCTCCCTAGGTTCCCGCATAAAAGCCCTCAATCCGATCTGACCCGTGCAATTGAGATGGACCACATTCATCCTTGCGTGTTCCTTCGCTTTCTGAGATGGAGATAAAGCCTGTGGTTTTTCTTGCTCTGCGTGGCGTCACCTAAGGTGAGGGATGGTAAGCACCTCTTCCTACGCAGCTGGAGGTATTTTCTCTGCAGAGTCGCGAGGAAGCACTGCGGTGCTTAAGACTCGCTTGAGACCCGCTTTCGGGTGCTGAAAGCTTCAGGGGCTCAGCCACCGGAACGCCACCTAAAACTCCGCCAAGCATATTCGTACTGTAAGCGGCGAAGAACGACTCTTCCTAAGCTCTCTGATACGGAAATTACCAAGACAACCTTTTGCCGCGGTGCAAGTCGGGAAGGTCTACTAAAGTCTTGTTTTCCTCAGACACGATCCGCTCGCATTTCTTTCGACACAGTGACTGAGTGTATGACATCTGGACACACCTGATTAGAAGTCGTAGAATTGCAAATAAATCGTCACGTGCGTCACTGTCAGGAAGGGGTTAATGCTTGGCATACGTGGTGCCTGCAAGCGTGATAGTAAATGCGCATCGCAGCCTTTTCCCTATGGTGCACAAGTTCGTATGGGAGAGCAGTATTTTGACGACCCAAACCCCCCATTTATGATGAGAGTTTTACTTGTCGAGACACTCGCACAAAACGGCATGTGCGCATGGCGTACGTTAACTTGGAAATGATTATGATACAAGTACAGAATGGTCAAGAACGCTGCGGAACTTTGACTTCAAACTCTGTGACCAAAAGAAAACTTGATTGGTCAACTATCAATACTGTATCTCGTATCCACATAAGGACTTCATGCTCTGAAGACACATATTGCGTTCCTAATCATATCGTCGAGCCACGAATGGGCTTGACAGAGTTCCAGAGGTCCTCCGTCAGAACGACCACTGGCGCAGGAAGTGGGCCTTTTCGGATATTGGTCACGGTGGCGCTGACCTGGGCTACCTTACTCGCTCCTATGACGATGCCGTCGTCATCGCCGAGAGCCGAGTGGTGAGCGATCCAGCGGCTGGCCACCTCGAATGGCGGCAGCGCATGTGCTTTGCAACCAGACACGAATTCCTTCATCGCGGCGGACAGCTCCGGAGCATTATAGCTGTTGTTTTTGGCAAAACGGCCCGTAGGCCTTCCTTCCGCGTCGATGTGCTTGCCCGTCAGGAAACCCGAGGCTAGGGCATGAGAGGCGAGGAACAATATGCCATGGGCACGCAATATAGGTAGAAGGCGGGTCTCCATGCCACGCGTGAGCATGTTGTAGGTGCCCTGATACCATTTCGGCTTTACCCAGCCTTTCTCCTCGCACAGATCTATGATCCTCTGAAGGGTCTCGGGCGGATGGTTCGCTAAGCCCCATTCCCGCGCGTGACCCTGTGCGATCTGGTTCTGGAAGCCCTGTACCTGCTCCTCGAGCGGCGTGGCTGGATCCGGGCGGTGAGCGAAGAGAATGTTGACACCCTGTGGTCGATGCAGGCGCTCGAGGCTGCCGTTCACTGACTTCTGCATGGCCTCCTGAGCCAGGTCTCCACTTCCGTCACCGACCTCGGTGTACACCTTTGTGTCGACTATGAAGGAGTCGCTGAGCACACCGGATGCGCCAATGAGCTGCTCGGATTTGCCCGGATCGAAAGGCGGGTAACGTGCAGCTGTGTCCAGGCGGTTGATGCCGAGCTGCTTGAGCGTGTGGAGCAGCTGTGTGACGGACTCGCTGTCTGGGAACTCGGTGTCGCCCATGCCGACCACACCTGTCCCGAAAACGAGTTGAGGAGCCATTATACGATTATCCTTAGAGATGATCTGAAATCTCTGCCACGGGTTCTGGCAGACAGTGGTAGAGCGGAGCAGAGAAAACCTGGCTACTCGACCCCTCACGGCGCTACGTGTAGTAATACGCGAAGGATCCATCTCGCAGTATATCCTCTGCCCAACACTTTGCGCTCCGACAAGTTTGCGAGCCAACTGCGTAGAAGTCTGTTGCTATTACTACCATGGTCTCACGGCTGACTAAGACGTCCCAAGCATCGAATTGGTTGGTTCGCTACAGTACGGCTCGTGGAAAGTCTGCAAAATCAGAATATGCATCACAGAAAAAAGTCAGGCTTCAGCCATCCGCATCAGAATTCCAGCATAACTCTCGAATTATTCAAAGTGTTGATTCTCTGTTGCTTCAGAAAGTGTGCATCATAAGTAAAGTTAGAGTCCTAGACGTCTCGTCGCTACTCGGGTCTGTTTCCGCCTCACCATTCGGTGTGATTGTGCTGTTACCATCATCCATTTCTCTTGCCATTGTGAATTCAGATGCTCAGGAGACCTCAATTGTATCTCGTGGTCATCAAATCATGGTCCGTCGACTTGAAGCGGAACGAAGCTGATCACCTCTGCCGAAACCTTGGAGGCCTTCCAATATTAAAGCCGTCTCCTCATCTGTAATTTTCACCTGCATTCCTCGATAATGTTGTATAAGGCAGACTGAATGCTCTCCAAGGCACGATCATCCTTCAGAGTTTTGTAACTTGAGTGTGAGTTTTTCCGACGCCTTCGCATTGAGTGCTCTGCAACTAGACAAGGAATACTAGTGCTTACCGTAGCGCTAGTCTTCCTTAGCTCTATTAGTTGCTCAGCCTGCGGTGTATCTCAGCGAAGCCTCACTTAGAATGATTTGTCTGAATGCTTCGGTAATCTCGACACATGAAATGAAGACAAGGCGCGCAATGAACAGCGTGATGTGTGAGATACCTGATGTGCGAGCGCACTTGGGTATTCAGCTGCCTTTTTGTGACCCGAATTGGCTGGGAGGGGTGATGGGTAATGCCTATCAGGGAAGTGAGGTAACATCAACGGCATGCTCGTCTTACAAAGGCGCTGAGCACAAGTGGCAAGCTCAAGTGGTTGGCTTAACTTACTATCGTCTTGCTGGCACCGAGGAATTAGTGTCGTAGCACGGCGTCTCTGTCTGCATTGAGAAACGCTAGTATTATCCGTCGCCTTCAAGACCCTGAAGCTGCCCAACAATATCGGGCTTCTATGCAGTGAGACTGTCAGACTGACTAACCGAGATTGGGGTCGGATCGACTTTCCACAGGCAGCAGTGTTCGTCTGATCATACATAGCAAATTTTACTCAGCTCAGCGCGTACCTAGGTACGGTCGGCGACCTGTTGGTTCTCGAAAAGCAACCAATTTCGGACGAGACTTCTGTCACTCAGCCAAAGTCATGGCCTCGTTTCTGACATCTCAGCCTTTCGAAGCTGCATTACCTACAATGTGGATTATTCCAGCAATCGTGCTCCTTTACAAGATCATCACATTCGGACGCCGAGAGAAGAACCTGCCACCAGGGCCACCAACTATCCCCGTTCTAGGGAATGCGCATCTGATCCCAACTGAAGGCTTCTCTGGCCAGTGCGTACCTGTAACCCACCAATTTACTGAACCTTAATAACCGAGAGCAGACTTAAGGCCTGGTCCCACAAATATGGCTCAGTCTATTCGCTCAAGGTTGGCCGGAGTACTATGGTCGTACTGAACGACCGGCGTGCCATTCATGAACTCCTGACCAAGCAGGGTGCTTGTTACAATGACAGGCCAGTGGACACCCAGATGATCGTCTCGAATAAGGATGAAAACCCGGCAACAATGAAGGAAGGCCCGAAATGGCGAGCTACGCGGAAAATAATAGCAAACTACTTCGCTCCGAGGAATTTGGATTCGACTCTGAGACCCATCCAAGAAGCTGAGTATGTAAAAGAATATCGCAACAGTCAAACTATCGTGAGAATAATGCTGATCCGTCACAGAGTCAACCGACTGATGTTCGATCTTCTGACCAAACCGGAACAATTTTCGTCCAGCGTAAAACGTACGACCGCCTCGATAGCCAGTATCACGCTGTTCGGTCACAGAGCACCGAATTTCGAGAGTTTCTGGGCATACGTAAGTGTCTGAGTCCATGCTTTATGTTTCATCACTGACTTCACATTCACAGGCTGTTTATGTTGTGATGGAAGCCGTAAGCGCACCCCAATCTGTCACAATACTTTTTTTTTTTTTGAGAAGGTCGACCTAATTTTCTGCTGTGGTAGGGCTCAAAAGCAGCCGCGCCCGGAAGCTACTTGCCAGTCGACCAATTCCCCATCCTCAAGCTGCTGCCAGACCGCTTGATCATGGGGAGACAACGTGCCAAAGACTTTTACGTCACGATGACCGGCGTCTGGAAGGATGCTCGCGAACGTGTTGACAAACGACGCGGCGCAGGGGACAAGCGTGAATCTCTCATGGACAGGATTCTCGACGGAGAGGTCAAGAGCGATGTCCCACTTTCGTATTCAGGACTTAACAACTTGCTCGGAGGTGTACACATGGCCGCCGCGGACACGACCGCAACGGCGATACTGACGACCATCCTCTTTCTTGCCAAGCACCCCGAGTTCCAAGAGAAGGCAAGAGTTGAGCTCGACCGGGTTTGTGGAACTGAGCGTATGCCTGGGTGGTCAGACTTCAACGACCTGCCGTATGTGAACTGCATTGTGAAAGAGGGATTGCGCATCAGACCTGTGTAAGTAATGCTAGGCTTCCAGTCATCGCTACGTAAACGCTGACTCTTCTCCAGCGCGCCGTCTGGCGTTCCTCACTTGGCAAAGGAGGACAGGTGGTACAACGGCATGCTCATCCCCGCTGGCAGTGCCATCTTCATACCACCCGCCGCTCTCAACTACGACGAGGCCTTTACCACAGACCCGGACTCCTACAACCCTGACAGGTTCCTCCCCCAGGCTCATATTTTGGCTCCCGAGCTTTCAGCGTCGCCGAAGTACGAAGAGCGTGACCACTATTCATACGGTGCCGGACGACGTATGTGTGCTGGCATCCACCTGGCGGAGAGGTCGCAGTGGCGTATGGTGGCTCAAATGCTCTGGGCCTTCAAAATCGAGCCAGACATTGATTCCGACGGGAAGCCGGTGGAGGTGAAGACTGGTTACGATGTGTACGATGAAGGATTCTTGCACACTCCGTTGGAGTTCAAGGTGCGCATGGTGCCGCGGAGCGATAAGCATGCCGATGTTGTCAGGAAGAGTTTCAAGAAGACAGAGTCTGATCTAAAACAGTGGGAGTGAGTGCATTGAATAAGATTTAAGCACTGAAGAGGCGGTGGCGCTATTGAAGAGCATTTCTGAAGAGACTGCTGCTAGGCGACATTGCTATATAATGTGACAATAAGATCTCAGTCATCGCGTTTGAGGGCTCGTACTAGAAGCCTATTGTGATCGAATGGCAATTCTCATGGCTGCTGATCTGCAATTGAAATAGTTAAGTATCTCTAATATTGCCGTAGTACGTATTGACCTGAAAACTCAAATCCTCTTGTTCGCCTCTGGAATCCTGCCTGGGAACTGAGCCGTTGTGTTATGACCCTGCATTCGCGGCACTCGAATGTGCTTCCGAAGCGGTCAAGTAGTCTCATCACATAGAAAAGGTGGGCATATCAGTGCGGATCGATCTCTTGCCTTGAGATGAGCCTTTTGCGGTGCGCTCTTGTCTGATCGGATGAAGCTGACGACGTCGATAAGCCGGTCGATGAATGTGCCTTTTTCTCAACGAAGGCAAGAACTAGAGCCGCTCTACCGCCAAGCCCCCATTTTCTGATAGTTATGCATTGTCTGTGCCGCTTATATTTCAAGATCAATTGAGGGGCCAAGAAGGGGGGGGGGGCATGGCGAAATGGGTTGGCTCGAGGAAATGCTGTAAACAGGCATCATCCAGGGGCACGCCCGTCGGAACACCATGCACCAACGCGCTTGTGACAGCAACAGTTACTTCAAGACACAGATTGCGGTCGCAGCCTTCCACGGAACTCTATTCCCATATCGTATGAGTGGCAATTTTCTCAGTGTTTCCTCTTAATATCCTGACCTTGGGGCGGTTCAGCACTGTTGCGTTGACCAAAGTTCAGGGGCTCCGTGTACGTGCGAACAACACTTGGAGTTGGAGGAACAGGAAGCTTCTCTCCCCGTTGTACCTTCCGCTTAGCCTCAGATACGATCGGATCCCAGTCCGGCTTCCCTCGGCTGGCAAAGTTGTTGTAAAATGTATTCACCATTGCAGCCGTCTTGGTTCGCATGTGCCGCGCAATTCCATGCCAGTCCGAACCAAAACTCCTCAACAATCCAGGGAAATCGTACATCTCAGCCACAATCCAGCCGTCTTTTATGACGTTTGATTGAAGAATGGCTGTTCTCCGTATGCGTTCCCTGCAGAATGGATGCGTTTGTGCCGTTCTGAATCATATCTCTTCGCAATTGATACACCGCACACTGTGCATACGAAAGGCTTATCGGTATGTTCCCGGAGATGGACCCGAAGAATGCTAGGTCTGGTGAACTGCTTAAGGCAGAGCGTGCACTGGAACGGGGCAGGATGCCTTTCCATTTTTAGAACACTCTCTAGCTCCTCATCCTCTTCTTCTCTAAAACGGGATGAAGTGGAAAGGTTGGACTCCGGTCCCATAGCTGTGTGGTTGACGTCAATGATGGTCCGTGGAGGGATCCGTTCTAACCCCAAGTTAGAGATTGCAACCAATTTGATACAGACAGTATTGAACGGGTAAATTACCTCTGACAGGTGTACTGAGGGCTTCTGTATTCAGGAAATCCCGTTCTTCAGTATCGCGTATCTCAGACAGAGCCGAGTCATCAGTGATATTAGGTACGGAACTCGAGCTTCCTTGAGATCCCGCAGCTCTCTGTATAGGATCCTTCAAGGTCGTTCCAGTGCTAGTTGTGACTTGACGCTGATCCTCCGTCTCGGATGGCTCATCGTCTTTCTCTTGAACGCTTTTTGAAGACTCGTATGGTTCCACCAGATATTGATAGGTACTTTGGAGTAGCTCGGCCGTGTGGGTTATTTCGTCGTCATCTAGCCCAAGCTCGGCGCAAACGTGAGCCCAGTCGTTTGGCTCGCTGACCTTTTCATGTCCACCTTGGCTCTGGACTGCCACACGTACTTCAAAAAGACTCAATGATCGCTTGGTAAGAGCTGGTATGGATCTTATCTGCCGACCAGTCTTTGCCTGAAAGAGCATCAGGCCATCCAGCCAGGCATTTCGTACCTGGGCCTCTGTGTTGTCATTTACTGAATCCGGCTCGCTTACCTCGGACTCTTCATCAAACTCGCAATCAGCTGGCAAGGCCGCGAGAGATATCTCCTCCAGGTGATGACTTAGATGCTTTGTGATGGAAAATCTGCCAGGGCCTGCTTCAGCTCGGCATAGGGGACACTCGATCAAATTCCACTCCGGCGCCATTCGATGGTCGAGCGCAAGGTGCGAAATCCAATCTTCTCGAGTTCGGAAAGCCTCAATTGCGACTGCGCAATCTTCCTTGAGGCATATCCATGGCCGGAGATCTCCGTATACGTGTTTCTTCCAGGCGCTGTTTGTGTTGATTCTGACCCATTTGCCACAAGCCATACACTCAAACGCCAGGCCTTCCTTGCCTGGTGCGGGCAATGGCGGAACACGCACTTTTCTTCCTTCACCCATACCGTAGGACATGATCGTGTCTGCATATGATGAAGCCACAGTGGGTAGAGACGACCCAATACCAGAGTCATGAAATATTGAGCCTGTAGCCTCCGGCAAGCCTGAGGTCGTTCCCCAAACTTGTGTATCAAACAATGCATTACTGGCTTTTTGTTGCTGGCATCTCAAGTATCTATCATAATTTGCTTTTCCTAGTCGTGAAACCAGTTCGTCAGCTGCTTGTGGAAACCGAGTGCTGACTTTGTCGCTGTAAGGCTGGTGGGGACTCCAAGTAATGCGACTGGTATCCACGACAGCCGCTGGTTCAGGATCTATACGCGATATGGGGCTGTGGAGGAGAGGCTCAAGGTCCATTAGACATGTCGTGTCCATTCTTAAATCATCTAGGATACCTGTCACGGAGTCTGAGCTGGAGTTCGAGAATCCTGAATCTGATGAACAGTCGCTCTCGCCTTCGACAATGGCTGCAGTGAGAGACTTGATCAGGGAGATAGATTCTTGACCAGCGTCGCCAATCGTGATATCGACGACATTCAATAATCCTGTTTCTAAGAGTTAAAGACGTTTATATTGGGGCGATGGGAAGAGTTCATTTGTTTGGATAGACTAACTCTCTGTTAGGGTTTGACCGATACTTAATATATATTTGAGTATATCGTGGTGAATATCGTGACATGTTGCGAGAGTCGCATCCAAAGTGCCGTCAGTGGCTTCATTCTCATCTGACCATATTTTCATTCGACCAAAACTCCTATTTAAACTGATTTGCGTGGTCTTCTGCTCCTCCGTCCATGAGCTCTTGTTCGCATTGAAAGCCTTCAAAATAATTTGGAAGAGCAGTAAGCATTCAGCACAAAGTTGTGTCAAAGTACTCCGCTCATCGAAACCAGCTCCGGCTGTATCGGCATTCTGAAGGTACTGCTGGACAGTAGTCTTAATGCTAGGTACGTCTTGCGAACAGAGATGCTCCATCGCTTTCAGTATTCAAACCGTCAAGAGGCTGCAGCAGGATATCGAAAGAAATAAGGGGAGGGGTTCGCAAGACACAAGCTGCTCTCAGAGCTGGCCAGTGTTGGTTGTCAGGTTTTGACATTTCTCAGAGCTGGTCACATCAATTTGGGTGAACCAGAAGTCGGTGTACTCCGCCAACGGCCAATAGAATGGGCACACAGGCGTAGCCCGAATCAATCACAGCACAGCCACCGCCCATGTGTGCTGTGTGTGCCGACTTGATGCAGGTTGCATGCATAGATGAAACCCGAGCCAATGGGGCGCCCAGTGAGGACTCCCAATGACACCATCACCCGACCTGGGCATCGTATTCCTCTAATGTACATCCCGTGTTTCAGCAACTTCGATATAGCACCCCCAAAGTCTCGCTGTTCACGTCCAGCTGTGTTCATATCTCGAGCCTTTTTACTAGTTACTCGACATGGACCCTTTTTCAATTGCATTGGGCGTCTTACAACTCACAGGCGTTACGGTGAAGATCTCGTTGCTCGTACAAAGGAAAATCAAAGCTTTCCGGAGTTACTCTCGAGATTTGGCACGATTGTCGAAAGGAATTGACCGTCAGCAGAAAAACTTTCAGCACGAGATTCATTTAATTTTGAGGCAAGCTGAACAGGATGAGAACGATATTGCGAGGATGTTGGAGGATGCAAATGATTCACATTGGAGAAGTCGAGAGCTACAGAATGGACTCGAAGCCTTGTTCCCGAAGAGTCTGGACACTGTTCAGGGCATCATTGAAGAAATCAGATCAACACTGGAGACTCTCCAGAACGAGCTCGCCTGCTTCGATGAGATCGCACGGATGAGTACCAGGGTGAGCAAAGGAGTTGTGCAGAGGCGATTCCCATCCATTCTCAATGGTCTTGCTCTCTGCATAGATCTTTAGCGTAACTAATCATCAACGTGCAGAAAGAGGCCTTGAAAGATACGATCCGTCGTGTACGAGAGAAAGTCAAGATCACATGGGACAAGACGAGGTTCGAAAATGAAATAAGAAATTTGCGCGAACTCAATGACGACCTGCGGTGCCTACGCGAGCAAGCAGCGGAGATCAAGGAGCCAGTCCTTCGAAACGCATCATGTTCGCGGCCAGCCCAGCAACTCAGTCAGGAATATGGCTCCATCAGTAAAGTCCGCAGGGCATCAAAAGCCTTCCACCAAGCTCTTGCTACTGCGTGGCTGAAGGAGCTATCAGAGGCCAGGGTTGAAGAGATGAGGCATGATGTCAAACTCAAGCTTCACACCCGAGTAGAAGACAATGTCCAGATGGAAGTCATGATTGTCTGTTACGGGCATGCTTGGCCACCACCGTAAGGGTGAAATGTCTATCAGATGACACAAGCTGACTCTAGTTACTTCCAGCACCCCGATTCGAGCTGGGTTCATGAGGCTTCATGTGGAATCTCGCCCTTTGGATTTTATGGAGTCGGGCCTCAATACTCCGCCACACTCCGGAGATGATGATCGTCGGAAGAAGCGCAAGGTCCATTTTGACTTCTCAGACACGCAGGAAATGTCGAAAATATCAACACCAGTAGTTAAGCGGCAACATCCTAGTATAGTAGATCTCAGGCTTGCCGGGGATATTTGCACCGCACTACAAGTCAGGGACAGCGATCCTTGCAACTCGAACTGCCTTGGCTACCTGGATAGCTGCTCTAATGAGACCTTCAGGCACAGCTTCTTCGGGATGTCGACAAAGAAGTCCATGACCGAATCCACTTGTGTATCAGGCGAAGAAATTCTTACACAGCCAGCCGAGACCTCGGTCACCTTTGTCGACCAATTGAGGCTTGCGCACAGCTTTGCCGTGGCCGTATTGAAGTTTCACTCAACACCTTGGCTGAGGAAATACGTCTCCCTCCATGAGTTATCGTTCTTCCGCTTTGATGACGGCGACCTGTCTAGTTGTATACGCACCGCCCACCTGGGATCTGATTTTATCCAGGCATCTTCTAGTGAGCACTTCTCAATGCCGACCGAGGACTTGACGGACAATAGAGCAATTGAAGACGCAAAGCTCCTCCACGGTGTCCGTAACGTGACACTCTGGGGCTTGGGAACTGTGATGTACGTACCCCACAAACAGGAATATATTTTTTTCTTTTCTTGGCTTGCCCAAAGCGACAAGTGGAGGCTCCCCAAGGTAGCTTCGATAACCCTTGTTTCCTGTTCACTGCCATGATGTATCTGATCTCTAACAGCATAAAGGCTTCAAATCGGGACTTGGTCGATGATTAAATCTCCCGACGATGTGGTAGCAGTGCGACGCCTTGCCCAGAGGACGCCAATGTTGGGAAAGAGGTATAGAGACCTCACGAAACAGTGCCTAGAGTGTGATTTTGCTTTCGGAGATGATCTGTCGAGGCCTCGGTTGCAACAGGCTGTGTATGAGCATGTTGTTTGCGGGTTAGCCGAGATGATCAACAGTCTTGATATTGACGAAGAATGAGATCGTATTAGGGCAATAGCGAGGAGCTAATTTCAGTTACTGGAGGATGGCCCTCGAGCCAGGCAGGAAGTTAAGAGTGATATTGCGGCCGGAATAAGGCCCAGTCAATGGTCCACTTCGGTAAAAAGGGTAGCTTGGAAACACACTCACCAAGATCGGTGGCATTACATAAAAGCCCATGGCGTCACCTGATTTCCAATAGTATTTCCGGCCGATTCAACTTACGTACAGACTCTAGAGAACAAAATCAGTACGTTTGAAGTCTGGTGCTTGAGTTAAAAGAATTGAGTTTAAAACTGTTTGGCACGACATTTCTTATAGTATAGCCTGGAATTTGTATTTACGTGGTACGGTCTAATAGGCAATATATTTTTTGGGAATTAAAATACGGCAAGTAGTTTAATTACAAGTTATTCCTCGTCTTAACAACGCAATACATCACCCGAGTTTCCGCCTCCTGCATTTAATGATCTCTGCCAAGGTCTGATGCACATTGGGCAGCTGGTGGGCTGTATGTCTAGAGGAACCTCGGCGAAGATGCGGTTGAAGGACAGCATGCAATTTTGTTCGCGTACTCGCATGCCGACATTCGGTTTGAATCACGCTCGGTTGCGTTGGCGTCGTTGTCTCTTAAAGACGTGTAGGACACATATCTGATTCACCTAGTTTTCTTGGGTGGAGGTTAGTGTTTATTCAGAATAGACTAGCGACCTGGGCCGACTTTGACAATCGAAGTTGAAATGGAAGGAGACATCTGGAGCATACCTCAGGCAGCCGGTCTACGGGGCACAATGGGGGAAAACCATGGCGACGAGTGCCTCAGGAGACTGACGGTTCTATTTGAAGGAAATGGTAGGAATAGGTGTCAATTGTTGGGCTGGAAGTTGATGATGGATAGATTTGGAGAGGTCTTGAATTCCTGGTTAGGGGTTCCCGAAAGGCTTTGGCGATAGAAGACTTCGCGTCAATCATACTTTTCTTCCAAGGGGTTCGTTCGGGGAAAGATAGCGTTTTTGGATGCTGATCTGGGATTATTGATGTTGTTCACTTGGTGAATCCGCGGCAACTTGAAAGTCAACAGGGGCCCGTGCGTCGGACCATCTCTCTCTTTTCTGCTGATCGTACAATCTTCGGCCCCGCTGGAAAGCGGCGGCATACTCGTCTTCGGCTGCATATGGACACATTTTGTACACATAATACTGACCAGACAAGGAGAATATTCGCGAAAAGCTCAGGGAGGGTGGGAAATGAGGTTTACACAGCAGTAGGACAGGATCTTGCACGAACAACAATTGAGGAACAGGTTCGCGCCACTCAGGCTCAGCCGGGAAGTTGCTCAAGGCGTAGGGGTCAATGAAAGCTCACGACTGGCAGGAGCGGCTTGCGTATATACCCACTATCTGCTGCTCCTACTCTTCAAGTCTATTCTAAAGCTGCTGTGAGGCTGCTCAAGGACGAAGCAATCGCTCTGTCCCCCAGGCCGCAACAGCACAGAATGTGCCCTACATTCGTGTCTGCCGAGTACATAATTCCAAGTCCACTCCCCATCCCAATAGCATGCATCTTAGAGGTTTTGAACTGTGGTTGTGTTATTCCAACTCAGTTCTACTGCACTTCCTTTAGTTTCGAATCGGCTCTGACAGGGGAAGGTCCACCATATCCTCCTTTATCAAATCATGCCTTAAGGTAGACGAGGTGGAGGTCGTGTGTCCGCCTTAGCGGCCACAGTATCTTTGGAATAGTTCAAAGATAACTGGGAAATGTAGTTGAACCTCCTATGGGATGATCTCCCATGGGATAACTTTCTATAGGATAACCTCCTATGGGATAAACTTTTGGAGGATGATTATCTTTGAATGATCAGGCATAGAAGCCTTTCTCGTGGAATAAACCTATATGAGAGTGTAAGCCACAGAGGGCTCTCCAATGACGTGTTGTGACTTTTGATAGTGTGACGGTATTGTTCCAATAGTGTATGTGATACACCACAAGACTTGTGCAAGATACCATGGCTACAACTGACCAACGAACCTACGCCTGCAATTACCCAAAAAGTCATATTTAATTCAGCTGCAATGCCTGATTTATACATTGGTCTTTGAGCGCGAAAGAATATAGATTCAAACAATTGGTATATATTTACCTTAGAGATATCCACGCCACGACCAATACTCCATCACAGCAGTGAGCTCATTCTCAGGCCTCTGTAGCAAGATGCTGTCGATGTACCCACGGGTGAAAGTCTCATGATCCTCATCAACGACCAACGCCATCTTACAGTATTCCCAATATGACGGATACCATCCAGCCTCTTCCCAGTCCATAACGCCGGTGATGGTTGGAACTGCCCCTGGGAGGTTTGAAAGCATGATGTTGCCCAGATGAAAATCTCCATGAGCGAAATGGATGTCGCCAGTGTCCGGTAGAAGGGTTCGATAGGGATCCTCGTATTCCCTCTGTGAGAGGGGCGTAGTTGGAAGTGCTGCCAGCTGGACCCAGTCGTTGAAGTCTTTAATGGTAGCAAATGGCCCCGAACTCCCAGCGAGGGGGTCGTGGCGGGCAAAGCGATCTCGAACTTGGCCATGGCTGATGGACCCTAGTGCAGCTCCTTGTCAACTTGGTGCCAAAATCCACAATCGACTTCCCTGACTGATGTAAGCATACCTATGAAAGTCTCTTCGGATTCTGGTCCGAGCCTTCGGAGGTGGGCTTGGATTGAGCCAATGTCTTTACATATCGACTCCTTTTCCGCTGATGAGAGGCTGGTCCATACATCATACAGAAGCTGGCCTGGAACAAGGCTCATTTAAATAAAGTTCATGTTTCCCTCGACCCTCCATCCAAACACTTCATGCACTGGAACCTCGCGTTTGGGAAAGGCCTTCCACAGTGCTCGCATGGTAAGCGCATTATCCAAGTGATTATGGGAGGCCTGCCCAAACTTCACAACAAGCGTCAGCTCCTCAAAGACGGCAATACCATGCTGACTTCCGGGACTGTGAGCATGTCGTTGCAAGACATTGGCCGGCGAGGGCAGATGCAAGTTGGTCGAACCGGGGCGCGCGAAGAAGGACGCGTCGCGGAATTCCAGGTGCGACAGATTACTAGTATGCTTGGGCACACGCAGGATAATTGTACTTGGGGACGCTTTGTCCATGGTAAGTGCAGGAGAGGAAGATAATTCTGCGTTAAATACGTGCAAACAGGCGAGACAGAAAAACCGAAAGTGAGATGCAAAGTAGCCTGGCGTAGAAGTGATAGCTGCTGTCATTTCGCTGTTGTGGGCCGCCCGTTGCTTAGGTAATTGAGTCATAAGTTTTGCTCTCTCCCAAAGGGAGTTTATTGTCTATGGATTCCTGGATTGTAGTCATTCTCTCCTTTCCAATCTTCGAAACCAGGCTCAATAGGTTGCCCGATCCTCAGGATGCGCGGTTTCTTTCGACCGCAACGGGCTCTTCATAATGGAATAGTCAAACCTTCGATCGACATATTTCAACACCTCCGGATCCATGTTATTAGTGTTAAGTCCCATCTGATGCTCTCCTCCATCAGTAATGGGGCGTCGAAGCGGCCACCAATAGCATCTACACGGCATGAGTTCTCAATCTCATGGAAGAGGGATTGTTTGACTCACACGCATCCACAATCATCGCAGAAATTAAAAGATATATCTCGGTCTCCCCAGATGTACTGCTTAGTTGATGTGCCTGGCCTCGTTTCGATCTTGACCTCGTCTACATGGTAGTAGCCCCATGCAGCACCGTAGCGCCTGCATATGGAGCATTGACAGACGTTGGTGTATTCAGGCAGTCGTGGAACTGTGACTGTGATGGCGCCGCAGTGACAGCTAGAGCTGATTGGAGTGTTTTTATCTGCCATGTTTTAGTCTGTTCGTGTGTGATCTGCGTGGTGAGATGAGAAGACATGGCAGCTCGGACTTGTCGGAGGTTGTCTGATCAGAACGAACCGGATCCGATTATATACTGTAGCGTTCCATCCGATTACCCGGCAAAGTGGTGGCGGGGGATCGCTCGATAATGGTAGATTAGTAGCTAATTTTGATAGGAGATCAATCATCTGGTTAGTGTTCATGGAAGTCATCATTCACGATACACCGTGACTTCACAATAGCTCGGTGTGAACGCAACACCGCCGTCAGCACACACGACATAGTACCGGCCACCTTCCTTTGCAGGCTAGCCTTTTTGGTGCGGAACAACGTTGTGCCGCCGACCGCGCATCACATCCTTTCAGCGTGCATGTTCTGTTGACCTGACACAACGACATAAGGCCTCGAAGTCAGCGAGCAGACCTTAGGAGGATGTCATGGGCGGCCCACAATCCACTGCCGCTAGCGTGGCCGGCTTGCTGTCTTTCGACTTACAGAGTACAGGGTACCTTTGAAACTACTACACCGCGTGCCGAGATCAAAATCGGGATCTCGCCAGAATCGCAAACCAATTCGGAGCCTTCTCGAATCCCTCCAAGTACAAAGTATTGAAAGGTCCATCATTCACAGTGAGGACGCTGTGCGTATTGCAGGGGTTGCATGACAAATTTCAGAACGAGCCGGCTTAAGAATGGAGAAAGAGCGTAGTGGTGGTCGCGCGACGGGTGGCGTATCCATTCAGAAAAAGCACCGTAAAAGATCTCAGCAACAATTTCAGTGATATTCGTGACAACTTGCTTTTTCACGTGTCTAATATCTCCTACTGACAAGGAGTATTAAGGATTAGGTTGAAGCACCTCCTGACCTAGATCGGCAGAGCATATCGCGCCGATGTAAAGTTATAATGCACTCGAACGAGAACACCTTGTCAAATACAGTATATTTCATCGGGTGCATGCCATCCATCCTTCGTAGAAAGAGGCGGTATAGCATTTTGCAGGTCAAATAAGAGTAACCATGGATTGAGGAAGGTGTAATCAGTCAACTAAAGTACTGTATTAATATGTGATTACAAGTGAAACGACCACAGGTCGCGACTTATTACAAAAGACTGTCATTTTCCACACTCAGCTGATCGGCTCTATCGTATCTTGAATTGTCTTTGCTTCAATTTCCATTGTTCTTTGCAACTGCATTCGTCGTTAGTTCTGTGAAGACTTGCTCCACAAATTGGAAGATAAGGGTCAACCAACCATTTGACATAAAAAGATAAGTATCTAAAATATCAAATTCAACTCTCATGGCCAAGACCGTGGCTGCGACTGTATATAAAAGAAACAACCTGCGCTCTTCGATTGCATGTATCCAACAAAAAACCACCCAATCGATCGCATCTGAGTCAGAAGATAGGTTCAAATAGGCAAGAACACGACGAAAGAGGCGGGATGGTCGTCAGGGACACACCGGGAACCGAGGCCGCTCAGCACTCCACAACCCTGGGGTCGTTGGAAAGCCCCCAAGATCTGAAATTCTCCTGTTCGAGGAGCATAAGTCACTACAAGTACATGCATCACTTGTATCATTGGTAGTTCACCGCCGTGTCCTTTGCACTGACTTCGGATGTGATGTATCTATATCATCTTTGATCGATCATCACGCGTACTACAATGGCCTATGAGGCGCAAGCCAGTCATGTACTATGGAACAACTAGTAAATAAACTTAGCCTCTACTCCGAGTGATATCCATTCAGGGATCTTGTTCGATTCATTCCTTCGATACTCTCGAAAAACAGCGGACTTGGTAAACCATCAACCGACGCACGACCTGCGTTCAGCGTCGATGCACTTCGAAGATGTCGTCTTGCATTTCGATGTCATCCAGGCCACCCTCACTTCTGTTATTGTGTACCCAATTCTGGTTCTTCATCAATATGGGGTTGCTATCCACGTTGGCGTACGTGACATCCACCGTGCGGTCGACTTGGATTGCGGGATTGCTCGAAAGCTTGAATTTGGAGGACCGCGAAATCGAGAGGCCGGCGCTAGATGGCGGCGTTGTGGCGGTGAGTCCAAACAGTGCCCTCCATTTGTTCTTTCGAAACAAGAACTGGAGGGTGGGAAGACAGGCGACGAATATGCCGACGCCGGCCTCGACCATGCCCCAGTATAGGGAAGTCGTTAAGCTAACTGTGTCGACATCAGCACGGTTACATGAGTTTCATCAGTCGGATCTTCTACACGAACCGAATCTGTGGCTCGCGTCCGTGTCTTCTAGCGAGAAGACGCGGGGAATGAGAAGGGCGAGGCGAACCAAAGATGCCGTGACCGTGCTGTGACCAATCAGTGGATTGCCGCATGCCAACGAAGAGCTGTGCACGAACACGATTCCTAGAAGGAAGATTGATAGTACTCCGATCTTCTTTCCAGTCGATAGCCTCAATTGCCAAATCTACTACTATGTCAATCTAACATCCCGCTGAGTTGAGGAGTGCGAGACATACAAGTGGGATGGGCATGATCAGAATCGTGAGATCGAAGAGGAAGTCCGTCAGACAGACAGAAAATATGATCATTGTTGTCTTGTTGCATTGCGTTTGAATATCGTGAGACGAGCCCCAGTTAGCCCAGAATTTGGTTGAACATTGGAATAACTCTGCGAAAAAGAATGCTGCCATCCATGCACCAACAAGCGCGATAGTGAAGACGATGATCACGCGCGTTCTTCTATTGATAGTGAAGATCCGTCTGTAGAGGAAAAGGAGCGAGGCTTTAGTGGACCCAATCGCCAACGGGTACAGTAGAAGAAAAACATATTGGACCTGGCAATGTCAAGAGTATTAGCTAAGATCTCAACGTCCATGCAGTTGCGCCAGACCTTTCGCGCCAGCATCTCTTGCTCAGTCGCTGATCGGGCGGGGCCTCCCTTAGAATCTGGAGGAATTTCGAGTGGCCATCCAATGGCATGATGATGTGTCGCGCCATAAGATAAGACGATGCCAATCGCTAATGTTAAAAGCTGCGCGAGTAGCAGAACATTAGTCGATTTTCAGACGTGCGGCGCAGTCGAGATGAGGCTTGAAAATCGGCGCACCGTAGCTGGTACCAGACTCCAGTCATCGGCCTTCAAAGGCTGTTTCTGTATCCGGCGAACCTTGAATTTCAAGGCCACTGCGAGAATGTCCACTACCGGGAGGGCCACACTCGCAGCTATGACGTGTGCCGCCGTCTCGTAGTACTTTGGCATTGCGAAGTGGAAACCAGACTATCTGCATAGTATAGACATACCATCGACGCTAGAAAGCAAATTTGGATATGTCAAAACGTAATGAGGTGAGTGAAACCGGGGGGACGCTGATTCTTACGGCATGGCGTCTTGTATATGCCCAAACTTACCCACCCATCAGTACCCTTAGCCCAATCTCGAGCTGTATATATATAACTCACATCGCTCATGTTCTGGCCCCCATGAGCCCCTCCCCCCATGACTGATCGTCTCAAAATCATCCTTCCAATCATTTGCGAAGACTAGGTATAGAAAGTAGGTTGCACTACATGCAGCATTCTTCCAGCTGATGAATACGGCGGGACACTGAGGTTGGGTTGCACAACGTACAATAGTCCTGCTCGATGGGCCAATGACTGCAGAAACGGGCCCCACAGCCACATGATTATCTGCAGGCTACCTTACATGCGTGCCGGATCTGCGAGCGCTGAGGGCAGCAATTTCAGCTTTCTTGGGGGGTCAATGCAACATTAACTACCAAGGCGCTGTCAGACTCGACCACAAGTTGCCGCAAATGACAGATCTCCCAAGCTTGAGGTCTGTCAGGCTTGGATGGGTTCTCTTTCCATAGTTTTTACATCTTGAATACTTTAGACATGCTCACTTTTACTGATTCGAATCACACATGAGCCTCAGACTTTACTTACACAGCCTCACCTTAACTCCCAAACTCATGAGCCGCCATGATATACCACTACGCTGATCCCTGCTCAGTACTACCATAGCCAAGAGATGCACGCTGTAATCAATGTAAGCTGCCAAGATTTGCCGTCGTACTGTTACCTATGAACTGTCATTTACACAACATCAAGCATAGCTTCATGATCGGACGCGGGCTATGATGCGGCTCTCTGTTGCTCTGAAGAGACGGGAGCTACACTCATCCACGTCTTTCATCATTGATTTAAAGCAGCATCTGTAAATAATGCAGGTCAGGTCCCAATGTCATGATCGGAGGTATGTGTACGGCGATCCGCACTCATGGGCTCTAACCAAAAAGGTAGGTGACACACCCATGGCGTGATACTGTGATACCCTGGGCACTTGGCATCGTCAATATTAAATCAACGCGCATCGAAGGATTTTGAGGAGGAGCGAGAACAGATGAAAGGATGCAGAGTCAAGCATATGAGAACAAGAAGAAAAGAGCAGATTAGTAATAATGCTCCTGCAGCCGAACAATAAAAAAGCGTGCTATATCTTTGGGGTAAGCTCTCTCATACGTCCGGAATGCAGACTTAGTTACTTCGAGCCACGTGGACTTCCTTGTACAAACTGCCCAGCCTCAGTTCCTGCATGACCAATTTATAGGTTCTTCGGGTACGTTCATTGATTCAACATGAAGCTCTTGAAGTTGTCGATGCTCTTCATCGGCTGTTTCCGACCCCTCGCAGCCGTGGCTCAAGAATCTCGTGGTCTGAGCCCGAGGTCAAACTCCAGCGCACCTCCATACCGAGAGAGCCTCATTTCCTTCCACAAGTCACTTGTAGACTTCAACTCAACAACTGGCAGTGAGGCTGATGTCGGCGAGTTCCTCATCGACTACCTGACAGAGCAGGGCTTTGTAGCAGAGCGCCAAACCCTGCCATCGTCCAACAACTCGGCGGTGCGCTTCAACGTAGTCGCATGGCCGGCTTCGCGCAGTTCGAACTCGTCCAAGGTCGTGGTGACAAGCCACATCGACACCGTGCCACCATACATTCCGTACTCGCGGACGGGGCCTGAACCGCCGACCGCCGAAACCGTGATCGCAGGGCGTGGCACTGTCGACGCGAAGGGGAGCGTGGCGACCCAAGTCACCGCTCTGCTGGAGTTATTGTCGACGGGTGAGGTTACCGGCGACGACGTAATGCTGGTATACGTCGTGGGCGAAGAGAAGACGGGCGACGGCATGGCCTACTTCTCCAACATCACATCGCAGCAGCCAGATCGGCCAAAAGCTGCCATATTCGGCGAGCCTACTGAAGGCCTCCTGGCTTGCGGTCATAAGGGCAGCCTCGCCTGTACGGTCACAGCACACGGCCGCTCCGGCCACAGCGGATACCCTTGGCTGTTCAAGAGCGCCACCGAGCTGCTGATGCGTGCCATGGTTCAGACCATAGACACGGACTTGGGAACTAGCGAGAGGTATGGCAACACAACAACCAATGTCGGCCTCCTGTCGGGCGGTATTGCCATCAATGTGGTCCCTGACACAGCCACGGCTGGGATCGTTGTTCGGGTGGGTATTGGGCCAGAACTGGAGGGCGGTGAGATTGTGAAAGGAAGGCTGCTTGATATCTTGACAAGTATAGACGCCGAGGCTTTCGATTTTGTATGCGACAGTAGGGCCTTTGGAGCGATTGAAACCAACTGTGACGTCGATAGTAAGTTTCTCCTCAAGATGGTACTGATCCAGACTAACTTTCCCTCAGGCTTTGAAACAACTGTGGTGAACTATGGTACAGATATCCCCGGATTTAAGGGTAATCATACCCGTTACCTTTATGGGCCAGGAAGCATTTTGGTTTCACACGGTCCCAACGAAGCAATTACACTGGGGGAGTTGGAGACTGCGGTCGAAGATTATCAGAAACTCATCCTGCATGCGGTTCAAAGCTAAACTGTGCAGCATTTCTCAAAGTAAACCTTGCCATTCATGTATATTATTATAGTGGGCGAGAAGCTTGGGTTAGAGATACAAGCGACAAAAACAATGCATGAGAAAGCAGCATTATTATTTCGACTTTGACATTTTTAAAGATGACCAGGAGAACTGCGGCCAGAGACTGCTGGCACTATGAATTGTCAAAAAACGTCGATTAAGTTTGGCTGGTGTGACCGGAAGCGCCCGAGCCATGCCAGAATTAACAGCTCAATGGAGCGCCGTAATCCCAACAAGGACATACAAGAAGGTATTCAAGAGTACGATCAGCGGAAAATCCAGCTAATCGGCATTCGATATTCCAAGAAGTTACTATTTAATTCTTTTCGACTTAACGCTGTAGTAAGAGGTGTCATAATTCCAAGACCTTTTCCATCTGGGATACGGGCTTCTGGATTTCTGGATAGCAGCGGAACAGCGGGTTGCTTGCATTGTAATTCACGCCTTGGTGAACCTGCATCAAGTTGTGCGGGTCCACCTGCTGCTTTATGGACTGTAGCCTTTCGTAGTTCTCCTTGCCCCAAAAAGCCGAAACGTGATCAGGCTCAAATGTGTCGCCCTCGTTGATATAAGCTCCACTGCCGGGTGTCAGATACCTGAGTGGGTCCATCGCAGCAGTCAAATTCCGGAATATGGCGTCGACTTGGTCCACAGACGTCTTTGAAGAGTCCCAACTCGTGCTTATGATAATGTGCCAGGTTGAGCTGCGCCAAGCCGGCGTGACGGCGCTGTCGCTATCCTGGGTTGCTTGCGATGGCGTTGTCAGTAGCAACATAAGGCGGAAATTCACAGGCCTGGTGGGGGAGATAACGTCGAGGAGCATCTTTGTGAGCGCCGCTTGATTGACCTTTCCTTCGAATCGCTTGCTTGGGATTAGTCGAGATGCCTCCCCGAAACCAACTCCACCTCTCGCCACTTCGCTATTCTTGATGTGTTCTTCGTACAATTCGTAAAATGACTGGTAAGTAGTGAGCTGGACGGTCGCACCAAGCTGTGTCGCCAGGTCCAACAATGGTGATAGAGAAGAATTGGCCGCGGCTTCGTTGAGGAGTGGGTTCATGAACCACACCGGAAATGTCGCGCCCGGGATGACGTACCCTCCCCAACCATACTCAAACCATGAGTTCGCATTTTCCACCAAGACTGTAAGCACTTGTCGCTGTGATTCTTCATCCAGCCCGAAGAACGTGACGTTGACCCATTGTAGCGTCAACTGAGGACGAGCCAATGTTGACATCTCCATGATAACGCCAAACGTGCCCCCTCCGCCGCCACGCAACGCAAAGAATATATCTTGGTTTTGGCAGTGGTTGGCCGTCACATACGTCCCATTGGGTAACACAACACGCAGTTGTTGCACGTTGTCTACCCCAAGACCGTACACTGGCGACAGGGCGCTGTGCCCACCCCCAGAAATCCAGCCACCTCCTGGATGGACTGTAGGAGCTGAGCCGCCAATGATGGTCACGTTGTTCTGGTATGCAAACTTGTACAATCCATCAAAATCCTCGCCTGTACCGAACGTAACAACCTCGCCAACTGACTGGCTGCATCCTTCCGGGACGAAGCTCTTGTCCAGCGTCGGCGCCGGTGTATAATTGTGAACCCACAGAGCCAAGGAGCCGGCACCGGCGCTGCGACCTTTGTAGTCGTGACCACTATTCTTCACCACTATCGGCACCTTCCGATCTGCAGCAAATCGCAGAGTCTGTTGGACATCCTCGACCGAGCTTGCGTTGACATAGTAGAGGGGGAGGTTGCCTTGATTGCAAGGCTGGCTCGGATCAATTTCATTTGCTGGGGACAAGGGGCAACCAATTCCGGTACTCTGGCAGATATCCCAATTTCCCTATGAGCTACGGTCAGTAAGTAGAGACCATACAATCTGGACATGGCGTACCTGAGTGTATCCGCCAATTTGAGTCGTGAGAAATGTCATGTTGTTCTTGTTTGCCACAACATTGGCGCATTCCGCTTCATCTGGGCTCCGCGGCTCGCCATTAAAGTTGTCATAGCATGGGAGACCGACGGGCAATGTGGCAAATAGTTGCCCTCCAACCGATCTGTTGAGAGCCTGCCAGTCTTCAGGCGATACCCGAGAAATTGGTGAGCTATCTCCTGCTGCCAAAAGTCCCGCAGAGGTATGGCAAAGTTCGAAAATGATCAGCAAGGCTACTGTAGCATGGCGGGAGGTCCACATCGTGATCAATGGATGTAGAGAAAACTCGGTGGCCTGAAACTCGCCGCAGGATGTGTCGATAAGCCTTTCGTGAGGAACTTATGAAGCTCCGGTGTTTATTTGCTGCCTGACTGTCTCAGTGAGACACAGGAACGTGGTTGTTTCACCTTCAAGACAACCGGTATCTGGCAACACATCAACGTACACTCAACTCACTGGCTGCGCCTGCTGCTGCAATTAAATCTTAGCGTACGCTCTCTAGCTCAACCAGTTGTTGCATCTTCTTACGGGAGGGCTGCTTCCGAATAATGGCGACTGACTTAGGTTAATCACACCCTTGCAAAGGTGTCGTTCGCGTGACAGGGCCGCGGGTAGTGAGGCTCAAGGAGTATAAGTAGGAAGATAGCTTTCACAATTCGCATTTGAAGACCAAGAAGCTCAGTATTTCTCAGGCAGAAGCGAATGTAAGCACGGAAAAGCTTTTGTTCCGGTGCATGTCATTTTGCAGTCCGCCGTGTAACCAGCAGGCTTGGGCGGGGACATGGGCTTTCCAATAGTCAGAAAACAAATCCTGATCCTTCAATCCACCAAACCAACCCCGGTTAGAGTAAGCCTCATCCGGCTTTGACCTAAATTCGCTTCTCAAGAAAGAACGACCAGGATTTTTGTCAGACAAATGCGCAGAAGATTGAAAGCCACGCCGAACGGACGTCTAAGGGCCTTCAAAGGCTCGCTTCCAGGCGTATGTAAAACTCTTGCGGCTGCGTCCGACCCATCTGAGCTACTGTAATATTTTCACTGCGAGCTGGACACGTCGTGTGAGATCTGAGCGTCTGAAGAAATGATACCATCACTGGACCGAAGATGTCAGTTGGTAATTGTAGCACAGCAAGATACCATCCCTGAGGCTAGAAACCAACAATTGACATAGAAACTATCTGTTTGCAGGATGGCTTTGAAAGGCCTTGGAATAGACAAAATGAGGTTGTCAACGGAGTTCTGTGGGATTGCCTAACACGCTGTTGTTGCAGGCCTTGCTCACCAGGAAACAATCCGTATATCTCGTCTTTACAAGGCTCCAAAGGTACTCAGTTGGGACTAATCAGGGGAATGCGGTGACCATGACAACAAAGAATACTATATTTCAATGGCTACTCGTCCGAGCTATAAAACGTGTGAATTGACACATTTTCTTGTCTAAAATATTCTCGGTCTGTCGCACGCCAATTGTCACTCTACCGGCCCCAGAAGCGTATCCATGAAGGTTAGTATTGATATCAGGCTGTTTTGTTCAGCTGCTGTGAGAAGAATTCCGAAGACGGGTAGTAGAGGCGCCGTTGCTCGCTCTTCTCGAATCTTTCCAGCAGCCACTGCTGCTGCATCTCTACGTCCTCCCAGTCATTGGGAACCCAACCGCCAAAGGAACCGCAAAGGAGTTCGCCCCAAAATATTGCGCCAGGGTTACACGGCAGCCATTCAGCCTGCTCCGGGGACATTTTATCGACTTTTGCCCTGTTATAGTCAATAAGCACAACGCGTGGTATGGTTAGCCCACATATTGTTTCTTCCTGCTGATTGTTTGTGACAAGTACGACATTACGTCCTGCGAAATCCCCCTGGGCAAGACCTGTTTTGAGCTGCCTAACATAACCATCCATCGCGCGAGCAAGCACTTCCAATCTGTACTCCTCAGGATAATGAAATGCATCCGTACCCATACTCTTGTCGAAACTATTTTGAACACGCATGTCCTGGATGCTGACTCCATTTAATCGCTCCATCAAGATCAATCGAATAGATCTGGTTTGGGGCTTCCCATTGATACTAATAGGAAGCCAGAATATCCAAAAACCGTAATATTCTGGCGCAAAAGTGGTATCACCACCTTGCCCGCATTCGCAGAGATGCTTGTAAGCTGCAGTTTCGGCTTTATAATCTTGGTCCGCATCATACACGCAATCTTTCGGGTAGTTACCAATACTTGCTTTAAAGTTATAGTACAGTGGATCATACAACTTAGCAGCAGCTTGGAAGGGTTCCGCAGTCACCCTGTTCTCTTGTAACGGAATTACTGTGCAGGCAACTATCTGGGGCCCCCGTGCCTCTCCAACAGCAATTGGAGCAGCTATGGTCAACTGAGCCGTCTCATGCTCGGTGGATGCCGGGGTCTCATTGGGCGGATTTGCCACAACCGCTTCGCTATGAGTGACCGTTTTGAGATATTCTATTGAAAGATGTGGTCTCGATGTCTCTGTTTCAGCATTATGGCGATATATTTTGGTGCTGAAACCCGGTAGGTAAGGTAGACTTGGCTTATCGGGATCATCTGGGGGAGACCAAAATTGCACTTGACGCGGTCGCATGCTTCGGATAACAGAATCCTTCAGCCATTGTGGTATATGATCTGCCTCAAGAAGAAGCTGCTCAACAGTAGCAAGCTCATTATGTTGGTCCTTGGTCGTCTCGTTAGACATGTTGATGCCCAGGTGTGGGGTTGGAGTATGGCGGGGTGGTTGACAGGAGAAGGCGAAAGGTGAATGGGAGACTGAATGCAATGAAAAGATGTCGTGGTTCGTTGAAAGACCGACTTTGCTGGTAGAGAACTGTCATCAAGCCACTTTCCAAAAGTCATGCCAGCCAGTGGCCCATCAGTACCGCAGTTCGTCGTGTGTTGGTTGTGTTGGTTCAGGCCTGTAGTCTTCTGACTAGGCAGCAGTGCATTCTAGCCATGACATTCCCCATCGACCCACCCAGCGTTCAGACCAGTTGGCCCACACATTGAACGGCCAATAACGCGCTGGTCGAGCGTTCCCGTGTCTTCGACGCTTGGTCCGGGTGCAGCAGTGCGACTATGGCTACGGCGACTGGCTGAAATGCTCGAGTTGGAAAAACTGCAGCCAATATGGGTCGTATAGTCAGACTAGTAACAACCAACCATGCAGTACGTGCGGTTGCAGCTGTTGAGCTAGGTAGCAATTATTTGCTGGAATACTGTCTTTGAGAATTTGCATTTCTGAAAAATGATATGGGCGTGCAAGGTATTTCTTGAGGCTTCTGGTTCCACCGGTGTCTAGGTGAGGACTAATTTTGCATTGTTGCAGCGCTCAGCGCCATGGGCAGGAAGGCAGTTCGCTTTAGTAATCGTGCTCGGATCAGTGGCTATAAACGACGTTTTGCGTTGTTTTCAGACACATTCTTTACCTAGAGAAGAATCCAGTCTACCCATTCGTTTTATATATGTTCGGTCTTCGGAAATAAGCAGATTTTTACGTATTATTGTGATCCTGCTGCTCTGATTAGAGCCTAAATGATTCGTTCTTTGGGATTTTTTCTTTCCCGTGGTTATTTTCCCCTACTTCGCGTAGGCGCGCTCCTGGCTGCTATGCAGGAGAGTCGGCAGAGCGGCCTCCGCGAGAATCCAAACCCCCGCCCCCCCCCCTTACCGGACAACTGTTTTTCGGGGGTGTGCGGTTGCCCGTTTCCAGCATCACACACAACACCAACTGAGCCATTGTCCCGCAAGTGAGACGGTTCCTACGTCGTCACGACACGAAGGCTCGATTTTGCTGTAGAAATTCGTTGATTTCTGTTGAGGTTTGCCTAAAAAAAAGAAAGGAAGAGGCAGCGCAGCTTTCCGCGCGCCCTCAAAGCTATTTACAATACGGCGGTGGGCTGATAAGATAAGTTTATCGATAAGGGCCATGTAGATCCCAACCCAGAGGGCCCCGCTGGCATTCAGCCTCACAGAGCCTGTTCCCGTGCGCTTACCGAAAGCCTTATCCTCTTTGGGGAATACGATGCGACGCAAATGAAGCTCAGTAATTCGCGCCCTGACAGCCCTTCCCGAATCCGAACTCGAGCCAAGGTTGGTCAAGACGATCAAGGGACTGCAACAGCATGAAGTGGGCTGTGCACCTAGAGGAGTCAGAAGTTTCAAGAGCGGAATGCTGTATCAGACCATAAGACAATTCGACTACAGCTGCAAAAGCAGTTAGTTATCAGTGGCGTTTGATGCCGCAGGCGTCGTCTTCGGGAGGTACCCCGCGATGGAGGCAAAACAGATCCCTGATACAAAAGCCCGTCTCATAAGGCGTCTACCCCCGGACACTCGATTAATTGGCAGATCTGCCTTTGCCCGCGGAAACTTGGGGCAGCGCTTACGCCATCCAGATCCAAGGAACGGCGGCACTTGTAAGCTGCCCATTATGATAGTCAATAACTCATGGCCAGAATACCTGGGCATTCGTCTGGTCATTCTTCTGATGAGAGACCTGGGGTTGCTGTGTCTTAGTTACTTCTTCATCGTTTTCGCACTTGGCGGCGTGACAGCCATCGCGCATCCGGTCTCGATTACAATTGAAGCACTCGGAGCGATCGAGATCTTGTTTTATGTCTCGTTTTTTCTTCCCTATCGTTTCTTCCTGCAAAGCCACAGACCTTACAAACCAATCCCGCTCAACAAGGAAGAACGCGCCAAGCTCTTCTACAAAGGCGTGAGCTTGATACCAGACGCGGAACAATTCATCCGTAAATGGACCAATAATGCACATCTTGAGGACATCCGCATCGACAATGTGAAGGATTGGTTACTGTGGGCACTGTTCGAGACTGAGAATATCAGGGACATTGGCCATGACACGCAAGATGAGTTGGATGAATACATCGAGCACATTCGACAACAGCTGGGCCTGGATTTGAAGCCAGGTAGGGGCCCAGCAGAAACACTGCGCTTGAGCTTCGATCCAATTTACATGGAGCATCGAAGCCTCGTTTACTACTTGGTCAGTCAACGCGCGTTCTTGGCCCCAGGATAATCCAGCAGACCCCACAGACCATCCTGCTCCCCACTTGACTCTGGCTAATCTTCAGAGATACGATAGGCAATCGGGTCTCTTGACATGATGATGTGTCTCTGGCTCTTGGCTAGTGGCTACAAGTTCTATAGGCAACCCAGGTCGACATTCTTCAAAGTCTTCCCGCTCCGGCCTCTTTCCCTCCTATCGCCAAACGCGTCAGACGCACCTGACATGTCTTTCTGGTATCGTCCGCATCGATCGAAGACCCACCGTCCGGTCATCATCATCCATGGCCTCGGCATTGGGTTGATTCCGTACCTATTCTGGATGGCCACGATTCCAAATGACATTGGGATTGTCGCCGTGGAAATGCTTCCCATATCAACACGTGTCACCTCCCAGGTCTTGCCGCCAACATCGGAGCTCTGCCAAAGCATTGCGACCATCGCTGCCCAGATACGCAAGAAAGATCCCGGGGCTTGGAACGACTTCGTACTTGTCACTAGTTCCTACGGAACCATGCTTGTGAAGGGACTAGTGGAGCATCCGGATTTTGGTCCTCGTATTTCCGGCAATGTCCTCTGTGACCCTGTAGCTCTTTTGCTTCATCTACCTGATGTTGCGTTCAATTTCACGCGACGAACACCGGGCAGGTCGCGACGAGGGCGGCCCGGTCGGGCAAATGAGTGGGAGATCACGTGGGCGAGCGCCACTGAGGCTGGGACAGCGTATTCACTTGCTCGGCGCTTTTGCTGGCGGGAGTGCGCGTTGTGGCGAGAGGATATAATGCCCAGTATGAGAGATGCTGAGAATGGGCAGTATGGTCGAGGTCACCAGAATGAACAGAGTCTATCCTGCAAGGGCATGCGCACGACAGTCATTCAGGGCGGGGAGGACTGCATCGCAGCCGCAAAAAATGTGGCAGCTTATGTCTACAGCGGGCGGGTGACATATGATTACTTCGACATTCAGGCGTGGAACCAATACCAGTGGAATGGTACCGAGGAGCTTGAACTGGTGTTCTTGGACGGAAAGGACCACGGGCAGGGCATGATGGTGCCTAGACCATCTAAGAAGATAAGGCAAGTCATCGAAGGGTACTGCAGAAGAGCGCTACAAGCCCCTGTGAGACCCACCACATTCACTAGTATTTATGATGAGGATCCACAAGGGAAGTTTTAGGCATTTATATTCTATCAGAATAATAGGTGCGTAGGTAGAGTGGTAGGCCCCAAGTTGAACGCAAGGTCTAAGTCCCTCTAAGGGCGAAGCCGTTCGCGGAAGCTATTAAATAGCTGCTATTTTCCTTGGCGCCAAGGCCCAGAGGGCACATGACGAGTATCCCTGACATATTCCTAGTAGAGGGATGACAGTTAGTTCTTAATAATAGATTAGTATCCTGCGGCTTCTTCAGTTGTGTAAAGGGCGAGTAATGATAATTAGAGTTGAAGATCTTTACTTGACTATTGAATCTTTAGACCTCTAGGGTCAATATGAGGCCAAATGTCTTCGCTCTCAGACGTTACATAAAGTCCTTCTCTACAAACTCATATGACGTTCGCTGACTGCCTTGCTTTTTACTCAGTAGTGAAAAGTCTGGTGCTCCACCAAACAAGGCCACTATCATTTCCTCCTGGGCCGACGCCCTCAGTCGTACAAGCGAGGTACCCGCTCTTCGTAAGGAACACATCCGACTCCTTGGCATGTCGACGGTTTCCCACGGGTTCCCATTTCTGCGAAACGTTCGGATCGAATTCATCTCGCGCCTGCGAACGTGCACTCCATCCTGCCATTCGGGCACTAAGGATTCCGGAAGCTCTTTTGGGGCTTGCAGTATTTTGCCTGCAGACAACTTTCACGCCAGGAACGATGCAATCTCAACATCTCGCTCAAACATACAATCGGAGGATTTTTCAAATATATCTGTGATGGCCTACGCATAAGTAATAACTGTTAATAAGCACCAGCTTTGATTTTTCTATATTTCTTAAACTAGAACTGCCCTTCTATATACTATATAACGTTTACGGGATTCCCTAAGGGATAAACTACTATGAATATAGGTTTGTTTTGGCTGCAGGTGCGAAAAAAGCGTTGATAAATGATCAATAAAGGGAACAGAATAAGTCGTTAGCCGCGAAGCTTGCTGGGAGCGAGGTATCAACTTACTCTTGTACACCTGATGAGATCGTCTACAGCATTTAACGTGTCACAACGGTCAAAGCTCGTATTTTACCTCTATCTAATGTGTGCTCGCTTGAGAATTACCACCAGATCTGATGAGCCGGAAGCGACTCTGCAAGCTTGCTTTATTTCGTCTTTAGGGCCCTCGAAATCTATGCCAGACTCCCTGACGATATCAATGGCCTTGCTATCCTCTACGTTGAGAAGCAGAGCGGCGGTTCCACTATAAGATCTCGGACTCACTCGATTACAGGAATGTTGAGGCACATCATAGTCATATTGGATCGGCTGATATGTTTGGATGGTGGTGACCGCTCCTTGAGAGATTCCAGCAAGTTGTAGTAGAAGATAATTTTTCAAATTAAAAGTTGTTTACTCACTTTCGTAACTAGTTTTTAATTTCAATTAAGGAACATTTATTTCGTGTTTTAGGTACTTTCAAAAATATGTTTAGAAACATGCTGGACTTTAGAGACGAGCTCCTGAGGAATGCGATCGCTGCTGCGAATATCTTCTCAGTCGATGTATTTAATCCGCAAACTCAACGGCTGCGCTTTCACTTTGATAGAGGAGTACATTTGAACAATAGTATGAATTTGAATTAGATTTTGATCATTGAAATGAGTGATTCTAAATTTGTTGTCTTGAAAATTTTATTATTTTTGGTCTCTCTCTCTCTGTTTCTTTTTGTGCTCCATTTTACTCGGAGCCGAGGGCATTTCTCTCTCCATATACATTCAGAACACCATGCCTCTCGGTTCAATAATTTTCAAAGCATCTTGATCCGAAAAAAGTTGAAATGTCTCCATTGATGCTCCATTGCTGTGCTAAATTGAAGCCAGAAGAACAAATCATTCGAGTCGTGACGAATCGTGCAAAGATTAGATGGAGAATTTCTCGGCATTAGAGTATCAAACGCAACGTTCTGGGCGTCGCAACGCGGCAAGATGGGCAAGGGGAAGGTGGTTGGGTATTCAAGAGGGTGAACTCGGTGCAATATTGGACAGGAATACTGATCTGCCCCAACGGCCACGGAAATTCCAAGCCAGTACTGTGTTCTCAGCAAGTATGAGAAAGAAAAATCTGGAGGTCATTGCTCACTCGTGACATTCATGTTGCCCAGGTAGCCTTTATCAACTCCGCCGCATGCTCTGCGATACCATACACCACAGCCTGCAAGTTTGCATTACTGATCAGGGGCATCACACTTGCATCCACCACACGTACGCCATTAACGCCATGCAGCCGCAAGGCACTATCCACGACGCCCTTCTTGTCCAGCGGCAGCATTGCGCACGTGCCCGCGGGGTGCCACATCGATATGCTGCTCGTCCGTGCAAACCGCTCCGCTTTCTCCAAGTCACCATTGAAGTCCGACGCTGGGTCGCGGCGCCGCAACGGCTGTTTCAAGAACGTGCTTGAGAGAGGCTCACATGCGGCGATTTGTTCAATCTGCAGCATGTGTGCTGCCATCACCTCAGCGTCGACAGGGTTGGAGAGATAGGCCGGGTCGATGATGGGGTCATCTGTAGGGTTGTTGCTCCGGATGTGGGTGGTGCCTAGGGATAGAGGCTGAGAGAGAACTGTCGCGATGGTCAAGAATTTTCCCGGCACTGGGCCAGCTGGGGAGTCTGGGGACCACGTCAGGTCAACAGGATGAGGGTTTTGGCCTCGCATTGTCATATACACTGCAGAGGGTGCCTTCGGATCCAGCAGCGTCCGGCGGACGACTGAGTGAAGGGCAGAAGCCCGTTGATCCGATTCAGGAGGGATGTTGTCGTCGAGGAGCTTTCTAAGTCTCTTGTAGCCGGAACTTTCTTGAGACACCCTGTCCAATATTGGGAGATAGGCGTAAGTTTCGATGCCGACGCTGGTAAGGGGCCCTGATTTGCTGGTTGTGTACACCTGTATCGCCTGGTTGATGGCCTCCGGCTCCTGTCTCACCAACGTATCTAACGTTTCTAATGAATCAACAGCTTCATATGCAATGCCACAGGCGAGATGGTCCTGGAGATTCTCGCCAACCCCTGGAAGATGGCAAATAGATTCGATACCATGCCTGGCGAGGATTTGGGCGTCTCCAATTCCTGAAAGTTCCAGAATCTTGGGTGATTGGAAAGTGCCCGCTGCAAGCACGACTTCTTTCGTGGCTGAAACAGTCTGGGTGATGCCGTTGTGAGTGTACTGAATACCATTTGCTTTGATTCCTCCCTCCCGATCGAAAAGAATTTTGTCTGCATGTGCGCCAGTTAGTACCACGAGATTCTCGCTTTTTTTGCATGGCTGGTAGTATGCTGAGGCAGAATAGCTTCTCTCCTTCGTTATTGGGTTAACAGAATGAAGAGTACTAAATGATCCGCTTGCTGCACCCAGAAAAGGATCATTAGCCATAGAATACCCAAGGTTTTTCATTGTATTGGCCCAGGCTTTGTGGACAGCAACCTTTGGGAAAGAGGTCTGAATCGGTCCTTTAGCTGCGTCGTTCTTGGCCGCCCATCCGTCTACACCGAGCGCTGCCTCCAGCTCCACCTTCACTGGGGGATGGGTGTAGGCCTTGGTCATATTCATCTGGAGCATATCCCAATCCCAGCCTTCGTTTCCGAGTGTTTCCCAAGCATCGAAATTTGCCTTGGTGGGAGGAACAAAGATCTGGGCATTCATAGCGCTTGAGCCGCCTAGCGCCTTGCCTTGGTTGACCGTGACAGGTCGATTATTCAGACCTGCCTTTTGAAACTGTCAGTTGGCGTCTGAAAGTAGAGGTATTTTAGAGCTGTATTTGCGCTGGCCATGTACCTAGGTACGGAAAGGAGGATTGATACCTGTGGCACGGTGTTGAAGCACCAATCAGCTTCTGAACCAAACAAAGATTCCCACATAGCTGGAATATTCACACGAGGATCGTTGGTATGATCGTCTCCTGCTTCCAGCACAAGAATACGGAACTGATGGACCTCTGACAGACGAGTTGCGACAACGAGGCCGGAGGTACCGCCTCCAATAACGACGAAGTCAAAGGATGAAGACATGTTGTAAAATGATTGGCCTTGGATTTGCGGTCAAGTTAATATCGTAGATGCGTGTTGAAACAGAGTAGGGGATATGAGATTGTTTTAATGTGTAGTAGCTCAAGCACAACGGTTCCAAGATCTATACCCGTCACGCGCAAACTCTGTGGCGGTGTTCTCTTTATCATTGGATCTGGGGGAGGAACGTAGAACGTTGTTTCGATGTCTACTCTTGTTCTACAGACTGGAGCCGGTTCAGACCTCAAGAAGATGTCTCCAGGTCGAGGCATTGGGCCATGGGAGCCAGTAGGCACGTTGGTTCTAAGCGAGTACGGGCATGTTTCGGGGTTGCTACCCTACCAAAATCCTATGCAACCTTCCTTCTTGCATGCTGAGCCTCCCTTTCGCATATTACCGGGCGCCTATGGCTATGTAACACTGTTCGAAGTACTGCAAGTGAATTAATTGCTCCACATGTGATTGATACGTTGGACGGGAACCAAAGAACCAACAAGACATGGGGCAACCACCAACTGCATGCTCGACAATGCAGTAGCAAGAGGGGTTAATGCAACCTGTCAGCTTTGGTGACTACATGTCCTTTCGCTGAACTGAGATGGAAAATTGTTCGCGCCGTGGGTGCCGGGCCAGACTTTGCCGCAGCTCTGAAGTTGATCTGCCCGCCCCCACAAACCATCGAGGCATTTTGCAGGTCTCTGTTCTTGCTCACGCAGTTTCGCAGTCCCACGATCCCGCATTCCCGTTAATTCACCGTTACACCTGCTCATGTGCATATGTTCAATTACACTTAGCAGTGATCTTCTGCCCAATCTCCCTGGTGTGGCTCCCCGACATCACTTTCGGCCTCCGTAGCCGGAATGCTGACCAGGTTGCAAATGTCGCGAGTCTTGGCACACACATCGATTCATCCCTTGGGTCTGCACGGTTATGCAACCTGGACTGTGAGCTGCGCGGCTTGCGTACGCAATACAGTATGAGATCGGTAGACACTCCAGAGGGTGAACTTGGCAAATAATTCGGTTCTGCTGCCATTTCCAGCGGGCCTGAAGCCGCTCAGTCTCGGGGACTCGTCCTTCATGGACAGAATATCAAGCCATCAAACGTTATGAAGTCAAGTGCTGGATATTGGGTAGAGATGAGATTAGAACAATGAATGATAATAGGCGACGTGTGATTCTCTCATCGTTGTCTATTTATTCGGAATGTCCGTCTTTTACAATTTCCACGGCATGGAAAGGAATATACCCTAAGTACTCCTTTGGATCTGAACAAGCTCTAATTGTAATGTCTAGACTTTGGACCTTGTTCAATCACTCGACTGAATGCCCATTGTTGGGTCAATTGTTCCCAACCAAAGGTAGAGCATAAAGACAGATAAGCCATACGCTCCACAGTTGCCAAGTTCGTCGGTCTTCCGTCTTGTTATATCCTGACATCATGACCTTCCAAATCACGACAATAGCAGGTAGTATTGCAAGAGCAAAAGTTCGCAGGCTTGTTCCCCAGAAACAAACACACACAAGCGACCAGAAAAGGACCAGTAGCGCAATAGATGCTCGCGATACACTCTCTCCGAAGAGCAAAACCACCGTCTTTCGGTTACGGAGGCGATCACCCTCCTGGTCCTTCAGGTCCTGGACTTGCATGGTAGTGAAGATAACGGCACTGATGATGCCTGTCCAGATATGGCCGAGCTCGTTGACATCGCACTGGTCATCATTCATGTAACAACCAGATGCAATTTTCAAGGCACCGCTGTTAAACATAGCGAAGGCACTGGCTGTGCACAGATCGCGAATGAAGAACCACTCATCACAACCTCCCAAATCATTGTACATCCAAGTGATAACGTGGATAACAATTCCCTGGTCCCAGACATTCATGTAATAATCTAGGCCAAGACTGAGTGGTATGATGACAAGTATCAGGCGCCTTGTTTGGTCGGGAGTAATTTTGCCTTTGGGGATCGGCCGCCATGGTTTGTTAATGCGGTCTTCTGCCACTGACTGAGGGCTCCATTGGTGAGAGAGGTCGAATATGAATGTGTGCCACCAGTTGAAGATCAATACGGCCGGAAAATTCTGCAAGACGCTCAACCACGAAACAGAAGATCCAGAGGTGTTGACGAGAGGGGTTGCAGCAAGAGCTGCCAAGATGCCAAACGCTGTGTTCGGGACGACGAAAGTAGGGAAGTCGCTCTCTGTAAACTCCCAAATGAGGTGGAATGGTGCACATGCAGATGTGGCTATTCTTCCCAGTTTGTGCCACATATTATTCACAGCGCTGAGAGTGTTCCTCGAATCATTCATTTTGATGGATTGCTGTTCAAAATAGGTAAAAAGAAAGGAAGACGACGATGGCGTAAATGACAAACCTGAGGTTTTGTGACTCGCTCCTATCAGTATTTGAATGTTTTGCTTGCACTGATCCCCCAGCTGGAAATATCATTCCACATTGCGTGGCATAGGCAGTGGGCCAACCTGTCTTCTAGCCGTTTGGACCTGCGATTCACATTGACAGGGCCATCTTAGGCCATGATCAGTGCATTTACGCCCCGTGACACAGTGGTAGGACTCGTTGAGCGTGGTCTCTCCTGTGACAGCATGAGCCAACTGCAGTTCAAGAAATGGGGTCCACGCCACACATGGTACGCCGCACGGGAGAATATTACAAAATTTGATATGATCCGAAACCAACGGCTTCATTGTACTGATACTCGAAATTCTCCAGGATTCCCTTGCTCCAATAATTTATGCGTATGTGGAATTAGTGACATAGACCAACAAGCCGACAAGAGAAGCGGCCAATCGCACAACGCAGATCAGTGACTGCACATTTGAGCCTTGTTCACATCCTCCGGGATCCCACGATTTTTTTGTTGGCACTTACCTGATCAAACTTGGCCCAATTCATTGGTAAAAGCGACTCTGTGTGGAGAAGTCAACATTTACCATGTACTGTTTGGAATCCCGGAGGAGGTATGAGGCAGGAGAGGCATCTAGGTACCGCCCTGCCCAACTGCCATGGAAGTTTCTTACCTGATAAGCTTGGCACCAATTCAACGGCGTGGGCCTCCTATGCCCTATTGACACGGGGTGGAAAGCTTCCATGGAGCGACATGAATGTAGATGTCATGATAAAGCATTCTTTTCAACACCATGATTGATAGACCATATTCAACACCATCAGCTCAACAAGGCTGTTTTTACACGACTCATACCTCCACAGCTGTCCTTGAAAACTTACAGCTTTAGTAAACTGACACATCACACGTTCATTGCCGGCTTCCACTTGGCCAACCGCTTGACTAGCAAGCATGAGCTACAATAAGGTTGCAACGGCCGTTCCATACCATTGGCCAATTGTTTACTAGCAACCAACTGCATACAGGTCAGTGGTAGTCAGAGTCAGGCTAGGAAGCAAGGTTGCCTCAATTCCTCCGTTACCAACCAACTCGAACAGTTCCGAGATGGGGAGGGGCAGGTAGATGACAAGGCTTTTCATCACCTCGTGCATCTTTTCGACCAGTCATGCCCACAAATTCAGCAAGCGATTTGCACGTCCCCAAGCTAGAGCGGTTTACTGGATGCGTCAGCCTGCCTTGTAACCTCATCAAGTCACAATCGCGAACCTCAGCATGCAGTGGCAGTCTGCCCCTGTGCAACGACCTGGGGGTGCGTATGCAGGTTGGCTGCAGGCGGGTAATTACCTCATCGTCGATCGACCACAGTCTGGTCATCCCGTTGGAGACACACAGTGGCGACCAACCTATACTTGGTAGACCTCTTTACTGTTACCTGCACAAGTTTATTCATCCTAGGCCAGAAAGGAATTTAATTTTAGTATGTGTGATGTGATCCGGCCCGGTGTGCAGCCACAGCATCCTCGAACCCAGTTAACACCGGCCGTCATGACGCCCTCTCAAATTACATAACAACCAGGCTCTTCCTGCCGAAGAATACATACTGCTTCTGCCTGCTGTCAACTTAAGTGAAGCTATTATTCATGCTCAACATCTTCTCATCTCATCATCCACCATGAGCCTTCCCATTGGTGCAGTTCGCGTAATAATTATTGTCTTGGTCTTCATCGTCTTGGATTTCATTGCAATAGGGCTTCGAATATGGTCCCGATACATACAAAGAACGCCGCTGGCGCTGAATGACTGGAGTAAGTAACCCTAAACCAATGCCTCTCTTCCTTGTACAACATTAAACTAATTCTTGATTCTACAGTGGCCATCTTAGCATTATTCATTACAGTCAGTTCAATGACCAATCAATTAATTGGTAAGATCCGCCTCTGTTATTTGGCTACGACTTTGGAATCCACTGACTTTGCTTCTGATGTGTGATCAGCCGTTGTTTTGGGTGGTATAGGGTACCATCTCATTGACATTCTGACGGAGCACCCCGAGAAGTTTGTTATATATCTTAAGGTCTGTCGAGAATCCTGTCGCCTTGAAGGTGGCTGTTGGAACTAATCTTTCTTCCACGTATCAGGTCAGCATATCTGGGCAAATACTCTGGGCGGCCGCGAATACCTGCGTGAAGATCTCTATTCTGTCTCTATACACGGAATTATTCCCTGGTCGCAAATTTCACATTATCTGCTACGGCGTCATGCTTGTCACTGTTATGTACCTGATCTCGGTCATATGCGAAGCATTCTTGTTCTGCACGCCTGTACAGTACAACTGGGACAAGTCACTGGCGGGAACCTGCGACGTGCCTGGGCAGAGCGAAGCGTATAAGGCTGCTGGCAGCATCAACCTCGTTATAGACGCAATTGTCGTTGGATTACCTATGCCGAAGTTATTTGGCCTCCATATGTTGCTCTCCAGGAAGTTGAGCTTGGCTTCCATGTTCAGCCTCGGCGCTATGTGAGTATTGCTCGGACGGCTACTACTCTTGTTAGAGCAGTTCTGACTCCTATTATGGCACAGAATTTGTGTTATCTCTCTTCTCCGCGTCATCACGGTCGTAGATTGGGACATGAATGATATCACCTACTCCGCCTCGGATGTCTCGGTATATTCAGTCCTCGAGCCCACCCTGGGCGTAATCAACATTTGTCTGCCGACAATTAGGCCCGCAATGCTCGCTCTCGCTGGAAAAGACCCTCGCAAGGGACATACTGTTCCGGGGGACTCACGTGGAAAGGATGCTAGCTGGAATTCCCCGGGCAAGGACTACGGACCGATCTCGAAACGGACTGGGCTGCAGGGCACCCGTGACGATCTGCCATTGACAAATTTCGACAGGCTGGACGACGAATTCCCGCTGACTACCCGTGTTGAAGGGGGCCCCAGCGACACAGACACCACCGGACAACACCCTAGGCAGATCACCATTCAACGACGCTGGGAGGTCAAAGGACACCATTCCGGCCCAACCTGGGACACAAGGCAGTAGGCGTGTGTTTGATGGTCTGCAGAGACCTTCTGGTATCTGACCAATGGCGTGAGCTAAGTGTTATGGAGAGGAACTGGAGGAATGTCAGCCAAGAGGTGTTCCCTCTTACTTGTCATGGCCGGACTTGGCACTTCTCAAATTTGTTATGCGGCAAGGAGCGGGCGATGCGGTGCTTCATATGCCCTCAATGTGATGTCAGACCTCAGCAGCAGCGCCAACTTGATCGCAGGGGTCCCCTGGGGGAGGGGGGGTTCTATAGGCTGCCACTGAGGAAACTGTATGACAAGTAGTTTGGTTTTAGCATTGCTATTGAGAGTCTCCATTGTAAAGCACAGATGTGTACTTGACCTTGAAAGGGGTTGAGAACTTGGACCTTACTAGCTACGTGCAATCAGGCGAGAAAGCTAATGATTAGTACATACGAACCACTCGCCAAACGCATCGCGTTGTCTCTCCTGCCCGTGCATTTCGGTAAGAGCGCAGATTGTGCCCATGCGCTGTCTACGATGTGACTCGAGCACCTCACTTGTTACCAGATTCCAGATGTGAAGATCGCACTGCCTATTGCGGGCGAAGGCAAGGTCATTAACTTTTCAAGGCGCCCGCCCCCTCTCCCCCCCCCCCCCCAAAAAAAAACGAAAAAATGATCTCTGTCGTGGTTTCCATTTTCTGACGCAAATCGGCTGTATATGTTGTCCCCTGTATCACCACATAGGGAATGGTCGATCTTTGCCCAGTCTGCCAACAGTGGGTGACACAAGGCATGCCTTTAGAGGGGATCTTATTTCAGGCTGACAACCCCACTTTTTGGGCTTCTTTTTTGTCACAACATGTAAATCAGTTGAAACCGTCATTAATCCCGTTGAATGTCTCAATATTTTACCATTTTGCACAACATTTGGACACAGGTCACCAACGAGCCGAAATGGTACAATACAGCCCACTCGACACTCAAAAGAGTGAAATTCGTCTCGTTACCCTGCTACCGGGCCAGTCTCGCGATGCCATCCGATGCACCCTGTCCATCGCGTCTCTTGATAGTGCCCCGGAATACACCGCGCTATCCTACGTGTGGGGAGATCTGTCCAAGACAATACCCATCACTGTCGATAACGAGCCATTCGATGTCACCGTGAATCTCGAGGCCGGTCTCCGAGCCGTCCGGAAGCGGTGGAAGCGCCGCGTACTGTGGATTGACGCTATCTGCATCAACCAGGAAGACGTCCAAGAGAAGAACGTGCAGGTTCCGCAGATGAGACGACTGTATTCCACCGCCCCGGCGGTGCTTATGTGGCTTGGACCGTCCAACACCTGCATTAAGATGTTCGTTTCGTGGATGCGGGCTCACGCTACGAGAAGCTACAACGCTGCGTCGGCATATTGGCTGGTGCTGGACGCCAGGGCAGCGATCTCAGAGAGCGGGGAACGAGATAGGGACTGGGCTATGGTACTAGCCCATGCGGGCTATTATGATTTCATGGCCTTGTCGTACTGGAGCCGCGTCTGGACTTTTCAAGAATACATATTACCTCGCATTGAGCCGGTGTGTCTATGCGGAGACATAAAGCCGTTCCAGCTTACCACTGTGTTTGAGAACCACGATACTGATACCTTGGAAAAGGTGGCCTCTCAAGCTATTGAACGCCTAGAAGCTGGGTATAAGATGACGAATGAGGAAGGTCGGGCGATAATGGCCGAAGTGCATAGGAGAATAGCGACGAAAGTGAAGTCCGGTGCATCCAGTGGACTCTGGATCCTTCCACGTTTACGAAACTTCCATGGGAAATGTTTAGCGATGTTGTTATACTTCACAGCGAATCGGCAATGCTTCGTCGAGCATGACAGGATCTTTGCGCTGTATGGTATGGTGCCGGCTGTTCAGGATGTATACCCACCAGATTACGCGAAGCCGGTCCCTGACGTAATGCTCCAGGCAGCGACATATATAGTGAACTTCGAACATCAAAGCTCCTATCTGTGGTCAGTTTTCGGGCTTCGGGACGAACGACTTTCGGGTGCCTCGCGCTTATGTCCCTCATGGGTGCCGGACTTCACGCAAACGTACAACAATTTTCTTTTCACATACCCAACAATAAACTTGAATCAACATGTCATGAAAGAAAGGGTGGCGATGCCCCTCAGGCTGTCAGAAGATAGGCCAGCGTGTGTATCAGTTGAAAACACGACACTTCGATTTTGGGCTAGACGTCTCGGGGCCTGCAAGGTTGCAGTCCGGTTCGCAGACACACAATCAAAAATCCTCGAGCAGGTCAAGGAGCTCCTAGATATAGATGGGTCGGGAGATTGTAAAGGTCAAACCGTCAGGAAACCTGAGACCCTCGTTTCCAGGATGGCCCGAGCCTGCGTTGCCCATCATTCATCGTTTTTCGATATTTCGACAAAGTCGATTCTTGAGACCTTCTATACGGTCTTCAACTCGGGCCCTGGTGCTCTACATAACAGCTCTCATGAGTTCTATGGAAGAATAATCCTATCTGCCATAGAATACCTGGCAGGAAAAGACTTGCTGATCACCGAGGATGGCTGCTTCGGAATCAGCACGGGTGGAGCTAAGGATGGTGATATAATAGTAATCCCCCCAGAAATTGAAGTTCCACTAGTCTTGACACCAGAATCGCCGACCTTGGAAGATGAAATTGGTTATTTCAATATGGTCGGAACGGCCATTATCGACGGTGTCATGGGAGTAGGGGAGCTGTTTGATGAAGAATTAGTCGAAGAGGTTGCAAAACAAGACGTCGTGGAATTCCTCGTACACTGAGCGAATACTAAGTGTAATAGTGTCTCCCAGTTTGGTATAGAGCCGTGTACAAATTCCTCAAGGGGTTGGAAATGCGAGGAGATGACCGTCGGCACCTTTCAGAGGCCCTTTGTCGGTAAACTTCAAAGTTGGCAGACATGAGTGATCTGTACGCAACTAGGATTCTATGGTGGAGGTATACTTTCCGAGGGTAGCAACAGACAATGTATGAGACAGGGCTAAGGTGTAGCGATTTACTTGTCAAGGGACGTCAACTAGGGACAATGCTTGCCCAAATTATCACACAATTTGAGCATCTCTGGATCTCTATCCTGTAGTTCCGCCAATTCCCTGAGTTTCTATTTTTAGATTTAGTTTTTACTGCACTGTTGTGCAGAAAGGTAGAAGTGGTCCCAAAATCTTGCCGCACACAGCTGATCTCGTTCGCTATTGCAGGTCAGGCCAACATTACCTTGCCAGAACTATCCCGATTTGGCGCAGTCGACAGCTTGACCCGTAATTTCATCAGGTGGACTTAGACACAACCGCAAGCAATCAGACATACGAACCGTATACATCGGATGATTGTGGAAAGGTAGGTAGAATTTAATCGCAAAGCAGGTATATGCAGGGGTCGAAATAGAAAAGAAAACATGTCCCAGTCCGTTAACTCTTCACGTGCGCCGCGTTGAAATGTGAAGAAATGTCGGTAAACGACTTTGTGGGCCATAGCCGCCGTTACTTGGGTAGGATAGCTGGGCTTCCCAATCAACGATTCGACAAGCCCATTGTTCAGTTTGAAGAGCGACTCGGTCATCTCATGCAATTCTACAATGGCAAAGGTAAGAATATGCCACATTCAAAAATCACAAGGGAGAACAGGGCTCCGATATCGTCCGCTATATCGATTCTAGCTTCCGAGCGCCTGCCAGCGGAGAGTGAATAGTTTGAGACCTGATCAATAGCACTCGAGCCGCACCAGTAATTTATATAAATCCGTCAACGCCCATTACAAATGTCTTCTGCGGGCTGCCCCTTCACATCAATAAAGCATTCCGGAACTATCGACCCACGCTGGCGTTCTTCGCATGCGGTGCGGGTAAGGTCTAGGGTGTGGTTGCATAGAGCACGGCAACGCCAAGCCGGCGTCCACTCAGTGTCGGCAGGCGGTGGCCAGGTTTAGACCAGAGCTGGCCGTGCAGTTAAAAGACCAGCTAGATAGGATGAATATTCGATTGTCTTAACATGGAATGCATACAATTAGAGCGCCCTGTTGTATTTGGAAGGATGTGTGGAGATTATGATCAATCTAGGTGCATCTGAGCCAAGAATCAGAGAGACTGTCTGGGTGGGGAGATGACTTCGGCGGCAAGCGGTAACCCAATAACGGAGAAGCAAAAATCTTCCTAAAGCTCGGCCTCACAGGTGTCTGAGACGAAGACACGAGCAGCAAAAGTATTCGGTCTGTGGCGGGCTTCGTGGCCGGCCTTGGCGCGGCCGGCCACCACCGAGGGGGGCCAAAAACTCTTCAACTACAAAGCCAGTGAACATGGGCTCCACTGAGTGGGTACTACAAAAAGGGTCAAAAACATACAGCACCGGGTATTCGCTGGTCGTCACCGACCCAACTACTAATCCAGCGATTACAGGCTTGACTATGGGAGAGCGGACGGGATCCCGTATTTTCCTGTATCTGTGGCCGTATGTGCTTGAATCAACTGTATTGCAGCTTATATCCCGAAGGTGAGCGTTTACGCTAGCATCTTGGCCTTGTCTGTGTTCCGAGTATGTCCAGCAACGAAGCTGTGAAGCTGTGCGAGTAGCTGTGCCTTTGTCTGCTAACTTGAATGGGCAATAGGATGCAGCACTACCAATTATGATGGCCCCAATTCGACGTCCACCTCATCTCCACATCAACCGACTTTAGAAAAGACTTCTACCGAAGTCCAAGGGAGCAGAGGCGCATCACATATGCTACTTTAAACATTAGTGGAAGCCGGACCCTCTTCGTCAGGCTGCAGCCATGCATCATCCAGCATTTGTTTGACGGTCGGTCGGTCCTTTGGGTCCCAACGCACGACCCTTCTCAAAAAGGCGATGAACTCGGTTTTCTGACGCCCTTGCAAGTGCTTGACTTTGTCCTCGAAGGTCGCATTCTTCGGTATGGACACATCTGATATCCAATTACCTGTGATCCGTCAGTGGCTCTTCTTCTATCCTCCTGGCTTCAGGAGTTCAGCGAGGTGATTGTCCCCACCGTTCTCATCCCAGATCTCGAGATAGTCTTCTTTGTCTTCCTTGATCATATTCAATGGGGCAGGGCCGAGTGCAGCTATCATACTGGCGAATTGGACCTCGACATTGTACTGGCCCTCTTCGTCTTCACACTCGAACATCGGAGTTCCTTCGAGCATTAACCACGCCTGACCTGGTTAGCCAATTATTCAGAAAGCAAGGGTGATGTGCTCACCGTTTGGACCAGGCCCCATATATCCACAGGATATCCCCAAGCCAGATTCATAATAGCTTCTGGTGCACGAAATGCGTCCGACATGATAAGGCCCTCACGGTCGCCCTCGACTCGAGCCTCACCAAAGTCACATAGCCTGAGCTCACCGTCTGACGGCTCAAGATCCGTAGACAGATATATACTCCTATCCTTGAGAACCTTGCGAGGTGAGGGACACTTTTGTTCTGATTCTTCCAGCCTCGTGAAGACGCTCTTGTCAAAAAGGGACCACATAAGGTTGCTGGGCTGGATATCTGTTTTATCGGTCAGATTATGTAATCTCAGCGCTAATTGTGACAGAAGTCCGTGTATCAACGCACCAGTATGCACAACCTTGGCCTCATTGTGAAGGAAATCCAATCCCTCAAGAACTTCACAAAGTAGTGCTTTGATGAAATACGCGTCAAGCATTCCAGGGTTCAAGAGCTGAGCCGTGCGAAGATTCGCCCCCAATGGTTCTTGGACCAAGCAGATGTGCTTTCCGGAAGGACCGGATATCGTGAAATGAGTGATAAGGTCCCTGATCACCTGTTTGCCGGGGCTTTTGGAGCCTTTTTTAATGGAGTTGATGTGCTCATAGACGGGTAGCTCTCGTTCCCTCTCAGAGTTTGTGGTACAGACCTTCAGTGCCACATAGTCGCCAGAACTAGGATTGAAGAAGCGTCAGGATAACTGTTCAAAAGTGGAAAGTAAGAATCAACGTACTGGAAGTCCTTAGAGAGCCATATAGTTGACGTGGCTCCGAACCCAAGTTTGAGGATGGCCTGGTATTGACCATTGAAAACCTCACCCTGCTTCACAGGATAATAGTTCTTAGCATTGTATCCTTCAGCAAGTTCTTCTTCAATAAGTTCGCTGCCATTCAGAACTTCAAATCCTGCCGATGGGAATTGCAAAGGCTTGTGTGATGTTGCTTGCTGGGTAGACCCCATGCTTCGAGACATCTGCGGTAATCCAGACTTGACTGATGGGGACCAAGAAGTCAACGGGCCGCGTAGACCCAAGAACTTGCGAAATATAGATCTGGAAGCCATCTGACCATGATGATGTTTTAGAAAGATGGCTGTTCAAAGGATAACGATGGTGAAAGTCATTCCTGCAAGAATGTGGCCTGGGCCGATTTGAGAATGCGGGGTGGAGCTATGTCAGTTGAGAAGCCCCACTTCTGTGTACACAGTAGCTAACAAATTAGCGTTTGGTTCGATTTGTCCTGCCACCGCCCAACTGTGTGCACATGTGGTCATTGTTCCTTCAGGTTCAACCAACAGAGAGTGATTTAAAATCTCATTTGTCTTCAGGGGCCAACAAATGCCAAGTCGCAGTGGCACAGCAGGCCGCCTGGTTTCGGCCCAACAGCAGAGTAGCATTTCGTGTGCTCGTTTACGAATGTAGCTATAAGGCTATTTGATAGATTCCAGGAATAGATATGAGCTATAACCCTGTCCTTATTGCACGGTGAACACCAAGATGGCGGTTGGCATGACCAACAGGTCGAGCTGATAGACCTAAAAGGTGCGCCAGGAACAGCATCATAGCCAACATGTTTTGAAATTGGTCACGACAGGCGGCCGCTTCTTGGTAATCATTGTCGGAATTTCTAGCTTAAGACTCCATGGCATCAGTTCGAGAAAATCTCGCCATCTCTCTGCTCCGATACCAGTGCTTTTATCAGAGGCGGCGCTCAGGAATATTCGCTTATACTCATTTCTCCAAAGTTATCTGTTTCTCAGTGTTTGCAAGCAAGAAAGCTGTGGACCCTTTCCATTCGTCAATTCAGAAGCTCAAGATTCTAAGTCATGGCGGGAAGGTTCAGCCGCTCTGCTCAGCGATTTCTGTCGCTTAGAGGAAGCACGACACTCGCTGATGTCGAGCGTATCAATGGGAACTCAGGCCGGACATGGAGTCAGGCCATTCAAAGAGCCGTCCTTGAAGTGCCGAATCTGGTCAGTTCGAACATCAGTGTCACAGCTAACTTACTTAAATTGCTGATATCTCTCGTCCTCGGCAAGTATCCCAGGGCGGAAAGTTACGAGATCATGTACGTAGCCGGCTCCTGTTCTTATAGAAATGCCAAAGCCTCGGCTGGGCTGGAGTCGAAGGTACAGATTACGCTGACAGTCGACTAGAGGAGCAAAGGCCCATCAGTCACACGATGACCCCAGCGATAAGGAGCCTGAAATCAAGATTCGTGTCTACGATCAACGTGGTGGCCGATTGGCGTCACTTCATGTTCATGTAGACAGCACTTTCAAACACTGGCCAAGTCGACACGGTCGTAGAGGAGCGGCTAAGCCTAAGAAGACCAAGAAATTAAAATGCATCGTGATGTAATAGGATTTCAGTCTGTGTCCACTTTGGATTTGTATTGGATATTATAAGTCATTGGCGAACTGTATGAGGTATGAAAGTGTCGGCAAGCATTGAGCCACAATGGCAAATCCATATATCAGAGGACAAGATGCGGAGATGCCCAATATAGCGTTCGAATATATCAATGAAAGACTAGGCATGCAAATGGTGCTCCCCAACTCCGCACAAGATGAGCAAGTATACTGTTGATACAGAGGTCATCTGCCCGGACGATCTTGGTTTTCCCGCGAGAACTGTATCGTGTTTGAACTGCCATTGCCTGATAGTTACATTGTGTCCATAATTAGGAAAAATGTTTGTCAGATCTACAGATTGCATCTCTCAAGGTGTAATAGCGGTCTCACTGCAGTAGACCGCCAATTATGCGAGTCATCTCTATCCTGAAGAATACATAATCCACAGCATTCTCCGGGCACGCTGTCATGGCCACAGAGACCAGGGGACAGACGGCAATGCTGCAAATGTTAGAAGTACGAGCACTTTCATTCTCGTGGCACTCAATCACAATGGCCGAGGCCGCAATGGAGTACGGGATTCCATCTGCGCCAGAGTCCAGACGCAAGGACGAAAATTGAGCTCGTGGAATCTTATCGAATGCTGCCACATCAGGCTTACCCGCTGTCCATACATCAGGCTAGAAGCAAGAGGGGACTGATTTAGTTGGCTAAAGAGCAGGCAGTACAAATTTCGGACTGCATGCTCAGGGTCCTGCAAGCTTCGCTCTGATGGGCCACAACACCACTACATCCGTGAAAGTAGTATGTCCCTGTTCCAGCTGGTTTGCCTTATGTTTTCTATGATTTGAAGATAATGGGACTAGACCGGTCTGCTACAAATCGTTTTCGTTGATCATCAATTAATTTTGTATTTGTATTATAATTAAAAGAGTTCTATTTCCATGAGAGAATCGTAAGTGTTCCTCAAACTGGGGTCTATCTTCATTTGACCTGGCTTCAATTGCCATTCATTCAAGGCATAACGGCCGTGCTCAAATTCCCAACATTCGTGCCGATGTCGGATCCATGAATCAGCTGCGATTGCAACGAGTGAGCCCGCCTCGCGGCGATCCAATCTTAAGTCATATTTACCAGAAACATAACACCCAGCCCCCCACCACCGTCACGACAGGCGGAAGCGCCCTATTCTCCCTTGGGCTTGGTGATCGGGTTGCCCTTCTCATCCACGAGCCCCTTGGCGCGCATGACCTTGAGCGCGTCGTGGAGAGGGTCGAGCTCCGGCTGTGGGGCCCTGTGCGAGCCGAAGTAGGTGTCGGCCCAAGTGAAGTACTGGCCGTAGTTGACGGTGAAGTACATGTGGTGCAGCGTGTGGTGGGCGGGGCTGTTGAGGAACTTCTCGGTCCAGTGGCCCGTGATCATGTCGCCGTCGTGGATCAGGATGGTCCAGATCTGGACTGCGACGAACAGAACCATGTACAGATACCGCTGCATTGGGCAGAGGAAGACGAAGATGCTGCTTCTGGGTTAGTGATGATGACAATTCGGTGTGACAGCGATGTTGGGATGAAACTCACTGGTATGGCAAGGACTGCACGTAGCCGTCAAGGGGGTGGAACGCCAGAGCAGCCCATGGGGTGGGAACTATCAATTCGTTAGCACTGGCACGTGTGGATATGGAAAGGAAAAAGTGACACGAGGCGGCTTGAGTGAGTGACTTACCGATCCACTTGTGGTGTGGCTTGTGAATATACTTGTACACACTGGGGTGGTGTTCCAAGCGGTGGATCCAGTAGATGGCGATGTCGTTGAAAGCCATGTAGAGGACAGATGAGATCAAAAGCCACGACCAGCCATAGTCGCTCACGTTTTGATAGAGCAAGCTCTTGCCACGAACTTCGGCCAGGAACCAGGGCAAGGTGAGGATGTTGATGACGGGAACGGCGGACAGCGACGACTTGATCTCTTGGCGGACCTGGTTCTGCAGGAAGCGAGGGTGGTATTCAAGCCGTCGGTCGAAGATCAAGTAGTAGGAAAGAGCGCTAAATATCAGGTAAAGCGAGGTCGCTCCGACTTGTGTGATGATGAGGAGCGATGTGATCTGGCGGTAGATGTTGTCGCGCGCCCACAGGGACGTGGGCACATTGTCAGCGGCGGACAGATTGGAATATGCCTGTGACGAGTTGGTGAGGCTGGCGCCGGGATGAGGCAAGGCCCAGGCATAAGCCTTATCCAGAACGAGGGGATCGAGAAACTCGAGAGCCACGTCCATGGTTTGCGCAGGCTGTTTGTTGACCACTCGCAGACGCGTTGAAGTTTTGGTGGCGACGACGATGGGGGCGGCGAGAGCCGGAAGTGTTGAGTGCTGACTGCGCCGATGAAATTTCAAAGCTAGAGCCACCCCTAGCAGGGAGATGAGCACAGAAAATTGGCTGATACCAGCAGTACCTTGGCGGCTGAGTCTCGGAGTGCTGTGCGGACGAACACGCTGCGGTTATGAGGCGTTACCGGGGCAGATCTGATCAAAACTATAAATCTGCAGAGCCATTCATTGGGAACATTGAATTGAATTGAGTTGGTCGGATGAGAGCGGATGGATCGTGGGGAAATTTTGCCAGGTTGCATCAAAATTGCATGCAGCTCGCCAGGGGCTGGAATTAATAAGGCGAGGCCGAACGGGATCTGATAAAGACCGACCACGAGTTCGCAGACACAGGCAGCGTCGTGTCATACGAGGACGGATGGACGGCAACTCTGACTAGGGACAGGGCAAAGTGGGCCGTTGGGACAGAAATCACCAATTGTGTTCGTCCCAGAAGCCAAGGAACTAAGATCAGCGATCTCTCGAACTGGCCTAGTCCCAGAAACAGCTTCCGCCAGCAAAGCCATATACAGAGTCTTGTATCGGCTGGGGTTCGGATTACCCAGTTACAAGGATGCAACACAAGACGTTCATGCGTAAACATCCAGCTTGGTACTCCTTTATTTGCCTCCCACTTATGTCCGACACACCGCTTACAACAGGAAACGGTTGACAATTATCAGATCAATTCACGATGCTAGCATATATTCCTGTATGTATACTGAAAGCGCACTCGGGTAGGCACACAGGGTTTAACCCTTTGGGCTCTGGAGGCAGAGGCAGCTGCTCCACATTTCCTCATTCGCGCCCACTTCTTGGCTTACGTGTCTTGTTCCTATTAAGGTCGTGCTGTTTGTTTTCATTTATTACGGCTCCAAACACAAAGTGCATGCCACTACAATCCTTGATATTTTTGATGCGGTTGGTCGTTATCACCCCGTCTAATGTCCTCACACAGAGGCAATAGTCATACCTCCGTGCAAACACCCAACGAGAACGGCGGAATCATCGCACAACGGAACTGAAGGCTAATTTGCTACTTGGGGATGAAGGATGAATTCAACTTTAGCTTCGCCTTGATGAGATCTCGCCAGAGCAATGACAAAGTGTAGACCCAGAAGCAATTTTGGCAGCGTTGTAGGTATCGTTACGGGATTAAAGGGAACTCCGGTACATTCCCGAACAGATTAGACTCGCCACCGCTTAGCGGTCTTCATCAGACACAGACTCCTCGAGGAACAACTCATCGTCTGCGACTGAGCTATCATTGTCCCCATCATCATGCCCTAAAACGCGCCCTCTATCCACACTTGGGCCTTGTCGCTTCAACATCAGTTCGTTATGCTTCAAAATGTACCCTTTCGTCACGCTCCTCAGCTGGAGAGCAAAGATCTTGCTCTCGCCGGAATGAGCCTTGAAGACCCTTCCCACTTTCTGACTGCTCGACGCATGAATTTGCGGATTGCCAGTACCGTCCAGCGGGTTAGGCTGAGGGGTGGCCAAGATAAATTTGTCGATGGGTATCTCGAGATTGCCAGCTACGTCCTTTCTATCCTCTGCTCCCCACTCCACGTCAACGTCCTCACAGATCATGACTCCGACGACCAAGCAGACCCCCATGTCTCCCCTAAGCTTGTCACTGAGCTTGATCCAGTTAGGCACGCGGGACTTAACCTCATCGTCCTGCTTGACCTTTCCGAAGAAGGTACGGATATCCCGTAGTCGTCGGTAGCGGATCAACTTCCCGGTCAAGAAGACGGCCTCCTCTGTTTCGCCGCTGAAAGTGACGCCGGCCAGAGAGTTGAGAAGCGTGCCAACATCCTGTTTCTCCTCCCTGTAATTGTCAATGATGAACTCCGTGAATTTTCCCCCGAACGTCTTGCCGTCTGTGTATTTCTTCAGGTACGACTCGTTGCCAGGCTCGGGCAGGATGGAGTCTCCGAGTGGGTCGGCATAGCTCGCTACAAAGGCGCCGAGTAGAGTATCCTCGAACTCTGCCGTGTCCATCCATGCCCACTGCTTCAAAATGAAGAACTCGGGATCTTTCGCCATAATGTTCGTCTTAACAGCTGTCGAAGATGTACTTCGATATTTGGCGTGGGATGACAATAGGAAGAATGGTAGGAAAACCTGGCTCGAGGAAAAGTGTGGGGGGACCTGTTATCCTTTCTCCAAAAACTTGCGTATATCCTCTACTTATTTTAGCCCCCATCCAGGACTGCATTGTGGCGGCATCAGTACCACTCTGTGACAGTCACACAGCAGCATCAGTAGCCAACCACTGACTGCCACCTGGACATGGCTGAAGAGTGTATTGAGTCCCGCACCTCGCTAATATCATATTACGCCCATTGTCAAATTCGGAATTGAATCTGAAAACAGTATGCGTCCCTAGAACTCTCACGACTGTACCCCTCATTCTTGTCCGTTGGCCTCACTGCGTTCATGTCCGCTGTCGCCTGCCAAGATGACTGACGCTACCAAAGGACCCGTCTCGATAACTTCACAAACACGGCTCTGTTGGGAAGCGTTCGATATAGCAGCGATTGCTTCCATATTGGATGCTGCACATCTCAAGTCCACCCGAGAACGATTCGATAAATGGTGTCGGGAAAGTGGTAGTCACCTTGGGGGGCTTCAGTCACTAGACGAGCGTCTACGAGATGCTCCAAAGCCGAAGATTTTGGTCATTGAGTGCCTCGAGGGTGTCTTGGAGACCCTCACAAAAAATGCTCAGCCGACAACCGAGGCCTCGTCCCAAGACGAAAAGAGCAGGCCCATGGAAGACATTGTGCTGGAAAGATTCTTGTCTAGCATTGTGTCGGAGAACCCACTAAGCCATGCCAATGTGATGATCGACGTTCTCTTCCGACTTAATGTCTTGATCCGATCAGACCTGTCTGCAGACCGGTACCAAAGGGCTCAAATCACCGCGTTCCCCGATGGCGACGAGAAGCTCTTCTTGAACCTGGATGAAAAGCAGCTCTGGGAGCTCTTCCCGGCACTGACACAGGAGCTCATGCAACGGCTTCTGTCTGCAAGTATACGGCGTCGACGTATACTCCAGTATACGCATGACTGCCGGGAAAATCTCAAGTTGGATCGAGAGCAACTTCCGTTGGCAGAAGGGAAAGCCCCCCAGAGACCTGTCACAGAAGCAATTTCATCACCAAAAGACGTGGCTTCGGACTCACTTATCAGCCCTCAATTATCGCTCTCCAATTCTGCTTGGCTAGCCGACATGGAAAATGCCAGTGAAACCAGCTCAATCAGCTCGTTCTCCCGGTCCCTAAAATACAGGATCCCGTCCTTTCCCGAGGAGGCTGATGATCCAGTCCGAGATCTGCGCACTTGTATCGCATGTTATCTGCTGTTGCCCTTGCGCAATCAAAAGCAGTGGGAGTAAGTACTAAGTCGCCTACGATGTTGAACAAATTACAACTCCTAATCTAATTACTGGGCGCTCTGTCTCTAGAACTCATATCCTCAGAGACCTTCGGCCGTATGTTTGCACATTTGCGGAATGTTCCGTGGATCCTGGAAAGTTATACTCGAGCCGACGCGCCTGGTTCGACCATGAGCTTATGTACCATCGGCGACAATTGAGCTGCCCCTTTGAGTGTCCTCACATTTTTCCTAGCCTGAAAGATTTTGAGACGCACCTAGCGGAAGCCCATCCCAACGCCACCAAGTCACTGCCCCCTCAGACACTAGTACGTAGACGAGAAATATCAGCAGAGACGGAAATCACATGTGCCTTCTGCTCCGAAAAGATTAAGTCTCGCAAGGAGATCGAAAGTCACATCGGCCGACATCAGAAGCAGATAGCTCTCATGGCTCTGTCCAGCATGCGGGTTATCCATCTAAAGTCCCAAGATGACGAATCCGACGCTGAGTCCATGGATGTCCAGCATCACACGCCAGACTTTCCACATGAAGAACAGATTGGTCAGCAACCAGATCCATTATCGCGGACGAATACCTTGGATCAATATGAATCTACAAGCCCGTCACTAACCTCAGGGTCTGAATCTGAAGCTTCAGGTCGGGCGATCTCGCATTCAAATGCCGCATATCCCTCGGAATCATCAACAAGCACTAAACCACGGACCTGGCTCTCCATGCCCAATTTTGACTACCCTTACGACCCACGAGACGAATTCTGTCTCGGCCAGGTTCTGAAAAGAAATAATGTTACACATGGGTGTCTGAGCATCAGTGACATACTTCCTATCAGAGAGAGCCTCGAGCAAATCTCCGGTGAGGGGACCTGGCAAATGAACTCGAACAAGGGCAGAAAGGCGTCTATTTTCACCTGGTCTCTTCACAGTTTACGTACGCCCCCTTCTAGATTAAGAGTAAGAAGGGTCCTGACCAAGACCTTTTCACCTGACCGGGACTACATCCGGCGCCTCATAGAGAGCACGGAAACAACACGAGACTTGATGAAGCGTAGAAAGAGGCTTTATTTAGTTACGGGGTTGAAAGTCGCATGGCCCAGAACCAGCAATCTTCACATCACCAGTCTTGATTTTCCAGAGTTTTCTGATGTGATAGATAGGCCCGTTGTCGTTGCCTATTCCCTGCTGGAGATAAAGCAGTCGTGGCTTGGGAAGCTTAGAGTGACCGAATGTGAAAGGAGGGATGCTTAGACGGCGATACCGAGCCTATCATTGGAAGAAACCATATAAAATCACTGATCCCCACTCTGCTAACCTAAGATGTTTTGAACCCAGATGACTCAATAGGACCAATGACGAGCCTCAAAGTGATATATATCCCATAGACTTTCTTCACTCAACCTTGTCTGCTGAGGTTTCTTGCTCCAGTAATCCAAGAATATTCATGGTTTATACGTCCAAATACTTTAATAAACCAACATTTGGTTGCTCAACAATGAAGAATATGTAACAATGGTGTGTAAATTACGTGGCGCTGTAAAAGTCCATATCCGGCTAATAATCTCAACACTGCTAACGATTTTTGTTTCTAAGAATTACCGGATATGACAGTTCAGATTCCGACGTCATTCAACCTCGCTTTTTGAATATCGGATAAAGTGGTCTCGAGCTAATTGATGATCATGCATGGTTTCCTGCACCAGATGCGGTTTAGGTTCTCAGCTGAAGTGAGTGAGCATATGTGACTTGCTGCTCCGGCGGCTAGAACTCCATTGCTTTGCGACTTTACGAACTTCAGGTGTCTTCTATCCAGCACAAATTAGACCTCGGTGGAAAGATCACCCTCAAAGAGTGGCGTTTTCTCGGTCCTCAATCTAGCAGAAGCTGCACAAACACGGCCTGACAATGTCAACAGTTGACGCCGGCACGGCTTCTCCCACCTCGGTTGGGTTTGATCATGGCCCTGTGGCTCCAATCGTTAGTCATCATGCGGAGCTCATTAACCTGTCACTTTATACTCACACTGAACATGTCTACAATGCCTTTCAACGCCTTCTGGAAACGATCGAACAGGTAAAATCGAATCACATACGATGCAGCGGCAAGGTTAGCAAGATCATGGACCAGTTCGGTCACCAGCTTAGAGCAGAGTTCCTGATCTTCAAGAATATATTGTCAGAAATGACTGACGCTTGCTTTGAAGTGGGTGAGGATGGCTGGCGTGTAGTGGAAGAAGCAACGTTCAAACGCTGTGGTTCCTACTATGGAACATACGTCGACTCTCTCAGCCACATGAAAATTGAACTTGCAGACATCTTTGGAAACTTGGGGCTCAGATATTACGAAGTAAGCGATGCGATCCTTTGCATCTGCTCTCTCATTTGTCTCTAATGGTAACCAGGAAATTCCTGGGTCACATGGCAACGATACTTCAGATACTCATTGGAAAATTCACATTCGAGAACTATTGGCGAGCACAGACCGATGGACTGCATTCTTGTCAGCCCTAATCACCATCACCGGGGCTGCGGGAGGCGCCTTGCAACTTCATATTTCGAACATCAAAGATGCGAACGAGCGGCTCATGGCGGTCAAGAGAGAGGCCCGAAAAGAGCCATCACAGAAGGCTTTTCAATGCCTAGATGATCTTCGGGACGATGCGAAGACAGCTGCTGAGGTTCTCGGTGATGAGAACGGATTCTTTTGTCAATGTAACCCGCCACACAGAGTATTTATTCGCCTAACCGATTGCTTTGATCTGGACAACAGTGAGCCTCCTTCACAGCCCCGAGACCGCGTTTGCAACCTGGTAGTGCATAACCCATCACCTCTGGACGCTGCATCATGGAAATGGGCCAGAATCGATGCCGAAGTGCGGGGGAGATCTGGCAATGCCGCACCAACCCTGCCGGTTGGCTCTTCCAATCACTCGCACGCAGAGAAGACCAAATCCGCCTTGAACAAGCAGGGTCACGAGTCTCAGTTTACAGTCCTTCTGACTGATATCTTCCATAAGAAGTCAACCAAGTCAAAGGAAACGAAAGGAAAAGAAGGATCATCTTCAATGATACTGTCAACAGTCCCAAAAATGGGACTTTGTGCTTTCATCCACCACCACAGAAACTTAGAAAAGAGGTCTAACTCGCAGCCTCGGATATCTGATATTGTACTCTCTCGCCATAAATCAGAACTGGGCTTGCAAATCCAGGATGACGAGACTCAAACTGCAAGATTATGGGCAAATCCCACATCAATTCGAAGTCAATTCAAAAGTATCGATCATTCGGGCCTGTCGACTGAGGACAAACTACAGCTGGCGTTTTCGGTCGGACTCAGTCTTTTCTATCTTCACTCCACTCCATGGCTTCAGAAATCATGGAACAGTGACGACGTGTATCTACCCAAGCAAGATAATGGAGTTACATGCATCGAGCCTTGGCTAGCAAAACGAACCAGAACACGTCGATCCTCGACGGACAGTTACGCAACCGACTCACATGGGGCTGCAATATCTCCCATCATAACCCGATTCGGAAGATTCTTGATCGAGCTTTGTTACGGCGCACCCTGGGACCAGATACGCAATGTTTTTCTGCCAGATGTGGAGCCTTCTTTGACTTGGGAAGCAGACCTCTCCATATTTCTAAATATCTTTTCCCGGGAAGAAGATCCTAGAGTAGCAACAGCAGACAAGCCATGCTATCACGAGGGTAACTCGTATTTCGATGCAATTCGGACATGTTTCTTTGGAAGACCTGGTCACAATTTGGATGGCGCATCTATAGAAGACCCTAAGTTTCGTGTTGAAGTCTACCAGTGCATTTTGCGCCCGCTGCAATTTGCTTTGGAAGATTTCCGCGCACGACAGACTCGGATGTTTGGACCAACTATCATTACTAACGACACCTGCCTGGTCACTCCTCAGGGAAGAAATTTCTTTATGCTTTTCGATGACGAGGAAGTGAAAGGAGACAAAGAACAGAAGTAGCCACTATATTTCCTAAGCCTCTACGATATTCTGCCAGTAAGAGAGCTAACAAGATGACAAGGTTCAAACTCGCAGACAAGTGGTTCGACGAATACGCCCAGGCCATGGCTATTGCGGCGACCGTGAGTCCCTCGCGGCCAGAGCAACCACAAAACAGAATACGTATCGCAGTCTTGGACACTGGCGTCGATGTGACACATGACCTGTTGAAAGGTCCCTGGAGAAGAGGTCAGATCATCTATCAAGACTTCGTTAAGCCTGATGCAAAATTACCTCAAGACGAACATGGCCACGGGACGCATGTCACATCGATAGTACTCAAGGTCGCTGAGAATGTGGATGTTTACGTGGGTCGCATTTCACCTGACGGTGAAAAGTTCAATAGCAGCCAGGTTGAAAAGGTATGCGATCGACTCACCAAAAGTAGCCCCTCTATCATGCCCCGAATCATATATATCTCAAGCGCCAGTGCTTTGAGAACAGCTTGTTGATCAAAATCAACCTCAGGCCATAGAATGGGCAGTCCAGGAAAAAAAGGCCCACATCATCTCCATGTCCTTCGGTTTCCCTAACGTGGATCAGAGCCTGGAGCCTATTCGCCGCGCCATACTCAAAGCTCATGCACAAGACGTCCTGTTCTTTGCCGCGACCGGAAATAAGGGTAAGGGACATCCGATCTCATTCCCAGCCTGTATGGACGAGGTTATCTCGGTGGGCTCGACCGACGGCAACAACCAAACGAGCGACTTTGTGCCAAGCCTGGGGCCCGGGAAGCGCCTCTGCACCATCGGTGAGGCGATCAACGCTGCCTGGATTGGCAAGGGGAGAAGATCACATGGAACTATGGTTAGGAAGGCTGGGACTTCGTACGCTACCCCAGTCGCTGCCGGGGTGGCTGCTATGGTAATGGATTTCGTCTGCTCGGAGCAGCACCGGAGAACCAGAGGGGGCTCGGCCACGGAGAGGTACGAGTACCAGATGCTGAAGACCAAGCGCGGGATGCTGGCTGTGCTGGCTCATATGATGGAGCGTGACGAGAGAGATGCCATCGAACGACTTACGCCGTGGAAATTATTTAACAAGAGCCGGGCAGAGCCTCTTAGTGATGAGCCCAGATGTGGAATCTTGGACGAGATTATTGTGACTTTGCGCTTGGTTTACACCGGAGCATAGTCGACCTGAGATCATATTAGGAGAGAAAAGCCTTGTAAAACAGTAATGTGGCGGTTCGAATTCAACGTGGACATATCAGGTACCCGAAATTTAGCGGTTCCATCTTCTCGCAACACTTACATGCTATAGGTACCCCCATGGTTCGCTCAATGCTGGACTCAGCAGCGAACTATCATGAATAACGCGTCTTGAATACTTAGTATCGATGCATCGATGAATTCTGCTACTCTCCATTGAAAACGATGCCGTATCTCGCAAAATATTAATAATAGCCTTAGTTTTCAGAGGTACTCTCATCCGCTACTTTCTACGTATGCAGCTTTGCTCTCCTCCTGGCATGCCACATCCCAGAAATTATGCTGACTACTTGCACATTATTCGTTAAGATAATGCAAGATGTGGCGCTTTTCGTTGACAGATGTGATAGCCCCCAAGTAAATCTAAATAGATGCAGGATCTAGGAACGCATTGCTTAAGGCATCATCCAGCCTCGTTGTCAACGATGGCCCCGAGGATGGAGAGATTGCCGTCGCATTTCCCTTAAAAGATTGGTCACATCCTGTCGGTAACGAGACGCAAACCAATTCAGACGCCGACAACCATGCATGCTTTTGCCCTTCAACGTCTGACTAAATCTGCGAACACCACTGATTTACTCCAGGGTATCTTTCTGCTTCTATTGGTCCACGATCGGGTCAACTTGTCTTGTAAATAAAAATTCGTCAAAGTCTGGCAGGTCCAGCATCCCACGTCCCATTGCTGTGCCATATTCCCGCGGGTGAGTAGTCCAGAGCGAGACCCTTCTTCATGTATCCGAACCGGAAGTATTCTGGCAAGGGCGTGTCTGTAGCCCTCAACCAAGTGAAATTGTTTTCAGAGGACTGCTGGTCACCAAAGAGTGACCGGTGTCGTTCGACATCATTGACAAGAATGCTGATGCCGTCAAATGCGGACCCGGCTGGTGGTTGAGACCAAGTAAAGGTGATGTGGCCCATTTCAACGACGGACGCTGTAAATGGCGGTATCAATGAATCAAAGCCGCCGTCCGAGCGAAGAGCCGCGGGTGTCTCAAGAATGGATGCGAAGCCCCACCTCGCAATCCCGTTGACGAAAAGGCCAAGGAGGATGCCCTGGTATAGCAAAGAGGGGCGAGTCTCTATGCTGGTTCCCGGGAGGAGCAGTAGAGCAAGAACGTAATGATGTAGTCGGAATTCAACGCCAGGTATCATGATGCAGAAAACGATTCCACTGAGGAAGACTGCGTAAATGCCGAGATAGCGCATGAGGCGGCCCTCCAGCCAGAGCGAGTATGCCTGCTGAACGAAAATGCAGAATATTGCAATGATAATGAAGGCAAGAGCCAGCTTGGCACCAGTCTGTTGCTTCAGGTCATGCGCGGTGAGGCGCGTGATGGGGATCCATTCGAAGGTTGTGTTTGACAGAGCTCCAAACCAGAAGCCGCCCAGCCACAGAATTGTCTTCTCGAAGGGCGCCTGGATTTTCGCCAGAGTCCTTGCCACTATCGTCTTATAAATAACTATAGCACAGAATATAGCCGGGAGTAGTCCGCCCGTAAGCTTAGATAGGTGATCTGGGAAGGTCGAGGTGTTGTAAGGGGAGGCGCCGGGCGGATCGGACACCATGCCGACGTGTACAAATATTGCCACAAATGTAGTAAAGAAATGGCGCTCTGATATCGTGAAGATACAAAGTAGAGAAGTAAAGAGTATCGATATGAAAAGCAGAACTCCACGAAGTTCGCCTGGGCCGCACCGCACACCTGGATCTTTGGATACCGTGAAAGCCACCGGGAAATACGAATCGAAAGCAATGGACTCAATGCCTTGACTCCACGAGCTTGGAAAATACTCACGCTTTCCTATCCTATCGAGTCGGCCACAGCCACCACCGGAATCGCTGATGATGCCAGCGTGGATGGCGGACGCACATATGAAAGAGTCGCCGCGGTACTCGGGTCCTCCAACGACCAGTGGTCGATAGATAACCTCGGAAGCGCCAATGAGGCGTGGATTGAGGACCTTGACGGCCTTGTAGCCGGCTGGGCATCTGAATGCGAGGGTCTTGTTTGAAAATGGGCCACAGTCGATGCCGTTCAGCCCGCACTCATTCTTCCATTTGAACAAGGTGTCGATGCAGTCGAGGTTCACAACGTCCTGCCCTGTGTCGTCTGTTGTTGGCAAGCTGCTCCATATCAAGGGTATGGTGAACAGAATCAACCATGATGTGATAAAGGCAAAGTATAATCGCTTCCTGGACCGGGTGGTAGGACATATGTGATTCAACAGCCTGCTCGGAGAAGACTGTAGATCTGGTAGGAATGGCCGAATTTCCTGTTTTCTTAGCGGTTGAGGCCCCGCGAGCCAACTCCTCTTTATCGGGCTTCGCTTCAGTAGGTCTCCTCGAATAATTGACGGCTCTTCGACGTCCAAGTCATCGCGTGGGAGCAGATGAGCGCCTTCCACAGCATCGTCATCACTACCACCGCAGCCTGCAAGCTCGATGTTATCATAAGCAGGGAGTCCATTATACCGGTCCGAAGGTGCAGCCATGGGCAACGAGGATTCTCTCGGAGCTGGTCTGAAGTTATCGTGAGTCCTAGCCCGGCTTCTCGAACGTACTTGAGATCTTGGTTCTTTTACATTTTAATGGTTGGTGGTTGATTGTTGGTTGGTGGTTGATTGTTGGTTGTTGGTTCGAATGCTACCTTAAGATTGGCTAACGCGATATAGATGCGGACACGGGGACCTGACACTGGGCCACTGAAGCGGCGCAGCAATCAAAACTCGCCCCGCAAGCAGGTATCTGAGATGGGACACATCTGAAATTTTCTACAGAGTCATCGAAGCCCTTAAAGCCATCGTCACGGCACATTGAGACAGACAGTCCACGTATGTATAGACCGATCTCCCCCTTTTTCCACAATTCCTGATGCATGTCTGAAACGGTTTTGGGGAAGAATTTCGGAAATAGATGAGAAATTTATTGATGTTTACCCTATGAAACCGTTGTAAAATCTGCAGGTCAGTCCCGGGGTGAATACTCTAGAGCATGTTGAGCGGGAAGGAAGGCCGTATAAATATAAGCTAGACTTCGAATTGTTACGAAAGCGATACAAGATATAAGAGGCGGAACATCTTTAGGAATCGAAGAAGTATGGTGGCCGCCCCTGCCTCTTCTCATCAGGTTGAAGCCTCATGATATCCTTCTTGAAAGTTTCCCATAACCTAGAGTTAGGAGAGATAGTCATTGCAATCCTCTCCCTTGCTCTAACTTTCTCAGCCTCGTCGGAGGGCCTCTCTTCGAAATCTTCTCCTGAAATCTTAGAATGGTCGATGATTTCTGGCCAGTTGTTCGCCGTGATCACGTCCTTGCGGCGGGGGCGCGGACTGTTGGGGATGTCGTGGCGACTTTTGAAGATATGGTACGTCGTCCTGGCATCATACGGGTCCCAGCGCCATTTGTTGTCTGGTGTGATTTCGATTGGAAGAGGACAGTGGTCGTAGTCTGGACTTTCTGATAATAGAAATGCAATGATGTTCTTGAACTGCGCTTCTGTTGGCGGCGCAATGGTGGTGTAGCGTCGGTTGTGTATGTAAACACCATTGCACTGATTACAGCATTAATTAGGCTCGCTGTTCTTCAACATGCATATATATGTATATTGGAGCATCTCTGGACTCACCTCTTTTTCGCTCTCACCTCGGTCGAAAAGGACAACGCCGCCGAACAGCTGCACCTCCGCCCAGTATCCAGCCATGTCAGCTAGACCGTTTGGGTAGCTTGACCAGTCTCTATAGGCGCTTGTCCAGAAAAGTGTGGGCGGTGGTAGTTTTCTCCTCTCCATCAGGTCGTCTTCTGAGAGAGTATCGAGCTTTTTTGCCCGCCAGGCTTGGTGTTCCGCATGTTTGTGAACTCCATTGTCCATCTGATAGAGGTAGACAGCGATATCATGACATGCAGTCACGACAAGTTCGAGGAGCCGTAACTTCCACGCGATTGTACCCGGCAGCGTGTCCTGGTACGCCTGAATAATCTACTTGAATGTTAGCTGAGAGCGCAGTACATATGCAAGAAGGACGACTGACATTTGGCTCAAATTTCAAGTCGAGTATGTCAAAGTCTGAGCGGAATGCTCGAGTCCTTTCAACCGAACCAGGGCACAGATCCTCATGATCCATTACAGGCAACCCGTCTCTGAAGAAATGGTCATTCGCATAGACTCTCCTGGTTGGCTGTCCATCGATAATTTGAGCAAATGTGAACTCGGCCACTGGTGCGGAAAGGACATTGGATAGGGCTCGACGAAGCGGCTGCAGATGATCCAAACCCAGGTGCTCTGGGGACTGCATGTCTCCTTCTTTGCTTGGGAATCGTAGAATATTGGCTGACTTTTCTGGTGTCAACGGGACTTCAGCCGAGACTGCACTGGTCTGGTAGTGCTAGGAGTTGATGACATCCATGGACAGTTCTTGATGTTGTGTGTTGGGTGGCGCAGGATCGCAAGTGGGGCTGAAAGTTGTAAAAAGGGGAGAGGGTGAGTTTAACGCGGCTCTCGTTTTTCTCTTGGGTTAGCCAGGTCACCAACCACAGCAGTGAAACATGGAATTGAAAGTCGTCAAAGAAAATATTGGATTTAACATCAGATCTAGCCCAATACCTTGGTGCTTCAAGACATCCTCAAGTAGCTGGTTAGGGCTCCGGATCTGTAATAAGAAAATCACCAATATAAGCTATGTTAGAAAGTTGCAACTTTTGCAGATCCGGAGATATTCCAGAAGACATTGAACAGAACCGTGAGAAAACCGTTGTAATATACGATGGCTACGAAACCGTTAGTTACAAATTATCATGCAAGATAGAAGGCCAAGCTGTGTCACGGAATATTAATCAATGGAAAAGCATACTGGTGAGGTGTACGAGGGAGTTTGAAATTACTATAAGCTCTATATCTGTCGCTACAATAGCAGCACGTCATTTATGGGGATCAGGCAATATCCAGCCGAGTCCTAAAAGAAGGTTCTCCCTTGGGTTTGGTGAATTCAAATTCTACTCCTCCGTCGTCATTAACAACATAGCGCACCATGTTGTGTTTAAATGCTTGTAGCAAGTTCCGATTAGTGATGCAGAAAAGCCACAATTTGTAGAAAACATGTCTCTCCTAACCTACCCAAATGCGCCGTGTGAACGATATTTGTTCCAGTGATAACGCGGGTGAGTGCCTGCATGAGGCTCTCCTCCAGGTAACACCATCACAGGTCAATTTTGGATCACCGCATGCTGTCAGGTATATTTTCACGGAACGCTGCTCATCAGCAAGTGCCTCGGCCCGCATCTTATGATCAATATAGCACCAACGGGAGAGCTGCAGTGACAGGATCCGTCAATTGTCACATTGCCTATGTTCGGACCGTTGGGTGGACACTCAAGCGGCTTCCTGATCCACTCCCTTCGAACTCCGTTGCTTTGACGCTGGCAGTGGCTCATAAACCGTGACTCAGCTTCTGGCTTCCAATGACCGTAGGCAAATTGACGAGCGTGCCTTTTAAAGGCTACTTTGCATTTCCCAGCACCAATTTCACAATACACCTTATATAGAACGCAACGAGCAGTCCCTTGCGTGGAGTTAAAGAAACGAAAAATTGTTTTCTGGCTAGTGTTGCAAAATCACTGTCTACAAAAGCCGCCGTCCGCACTTTCTAGATTCACGAGCATAACGACCAACTTCCTCCTCCCGTTGACAGATGACCATTTCATTTGCCCTGTACACAGTGATCCCACGCGACAAACAAGGACAAATTCAGACTGGTCTAGTTCACAATCGCAAGCAAGGGACTGACCATCTTTACGATTCAAGATGCTCTTCACCATCCTCACCTTACTTGCGGCCGTCCTCTTGGGCATGGGCCAGGCAGCCCCATCCACAGCTGTCCAGCTCGCCCGCGACGACGTGCGCACCCTCCTCACCTAGCGATCCCACTTCTGCGAGACAAAGCAGGCCTCCGCTAACACAGACAACAGAAGAACCCCAACCTGACGCACATCATCTGCCAGCCACAGATGTTCCTCGAGGCGCGCGCCGACTTCACCGACAACGGCATCAAGTACCTGCGCAACAAGAACACGGCGGATCCTCTGTTCGGCCCCAAGACCAACGGCAAGCACTGCACGCGCGTCAGTTGCGAGTACGCATCGGGTATCTACGTGTGCAACGACAATGACTTTGGCGTGCGCGTGCCGCTCGACACGCTGGCCGACTACGCGCAGGCGATCCGCGACGACTCCGACAAGAGGTGCAACTACCGCGTGAAACACTACAAGGGGGGCAAGGACGAGGAAGATGTGACGTGGGGACAGGCGTTTGATGCCAACGGATGGTTAGTTTCTGGGAGAGCTCCTGCATATGGGGCACCTGGACGCGTGCGTGCGTGATATGCTGACTTTGGGGGTCATTTCAGGAACGTCATTGTTGGCTTTTGGCATTCGGATGAGAAGTGCGAGTAGGCCTGCCTACATAAATGGTCACAAAGTGGACTGACTGGACTTGACTGCTCCGTCACATCCAGCACGTGGTGGTCGTACGGGCGTGATATCAGTACGAGCGAGCAGCGAGGGAGATTTGTGGCGGCGGAGATTAGGTGCTGCAGTCGTCTTCCAATGAAGCAACGTCGCGAGGTGATCAGTCTCGTTTGCCTCTAGCCCGGTACGGTATAACCAAGCCCCCAGCGGGCACTCTTTGTAATTGACATGGATGATTCTTCACCGTCTCATCCGTCTAAACCATCCAGCCCACGGCGGAATGTTTCAAAAGCGAGCACGCGAGCAATGGTCGTTGGGCAGAGCGGAGTGACTATTATGTTCTCCGGCTGGGCCGAGAGAAAAAGAGAGGGATGTCGTCGAAAGTCATCCTTCAGCCACAGGTTCAAGCCACCTCCCTGGGAATGGCTGGCGGGGACTCCACAATTGGACAACTGATCCCGGGGATATCTGGTTACAGACTGACAGGGCGTACGGAGAAAAGGGCCCCCGGAACCAGGGCCCCAGGTCCATGACATATAATAGACACTCATTAATGACTGGCAAAACCGGGGCACAGCAGCAGCAGCAGGGCAGCAGGGCACAAGGGGAAAGGTCCTAGCTACAGTACGAATGCAAAGGCAAGGCAAGGCAAGGCAAAGCAAGGCTATCTTGTCCGTCTGTCCGTTCCGTCGATCCCGCGCCTGATCGAGAAGCGGGAATCTTGGACTGGCTGGGCGATGGAGTGGGTGATCGACTGGTCATGTTGTTGGATTAATTGGCCCCGTTTCCAGGCATCCATGCTTGCTCATGCAGCTGCCCACTCAATCATTCGTTGCTTGCTTCTGGAAAGATGCGGGCTGACGGGGACTATGTCTTGCAGTACAGTACAGCCCAGTCCATCCAGAGTCTATTATTTCCTCACGTCGGCCTGGGCTGACTTTCTCAGCCACCATGAAGCAGCAAACTGGCTCTACTGGCTCACAGTCAACTCCTTCGTCGGCCATAGGATTACATGTAACACGTTAAAATATGCTTTCACAGTGAGTGGCATGTTAGGATGAGCAGGATGGATGAGCAGGATGGATGAGCAGGATGGATGAGCAGGATGGATGAGCATGATGGATGAGGTGAAACCCCTGAATGATCGATGGCCCCTGGCCAAGCAGAGCACAGTATTCTAGTCCCCAATTAGACACTCCTTAAAGAGACACTGGATTGATTCATATTCATCCAGCTTCTTCTGTATGCATGGCGCAGTCAGCCCACCTACTTGTGTGTGTGTGTGTGTGTGTACGTACTGCATCGGCAGTCGTTCTATTCCAATCTCTCACACTGCATCCAAAAAAGGCCTTCCAGAGTCCTGAGACACTCGAGCGAACTCAATTGCAAGGAAGATTCGGAAGGGCAAGCAAAAGTCTGGGTCGTCTCCTGATCCCTGCCCTGCTCCCGCTAATAACCGTACCACGCTGCGGGTGATCTTGGGTGCTCTTGGTGCTGCACTGTTGCACTGCTACACAGTCAGAACAGTACAGTACACTCCCACTACAGCACAACCCGCCCGCCCAGGCCGTGACGTGAACCCTGCCGCTCTTTGCGCCACAGCTTCATTCTTAGCCCACTTGCACTCGTCCGTCCTTTCGTCCCGTCTTCTCGATCCGACTCCAGAATGCCCCTCCTCGACCGTGGTTTTATTCCTCGTCGACTGCTCTGAGCCTCATCTATCAAGTCTGCAACCACGATACAACCATACCGCTGCGAATCCCCCCCTGCATTGCTCCAAGCTCGACCGACCAGACAGCCCCTGAGCACTCGGGGCCTCCACGATCAGATGCCACTGTCCAGCCTCTCTGCGACCGCTCCCACTCTCCTGCGCACGCCTGCCATCGCTTCCAGACCGGCCAATTGGGCCTGCGAGTAACCCAGCATCATTCTAGACAGACCGTGACGCGCTCTGGCGGCGAGCTGCCCGGCGGATTCGCGTCGGGTCGGGGCTCGAGAGGTGGGAGATGCAGTCGGCACGGAGACAAGCCGACGAGAAGAAGGCCAAGCTCAACCGCTCCTACCAGGAGCTCCTCGATGAGTTCTCCAACAAGGACCTCAAGACCGTCGGCAACTACCAGCTCGGCCGCCTGATCGGCAAGGGCTCCTTCGGCAAGGTCTACCTGGCCTCGCACAAGCTCACAAATGGATCCAAGGCATGTGACGGATGCGATGTAGCGTGACGCGGTCGTTCGACCTATCTACACACATGGGTGGGCATCATGGCTGACTACTGCTGCTATGGATCTAGGTCGTGCTCAAGTCGGCGAAGAAGGATGACTCCAATCTCGCCAGGGAGATACACCACCACCGCCAATTCGTACATCCGCACATTGCCCGGCTGTACGAGGTGGTGGTGACCGAGAATCTGGTGTGGATGGTTATGGAATATTGCTCAGGTAAGCAGAAGCGACCTCTGGGAAGCATCGCTGGTCCTCCTATGCTGACGCTGTCGCAGGCGAGGAACTCTACGACTACCTCCTCCGACACGGAAAGCTGCCCGTCGACAAGGTCCAGAAGAGCTTCACCCAGCTGGTCGGTGCCGTCGCCTACGTCCACCAGCAGAACTGCGTCCACCGCGATCTCAAGCTCGAAAACATCCTGCTCGACAAGAACGAGAATGTCAAGTTGCTGGACTTTGGCTTTGCGCGAGAGTACGAAGGCAAGACCAACTACCTACAGACCTTTTGCGGGACAATATGCTACTCGGCACCGGAGATGCTGAAAGGAGAGAAATACGCCGGAGAAAAAGTGGATGTATGGAGCTTGGGCATCATACTCTACGCTCTGCTATGTGGAGAGCTGCCCTTCGACGACGATGACGATGACACCACCCGGCGGAAGATCCTTTCCGAAGAGCCTAGCTACCCTGACCATATACCCGCCGACGCCCTGTCCCTACTGAGGCAGCTGCTATCGAAACGACCGTTCCCTCGACCGTCCTTATCCGACATCTTGAACCACCCATTCCTCTCTGAACACGCGCCGGAGCAGCAAGCCATTCTCAGCAAGGAGCGACTCGAACCATTTAGCTCAGCCTTGGAAAGAGATTGTCTGCACCGAATGAAGAGTGCTGGAGTGAACATTGACCATGTGATAGAATCTGTCCTGGCTCAGAAATGCGACACCCTCGCAGGCTGGTGGACGCTTCTGCTGGAGAAGGAGGAGCGCAAGCAAAAGAGGAGAGAGAGGAAGCGCAAGGAGAAGGAGACCGACCGTAGGGGCTCGCGTCGCTTCTCCCAGGCCTCAAGCCGCCTCGAGCGCCTGGCTCCAGTGGGCGAGGAGGGATCGTTCGTTAAGCTCGGGGACCCACCTCCGCCTAGGCCACGGGGCCGCTCCGAGAGGAGAAGCGGGTACTATCCCGAGTTCCAGATCACGGACCTTCCCGGGCTGCCGGAGACGGGCAAGTCAACCATCACCCTCAGCCCTGACACAGAGAACCCGCCGCCACCGATAGACAAGGACTCGATCCGATCCGTCAGCACGTCACGCAACCGAAGGCCCATACCACCACCTAAGGAGGGTGTGCCTGGCGTGCTCCGTAGCGCGAGGTCTAGAGGTTCGACACTACACCTCGTCACGACGAGCGATGCGCTGGGAAGCAGAAGCGGCAGCCGCGGCTTGGATTCGGAGATGACACCGCAGCAGAAAGTGCGCAAGAGGCCGTCTCAGGGTATAATGGCACACTGGAAAAATCTTACCAACTGGCTCGTCGAAAGTACTCGGCGTCATAAGAACGCAAATAGGAACCAGAGCCACTCAACTCCCGATCTACGTGCCAAGAGTCGTGCTGGGAGGGACGGCAAGCTATCCAAGGAAAACAGTCCCAGGCCGCATACCGGGAAGAACCTTCCAACACACGCTCCGCAAGCAGCTGTGTCACAGCTTCCTCAAAATCTAGTTGTAAACGGTTTTGCACGGAAACCTGTTGGGTCATCGGGGCAAGGGCAACAGACGACCGACGCCATCAGCACCCCATCCACTCCAGGCTTCTCCACCTCCGGCGGCCCATCAGTCCATCGCCGTGTGCCTACTGGGCACTCTTACAAACGCCAGTCTCTTTCGCCATCGCCTATCACGCCACGATCTGCCATTCGACGCTCTTCGGCAGGCCTCCGTGGGCGCAAGTCGACGTCGTCGTCGGTGTCCTCCGTCAGGTCCATGCATCACGCCCATCACCATACCCACTCCAAGGCGTCATCCACATCGTCCACTAATTCTGTTTCAACCAACATGTCAAAAACGCCGATGCAAACAGGCCGCAGCCCTCACCATTCCGTCAAAGTTCTACCAGCCACACCCACCAGCAAGACATCCTTTCCCAGCAACATCCGACTCGTCCGAGGTGCCGGGCCTCCACTGGCTCTGTACAACGAAGCGGCGCCAGGCAGCGGCAGTGGCACCGGTCGTACCGGTGGCATGTTAGCGGCGAGCCCCATGATCCCACAAGCTCCTGGATCACCAAACCCGTTCGCTTCGTTCGGCGAGCGCAGCATGCCCTTCTTCGCGAAACGCAAGAGGAACGTCTTCAAGGGCCCTTCCTTGGCCTTCGGTGGCGGCAACAGCAGCCGGAGCGCTAGCGGAAGCAACGCGGGCGGCACGCCGTCTCACAGCCGCAGCGCCAGTGGCGAGCGCATGGGCGGGGGCCGGCGCAGTGGTGAGATCGCCGCGGTGCAGGAAGAGGACGAGGAGGAAGCGCTGGAAATGGAAGATGATATGCTCGAGGAGGATGAGGACGAGGATGACCGCGACACCGTCAAGTTCCGCAGCCTGGCCGAGGAGGACGAAGAGGTGGAGGAGGTGGAGAGTTTCACCCCTGTGGTCAAAGGGCCCGGCGAGCAGGTCGAGGAGCGGATCTTTGAGCCGGGTGAACTGGAGAAGGCCCAGAACGGCGTCAACAGGGGTGCCAACAATGCGACATCCTCCCCTAGTCATAACGCGGTTACTGCGACTGGCACTGCGGCTGCTGTGAGGTGATTTCTATCAAACAAGCAGTTGGCATGACCCATCTTCTGTCATGTTGGCTAAGTAACCAGTTTGAACTTGAGCGGGACGGAACGCATCCACATGCTGCAGTCAGAACCACGGCGGCAGCCACAGAAATAAAACGACCACCACCACTACCATTATTACAACGAAAACACTTTAATTACCCATTTACCGACATTTTCAAACCGGCGCTTGGGGGGGCTTTTCCACATATTACAGCGACGTGGACGCAAGATACCACCTTTCTTCACATTCTTCTCTCCGCCTTCCGGCTCTTCCCTACGTCTTCATTTCCAGCCATGCACACCTCCTCACGAATAACATCTTCGAATCATCTAAAACTTGTTTGCCTACCGTTTCACAACGGGCGCCGCCACTACTACCGCCTCTTCTCATTTACCCATACACCTGTCTAAATACCCCTTTTTCCCTCCGAACCTGGCTCACCGCAGTCTGCATTCCCGCGAGGAGGCGCGAGCGCCTTCTTGCCCGTCCGAACAAACCGACATTCCAATATTTTTGTGTTTTAACAACTGTACCGACTTCTTTGTTTTCTTTTTCTTCTCCCCCCCCCCCAAATTCTCGTTCCTCCTGTATTTTAGCCACCCTGGAATCTTTGTCAACCTTCTTCGGAAAACCTTCCTCAATGATACCTCTGAATACTTTCGGATCTCTCTAGCCTTTAACACTTGGGAGGATGAAATATACTGCTGTTCAAAAAGTGATTTGCGATCTTGTTCATGCGTGACTGTCTTCTGAAAGTAATTCGTTTCAGATTTGAAGTGTTCTTGTGTGAGATGCCGTCCCCAATACTCTGCCCTGGCCACGTTGCGTGGGTGGTCATTACAACGGGGTTTAAGTGATTGGACCCGGCCAGAGAACGAGGAAAGCCTGGATGCCCATTCTGCTCGCTCCTGCTCGCTCCGACACGTGGTACGGTAGCTCAAGAACAAAGAGCCTTGTCGCGAGAACCGTCTCAATGACATACATGTTTCTCGGGCCGGGAAGGGGAGTGGACTCTTTTTTCTTCTTTTTTCTTCGGCGGACCTGATAAGAAGAATGACTGATGCTCGCTCTCCCCCTCCTGCCTTAGCTTGACGCCCGTGCGTCTTCTATTTCGCCTGCAAGAGGACATCATGATTGCCCCGGGCTCCCGTACGCGATCTTGCAAACAAACGGGTTCATCCCAGAGTCAAAAATGAACTTTGTTATTTCTCCCCTTCTGGCTTTTCTCCTCCCACGAAGACAGCGCACCGCTTTACCCAAAGCAAGAGACCCCGCCCCAGAGACGTCCATCAGCCTTGAGACAAGATACAAAAATAGAGTTGGAACAGGTTTGAACTCGGAACCTTTGACATTGGAACCACTGTAACTTATATTCGAGCCATTTGGCCGTTCGAATTGATCTGGTATTAAGACGGCTGCCTGTATGGGGATATCAAAGTAAACGGGGGACCCCCTGGGGGGAGGGGGGGTTTAAGTAATTGGTCCGAAGGCAACGCACTCATACTGCCCCATCCAACCACGCCGGCCTGTCGCCACCACTCCCCATCGAGACAGCCATACCCACCAGGCCCTTCCCAAACCCGCCGCCTCCTCCCCTGGCCTCGCCACCACTTGTGCCTTTCCTTGCTCTCCTCAACAGGCCCCTCCTCCCAGCCTCGATCTTCCTTACCGTGTCGACACTCACAGCCAGCCCGGCATCGACCTTCTTCAGCGCAGGGTCGCCCATGGTGGCGAGGGCGAATAGGCCCAGGCTGGAGTGGTAGATGTCAGGGGGGTCGCCAGCCCGCTTGCCGAAGCCGCCGATGGCGTGCTGGGTGTTGTCGAGGAGGAAGGCACGGGCTGCCCTGATGGCTTCTGGCCCAACTGTTGTGGGTGAGGGGACTGGCAATGAGGAGGAATAGTGGTCGAGGACTCCCAGGATGGACAGCGAGCCCAGCACCCACCAGGTGTAGCACGTGTCGGCGACCTTGTTACAGCGGCCGTTGAAGCCGATGTGTTTCGTGTCCTCGTGGGGTTCCGACAGGGAGAGGTTGGCCATCTGGAAGTTTGCCGTCTCCGGGTCCTCGTCGTCCTCTTCTGCCTTCTTTTCTTGGTCCTTGAGGTATGCGAACTGCCTGGAGACGAGGAAGGATATGAACCCCGGCATGTCTGCTATGCCATCCTGCAATATTTTGCTTTGTGTGTAATGTGGTGATGGTGTGTCTTGATCTTCCGCATCAGGGCTCGACGTCGCGCTCTCAACCGGCCGATCCAGCAGGGCCAGGGCCTCCACGGCGCAGTATGCGTAGCCGGCGTGGCTCTCGTGACCCAGGCTCTCGGAGAAGCCGCCATCATAGGACTGGCTGCGTCGGATATGGCGCACCAGCGCGGCGACGTCAATATCCTCGACGTAAGCCTCGTCGTCTTCTGTCAAATCGCCGCGGAGAATCCAGCGGATCGTGGCGGCGAGGTAGCAGTAGCGCATATCCTTGCCGCCGCCGACTATATATTTTCTACTCCCAGTATCTTGTTGGCCATCACTCTTTTCGAAATCAGGTAATTCGTAGATGACCTCGCCAAAGCTGCCGTCCCCGTCGACCCTCTGCAGCCTCCGTAGCCACCTCAGCGTCTTGGCCCGGTCGACACCAGCGTATGCACCACCCTCCGCATGATCATCCTCCGACAGCATCGGCAGCAACAGCAGCGCGAAGTACGTCGCGGCTATGTTCGCATTCCCGCCCGCGTCGCTGTCATCGCAGTCAGCGGGGAAGACATGGGTAGGGCTGCCGCAGAAGCCACCATGGGGGTGCTGGCACGACAGGACCCAGTTGCGCAGGCTGCGGCGGTCGGCGGGGGTGAGGAGGGGTTTTGGATCGTCGTGGGGGGAGAGCAGGTCGATGGCGGCGATGATGAAGAAGCCCAGGGTCACGCGCTGGCTGTCGTTGGGCGTGTAGTGGTGGGGCAGTAGTGTGCGGGCGCAGCGCTGCCAGTAGCGGAGATGGCGGGGCTTGTCGAGGGGAGGATCGAAGGACATTCTGGGCGCGTGAGTTGTGGTATGCTATAAGAACATCGTCGGGGTGTGAGAGGATCAAGAGTGAGACAAGATGTAAGAGAAAGCGAAGCTGTCATCGGATGGGAGCTATGCTGTGGTTCAAGTATCGTACAGTAAACATAGTGCCAAGCTTGGGAGTCGGCCGTCAGAGAGCTACCCCTGCTCGGTGGGACCCTTGGATCCTTTGGGTTCCCGATGGTCCAGGGCAGCTGGGCCTTGCTATGTACTGTATATGTACGACCTCGAGACCCCTGACAGTGGGGGGCCGATAAACCAATAAACCCATACTTTTCAAACAGGGCTGCTGCCCGCCTGCGCCCGCTTGACCTGTTACAGCAGCACGGGGCAGGTCGCGGCATGTGAACAGCAATAGAACAGGATCCCAAGCTCAAGCTCGACCAACCCAAACGTTGAGTTTGAACCACGAAGGTCGCATGCTCAAGCCTCTTTTGATGCCCGCCCCCCGCCATCGCGACTTGTCCTCCCCTCCCCTTCCCACACCAGACCAGACCAGACCAGACCAGACCAGAGCTAAACTGAGCTTTCCCATACAATAACTCTGTCTGTCCTTACAATCTATTCTAGTCTGCCGTTATCGCCGGCCGGGCTCCATCACAACCGAAGCAACAACTGTTTTCTCTTCCAGCGGACCTCCCGCTCGACTGGCCGACCAACCAAACGACAACATGGCGCTCATATCCGCAAAGACCATCATCACCTCGCTGTCCCTCTTCCACATCACCCTGGGCTTCTTCTTCCTCACAAACCCCATGACCGTCGCCGACCAGGTCCTCGTCTATGTCCTGGGCGAGGCAATGGGCATGCCATACGACAGGTCCTTCGAGGCTCACTCGCCGCCCCTCGCCTTCCTCGCCGCCATCCTGGCCACCATGGGCCTGACAGATCTTGTATCCTTGAGCCTCCCCGAGGAAGTAGTACTGTCACATCACTGGGGGACGCAGGGTATGTGATATCCACAACACCACCCGGAACCATCTTATATTTAACTGTCAAGGAGACCCCAAAATGACTAACCAAGAATCGTCCGCGCAGCCCCGGTCCGTCTCCTAATCTCCCTCCTCCTCCTCGCCTACTCGTTCCTATTCTCGCCCTCGAGCCCCATCTACCGCGAATCGTCTTCAGTCCGCGGCCGCATGGCACACCCTAGCGCCAGCCTGCACAACCCGGGCTACGTCGCTAGCACCTGGGGCGGCGACGGGCTCAAGAACAGGGTCTTCTTCGCCTTTGCATTTGTCGAGGTCGTCAGCTGGTTCTGGATCTGGGTCACCCTGCGCGAGGAAAAGCAGGCCCAGGCCATCAAGAGGGCTGGTGCTTCTAAGAGGAGGGCGAGCAGTGCGAGGATGTAGTGGTCTGAACGACTGTGAGACAAGGCGGAATGGGGCAGAAGGATCTCCTGCGCTGGTCGCTCTGGTTGAGGACGTGAGGGGACTCTCTCTCGCGAGGCTGAACACATAACATACGATATAAGATGGGGAGAAAAAAATGGGAACATATGGACGAATGACGATAACTGCATGGCAAGGAGTTTACATCAACTGAGTTTCGGACTGGGCCAGGTTGGACCGGGCAGCAGGCAGTCGGAGCGTGTCGTCTATAACAACGCGGCACTCAGCCTGGCAGAGGGAGATACCCAATAAATAAATCACATTCCAAGTCTTTTTCTATGCCCAGGAACTCCGCCCCTCATTTTCTAGGACTAAAACCCATGGATCAGTCTATGTCTCCATCCACCTGCTCACTCACTCACTCCATCTTGACCATCCCCAGCCCCTTGACCCCCTCCCTCCAGCTCTCAACAACCCTCCCACCCCACTCCTCAACATCCGCCTCACCAACAACGTCCCGAACAAGACCAGACAACTCATCCTCCCCGAACGCCCACCCCTCCATCCGATCAAGCCACCCACCCAGCCCAAGAACCTCCCTCAGCTCCTTCACCCGCGCCCTGACCGTCCCCAGCAACCCCCCAGCAACATCCTCCAGCCCCTTCGCCTCGGCCAGCACCTCCTTGTGCAGCCCGCTCCTGCCCGACCGGTCCCGCGCCGCCTGCTCCGCCTGGAAGCCCACCAGCGACGCGGCGGCCCACCGCGCCGCCAGCGCCGCGTCGCGCAGCAGCGAGAGCGCGTGCGGCGCCGCCAGGTGGTGCAGCACGTCGCCCTCGGGCAGGGCGGCCAGGCGCGGCGGGGCGGAGGCGAAGTCGGCGCGGAGGGCCTCGAGCGCGGCGCGCGCGCCCGCCGCCGCCGTCGGGAACCCCTGCGGCACCGGGCTGGCCGCCTTGGGGGTGTCGAGGGCGAGGCGCAGGAGGGCCGCGAGGAGGCTGATGGCCGTGTAGTACTTTTGCTCTGCGGGGGTGAGCTTGGAGGGCGTCCCTGGGCGGTGCAGGAGGGTGGATAGGGCTTCCGAGAGGCGCGCGTATGTCTCGATCTGGTAGGCCTTGTCGCGCGCGGCTGCTTCGGCTGCTTTGGTTGGCTTGTAGTCTTTTGGGGGCTTGTAGGTGACTACGTCGAGGAATTGCTCTGCCAGGAGGGCGAGGCGGCACCGTTCGTCCTGGGGTTCGCTGTTAGCTTGTTCTGGGACTGGGGCGTATGAGACTGGGGTGGGGGATGACCTACTGAGAGTGCTGGGCCGAGCCTGACGATGTCGTAGAGCGGCGCTGTGTGCGAGCTCTCCAGGTTGGGGAAGGAGCCGTAGTCGATGGCGTTGACGAACGTTGTGTCGTCCGTGATGTGTGCTGATACAAGTCAGTCGAAACAGTTCTGAACACAGCACGCACCGGCATTCTCAACTTACCGAGCAGAGGGGATTGCTCAATACCCCCTTCCAACTTGCCACCGAACGCCCTGGTCGCCCTTCTCTCCTCCACAACAGCCATGACCAGCGTACAGCTCCGCCTCAGCCGATCCGAGTACGCCGCCATGTCCAGAATCGAAGTATAACTTCCAGCCGTGAAAGCATCCCAGATCTTGACAGGCGACTTCTCCCGCAGGCAGCCAGTGTAATACGAAGTGAGCGGCTCGGTGAGGGCCTGCCGCCCCGAGAACAGCCCCGGCGACACGCTGGACAGGCGGTCGAAGAACAGGGGGCTGAGCGCGTCCTGGATCGTGCGCTTCACGTCCATGGGCACCCAGGTCGTGTGCGCCAGCGAGGCGCAGCCCATGAGCAGGTACACTTGCACCAGGACCAGGCGCAGCGGCATCTCGTTGGGGGTCTTGGAGAGCTGTGTTGCAAGGACGAGCGCGGCTTGGAGGAGCCTTGACACGTCGACGCTGCTCAGGGGCGCCAGCTTCGACGGCGACGGGGTCTGGCGCAGGCCGCTTAGTTTGAGGAGGGCTGATGAGGCGACTAGGGCGAGGTCGACGTGCGGGTCCTTGTCGAGCCCTTTGAGGATGTCGGGCGTCTTGTCGAGGCCTTGGTAGGTGGAAAGCGCTGTGGAAGCCACGCTCTCCAGGCACGACGTGCAGCTCTTGGTGGAGGTGGTGGAGCAGAACCTGCACTTCAGCTGCGAGTCCCCGGCCTCGGCTACGACTGAGATGTACTCCTGTGTGAGGGGGCATGTCGTCAGGAAGTACCTGAACTTTATCTCAAGGACGCGCACGACCAGCTGCCTTTGCGCATCTGGGTTCTGTAGGCAAGGTTCAGTGGGATGCTTTCGCACTAGTTGTAGACGAGAGCTGGGCTTACCTTTCCGGCTACGGTGTCACTAAGATTATCAATGAAGTATTTTGCTTCATCAAACGTCAACTGAGCCACATATTCCTTGACATCGTCGAAGGTGGCTCGCTGCAGCACGTTCTGCTCAAGGAACAGGTATAACTGGATGACCCGGTAAGATGGCTTGCCCGGGCCGAGGCTCGGGGGTAAAAGGCTGGTCGGTGAGCTGAAGGCCAGTTCAAGGAGCGCCAGGCCTATGTTCTTCTTGTACATTGGTGCCACGGTCCCTTGAACGGAGACAAACTTTTGGAGCACTTCTTGGACTTCGGTGAAGGCGCTGCATAACTTGTTAGAAGTCAACGATACACAGGCATGTGGTGGGTTGCTTACGCTTCGACGTCTCCCTGCATGCTCGCAGACTTGACGAACAATTTCCATATCCGCATGTCGAAAGCAAGGAACGACGGCTTCCCGTTGCCATCTTCCTTGCGCAAGGCCTGGCAGCACGTGCTGTAGACTGTCTCCCAATCTCCAGCCTCCACCAGGGTCTCCAGGCTCTGCTGAAGCAAGTGTTTCCGCCCCTGCTTGAACTGCTCGAGAACCCCGATTGGATTGCCCTCGGCCGAAAGCGACTTGATGTACGCCTCCTTGCCGGCCACGTGATAGTAGAGGTTGATCTCCTCCTCCTCCCGGAGACCGCGGCCTGTGGCCTTGGCGTCAGCAGCAATGGTGGCCGCCTTCTCAAGCTGCATACGCGACAGCTTGCCGAACATGACCTTCATGTTTTCTGGGCATTGTGGGCTTATCTGGATCTGTCAGTCGATTAAGTATCCCGGCTTTGGCATGTGTAGCTACTCACAGAGAGGAGATGGGTCAGCGTGATGCTCCAGAATGTGTTCTTGCCATTGTTCTTTCCCGGTTGGCCCTTGTCTAACGTGGCGGCAATCTGCAATGGTGAGCGATTTCGCAGAGCAATACTTGTAAAGCCCGAGTAGACGTACCTGCTGGGCGTTCACGAGGTCCCATGCAAGCACACATGCCTTGAGACACTCAACCACGTTGGGGCTGGTCGGGTTCGCCTTGGCCCACCTCGCCCGCAGGACACCGATGGACTGAGAGAAATCGAGCGGTGGCGCGGCATCTCTCAGCGCCCACTCGTACAGCTCGATAGAGTCAAAGTCCGGCACGGCAGTCTTGTCCCTGACCATGGCATCGACGGCGAAGACGACAGCGGATTTCTCCGTCACCGTGTCCAACTGAGACTCAGCGCAGATCCTGATTGCCTATATTTGTCTTGTCAGAGGAAGAGATCGCATTGAAAGTCGAGTGCCACGGGGGTTCAAGTTTGGCTAACTTCATAGTAAGGGTCCTTCTTCGCCTTGAAGCGCTGCGCAGCGAGGCGGGTGACATTCGGCCAGAGACCCTCGTTAAAGGCGGTCTGGAGCTGGACATCGACGCTGTTCTTGAGTGCAGGCCGGTAGTATCTGCCGTACATAGACATGTTGGTGTGGTGCTTAGATTGGTGTCATGCGATCAATCGAACCGAACCCAATCGGACCTGTCCGCCGAAGTCAAAATGCGTGCGGGTGAGGGTGGGAGAGAAGAGGACCCGATGCGCCGCTCGAGATATGTGCCCTCACGGGGGTATCCGACCATGCGATACAATTAGAGGATTCAATAGGACAGGCGCTTAATTTAGGTAATCCACACCATCCTCCCCTGTGACCCGTTTGAAATATATCGTGAGATTTTTGGGGGGGTGGTTCCAGAGAATCGGGGCGCTCTCTCTCCAAGTTGCAGTGGGTACGTCGTGTTTTGTGCCCTGTTGGCCCGTGCGGGCTTATGCCTGAGGACCATCGCAGCAGAACCACCTGGGGTTTCAACACTCGATATGAGGGTATCACTTTTTTCATGAAAACGAATGATTGTTCTTTTGTAATTCTTGCATTTGAGAGAAATCCTTTCAAAGTTTAATTCCAAACTATGTCTCACCTGTCTTTCAAATTTCTTGGCCGGTCAGGATGAGCTAGGTGTGTACTGTGAGATTCCAACTTTTGCCCCAGACAACTACCTCTCTCCCCGACTGATATATCTGCTACATATCAGTGAAAAATGTGCAAACCTGAGATAACTGAGAATTATCGAAGGCACTCTCATCGTCAGAATATAACTTGTCACTGGTAATATACCGTACTTGTATAATACACCCCGCCATTGCGAGCAGTGAAGTACGATAACAAGAAGACAGGGCCAACTCCAGGGTATTTTGCTCTAGGGTCAGTACATCGAAGTAGTTGTGTTTGGTTGTTTGTACACTTGTTTTTACATTGAAATCCCACATCAAGGCCAAGTTTTGGGTCGTTTCGAGATGCAGTCATGGTCTTGCAGCCCCCCCCCTTTTCCAGCCTTATTTCATCTCTGCACCACAACATTTTGACAGCTCAGTGAACGATGATCTCCGTATGCGACTGAGGATCTAAACGTTGTGGCAGCCATAGTCAGATGCGAAACATTGGAAGGAATATTCACTTGTTTCGACTAGACAGTCATCACCTTCGACCACAGTGCTGTGTGGGACCAGACAACATCATCCATCACCGCGGTCCTCCATCCACTCCTACCTTCACCATAAAAGACTTAGATTCTCAATTATTCATTGGCGAGCCTCGCACGTTATTCTTCTTCCGCAAATTGTGCCATGAGAGGTCTTGCCCGGAACTTAGCGGTCGTTCGCTGGACATATCGCATGCGTGTCGTCGGTACGATCCATATCCCAAAGTGGACCTCGCGTGCCCCCGAAAAGTCGTCTGCCGGCGTATTGGGACCTTAGCCGAACAGGCCACCACCCTCAGCCTTGCGCTTGTTGATCTGCATTCTCGTCAGCAACTGAACGCAACCTCAGACATACCAATCGCAAACATACCCAGGTCTTCTTGCACTCTCTATAAGCCCTATGCATATCCATGTCAGCCTTGTTGCCTTTAGCCAGGTCCGCCCCGGTCCGCCCAGTTGGTCCGCTCGTGGGAAAACGCACTCGAAGTAGTCCTGGCACATCGTCCTGTCGCCGCCGTTCCGGTTCAGGCACTTGATGCTCTTCGAGGCGGCCTCCTGGCATGGATCGAGCCACTTGCTTCTGCTCTTGCTGTGGGAGAGTAATAGAGACAAATCAGCTTCGAGGAACGGAGGCGTAAGACATTGAGAAGGGATGCGTCGGGGTGGTGGGGTGACTACCTGTTGAACTCTTCCTTGGTCTTGTCATTCCAAGGATCCTCGCTCTTGTCAGCTGGGGACGCCATCCTGTCGGTAACTGGTGCCCTGGCGCATCTGCGTGGGCTAGAGGATTGTTGTTGTTGTTGTTTGAAGGAGGAAGAAAGCGCAAGCTTCCGAGAATACGAATGGCCCTGGAGAAGATCGACGCCTCGGCTGGTGGTGACGTTGTGGAGGCCCCGAGCTACGATAAGATAAGAGCTTGCTTGGGCTGTGTTATGTCAGCACTCCCTCAGCAGTCAACCTCCTTCAGCCAGGAATCGATGCACAACGTATCCCTTGTTCACCAGTTCTTGACCAGAATGCCAACGCAGAATCCGATTTCCACAACTATGGCCGGTCTACTGTACAGATAACATAACTCCAGACAGGCGCAGTCCTTACGTGTCCTAGCATGAATCATACACAAAGCTCACAATCGTACAAACCCCCTCGACAACTTTTCAGTGACCCTTCTGCCTATGCTTCTGCTTCCTCTTGCCGCCAGCACGCGAGCCCCGAAAGTCATGATGGTACCGGCCGTTAGCCTTGCCCTCACGCTGCTTCTTCCTCGCCCTTTCTTTCTCCAGCCTGCGATGAGTCTTTGCCCCCACCCTCTTCTCTCTCTTACCATGCTTCTTTGGCGACGGTGCTCCTGAGCGCTGAGAATGGGAACGCTCGATAGGACCGGGGGTAGAAGCCATGGCCTCAGCCTGGCGTGAAGCATGCATCATGTCGGATTCCTCCTTGTCTTGTGTTGTCTCTTCTAGCGGTCTCTCGCCTGATGTATGCAGCGGGGAATGTTGTGCTCGATGTACCATGTCCAAGTGGACGCGGTTGTGCACTTCAAGCGGCGAGTAACCGCACCCAGCACCCTGTCCAAGTGTGCTCTCGAGGAACGCCCAGTCGTCAAACGGCATACGGTGAAACCGCTCCTCGACGCACTGTTGTAGCTGTGCTTCGATGATGGCCGGGGTAGAGGTTGGAAGATGATGGGCCTTGTTTCGGCCAGTGTTGTCCTGGCTGCTCTCAGGCGACGAGAGATGCCGTTTGCTCAGCTTGCGCCATGAAGGGCCTTGATCCCCAGCCTCCTTGCTCGACAAGGAGTCGTTCTTATCGTCTCCATCTAACAGGACGCCCGCATGGCCCGCATCCGCATCTCCATTTGTATCGTCGCCGTACGCACTCGAGCCAAGGCCGCTGTCATCATCGTCGGCTTCCTCGCCAGGCGCAATACTTGACTCCCGTTTGATAGGCGACGATACGACCATCTCGAGCTCTAACGCACGGCGGTGAGCCTCCTCGAGCGCATACTTCTTTCTCTTCTCCTGTAGCGCGGCGATCTTCTTCTCCCTTTTCTTGATCTTTTTGGCCTCCTTTTTGAACCTCTTCCTCTCGCGCTCTTCGTCTTTGCAATCCTCGGTGGCAGAGCGCTTGCGCTTGCTAGCCTGAACCAATAGTGGTGGCTCTTCCTTGTGAACTACCTCAGGCTTGATAGGATCTGCTTTCAGGCTTTTCGGCGAGGGCGATCGCTTGGCTGAGGAAGGGAGGTCGTTCATATTTGTGGCCAGCTTGACGTCGATACTTGGAAGCTCAGCCTCGTCGTCCTCTAGGATGTCTATGGAAGGCTCAATATCGGAGTCGCTGCCTGACGATACTTCAATCACCACGGGCTGCTGTTCTTTGTCCAATTTCTTCGGAGAGGCAGGAATAGCTGCCAACTTCCTTTTCCGCGAAATATCTTCCTCGCTACTCGGCTCCCTTTTGACCAAGATGTCTTCCTCACTGCTGGTTTCCATTTCTATGATCGGAATGTTTTCTTCGCTGCTTGTTTCTGCGCTGGATGAGTCGTGAACGATGGTGGCTTCTTCCTTCTTAGAGGGGCTTTTGATAATGGAAGATCTGACAGGGCTACTCTGACTCGACTTCCTGCCCGGAGATGGGACTGGCATCTTTCCAGGACTCGACATCTTTGAAGGCTTCTTGGGAGAATTGCGTGGACTGGACACTTTGTCCACCATCAACGTCCCGTACTTGACCTCTCCAGCCGTACTACTCGCCGAGCCCCGGCGGCCTTGCGCATGTCTCTCAGCGTCTTTCAGTTCATCCTGCGCTGCACGCAGAGGAGGCGCAGACCATGGCAGAGAGGGCGCTGGAGCCGAGCTAGACTGTTCGCGAAAAACCTCGTCAATCAAAGCATCAGCCTCGTCGGAAGAATCAGACGGGACATGGATCACAAGTTGGCCAGGGCTGGGAAGCTGCGGTTGCCTGGTCTTTCCGAGGGTATGCTGTCGTCCCTGAGCAGCGGCGATTCGCATGGTTGGCGACGACGGCAACGGCCCCGCAGGCGACGACGGGTCCGCTTTGATAGGTGTAGCTTTCTTGCTCGGAGTCGACGGCTTGCTGTTGGCATCGGGGGCTGCTGCCTTGTTGGCATGCGAACATGATGCCAGACGACTTGGCGATGGAAGCGACACAGGTGGCGGCGCGACAGCTGGATGCTTGGTGGCCGAGCTGCCTAATTTTCGTACCGACGACGACATCTTGGTGCTGGTGTTGACGATGTTGTTTCTTTCATCTGAAAGCTCGTCCTCATCAGAAAGTACGCTGCTGATGTCGTATGGATCTGACCTCGATATCGAGAGTTTTGGCTGGACAGGAGCCTTGACGCGCGGAGAACGCGATCGCGCTTTGAACGCGTCAGACGCCTTAGGCATGGACTCAAGGTCTGTATGATCGGGATGATGGGATTCGATTGATTGCTGGGAGAATACCCCTTGAGAAAATGGATCCTGTGAGTCTGGTATGACAATTTGGGAATCCTCGAGAATGGGTGGGACTGGTCGCTGTGTTGGTTGAAGCGGTAGTTGTGGTGGGGCTGAGGTGCTTGGTGTTGAGGCAGCGACTTTCAAGTCGTCGATCTCCCCTGGTGAGGGCAAGCTCCTCCTCGCAGCAGAAGTTGCAGAGACCTTTTTCTCGACAATCGGCTCCTGGGCTCTGGGCGCCCGTCCCCTCTGGGCAATAGCCAGCGCCTTCTGTGAAGGCGTCATCTTGGGCTCAGCCTTGTCCTCCTTGGACCCGCCCCGCGAAGACGATGCCCTGGACGAAACCGAGGGCGTACGATAAGGGGTTTTCATCTCATCCTCCTCAAGATCCAAGCTTTTCAGACAAAGCAGCCTGCCCCTCTCCCTGCTGCTGCTGGTCTTGCGTTTTCCACCGCTTCGCACCACCTTCGCCGCACCCCGCGCATCCAACCCGTTCTCAACCAGGTAAATAGTCTCCCCACTAAGAATCTCCTCCGACATAGTTTCATGCCCTTGAAAGACATATCCGTCCTTGTCACGCGCCTCGAAACGCGATCCGTCCAGCACAGCGTCGAAGTGCCGCCGCGCGTGGCCGGCCGCGTGCAAGCAGAGCTCCTTGATCTTGGTCATGGGCAGGAGGTTCATGGTGAAGGCGTGGCCGTCTTGGAGGGTGCGGCCGTTGGCCATGTGGGTCGCTGATGATAATGACGAGGAGGACGGAGGAGGCGAGGAAACGCGGACGATCTGGACGTTGATCGGTGCCGCGCGGCGTGAGGCCGACAGGGCTTCCTTTGAATTCATCTTGACGGTTTTGGATTTGCTTTTGCTGGGTGGCTGTGAGGCTTGCAGCGATGTGCTCTGACTCTTGCTTGCAGACGTGCTGCAGATTCTGGGGTTGGGGAGAGAGGAAGGTGTCTTTAGAGACGTTTGCTGGCGATGCGAAGGAGTGGGTGCTGCCCTCTTTGCTGCTGCTGCTGCTGCTGCTTCAGTCGCAGGTGGAATGAGCTCCGTCTCGTCAAGCCTAAAGAAAGTCTCCCTTCTGAGATCCTCCAGCTGGCCATTATCCGAGCCAGCAGCAGAGGTCTCCGGGGACAGCAGGTGAGACTCCTGGCTCAGGGGCGCCGTCGCCATCGCCTCTCCGGAGGCGAACATGCTCATAATAATTGAGGGATCACGCATATATCACGGAACGTACGGTCACCCAACACAGAGATCATATATTCACAAGCATTTGATTTTCACAACGAAGCGGGAAGAGACGGACAAGAGGAAGAAAACAAAGAGGGTCATGAACGAGGAAACCTCGATACGTTTCCCGTCGAGAGTTAATAAACAAGAGAATTAGAAGAGAAGAGAAATCGCGACGTTGCAATCTCGTGCCAGAGCAGAGGCAAAAGCAGAATCAGAAGCAAAAAACGTTTGTCTCTCTTGCTTCTCTCCCCCCCCCCCCCGGATTTCATCAACGCGGTCCGTCCGTGCCCCACCACCCGCATGTCTAAGACGCGTTTTCCCGCGTTTTTTTTTGACTTTCTTGACTCTTGCTCGAACAGCGACACCGCGTCTTGATTGAGTTTGGGCTTGCACGGGGTGGCTTAGACCGTTGAAAAGCATGTCTCTCCAGGAATAAAGCTAGGTGTGCAATTCACCAACGAGTAGTAGCCTGAAGATCAGGTCCGAGTTTCAGTTTGATGCTATCTCCAGACCCACTCCCACTCGTTCATCTGCATGCATGCAATGCGTGCAACCGAGTACACAGTATGCACGTCGAGTTCCCACTACAGATCGAAATCGCGACTGGGATTTTTTGTTGTTTGCGCGCGTCTTGCAAAACTTTAACGTGGTAGAGAGAGTTTTCCAAGTCCCCAACCCCTTCACTCTTGTCCAAAAAGGCAAACAATTCGGTTCGGGCGATATCGACAAACGAAGTGCAACGTCAATATGAGTTGAGATCCGACACGCCAGGGTTACGGGGTAGACTAGTAGTAGGGAGCGCTGGAGCAAACTTGGCAGATGCCATCGCCCGATCGGCGGGGGAAAACATTCCATGTCATCCCGCCAACCCGCCCGTTGGGCTACTGCATCTTGCCAGGAATGGATCGCTCAGTACAGGGGGCTTGCGCGGGAGGATGCGGGATGGGGATGTTTGGTGGGCTAATGCAACCATAGCTTTGGGCCCAGTGCCTAGCCGTCTTCCCATGGCTGCAGCCAGTATTCAATGACCTAGCACTCAGCAGCAGTGGGAGGTCAGAGCTATGATGGGTTTAGAGTATTGGACTTTAATGCTCTTTTCTTGTACATGCCCTCTACTGCACGGCAGCACTGCGATGGGTTTATATAAATCCCAAGACAAAATGAAACCAGAGCCCCAAAGCCTCGCAATCCGGGTATCCAACCGTCCTCACTCCCATCTCTTGCTTACACTTCCATATTTCGATGTCCAGACCTCTTTGCCTATAGCCTCGACTTGACCGTCATCCGCTCCGGCGAAACAAAACCTTGATGAAATCACAAAGAACAAATCAACCTCGTCGCTCAATAAACATGCACACTTACACACTTCACTTGACTTGATTCCACTTCACCTCACTCGTCCTTCACCAACTCACCATTCAGATCCCAATCCTCCGACTGCGCCACCAGGTCCGGGATATCGTCGACCTGGCACTTCCCATCCAGAATGTCGTTGACGGCCGTGAAGAGCGGGTACTCGTGCGTGAGCCCCCGGGCCTTGAGGAACGAGTTGACCTCCTTGGCCGTCGAGGTGCCCTGCAGCATCTGCCCGTTGAGCTCCGTGCGCTCCACCTCGGCCACGCTGACTCCGCGCTCGACGGCGATCTTCGAACAGCGGAAGTTTCGTCCCGACGAGCAAGAGGTCACCAGGTCCGCCATGCCGGCCGACTCCACAGTGAACGTCGCCGTGTTGACCGTCTGCCCGAAGAACTCCTTGCCGAACTTGATCATCTCGACTATACCCAGACGGCAGACCTCCGACTTGGCGTTGTCGCCCCAGCCCTTGCCCACCACGAAGCCTGCGGCCACAGCCACGATGTTCTTGAGAGCACCGCCCAGCGACGTGCCTGCCACGTCTGAAACCATACGAACATGGAAGTAGGGCCGGCGGAAGAGCGCCTTGAAGGTCATGTGGTCGAGGGGTGGGAAGGTGTCGGGCACGGCGGTCAGCTTGACCTTGCTGTTGCGGCCGCGGGCGTCCTTGTGCGACGCGTTGACGGGCGTGATGCTGAGATCGAACTTGGTCTGGTTGGCGGCGGGGCTCTGCGTCCTGGGCGTTGGGTTGCGGCTAGCATCCATGGGCGGCGGGTCGTAGGCAATGGTCGTCGCGCACCACTTTTCGGCGGCGATCTCAGACGCAATATTGGCTCCTGACAAGGCGCCGCAGTAGATGCCCAGCCCGTCACCTATCCACTCGCTGAACAGCGACACCCCGTCGTCGGACACGTGCACACCCTTGATACAGCTGATTGCCCGAGCATAGGGGACAATGTGACCTCGGAGCTGCTTGCACACATTGTCGATGAACTGGTGGGGCAGGTTGAAAATCAGGATGGTCGAGTCCTTGGCGGCGTCGATCAGGTTGGGGTTCGCAATGACATTGTCGGGGAGCTTGATGCCAGGGAGGTACTTGACGTTCTCGTGGTACTTGTTGATGATGCTCGTGATCTTCTGCTTGGCGTCGCCAATCGAGGCGTCGTAATGGGGGGAGTCCTTGGGTATGGAGATTTCCTCCTCGTAGACCCACATCTGCACCTCGGGCTCGAAGATCTTAGGGTTGGCCTTTGTGTTTTCGGCGACGATCTTGGCGATGGTCGAGCCCCAGTTTCCAGAGCCTACGACCGTCACCTTGTGCCGTTTCTCGTAGGGGTCTCCCAAAGTAGCCATGTTGCGTCGACTTGTGATTGCGAACCTGCTATGTAACGGTGGTATGCCGCCGCGGGCTGAGGGAGCTGACCTGCCTGGGCGAAGAGCTAGAGCAAAGAGCGTAGATGTTCGACGGAAGCTGGAGCTAAAGCTGGAGCTGGAGCTGGAGCTGGACTTGCTTGGTGTTGCTGTGGGTGGTGAGGGGGAGCGGCTTGAGGTGGAAGCTCTTCGGGCCTCTGATACAGCGAGGTGCAGCTGGCTGACAGTTGCAGTTGGCCTGAATGGAGTGCTTAGTACGACAGTGTTTGTGGATGTGGGAGCGAGGGAGAAGTCGACTCGAGCAATGCGCAATGCGTGCATGAACAAGACTGGGAGCTCAATGAGTGGTCACACGAGCTGTTTTAATAGTTGAAGAGGAGGAGGAGGAGGAGGAGGAAGCTGACAGGATATAGCGGCAAGGAAGCAAGAGAGAACCCCACGTCTCACTGGCAGGGGACCAAAGGGAGCAGCATGTACAGAACAGAGCACAGGCAGGAACAGGGCAGGCAAGGACGAGCCGAAGCGAGGCACGGCAAGTACCAGAGTAAGTGGCAAGTGACAGGCGGAAGGTGGCAGATGGCAGATGGCAGGTTCCTAGTCTGTGTCTGTGTGTCTGTGGTCTCGATTTGGGGGTCTCGTGGCTGCCACATGTATGTAGATAGAGACTAGCAGTACATGTGCTTGTGCCTGTGCTTGTGCTGTGTTGAGCTCGCCCTTCCAGCTTCCTGCCTTCTTTGCCCTTCTTGAATCTCCGACCCACACCCAGTGCTTCCTTCCCCCCTGCCAGAGAGTGCAGAAAAGTGACGCAACGACCCGGCAGTATGCTGACCGCTTTCCTCTCTGGTTACGACGCATACGTGGGGTCAATAGCTAAGAACCATTCCTAGACAGTCATTTACATGTACACAAAAGTATCATCGTAACAGAGGGGCGAGTCTGTCCCCCAAGGAAATGGTGGGGTTCTCAACCATCCTGACCCAAAGCTTTTTTTTCTTTCCTCTCTCTGGCGCTCGGGATTCTCCGGCCTGGCCGACCTTGACAAGCTCTCGTGTTTCCCTCTAGTTGCCGAGGCCGTTACATTCCGTGTCGGTCCTCCCATCTTTTCTGGGGTCCATGTCAATGGGCAAGGCGAGGATCGAGGCTGTGAGCTGAACAGTGGGCTCTGTCATATCTGACAATCGACACAACCATTCAAAGCATGTGAAAGTCCCCATATTTCCTGGTTTATTTCCGTCCATCACATGCCAGCCAGAGACGCACCGCAGGCGAGATTCCCTTCCCCATTGTGGCCATTGTGGGAACAGGCAACGCGGGTTAAACATCGGCTGACACCACGCCTGATCTGAGCCGCATTTGGCTTCTGAACTCCGTAAAGCCCGGCCGTATTGACTCCATCACCCCGAGCTTTGCACCACCGGCCTGAATTGACGACAACGGCTACCTGTGCATTCCCAGATTGCACCGTCCTTCTCATTTATGCTCGCAAGACCACTCGGCGTCGTCACCCAATCTATCACACCTCGAGCGCTCGATTCCAATATACATGATTTCAACAAAGCCCCTAGTCTCCAGTCTAGACAGCGGCAGACCGGCTCACGGACTAATCCCTTCACATCCAAACCCGCGTTCGGTGCGATCTGAATAGTCTCCCATAGACGTCATGGACGAACCACAGCTTGCCCAAGTTGCTCAAGCTTTGACAGGGAATCAGCGCCTTGCAGCTATCTAGGTGATCCTGAATATGGCCTTGTCCCACGAGGTCCTGCCCTCGTTGAGAAGATTGATCATTTTGAAGGAAACCGAGCTGCTCCCGAATATGAAAAGGCCAACTCGTTCGAATGAGTCCAAGGTTCGCCTAAGGAGGAGCATCTTGGCCGAAGAGTTCGAATGATTGCCTCCCATGCCGGTGTAGAGACGCACAATGGGAACAAGAACGTAGGTTCGTTCACGCAGCCCCTTCAGAATAACTTCGGGTTGGATATCTTCGTCCATATCGAACCTGGAGTGCGTGCCAAGTCCAAATGCGTCCCATTGACCGCTCTCCGTCAATGAGAGTGCATCGGTGGGCAGCACGTTAGCTTCGAGAAGCAGGATGTCAGATTCGTGCCGTTCCATGTCATACCACGCTTTGCAGATTGGCGTCCCGGCGCTGTCAATGCTCTCGAAAGATATTCCCCATAAAAAGGACTCAACACGCTCGTTGCTTTCGCCGTGGGCCTGGCCGACCCATCCTGCCCAGGACCAAGATGGGAATGTGTGGTTTCTGCGACTCTTGCTGCCGTGTGCGTGACTCCAGCATAGACCCAGTGACAAATCCGAGGATACTGGTAGCTGTGAGGCGGGTGACGGGATCGAAAAGGGTATTCCACGTACGATCGCAAGTACCAAACTCTCGTCGGCCCTTGTGGCACGGCGTGTGTAGAATTGCATGATGCCGCGAAAAGCAGCGAGGGAGTCTTTTTGGAAAGTCATTTGTCGACAGGTGTATTCCTCCACCCTCGGCCAAAAGTCGTGCAGTACGGTGGCATTTTCGCCTCCAGGGCTCCGATGTATACTTTCCCACAGGCGTGATGACCGTGCCAAGGGGCCGTAGTCGTACTTTGGAGACACAGGACGAAAATTGGGTCGGTGATCATTCACCGAAGCTATAGAATACCTTTCTGGCAGAGCTATGTTCTCTTGTCGAACCAGCCCCTCGTTCTCGTATGCTTTCTGGCACTCAAAGTACAGCCCCGTAGCCGTGAACATGGCAATCCGCCGGGAGAAAAACGCTTCTTGATACGTCCAGGCGCGAGCGGCCCATTTTGACCCCTTCAATATTTCTGCTGAATAGGAGGGCCAGGGAAACACCTCGATGCCATTTCGCATACCAACCGCCCCCAGATCCTCCGCCCGAGGGCGGCTGACCCCAACAAGACCATGGTTGGCATCCTCGCCCGCGCCGTCGACGATCGTCCAGGCTGCATCGCTGTAGATGCGGTCCATAATCTTGATCTGGTGGATCTTGTGGGGGCTGTCATCCTGATCGATGCAGTATTGGTCGACCCAGAGGTAGCGATATCCAGTAGCCAATGTGATAGCAATGGCGTCTTCGATGACCTGAGGGAGGGCGGCAGGAAGGTGTGCGTCTTGTTGAATTGGCGGGTGGTGTGCGCCGCCCCAGACATAACTCAACGCCACGTATGACGGTGACACGGCTCGATCAATCTGTCCAGCTTCTATGACTATTCTCTTCTGGCAGTCAATGAGTCTCATGCCAGGCGGATAGTCACCCCTTGTTTGGTGGTCCTGGCACTGGTCATGAGATGCCTGACAATGTCCTAGCCAGTGCTTGAGAATAGAAATATCGAGAAACGCTGATATGGGTCGCGGTTGGAGACCAGAAGGAAAATGTACTGGTGCTGTCCGGCAAACTAGGTAGGGATTGTTGCCTCGTGTGAAGTCGGGGTGCAATTTATGGTTTATCCCGTGGACTTGTCGGCCCCTGACAATGACAGGCTCTATACCAAATTCCTCATCATCGTCCAAATCTGGGTAAACAACAAGGAAATTGTGCTCTAGTCCCATGCCCGTCTCTTGAAAACAATATTGTGCTGAAAAAGCGTAGAAGAACTGGTCTCGATCCTCCTGCAAAGACTTGTTTGGATGTATAAAATCCCGATTCTGATATTCGCGATATAGAAGACAGCACACAGGACATTCCGTACTTCCATCGGCATACTGCCGTCTGCCCAGGCAAGCGACACGCACACCGACATCCGTCATCGGGGTGTAACGCCCCATGGACCCGGCTCGTTCGGCGAGGACCCTGCGTTCGACTGAGAGGTCTCGGCCGGCCGATGACAGATCCAGCTGGCGACACTGGGCGCAGAGCCGCTCCTCAGATAGTGGCTGGTCTTGGTACGCATTGCGCTCCATGTTTTCGACACTTGCTCACAACTGGGGCATTCTGTTTCATTGCTGGGGCGAGGAACGACTGCTGTATGCATTTGACAGACCGCACATTTGAACTTGTTCCAAGATGAATCATTGGGTATTGATTCCTTTGCGATGCGTTCTGACGCGGAGATTGTTTTTTACTTGTGAGTATGCAGGGAGGCTCTACCACTGCCCAGATAATAATACATAGATACAGGACAGATAGAAACTTCATGAGTAGAGAGAGGGGTTAAGCAGGATCACACTGTTTAAGTAAGCAAGCAGGGTCACATCCCGGATATTGGGACAACCCTAGAAGTGCGAGGAGAGTCATCAGCCCATCACAAGCAAGTCTCAGTCCTCAATACTCTATGCTTTCACCAAATTTACACTCTTCATAAAATTTCACGCTTAATGCCAATAACTCTTAAAATATTACAAATAAGACTCAAGGTCACACAGGAATAAAGCCTTTTCTGCCTGTCGAATACCCTTTCGGTTTTCTACCATTCACATACACACGAGCAACTTGAGCCCCAGCAGAGATGAAAGATTTGCAAATCCACGTAGCGATCAACAGTCGCTGTCGAGTCTTCGACCGCTCAGGGAAGCTCCCTTTCAGCATTATCTTCGGCCTCTCCCGACGTTCGTCAGAGGATACAAACCCCCTGTCCCTGGTTATTAACACGAAGGGGACAATTCTCGACATCCCATATGCGCTTTCGAGCAAGCTCATCTCACTACGTGTACAAAAAGAGGATCGCAAGCTCGACGTCGAGGTAGAAGTCGGCCAATTAAGTCTATTCAGCAATGGCGAGGAGTCATCAGTGACCCTACCGTCACCAGCAGACCACAGCCTTGCCTCCAAAAACCCTCTAGCGATATATGAATATCACATCGATCCCGAAAGTGAGCTCGCGTCATTGTTGGAGCCGGGGAAGAAGTATAGAATTCGCGTCACGCCTCGTGGCGACTTTGGCGGGGAAGGACACAAATACGTGGATGAAGCAAATCCTGACGACGAACAAAGTTCTTCAAGGAAGGAGCCAAAACTGGTCGTCGGCAGAGTCGAGGGATCGGCAATCTTTACGGTCTTGTCCTCTCTTCCATGGCCGCCAGAAATACAGACTACAATGCGATGGCATCCAGGCAATGAGGATGCCGGTGTCACACGACTTGAAATCACAGTCTTGAACACAGGTACAGGACCTATCACTATCCAGACGCGCGGGCGCCAAAGCGTTCTCCTCCCATGGGGCCCTGTGTACGAAGAAGACGAGTGGTCAACCTGTCCTCGCGTAATCGACGCACAGCAACCATCGCCTAGCCGCGCCATCCAAGTCATCAACATGAATGACAACAGTATGATACGCAAGCCAACGCCACCAGGTGGTTTCCAACAAGGGCCAATAGGCGATCGACGGCCGAGTTTGGAGACCCTGGTCACTCTGAAGTCGGGAGAGCCACTGGTAAGGCATGTGGATGTGAGCGAGCTGCTTTCAGACTTGGCAGATGGCACTTACGGGCTGCGGATGGAGCCACGGGGTGTGTGGTGTTGTGAGGGTGATCGGCGTGATGTCGTGGGCGATGATGATGGACGTGTACCGCACGATATATTCCAGACTATGGTTCCGCCACTGGTGTTAGAATGTGGGGATACTGTGGAGGTACAGATCAAGGATGGCATTCCAAATTAGCACAGGTTCGGCCTCTGTAGAGAAGTAGGAACGATACCCTTACGCATACCCTCGAGAAAGTCAATAAACCGATCTCGAGCATTTCGCTTGCATCTTTGCACAGGCAACAGGTTTTTCGGACCGGTGAGAAGTCTGCGCTGTAAGTGGCACTGATGAGACGTTTATGCAAGGCTCAAATCTCACGCCTGAGTCTCCATCACGTGAATCACCGGTCGATTTGAGACGTTCTGGCTCTGCACTGAATTTCTTCACTCAGGGCCTCTTGGATCCGTCCATATGCCGGATACTCAGACAAGAATGGATCCATGTGGTAGGTAATTTTGTTAGGACCGCAGTCTCCTAGAAGAAACGTCCATAATTCTCTGCCAGTATCCACATCGAAATGCTTAAACTAGCTTGCTGTCAGCCTGTGGCCGTACAGTCGATCCCAATTTGGCAAGTCAATACTGGCCACCTCCAATAACGGTACGGGATTGAGAGGGAACGGATATGTCCGAATCTAATGCCCTTTAGGAAAATACATAAAGCTTGGTCTTTGGCATCTTGTCAGCCGTACGCGGCACTACGATTCTATCGTCTGGGTTCATCGCGGTTACGCTTATCGAGGAGAATTCTACGGATCTCAGCAGCTGGAGATTGGACGTACGATGAAGAGTTTTAACCACTTGAACGACGGCTCCATACACTGCGGGTATGGACGTGCCTACTTTTGTCCTTGCAAATAGGGTAGTGTTTCGCAATGAGCTTCAGCGTGGTGGCCGCGCCAGCGGCCGCACGATGCCTTAATCACTGCTAACTCCAAGGACTTGAAAGTCACGAGCTTTCACCAAAAAGGCAAAACAAAAAGCTTAGAAAATGACACGCAGGGCCAAGCCCGAGTCCATGGCCCAGACAGAAGCTTTGTGGCTCTCGTCTCGAAAATCTCCATTCAGAGTAGAGACGGGCCGGATTAGGTGGTCCATCTTAGGGGCAGGCCTTGGTCGCTGACATTTTCAGCTTCAGCTCCAGACATGATGTGTAATCGCCCACCATCAGATTAATCTTGGACTTCAATACAGATGGCAGGGCTGGAGATGAAATATAATGTTTAGTTAAGTTATCAACCCACACATCCTCCCTCTCGTGTTTACCACCTTAGCAGCTTACCATTATCCTACCAGTAAACTTAAGCATACAAAGTTTTGCCCACCTTTCCCAAAAGTCTCATTCTTCCGTAAACAATTACCACCACCTCCTACCTAACGGCCGTTATAATGTCTGAATCCGCTAACAAAACTTAGTCATACGTGCCCTCAGAGAAATTAGCAACTCCTCAAGCAAGCTCAGCTGTTACTAAGAGCAAGACTATCAGAACTAGCATGCTTACTACTAGCGGTTCGCTTATAACTGAAGTCTCTGGGGCTGGTGTGTCTGTTTAGGCTAGATCATCTTCCAGGTCGAATGTCCTACACAAACAACCGCAGAAAGTTCAAACGACCCTTGTAGAGCTTTATCGACAACAGGAACAGCTGCCACCCCGACATAACACAGGTTGGTGATTGGGACGCAAGCAAACCTTCAATTGCTCCGCGACCAGCAACACCAACTCAATCAACGATATTAACGCGTTGCATAGCGTCGACACGCTGATTAACACCGAGACCCTCGGCGCCGAGCTCGGCCCTCGGAACGGTCACTACTCCTGAAAATCCCAGGCCAAGCTCTACAGTTTCTATTTTAGGGGAGATTAAGACGATACTCAAAACGAGTCTCTTATAGAAAAACCTTAACTTTATTTTTCAAGTAGTATATTACCCCTATTCTTGCTGTAACAAGGCTACTGCTAATATTCAAATTAAGTAAAGGAGTAAAGAGAATTTTTATATGATTAAGGTGAAGGTATTTAAGGATTGGCTGGAGAATAGTTGTTTTCATGAACCCTTTAGTAAGGTTGGAAATTTAACGGTCTTTGCCTAAGATATCTGAAACTAGATTTTTTATGGGCAGATGCTAGTTACGGAATAAGAAAAGATTTAGAAGGCGCGGGTAGTCAAGACTGGTGGCTGTGGGTTAGGGCGGTTGGTCCCTGCAGGCCCGTGTTATTTGACGCCGCCTTTCTCAACAGCTCGAACCACTTATCAGGACGGACAACTTCAAATTCAGGCCCTAATTGCTCGACCATGCGACTAACATTTGCCGGCGTCATGTCGAAGGCCGCGAGAGCGCCCGCGACGAACAAGGGGCCGCGACGCCCCCAATTATCTGAAATGTTCCTCAGCGTCGCAGCACCACTCTCTTCGTCCCCGATACCTACCATGTTTGTTATTGGAAATCCTCCAGTCACATTCGCCTGGAGGCTCTCCAGTGTAGAGACGAAAGACCCAAAGAGGATCCCACGAAGCCTATCCTCTCCCACCGCGTCGCGAAAAGCAACGGTCACCTCGGGCGTCAGCGGGGTATCGGTGGAGTTGACACGGTTGTACACAAACAACACCTTGTCCGTTTGCGTGGACCGCATGTAATCCCCGCTTTGATTAAGGTACGCAGACAGGGCTCCTCCGGGCCAGACCCCTGGATAGGTGTAGCCTGCGCCATCGGGTCCAGCGACAAGTAGATCGTTCTGGGTTGACGTCTCCTGATAGTACGACAGGATGCCGGGCCCGATGTCGCGCAGGAGCGGGCTGATAGTGTTGGCAGGTGCAACCAAGCACTACTTTAACTTAGCCTTTTTTAGTTAATAAATCAACTAGCGAAAAACAAAAAAATAACATACACAATAAACAAATTAATACAATTACTTTACTTATTATTTATCTTTTATATAATTAAGATATTTACTAACATTAATTAATAGTTATAAGTACTATAAATTTTTAAGGTAAAAGAGGCTAATTTAACAAGGATGTTTCTAATATTTATATTTTCTTTATTAGCTAAGCGCTATATAGAAACCTTTACTTTTTTAGGACTCTTTAATGCTATTAAACTCCCTAAGCAGATAGTTATAAAGGTTAACTAAATTAAATAGCATTCCTTGCAATTATTATATATTTGCTATTCTTTAAAAGATGCATATTTAACATACACAAGTTATTTAATAAACTTTAAAATTAAAATACATTTTAAAAGCATTTAAACACTATAATGTTTTTAATAATTTTTATATTTACTAAGCACTATATTTTATAATATTTATATTAATATTATATATAAAAGTAAGTTATAAGTATACTTTAAAATAGTAATAAGCACTTAAAAACTAAAATTATTAGTACTTAAAATTAATAATACTTTAAATTTCTTTTTTTAAATAATTATAAATTTATTAAATTAGAACTTTAAAGCTTACTTTTAATACTTTATTTACTTTTAATTGCTTTTTTAATATAAACATTTTATATAATACTTACTATTACTTTTTAAACATTTTATATAATATTTATTATAGCTTTTTAATATAATTAATACTAAAAATAAATATTTAACTTTTATTAAAAAATATTTACTAAATAAACTATTTATTTAAATACTACTTAATTTAGTATATTAAAGCTATATTATTCTAAACTTATAATTTACAGTTTTTATATAAAATACTATAATAAAACATTTAATTATTTATTTAACAAATACTTTATTAAATTATATATAATCAAATATTTATAATAATAACTTATTTATTATTTATTAAAAGGATTTTTTTATATAAATATTAAAAATATTTAAAAAACTTTTACTATTATACTAGTAAAGCTTAAAAGTATTTTTAAAAATATAAAGCATATTTATTAAATATAATAACTAACTAATAGCATTATATTTACTTATACTAACTTAAATTAAAAATAAATTACAATAAAGTAATAATAAGCTTTATAATATTTTTTTAATATTAAAATTAAATATAAATAAATATTATAATTAATTACTAAAATAAAAATAAAGTTTATAAAATTTAATACTACTAACTTTAAAATTAAATTTAAAATTATAAAATTTACTATTAAACTTAAGCTTAAAAATAAAAAATTTTTAGTAATTTTTATAAGAATTAAAATATTAAAACCCTTTTTTACTAAAACTAAAACTATAAGTTTTTTTACTTAAATTTTAAAAATAATTTAAATAATATAAATTATAAAACTTAATAAGTATAATATTATTTATTAAAAACTAATATAAATAATTATTGCTACTTAAAAAGTAAAAATAAAGCTTATAATAATAATATATACTATATTTAATATAATTATAAAATATAATACTAATATAGCAACTTTTACTAAATATAAATTATAATTTATATAAAACTTTTTTATTTTAATATATTTTTAATAAAAAATTAAACTTTATAAAGTTTATATAATTTATTAAAATATTTAATTATTTTTAAAAGTATACTAAAAACTTATATAATTTACTAAATAATAAAATAAAAATATTTTTTAATATTTACTATTATACTAATATTTAGCTAAATTAATTTTATATAATATTTTTTAAAATACTTAAAAATTATATAAAAATATACTATTTTTATTTTATAAATAAAATTAATACATTTATAATAATATACTTTAAAATTAAAATATACTTTAATATAAACTTTAATTACTAGTATTATTATATAAACTAAATTATAATAATATTTATAAAAATAAAAATATAAAATTAAAATAAAAACTTATAAAAGGTTTTATAATTAATATTTAATAAATTATAACTATATTAATAAATATTAAAATAAAATTATATAAAAAAAAATAATTTATAAATAATTATTATTAAAGCTTATAAAAGTATATTAAAACTAAAAATAATACTTTTTAAACTAATATAATTTTATAAAAAATTATTTTTAAACTTAAAATTTATAATAAAAATATAATTTAGCTATACTATTATAATTAACTTTATAAAAAATAACTTAAACTAATATTATATTAATTAATAATATAATAACTAATTTAAGAAAAAAAGCTAATAAAAGTTATAAAGCTTTAATTATAGTAATAAAAAGTTTAAAAGTAGTTAAAGAAATTTAGTTTTTAGCTATAAAAACTTTAATAATAATAACTAAAAAGGTTTTAATTATAATACTTATAAAAAAAGAACTTTTTAAAAAAAAAACTTTATTTATAAAAAGAAAAAATATTAATTTATAAAATAATTTATAAATAAATATTATATAGTAAAAAGGAATTATTTAATATAATATAAATATAAAAATTATAAAAATAATTTTAAATTTTTTTTTTTTAACTTTAAAAATTATAATTTAAATAAAAAGAATAAATTTTATAAATATAATAATAAAAAAGGATATAATAATAATAACTATAATATAAAAATTAATTTTATAAAAATATAAATTATTAAAATAAATACTTAAATAATAAATATAAACTTTTTTATTAATAAATCTTTTATTTATAAACTTATAAAATATAATATTTTTAAAATAAAAGTAATTATTATAATAAATAAATTTATTTTAAAAAATAAATATAATTAAATATATTTTTAGGGAATTTTATTAAATATAAAAGCTTTAATAATTTTTATAGCTAAATATAAGTAAGTTTTTACTTTATAATAAGAAAATTTAAAATATAAAATTAATATAATATTTATAAAAATAATAAAGGTTAAATTTAATAATAATAAAGCTATTAATTTACTAAAAACTATAAAAGTAAATACTTTAATTAAGTATATAAAATTTTATATTATAAAAATATAAATACTATTTTTACTATACTTAATAAATATAAATTAATTTAAAATATATTATAATAATATTATAAATAAGCTAATTTATATTAATAGTATAACTATTATATTAATATTAAGAAAATAAGGATATCTATAGTTCTTTTTTAATAAAATAATAAATATTATATACTTTTTTTTAAAAATTAAAATAAAAAAACTTTACTATTAATTTAAATATTTTTTAATAAATTAGCTATACTAGCTATTTAAAAAAGCTAGATATTTAAATATTAATAAATAAGTATTAGTAGAAATTATAAAGTTTTATTATTAATACTAAATAAATAAAATAACTTTAAAATATTTTAAATTTATACTATATAATAATTATAAATTTAATTATAAAATATTAATTAATATAATATACTTAAGTAAGCGCTTAGTTTTTTATATTATAAATTAAGTTATAGCTTTTTAAAAAGTAAGATTTTTAAAATTAATAAATATAAAAACAATTTAGTAAATATTTTAAACCTTTTAAATTAATATATACTAAAGCTTTTTAAATATTATTTAATATAATATTAAAATAAACTTTATATTATTAAAATTTTACTTTAAAATATAAATAATAAAAGTTATATATAAATAAGTTTTTATAAAAGTATATTAGTTAATTAAAAAAATTAAAAGATATTACTATTTATTTAAATAAATATATAAAATTTTATATAATAAGCTATATAAGAATATAGATAAAAATGTTATTTTATAAATAGCTATAAAAGCTATTAATAATATTATAAAGTTAAATAGTTTAGTTTTTATATTTTTAGTTTTTAAAGTATATTTATAAGTATTATATAATTTTTTATTATTACTATAAATATAAAAATAAGCAAAAGCTATTATAAAAGCTATAAAAAGCTTATAAAGGGTTATAATTAAATAATAAGTGCAGAATACTTTAAATATAAAATTTAAGCTTATTAATAATATAAATTTCTTATTATAATATAAAGTTTATATATAGTAAAAAAAGAAAAGCTAAAAAGGCTTATATAAAGTTATTTTAATTAATAGCTATAATATAATACTAAATATACTAAATAGTTTAATAATATTTAAATTAATAATTATTTAGCTTTATTATTAAAATAAAAATAAAAATATATAATATTTATAATTAAAAAATTAAGCTAAAATACTATAAAATATAGTTATATAACCTTTATTATTAAAAGTAAAAAACTATATTATTATAATATATATTTTAAAAAAAAAAGTAATAATTATACTTTAGTATTAATATTAAAATAAAATAAAGTTATTATAATATTTAGTATACTATTTTAAAAATTAAATAAAATAAAAATTAATAATTTAATTAAAAAAATATTTTTTAATTTAAAAAATAGTTATAAATATAATATAGTAAATATTATTTTTTTAAATTTTAAATAATATAAAAAGTAAAAAGTAAAATTATAAAGCTATATAAAAAGTTTAAGCTAATTATTTAAAGCTATAATAATAATAATAAGAAAATAATTTTAACTTAAAGCTTAATAATTTAAAAAATAAGCTAATATATAATCTTTATAATTACTTTAATTTTAATTTAAAGTAATAATATAGCATTATTACTTTAAAATATTATTTAAATATACTTTTAATTTAAATTAAAACTTTAATATATAATCTTTATAAACTTATTAAAAAAATTAAAAAAAAATACTTAAAAAGCATAATTATTTAAATTATATACTTTTTTTATAAAATTACTAAAGCTAAAGTTTACTAATTTAATATTTACTAAAAATATTATTAATAAAATTTAAAAATAAAATATTTTATATATAATTCCTACTTTTTAATTATAAAGCTTATATAACTATTTAAAATTGCAAATATATAAATAAATAATATATTACTATTAGCTTTAAAAGAATTTTAAAA